TATGAGGCGGTCCTCTATCTATTATATAGTAAAAAGGAGCGTAAATTCTCCGTCTAGTTGAGACATTTCTCGCTGCGACATGAGACCTCGGAGGGTCGAATGATAGGCGTGGTGAGATGCCTCGAATAAACGCCTATAAAATAGGCCTAGGGAGCAAAAAATGAGCGTCTAGAGGGGCCTATAAAAGGAGTGGTCTGAGCCTAGTAAAAGGTCTCAACTTGTGAAGACAGGTTGGCGGAGTACTCCGCGGAGGAGGCCCCTGGGCCGTCTAACAACCCTAGATTCACACTGATATATGAGTCCATAAGTTTCCTTATTGATAGGTATTGCCTAGGTTCTTAACTCGCACCACATTCTGATGATATTCCTGCTCTTTCAAATCGTTTCTCTGTCGCAGACTACATCGGCGACATGAGTCTTTATTTGCTTCTAGACATTCTAGAAGCCAATTTTTGTTACTAATTTGACTTTTAGATGTTCAGTAAGAATTCCATATAATTCAATAGAATGTTTCATCATTATGTTTCTTTTTCTCAATTACAGTAAACACATGAGAAAGAAGGTCATCTCGGCACTCTGCTTAACACTTTCGCACATGCGAGTTGAAGGCTAAGATCGTTCCTTTGAGATCGGCTAAAGTCTTAGTGTGAAAGTTCTCTAACTAAATCTTGATATTATTCTCCAGCTCAATCTTTAACTCAATCTTAATGTCAGTCGGGACAAAATCATATAGACGTATCCATATGTCCTTAGCACTCAGTAGATACTCGTACTCTTCATGGTCGTAACAGTATCTCTGGTCGTAGCTGCGTTATGTTACCAAAGGTCATTAGAGAAGTCCCACGTCCTTAAAGTCGAGAGAAAGTATGTCCCTCGAAGTCTACTTGAACAGTGGCGGTGTTGAAGTCTGCTGCTGAGCTCCCTGGGCCGCCTAGACCGTCTAAAGCTAGCCGAGCTGTCTGCATGTTGAGGCGACTCTATGTCACATCCTGCCATGATTTCTTCAAATGCGTCCGCCAACTTTTACACAGCATGTTGCAAGCGAATCCGCGCCATCGTTTTTCATCGGCAATTTTGCGTCATCATTCATGGCTCGTGGAAGGACTCGGATGCGATGCCTTCTCATCCGAAATTTCGGGTACTGTTCACCTCTCAGGACGATGGAAGTCGAATGTGAGGAATTCATAGCTGTTCTGCTGGCAATATACGACGAAGTGAAAGTCCACATCAAGCAGACAGAGGAGAACTAAGGGAGTTCACAGTATAGTAAGCCGATCGCAAGACACATTTGGAGAATGACGATGTGACAAAGTTGGGTAGTCTAAGGCCCTCGCTGCGCTACTTACGACCAGATGATGATCACCAAACTGCGTTTTCAAGCCTCCTCGTGGCGCCGTAGAGTCACGCTATGTTGGTAGTTGGGACGTAGGGGAATCGGAAATGATTACGCATAAGTAATTGTGGATTCGTTAGAGTGGTGTGTCGTATCGCCCGGACTGCCCCCAGGTCTGGAGTCCAGGACTTGTTCATCTGTTACTGTATGTATCCTCATTGAGGTAGAGAGTTTTTCTTGTCATAGACTGTCCCAGCGGCCGATTAGGTGGATTGAACTGTTGCAGCAGGCTTGTATTGTAACACCCAGGTAAAGTCTGCTGCAACAGTTCAACTAAGTGGCGGCTATGCAGCATTCGACTATAATGAGGGACACTCATACTGTCAATCCGGCCCTCCTGCGTTTCTGTCTACTGATGAACGCTCGTCTGCGCCGGTGTATTTGTGCTGTTGAGGGCGTGGCCGCTAGGAATTGATCCACGTTTCCCGTCCAATCCGTGTCTGTTTTGCTGGAATGCTGTCGCTGGAATGCTGTCGCTGGGGACGCCGAGCGCCTGGCCGCCCCCAATGCGTGGCCGCCTGTTGGGAGTGCGCTGCATGAAGTGCAGATGTACTGTATGGAAAGTACGTCCAGTGTGCGAGGCTTTGCTCGTAGAATTTTTGGAGTCAGTGCTCGCTCTCGATGACCTGGGCACTATCAGCGACCGGAAGCGTCGCAAGCGTGTCCTTTGCGTAAATGGCGTGCTCCGATGTCGGCAAGATGTGTCTGAAAGGTATTGTCTGAGCTATGGGTAGTGTAGATAGTGATAGCATGATTCGATATGGTGACTTCCTGAAGCGTGTTTTCCGTGTGGTGGACCATCTCTTTCCATTCAACTCCGCCTCTTCGCAGTGTACTCTTCAGCTTCCGATACCGTGAATTATAGTCGGGCAGGAAGATGGAGTGCCCCCAGGCGTACATGAAAGAAGCATCACTCTCTTTCCGCGCACTGAGGCTATATGTTGGGTGTTTCGGGAGGATTCGATATGTCGTTCGTGAGAGCGTCACCGCGTTTTTGAGCTCTCCAGGCACTCAGAGACAGCTGCCCTGTTTCTCTCAGAGTTCGCAGCGGACATCACGTGGAGGTGGGAGCTCGTCGTCCGGCTCGGGTAGAAAGATATACTGAAACCCGACCCGCCAGCTGTGATGTATTGAAGCGTTCTAAGAGAAGAGACCGTCGAAATCCTGCGCGAGTCCGAGGTAACGGCATCTCGAGGCTTGTGGCTGAAGCGTACACATTGCATCGCAGTCAAGATAGCTGCGGAAGCTAACCACCAGAAAATGAAATGGGCCGCTTCCTCAATAAGCATCACTGAAGCTTCTCCCTTCCCCACGTAATATCACGTGGTATCACGTGACTCCATTGTACGGCCGTGTTGCACATCAATACTGCGTGCCTTGTGAACAAATGTAGTTACAAAGCGAAGGAATCAAATATTTGGGTCCATTTACGCCCACATTAGGGTCTGGGGTTTTTTCGCTTTGGAGCTCTCTGCAGCGAAGCGGATCCGCCACGTGATTACAGCTGTGAGCCTTGCCAACGAGGCTGATGTCATAACTATCCGCCTGTCCTTTCCTCTTGCCAACTAACAAGATTGCGGCCCGGCTGCAACACTGAGTTGTCTTCAAGACCCTGGCTAAGTAATATCTACCTATTGCATGTTTGATACAGTACACGTGTTGGGATAGCAAATCGACCGGCTCACCGTCACAGGCTTGTAAAGTTGGACCGAAATGTCGGAGTCTCGACACCCTTGGCATGGTCCGCCTGGAAGGGAGGACGTCGAGACTTGGATCGTGCCTCATTGTGCGACAGGGAGGCCCAGGTTTTGGCTTATTCGGACATCTCTTTCGTAAATTTCTCAGTACCTGATGTCGTTGTGACCTGTTATTGACCCGCCTTTCGCATTGCGTATGCTCTTGAATTGCTTCTCCAGTGGCGCACATAGAGTTGAACGTTCTAGTGACCACTAACTAGAGGAAGAAAAACCAGCTTCGGTAGCAAGTACTTTGACGAGGCTCAATTGCAAGCTGGCACAATGAAAATAGATGATGTTGGTGGATGCTCGAGACTTATACTTGTAAAGAATTGTATGCATGCAACTGCGCTAGAAAGTATAGTTCATACGACCCAGAATAACGATGGCTCGCTAACGAGGTGAATCCCAGATTTTCAACGATAAGACCGCCGGTCGTCGATTCACTGTTCCCACAAGTTACCCGTCTTCAATCTGAATATGGTTCCTCCGACGCCGAATTAATTCGAATTCGATGGTTGACCAAAAAAGCGAAGATGAATAGGACAGCATTTGCGACTCCATCATCACTGAGTCGGGCTTTGTCCCGTTTGAAGGCAACGTAAAAATCCTAATATTCAAAGACGACAAGCTCGAAGAGAATCTCAAACCTGCGGCTCAAATGCTCGGTGTCCTAAAACGGGTAAGGATGAATTCCCAAAGACGAGACATTGCAAAAAAGTTAAGATCTAGCAGGATACGAACTATGCAGTGCTCAAAAGCGGTGATGCGCATGCAAGAACAATCAACATCGGCACCCCAGTGTTTTGGATACACATCAACATGCCGCAGAAACATCGGAGAGAGTTAGTTTACGACGAAAAAGGGATGGTAGTTCTGAAGCCAGACTTGACATATCCCAGTATGCGATCTCATGCGATGTAAAGTTACATATGACTTCTTTGAATAATTGATCGTTCGCTGGATCAGGAATGGCTGGGCAAACTTGAGGCCGATCAGCAAGAATCTCGGGAGCGCCCCAATTAGCAAGGGCAGTTTCATGGCTCGCAAGGTCACTGGAACAGGCGGTATCGCAAATCCCACAGTACCGATCCAACTGGCGGTAAAACCTCGTCCCGCAGGCGTAGGAGTTGAGAGATCCATCGACGGCAAATAGGTCATCCACTGTCAGAGGCAGGCCACCCAAATACGTCATTGGCGGGATCTATGGTCTAGCTCGACCGGAGAAATGTATCCTCACTCCCTTTGAAGTGTCCAGATCAACTATTTGAGACGACTTCTGCGCCTTCCCTAGTCGGTCGACCTCAAAAGCCGTTCACAATGGCTATTCTAGCCCAGAAACTTCATCTGATCGCCAGATCCTCCTCGACTGGATCGACAAACCATTGCTGTAATCAATGTCTACGGTGTTATACCACGAGGAAAGCGAATACCATACGTAAAATGATATCTCCAGTCAAGAAAGGGTAAGGGAGTAACTTTCTTTCGGCCTTTTCTAGTATGTTCCAAACTTAGACTCAGACAGGCTTGGTGGGAGAATTTGTTCGTGTGGTGCCTGCGGTGCCACGCGTGCCTGCAACCTGGGTCGGCAGTGCGGCTGTGGGGTCTTCCCTGTCACTGTTCACAGAGCCATCGAATCGCCCGCAGCCATTTATTTGACCATGATATTGGAAGGTCCCGCTCCCTGGGGTCCCCACCGGTCTTCGGGTTTGTAGATTGACTATCCTGGTCTGAGCGTATGGGTCATGCCAAGAATGCCGTCATCTGCTATACTCGCGCTTCGTGCAATTGCCAAGCCCGATATCTTATCAATCAGGGCTATTTATACCAAAACCCCCGCCGTTTCCTCGCACTTTCGTCCGCACGGAGCAGATACACCCAAAACAGGCCCCGGGATACATACCGATACCCTGCAATACTAGAAAGCCGGTTCACCTCGACGACCAAGATGCCAAATGTCTTCGCGGTTCCCATTTTCTTTATCGTTTTTCGCGAGACTCTGGAAACAAGTGTCATTGTCTCCGTGCTCCTTTCATTCCTGGACCACGAACTGGGGAAAGACAAAGATCAAACTATTCGAAAGACATTGTGTAAGCAGGTGTGTGGCTTCCATCACCTGCCCCTACCTTGAAGTTACTTTCCAGCTCAGAGACCGGACATGGCGAAATAGACAGACGGCTCTAGTTCCTATATGTTACAGTACATATCGCTCACTGGTGGCACACATGGCAAGTTGGGGGCTCGGCGTTGGAAAAGATAGGGTATGGCGACAACCATACTTGAACGAATTGATTCACTTTTTGGGGGGAGCCGGGGGATAGGGTGGGAGACGGTCTTCAAGCACACAAAACCAGCAGGTTGTTAGTAGTAGCATATACGAGTCCTCATAGAGAAAACAGCTCCGGCCGAGCAAAGACTTCCGGGAAAACGTTTCACTTGGTCTGATGTCTACCACCTGGCCCAACTCAACTGCTCGAGAAGGGTTTGGTTGGCTCGCATCTGCTCGGCTCGCTACTACGATTACTCCAAACACTACTCGCTTGACTGTATTGTCCACGCACAACCTCTTTTTGCCTACCTCGAGGCAGCTGCTTACTGTACTTGGCCGTGGACCACTCCGGATGATTGCATGCCAATTGGAATTGGTTGTTTGTTCAACAAAGCTCGTGAGGATCGGATCCACTACGCCTGGAAGCGCGCCAGGTGAGGCACATGAGCTTGCCGAGTCCCTCTAAGCCAAGTCAAGGCCGCGCGTCGACCTGAAAGATCTACAGAGTATCAACCAATACTCCTTGCGAAGAATGGTGAGGTGGTGTCAAGACGGGATTACTATGGTCCCCGCCGGTACATTGACTAGCCCCGTTTCGACGTCGCCATGCTCAGAAGCAGTACACATACAGAGGCTTTGGTTGCCGCTGTTGACTTAGGCTGGCAGGCTAGCCAAGTTCCCAACCTCCAACAATCTTATTGCTTTGACTGCTAGTTTCATCCTTTCATACTCAGACTCGATACGAGTTGCGAGTACCCGACGTGAACCTGTTCGCATTTGGCGAGATTCGGCAGAATTTCAATAGATCGAGTTCGACTTGTACGGTTTTCTCACTCCTCGTTTCTCGAAAATCCGACTTTGTCCCCAACCTTGGGTGTGCTCCATACAGTATGACGGCTGCCAACTTCTCGGTCTGGTTTTCATACATTCTCGATTGGGGTGTGGTTGTGTCAGTTGTCTCTGTTTCGCGTCCTCTTTAATGTGCCTTGCTGACCTTTGTCGTTGTATAGCGTGGTAGCTGCTACCGGCGGCGTCTTGAACTATATCGATGGCTTTCACAGACCGTTCTCAATCACCGACACCGCCATCGCGTATCCAAACAGGCCAGACATCGTGTCATTACCGGTCTTAATCATTGTCGCCCTTGTTCTTCCCGCTACTATCATCGCGCTTTTGAACCTCCTCACTCTTCCAGTCTTCCAACCTGCTTCTCGACCGCACCGCTTTCGCAAAACCCTCTGGGAAATTCACGTGGGATGGCTTGGTCTCTGTGCAGGCCTAGCCATCACACTGTTTGTAACGTCAGGCTTGAAGGATATGGTGGGAAAGCCTCGCCCACACCTTCTTGCAGTGTGCCAGCCAGATACGTCTCGGATCTCTGAGTTCATTGTCGGCGGCTTCGGAGTCTCCCTAGACTCTGAAGCCCAGGCCCTCGTGACTTCGGGCATCTGCCAACAATCTGACAAGCGACGACTCGATGATGGCTTCGCCGCCTTTCCGTCCGGCCATTCTTCTTTCTCAACAGCCGGAATGGTCTACCTCAGCTTGTGGCTGTGTGCGCGGTTTTCCCTGACGATCCCCTACCTCGACCTATCCATCGATCCACTTAGGCAAGGAAGTGGGAAGAGACAGATGATCGCGTCTGCACGGAGCAGACAAGCGGCCCCCCCGCTATGGCAGTTTGCGCTCGCATTTGCGCCCATTGTGGCGGCTCTGTTCATCTGCTCCAGCAGATATGCCGACTTTCACCACGCCGGCTTTGACATTATTTTTGGCGCTGTTATTGGATCGGTCTTTGGATGGGCTAGTTTTAGGTTCTACCACCTACCTGTACGCAGAGGGCACGGCTTGCTCACTTGGGGTCCGAGAGCAAGGCGCCATGCTTTGATTCGGTTCAAGGAAGAGGACGAACCTGCCGAGGAAGGAAGAGGAGCTTTTGACTACGAACTAGGTTCCTATAGCTCCGGCACTGCAGGAAGACAACAAACGAGCTCGTCTAGTCATCCCATTCTACCATAGCAGAGGGGACTAATAGACGGCCGGGTGGGCCTCTAGAAGTGGCCAAACGTCGTTCATTCCTCCTGCATAGCAAGTGAAAGGGTGAAAAGGCGGTGATGCAAGGGCGAGCTTTGGTTCATGTTCGCAGGAATCCTTCGCCCGGGGGTTCTCCACGCCAAGGTTTATCGGCATTTTGATGTTGAGTACTCCGTATACCTCTCGCCGATGTTCCTATCATGGGCTGGCCTCTAACAGCCATACATGTACCAGGGGCAAGGGACAAGCTGTAGCCTTTTGATCGTGCCACAAGCAAACGTGTAAGAAATATGCTGATGACGGGCCAACAAGGTTAATGAGGTCCTCATGGACGGCACGGTTTGGGTATGGCAACACAGACGATCAAGACTATCTTAAAAGGCCTGCCACCGAAACAATGAAAGCATAGGACCTCCGTTGCGTCGGGGCAAACACCCACGTACTGTGCGCCCGACCGAGTCGAACCGTTTGATGAGGTGGCTCAAGACTCTCTACTTGTACCTTACAAAAGTCAACTGCGATGGCCCAGGTGTTTTCGAGGTGCACACCGAGGATGGTGCGACAAAGGGGCAAGGCGAATTCACTTTGGTGGAAAGAGGTGTGATCGTTAGCCCCAGTGTTACAATGCGGCAAATCAGACTCAATAGATCAATATTAGTCGTCAGATTGTTGGGGATGCATCTAAACGCACGTGTGTCATTCCACCTACATAGGCCAATTGCCTTAGAAGAAACGTGTGGCCTGCGTGTGGGGACTTGTTACTTGCGATTTCAGACTGGCTGTCGACTCCTAATGTGACGATATCGCAAGGCAGCTCCAGGAATAATTGGATCTTATACCACTGGAGAGCCCCGTGACCCTTAGCACACGCGGATCCAAGTCTCCTGGATTGATTAAAGTCGACAATGCCCTTTACAGGATGGAGTCGCAAGGCACTACCTGATACCTCCTAGCCATGCTTGGGGAGAGGAGCAGTGACGAGGCGAACAATGCCGAGGATATCGAGTTGGACTACTGCATCGATCACTTCATGGGATGGAGTACAATGAGCGCAGAGGACCGTCCATCGAGACCTTCTCTCAAGCTCGTAATAGCCCAGTTCCATCCACACGGATCAACCGTTGCAAGCAACTCCTTCAGTCACACCAATATTGGAGCCTCAGACCTCGACAACTCCTGTAACACTTGAAAGTCTCATCCCTATTCCGGTTGGCTTTGATGCTTCTGTATGTGTACAGCTTCGCTGCCTTAGGCTTACGATCTAGCTGACGCAAGTGATAGAGGAGTGGTCCAATGTCTGTCATACCTGAATTGGTTCCCTGTCGCGCTCTACCCCGGTGGTCTGGATCTGATCTCTGGTTCGTACAAAGAAGCCTTCGAGTTGTTGCAATTCGCAGACGGTATTTCCGAAGGTTCACAAGCGAAGTCCAGCCCATCATCTGTCATTCGCATAATGACTATTTTCGACAAGAACCTCTGTACCGAGCGATGCGAGTCGGCTGTACTAACGTCGAAGCCGATGTCTGGCTTTAAGGCGAAGAGCTCTACGTCGCACCCACCCTTTCTGGTGTTCGTCCCAATCGAACCCTCAAGAGTCTCGACCTAGATCCCGTTGCGGGATATTCTCAACCACCAAGATAAAGTGCCGACCTCGCTTGGATCCTTGGAAGGAGGCGTCAACGGTGTCTTTGCTGCCAGTCCAGAGCAACCTCTAGTGTTGCTGGTTGATTTCAAAAACAGTCCTGGGCTCGCTTGGCATCGGCTGTCGACCTACATCGCACCGTTTGGGGAGAGCAGTTTTCTAACTCATTTCAACGGAACCATGGTTTTGTCTGGACCTGTAACGGTCATCGTGTCAGGGAGCGCTTCGTTTCATCTTGTGGTCCACAGCTCGACCTACATAGACATCTTCTATGACGCTCCACTAGAGGAAATGTCCTCTTTCTTCACGGGACCATCACAGTCCTCTACATTCTCCACCACCTCAGATGGCCCTTCAGTGACAGAATGGGATCACGACAATCTCCATTCTCACCCGAAGAACCTAGTAGTCTACTCTCCGGCAAACTCATACTTCACCTCGGTGTCCTTCACCAAATCCATCTGATATCCAAGACACTCTTCCTTGTCACAAGCATAACCCAACCGTATTCGTCACCAGATCCGCGGCGCCCATTCTCATGGCCTGAGGGTCTCCTGAGGCATCCCTGCCTGGGCAATTGGCCTACGAAACTATCTCTGGCGCGTGTTGGTCCGGGAAGGTGTAGACTACTTGAGTATCGACGATATCGATGCCGCAAGCAAGGACAATTAGGGGATACGGAAGGGCAGATAGGGGAAAATTATTGCGGTGGAGGTAGATTCAGCATCGCGTGTCAAGACTGCTGGTACGTTAATGAACAAGCATCGAGAAGGCTTTGATAGACTTATTTTTATGATCTCGGCTTAACAAGTTTATTATGGCGAAACGAGAGTATTGTATTATAGCGACATGTCAACAGCATTGGCCTCTTCATGCTGAAATTCTTACCAGGCCATCCATGCAAGCCTGCCTTGGGATAGGCTGGGGTGGGAGGAGATGGGACAGACTGACAGCTCCAGAGAGGCATTAGGCCACCAAACGTTGCACGGCGTAAATTTACGAGGATATGAGACCTTCGCAAACGAGTCGATGGAAAACAAGTCGATCGCAGACTCGAAACGACTATTCTCGAGTTCGAACTTCGTAGACCATTAAAGGGCTCCTGACAAAAGCTCCTTTTACGCTCTTCGGAGCGCTGATAGCGAGGTTTTCATACCCCCTTACCTGTCACGACCGAGTCGCCTTAATGGGAGCAGGTTGTAGCATCGCAGCTGTTTCACTCTCCTGCCAATCGTTATCCCTTGATCATAGTTATCTTCGCGTTTGGCGTGCACATCACCAATATGCGTCCTTATCATATCAACCTCGCACGCATCACTGGATGCGGAAGAATAGCAGACATTTCCAGGTGTCTCCCCAGGCCTTGGTTGAAGGCATCCACCAAGGTAGGGGAAGGAATACAGAGGAACCATTACATCGCTGGATATCATGCCGTACGCGGCAACAACACCAGCTTTACCCTTCAAATGACTGGATCAGAAGACTGAATTTAACTCGTTGAAGTCGCAAAAGTTATCGATGCTGGTCTGCTTGAGCACCCTACTCCAGTGAAAGTGTATCATCTACCTCGGCGCAAACTAAGATTGTCCGCCGAGATTGGGGAACTCATTCGGGTACAAGAGGTCTAACACAAGCACCTCATCCAGGTATGGGAGCTTTGAGACTCAAGCTTGATTCGCGAGGGGAAACAACATGTTGGTCGACTGCATTGAGCTAGAGATTCCCTAGTTCGTGATAGAGAGTAAGCTATGATAAGCAGAAAAGATCCGTAAGTCTCAGAGCGCGCCTCCACCTGACAGGGTGTCTGACGAATCCAGCACCAGACGATGCGATTCTCGATTCCGAAGTTCTACGAGAGAGCAACATGACTCCATCTTTACAGCCGCTAGGACCACAGTTTTTCCCGCGACATATTCTACCGAAGACGACCTGGTGCGAGTCTTTAGAGCATTGCTGCAGAGACTGCATTTGGTAGACGAGAGGTCACTGTCAACGCTCGGCGGTGTTCAACGAACGCCGACGACGCCATGTCTCGCTTGGTGCAACAGAAGACGTTGACTCTGGCTATTCCTACATACCTTGTGCATATAGCACGAGCAATGTTTCAGTCTTTCATACGATTGGAGGATCAGACGGCGTGAATATGTCGGTGCTGCTGGTGACCGTTTCCTAAGACCGGAAGACGTGGCGTACAATCTGGAGAACAGACTAAATTAGGTAGAAAGACTGCTGCGGACAGTTCAGCCACGTACAATGGAGCAACTCTTCCGAAGATGGGCAAGAACGGCCACATGAGCAATCTACTTCTACCTCTTCTCAAGAAGTAAGTCCGCTTAGCCATGCTTGATACACCCCAGGCTATGTATAAATAATCGACTACGGTATTTTCTCCTTTTCCTTCTCCTTCTCCTTCTCCTTCTCCTTCATCGCCACCATTTTTTCCCCCACCCGCCCTTCCTGGGGCCCCAGTTGTCCCTTGTGACAGCATCGACATCGTCCACACTCAAATAATCTACACCTTCACGGACAAGCACGCGCCAGATGTAATTTCGCAAGCCGACGGGCCAGCCCGGAATGCCCCAGTACCGCACTTTTAGGCCGCGGCTGTGGGCGGCGTGAATCTGTCTGCGAAGGAGGTCGAGTTGAGATTGGGACAGAGTCGAATGCCAGGGATAGCCGATTGATCGAGCAAAAGAGACTGACGCGTAGTATGAATTAGCGGGAGAGTAAATCGCCGCGTTCTGTAGATGGTAAGGCGCGTCGATGAGGGAAGAGTCATCTGTGTCGGCGGTATCATGGGGTAAGGGTGCCGGTGGTCCTCTGCTACCCGATAACGAGGCTAGAATATCGAGTGGAGCGTCGTAGAAAACATCCCGGTAGGTTGAGCTTTGCACGATGCGACCAAAAGGAGCTATTCCGGAGGCGACAATAGTCAAAGGACCTTGAATGACTGTGGTGCCGTTGAAATGAGTCAGGTATTTTTTGTCCCGAAAGTAAGTGAGATGAGATTGCAGGCGGCGCCAGATGTGCTCAGGGTCGTTTTTAAAATCGATTAGTAAAACAAGAGTTTGCATCGGACGGGTGGCGAAGACGCCGTTGCGTGTCTCGTCCATCGGGCCGAGAAAGTTGGGGAGCTGGTTTTGACGGTTGAGGATGTCCGTTAAAGGATCGAGGTAAAGGTTTTTCAGGGTTCGATTTTGGCGGATCCCAGAGACGGTGTGCGCCACGTAAAGCTGGTCATCGAAGTACCAGACGTCAGCTTCGATTCCTGTACAGCCTACTCGGAGAGCTTGGCGAAGGGGTTCTCGTCGCCAGTAATCATTATGGGAATGGCACATCAGAGGTTGAACGTCTGTGGTGAGATCCTGTGACCATGCGGCAGGGCTTCCAGGTGTGATTAATACATCCCTGAAAGGTTTGGAAATCAGGTCAAAGTCATCTGGAAAGAGAGCGCTTAGGTTGCTAAGGACATAGGCGATGCATTGCAATATTCCTCTGAAGAATGTTAGTGAAAGTTGGGGTTATGAGGCTCACACTCACAGAAGCATGAAGGATAGTTTGAGTAGATTCACTACCTTCGACAAGGATCGTGGAGCAGGTCGCTTATGTTTTCTGGCTGACAACCACGATTGCCTTGAACCTCGTGTGTCACGAGCCCTATTTGAGGATTGAAACGTTGGTATCTTCAAAGACAGAGACGGCCGTTGAGCACGACTCTGACTCGGACCAGCATTGTCAGGGCTGCTTATACTTGACCCATGAGTTTGTACATATTGTCCCAGCTCAATGTCGTCGCCCGTGTCACATTCAGCCTCATTAATCGTGAATTTAACACGCCCAGGGTCCCGCACGGGTCTGTTGTCTCTCATGGGAAACATATCAACTGGACAAAGTCGGAGGTTGACACCTTTATGGGCCAGAATTTGGTGACCATTTGCCTGAGATGGGCTCTGATAGCAACGAACGCGAGCTGATAAAAGCGAATAAGGTATTGGGCAATTGGAGTTGAGAAGGCTGGCAATTCAAGCATCGCTACAATCACGTGGCTATCCATCCAATCAAATACGATTGACGACACGCCCGCCAAGAGAGTCCGCGTGTCGTTTTCGTAAGCCATAACGCAATCGTACACATTCTCCCATGCTACGGTAATTTGATCCAAGACTGTTAGCAGGAATAGGCACTAGTCGGGGCCAAATTAACGAGTCTGGCCTCGATAACTACGAAGTCTAATTCTACCTATTATATAGTAAAAACGAGCGAAACTTTCTCTTCCCTGTTGAGACAATTCTTCTCCTCGCATGACCCCTGTCATTGATCTTTGCATCGGTCCTTGAATTTACTTCTGGTGCACCAGTCAATCGCAGTACAGTAAGTTGTTACTCATGCTAGTGCTTGGACTAGATTGGGTCAGAAATCATGGCAGCGACTGGACGGTCTACACAAAACGCCCCACCAGGCAGGACATCTAAAGGGGCAAGCATCGATTACGCTCAAGGTCCGCGTCACGGTTCCCCACCTCCTGCCCTCTGATCCGTAGTGTCTTAGCTTGTTTTCCCTCATACCGTAGCAGAAGTTCATGGTGGCACCTTCCATCAGAGAATCTTGTGGTCAGGGGTTTCGAGAACATCCGTCGTCGTTACCACATCAAGCATGGCGGCTCCACTGCTCACCCACAATAAAAGTCCCCCCGACGCCAGCCTGGAATGAAGAGTATCTAGAGATTTTGAGCAGTAGACAAATTGTCCATAATTGACATCAATATGGGTCGGAGTAAGAAAAGCAAGCAGAGATTGAATCCAGAGGCTTTCAACCTCGCAAAAAAAGACCACGAAACCGGGTTGGTCGCCTTGCGTAAGTTGCCCTTTCGCTTGAGAAAGAGTTGGCTACTGAACGGAAAAAGCGCAGGAAGGGTCAAGCATTGAAGCCTTTCGACGAAAGGTTCACATGGATACTAGTGGAAACCCCATAAGTAAGCGTGGGGCTTGTACTGCACTCAATGATAGTCGTCTCATGCCTATATAGCTGACCCAGATCGTTCCAACCCTTCGCGGCCACGTTGTGAACGTCCACTTGAGACTGTTCGTGCGTTACAGGCCGCCGCAGAAGGCTCTGGCAATCGTCGTTCTGCTGCAGAGACACATGGTATGGTCTGTGGCGTCAGAAGTCGCCATGCTGACTTTGCTAGCTTCTCAATTAGACTGGGCTGGCATTACTGTCTGTCGGCCACGCTATCAATCCGGCAACCCCTTGAGAAATGTTTGTCCGAGGCCCTCTCCTTTACAACAACCACATCCTCTTCGCCAGACGTACTGGCAAACCTCTTTCGATGGGCCTAGCATTCGCCGTCCGGGCGATCAGGCATCTGACTCGGCTCCAGTATATCCAACAAACCAACGAGGACACATTAAGCCGTCTTCCAAATCAAAGAACTTCGAGATCGAAAATGCAAATGGGTGTCTAGCAGAGAGATATGAGCCAGTTCAAGCTGGGATGGGATAACTTGTTCCGTATTCTGAGCCACAGAGTCTTAAGCTCCAATTATTCGAATGTGCCATACATTGAATTTTCTTCGACACATCTTTGTCGTGCTTTTGTAACTCCAACCCCATTCCGTATTAATCCTGTCACGAGCTCAAGAGATAAATTCACCGTCTATGTTTTGACAGAAGTGGAATCTATCCTCCGCCATCCACGCTGTCTCGGGCAAGGCGGAGCTTAGAGGGAAAACGTCGATCGAGAACGTAGACCCTTCGAGACGGGGTTCAATCTTATCTCTGTTACGAGGGATTGGAGTAGCAACGAAACAGGATACGGAAGCAATAGGTCGTCAGCGCAAGAGGCTTTGACGGTAGTCAGCAACGAGCGAGGCATTACTCATGGCCGGTTCCTAGAGAACGGCCCAGATATAGAAGACGAACGAGAATCCCGCCGATTCGGCAGCATTCGCAGGTTCGGGTTGGAATAGGAGATGCAGGCTGACACAATCAGTCACATTGTTGACTGAAATTTGAGATCTTGTTCTGTATTCCAGACTCATTCCACCCCTGGGAGGACTTCTCGGAGTTTCATTGGTAGAAATATGACTCAGAAGCAGCTTGAATCGTAGTCACCTTGAACGTCAAATTAATTGGCTGAAAAAATGTCTCGGCATGCACGCTGAGAAGCAGGACTACGTAATGGTGGAATTTATGAGCAAGCGATTCGTGGTTCATATACCGTCAGCCTTTCACGAGGGCGCGGCTGGGAAGTTCTCTGGCGAGATAGTTGCACGGTTTTGTCACTCTCTCACCTATGAATCTTAGGGCTCCGAAATGAATAAATGAATATGAATATGGCCCATATTCATTGTTGAAGATCCCGGTGGCTGAAACGGTGTGACAGGGATTAGGAGCTTGTGTACGGAGTATATAAGATAGTCATCCCGCTTCCACAGGAAGACTAAGGATAATCTTAACAATCAACAATACTGTTGAAGCAAGTGATAGTATTGTTAGTTGTAAGGATTATCCTTTTCAGGCGGGATGACTCTCTTATATACACAAGTTCCCCTTCTGTCACACCGTTTCAGCCACCGGGATCTTCAACACGGAGCCCTACCTATGATGCTGAATACATGGTGATAATTATTCGGCGGGTTGCCAAATTCCAAAGTGATGTAGCTCCGTACGAGCAAGCGAATATCTCTGGATCAGTCACATACTCTTATGGTGTCTGTCCATTTCCTGGGCAGGCACGGACGATATTTGGTTCACGTTCGTCACGGTCCAATTGGAAATGATTTTTTCTCGAGCTTACTTCGGGGCTTCTTACCTTCTTGTTGATCCCTCAGGACCAATGTGCAGAACGTTTCAAGACGTCCCACAAGTATGTCATCGTTCTCGGGATCGATGGCATATATTCTGTTACGGATATGAGATTATGCTCGGACTAGAGACGTTGCTCATTCTTCATTATATTATTGTTCTTATCCTTCACACTCACGGCTATGTACCTGCCCATAACATCTATCTACCTGTTCGCAGCGGTGGACTGCTGAGAATGTATTAACAATGGTGACCGAGAAATGGCTAATCCTCTCGTTGTCATTCCACATCTGAAGGTGTCTGGACCGAATCTTCAACACATTCAAGCCAAGTTGGAAAGTATATAGTAGCTCGACCAAATTCTACCATAGCAAAGCTATTGTCAACCGGCCATGAATACTCCACCGTAAGAACCAGACTTCGCAGTCTGTCTTTGGGCGTGAACAACAAAGCGTTCTCGCCACTATGACTGCGAACCCACCTGATCGGATGACAGTGATACCCGCCTCGATCTACGCTTTTTCGCTGTGACCACAGGCGATAGGGCATCTGTTCTCCATGAGGCCGACGTGATAGTGCGTGAGTCGAGGGAAGGACACTGACCCTCGTCTACAACGCATGGTGTTGCCGATAAACAGGTCAAGGACTGCCAATCTGCACCTTACTAACTCGAACGACCCAGAATGGAGGGTATACAGAAATTTTCCAGGCAGGTGACACGCCATGCAGGGAGCCAACAACGAACGTCTTCCTGACAAGATTTGCCGCTTGTCTGACCTTTGACAACTGCCTTCGGCTTCGCTGATGGAAGGTCGAGCTCTGAAAGCCTTCCCTCGAGGCTGCATGTTCGCTTTCCATCTCCCTTTGCCGCCGAACCCGAGGGTGTTAGTGAGCAACTGGGGCGACTGTGCGGCAAAAAAGGCACTGACAAATTGATGCAGACACATCATGAATCTCGTCGCCAACCCACTGTCTCGTTCAAGAACGAGGGCAGGGTCACCGGACTGGCACTCCGACCGCTCATCCGCAAAGAGAACCCGCACGCCTTCAGAAACATCAGACAACGCTGCAAACGTTGAAAACGTGGCTGTGAAGCATTCTACCGAGCGACGACTTCGATGTGAAAGACAAAATGAGTCTGCCACCATCGAAACGGTCTCAGTCGCGAGATTCGTTAGGTCGCCGACTTTCACAATACAGTGGCGGCACGGCATCCACGGCTTTAGGAGACAAAAAATAACTGGGTCTGTAAATTCTAGAACTGCCCGGTGGTATTGGAGATGACGAGCAGTTGTATGCGGTCATTCGATGGTGGCTTCGCGGAGGAAGGCGAGATATTGTGCCAGAAACTTCTCTACACCGCCAACCCCGACCGGAGAATTCATTGTTTGATGAGCGGTTCGAAAGATTCTAGCCTCTCTTATGAGTCTCCCTGGACCTGCATTACCTTGTCGTTCCATGAAAAGAGAGTCTGTACATTAGTTATTGAGAAGAGTCTGGAGTTCTGATTGAAGGTCACAATTAACCTGAGTAAAAGAAATTTCGTTCTATGGACCCCGACCGCAGTCACTCCATATACTAGAGAGCTATCCGTAGTGAGACGTCTTGGCAGGCATTGGCTAGTAAAACCATTTCATAATATCAGAAATTGTCTCCCTATCAAAGACTTGATCTGCAAGTCCGATCCAGTACAAGCTTTTCTGACCACTACTGGGTTGTCTTGAAGAAGCTCAGGCAAGTAACAGCCTGATACCTTGATTGTAACAGTGCCATACCCATGCGGATTGTGGTACCGGGGGTTTCTCGCATACCTGGTCAGTCGATGATGGATCCAGCGTCCATACTTCCTCTCTTAACGTTATAAGACACCTTTCCACATTCTTCATGCATTGCCGTTTGAAGACTGCTTCGAGGAACATCACAACAAATTCCTTCGTACTGTTGTCGACACCGCCATGGCTCTCGCAGCCCAAGACCCATAACGGCCATAGCGATATCGTTACAACACTGTGATTGGCGGAAAGTTGACGCAGAGAGCTGAAGAGGCGATCGCAGAGCGTTGTGACCTGTGGCGACTCGCGCTCATGGTCTGTTGCACGTAATAGAAATATTTGAGTCGCGAGACCGTGGCAGATAGCCGCTGCTATACAGGCATTATGCCCCTCGACCATGGTAGCTTTGCTGACTCCGATCAAGCCTTGGATTGGCGTGTCAATACTGGCCTCTTTAGGTTCTGGCAAATCTGCCATCGCCTGGTCGAGCTGCTGATGTAGATAGCTTCCCATCTGAGTAAATTCTTCCTCCGAGATTATTTGCGTATACAAACTGTGAACGGCAGTCGTGCAGTCACCCAGCAAGGAAAGTACTTGGGCACAGTAACCCAGGTCATTATTGGGTTGCAATTTTCGAGCATTCTCTCGAGACGTCTTGATTGCTCCTTCAAGCCAGTATCTCTTGTCCAGTATGGGGGGTCTCGCGCATGGCACACAAGACATAATGTCTGCCCAAGCCAAAAACGACACCGAAGATTGAAATAAAGGACTGTCCAGTTTGTAGTGTGGTTCTGAACGAGCTGGATGGGGGCGTGGGCATGGGCACTCGAAATATTTGTGGCGCTCAGCCACTAAGGAATATGTTCCCTGAAGGAGAAACTGCACTCGAACAGCACTATAACAATTGTCGGGCCGGATGATTTCATCGTCGATCAACAGCAAAGAACCAACAATCGCATCATCGTCGAGAGATGAGAATGGCATGTGGAGACTGTGGATTGGCATTCTATTGCTGAAGAGCATGCTTGACTCCGCGACCAATTTCTTCAGTGAGCACCGCATCGCCGTGAACGCTTGTTGTTGCAAGAGGACAAAGGTCGATTCAGGTACTCTTCCCAGAGTTAACAGGTGGGCGGCCGAGTTTGATAACATTGCCCGCAAGGTGAGAGACTCATCCTTGGACGTAAGATCATCATACATCTGCCCAAGATAATATGTAGCGGCTGGGTCCAAGGAGACCAGCTGGAGGGTCATCATCATCCAGTGCTCGACAAGGGCTCGATCAAGAGCGTCCAGGGGAGTTACCGTAGACAGAAGTTTCAAGTTTTGCAGCCGTGTTGAGACATATCCCGTTTTGATTTCAGCTTGTTGCTTTTGAACCACTAGATCCGACCTTTGCTTTCGGGTGGCAGCTATCGTCGGCAGTGCCTCTCCAACCCATCGTAGCTTTCTGACGTACCCTTTGCAAACTACTCCACGATTCATACACCGGCGACACTTTGGTTTTAATTCGTCACATTTGGTGCGGATAGCTCGACAGTTCATGCATCCTTTAATCGAGTCAACACTCAAGGCCAAGTCTGCTCAGTGTGCGGGAGAATTAATTACCTGTTCTGGAGCGTCGGTGATTGGTCTCCATTGGACCTCGGAACTCATCGTTCAGATAGGTCCAGACCACCTCCAGCCATGGAGCTGATAGGATAAGATTGATAGGAATGATTCGCGATGGGTCTGAACATTAAATACCTATTAGGGCTGAAGAAAATATCGCTCGGCTCTCTCTACCTTCAAATCTAGTGAACCCGCATATCTGGTCCAGCTTCTGTTTATTTCTTTACGTATTTGGCGGATACGAAGCTAGTAGTGTACTTGGCATTGTCTTGGCGTTAACTTGGCAAACTATTCTATTAGTTCCAAGTTGCGGCATTCTTGTTTTGGAGCAGCTGCCTGATCATTTCCTCATTATATGCTGAGTGCTGAGCGCGACATGTCGAAGATCTACAACTGCTGAGAAAAGGAGCTAGACCTTAACATCTCTACTACATATGTCTACGAGACCACTCTCCACCTGATTACGACCATAGAGAATGACTATCGCACCTCCGAATAAAGCCAGCAAATGGCCGCTTAATTGTACTGAATTGTCTAGCAGAGCGGACAATGGCCGACACTCCTTACCCGGAACCAGGATTACCTCGAGATACGAGTAACGATACCAGGGAAGCCCCTCCCTTACCTGACATGCATTGCCAGAATTGCGGCACTATCAAAACTTCTATGTGGCTGTCGAGACCAACGATGGTATCATCAGATTTGCAACGCTTGCGGCTTATGGTACAAATTCCATAAATCGCCTCGGCCCCCGCAGATGAGAAAAGAGACAGTTCGAAAACGGAGGCGTGCGGTCCTTACTAACCATGATTGTCTTGAAGTCGGTCTTCCCTCAGCGGCACGACGTGACCACAATCAAAAGCCCAACCCAGCATTGGCCAATGCCGAGAGGAGAAGTTGCACCACGATCACGGCTCCCGTAACCCTTACACAAGAGAACATCGCTAGCGATCGATCTATCGATCTTCCAGGCCCGCGGATGATTCGACCACGGTTTGCCGCTGCAGTCGAAGACAAAGAACCTGAACAAAAGGCTGGCGCGATTCATCAACACAGTGATAATGGAGAGAATATAAGTGCGAAAGGGTCTAGTCGACAAGACACATTAAAAGGTAGAGACTACGTGCGGTGGAAATCTAGACGGCGAGCTCAATTATTCTATGAAGCCGAGGTTTTGCGACCAGCCCTTCTGGAAAAGGAACGTGAGATTGAAGAAATTACAGAATAGTTTGGAGACCAGGACACGCGAACAGAGCGCATGGTAAAACTAGATTCCTGGTCACTGGCTGTAAATTGCGCCGATGTGACGCCTCAGAGGTATCGGTTGGCGCCGCCGAACTCTTGACCTTAGTAGCGGTCTCAGTTTAGAAGCTGTAAAGGCAAGCACACTCTCATGTAACATCTCCTTCTCTTTCTCCGGTCTTCGTTTGTAGCATCAATATCCGCTTCCTTTTGTCTTTAGGAGGGTCGATACCGCTAGTCTGGCTTTCCGGTTTTGGTAACGCTCACCTATTGATGGAGAGACAGCAGCTTCAAATGCTTATCAGTCCACACAAATTAACCTTTGCTATTGCCCCTATAGATGCCTATATGTAAGGCTGTCCTAACCTCTAGAGAGTGCTCTCGTCAGGGGCCTTGAATCGAATCCTCAAGGAACCGAATCATTTTTATATAACCGAATTAAGCGATCGAGTCATAGCAATGCTTGTTGTGCCGCAGACCGTCATGATCTTGTCCTACCTCGACGACAATGCAGAATCCGAGTACACACATATTCGCCGTAGTGTATCTACTCTCTCAGCCCGACGAACTTTTTGCTTCGACTTGTTAAGACCCACCGCCATCCGCCCTTGATTGAGCCCCTTTCCACACAAGGCTACAGTAGAGCGTAAGTGGGATGTTGGTCCTATTTGCGGGTCACTCAAGTCATAGATTCGCCTGAAAATTGTGGTACGGAAGGACAAGCTCATCGGATCCACCTGTCTGCACGCGGTGAGTTGCCCCATAGTTGTCCATTTCGTAGTTGTGATCGCCTCTCCGCTCGCCATCTTCGATTCTTCGATGTCAGAGTCGTTAACCGAGCTGAAGAAGGGATTTCGGCGTCTTCGTGGCCCCCAGGTAAGCGAACCGTAACCGCGACGGATTGGAAGATGGTAGAATCGGAACAAGGAGCGCAAGAGGGATAGCCATCTCGGCAAATGGTCACGCGAGAGAGGTATCAACGTCGAGGTTTCAGGCTCTTAAAGCTGTTGGCCGGGGAAAAACTTCTCGTTTGAAGCTTTGGTAAAGGGAATAATTTTCGCTGTAGACACTGTGCAATGGACTGAAAGCAAAGCTCGGCCGAGCTCAGGGGCGGAAAATGGTCAGAGCGAGCAATCTTGAAGGCGCTAAGGATTAACCAATCAATTGGGTAATGCAGGGGCTGGGAGGAGGAAGAAGCATCACGGGTAGAAAGGCTTGTTCTTTCTAGAGCCCTGGGGCCACGCAATCCTCACTCTTGGCGTCTGCAAGCCTACCGTGTCACTGCGAAGAGCTCATTTGGCTTACAGCCTCTGCTGGAGCCCCGGAAACTTCTGGGCACCAACAAAACTGTGCTATTATGCCCTTGTCGGCCCAAGGGCTCCAATTGTTGCATCTCATGATAGATCGTCCACATCGCTCTCTGCCACTATTCCTTAGTTGCGCTCAACCAGCCAACAATACCATACTCAGTCCCAAATTCTTCGTTCCGGTGCGATAGCTGTACCAGCAATCGAACATTCCTGACGGCTCCTCTGTTTTGTACTGACTACGGGGTATGTAGAGCAAGAAAAAAGACTTTACTGTAAACGGCAGTGAACAATGCACTAGCGTATATTGAGGTTAGCCCGTGAGTTCCTATGCCTCTTCACCACTTCGTTCGGAGTGAGCTCTTTATCTGCGACAACGCCTTAGTGCCACGAGGCCAAGGCGTTGCACGTCCCCAGAGTGGCTCAGCTCGATCAAGCAGATCCCGGACTATGTACCTAGATGACGCGGCTATGCCCTCTGTCTTGCAAGCCGCCTGAGCTGCTTAAGTCACTAAGTCTGCCTTTAGGAAGGAGAAGCCGACAGAGAGGAGGCTCAACCTGCATTCGAGGTAGATTCGTTGCTACATGCATGCATCACTTTTTTTCGATTGTGAAGTTTTTATCCTTCGATGAGGAGGAGTAGACGCACATCCCATCAAACCCTTGTGAAGATATGGCCACACCTCGAAGCGGTCAGATTGAACCAAAGACGGCGGTGACGGTTTATACCGTCCCATTCCGGACAAATCCGTTCTTCATTCCTCGTCCGGGTATATCTGCGCAGATTCATGGTGCAGTATCTCAAACAGGCTGCGTCGTCCTGTATGGGCCGAGCGGCATGGGGTAAAGTACTCCATATAGACATAGAGCCATCTCATATAACAAGGAATGCAGGAAATCGCAGATTGTGGTCGAGTACGCCCACCAGTTTCGACATCGTTTTGTCCAGGCAAACGTGCTCTGGATACATGCGAATAATCCGAATCAGATATGCCGGACCTACGAGCTCATTGCACACAAGCTCAAAATGCCCCCGTTTAGAGCCTCCCGTATGAGTGTCTCGCAAGTATTAGACAGCTGGTATAGCCGTGACGGTACAGCCTCAAACGGAGAGCCGTGGCTTATGATCTGGGATGACATGAGTGAACCGGAGGCTGCTGAAGAAGACCTGCCAAGTGAGGCTGACCCGACGAGAAGGTTGGCGCAAGAGTTGGAAACCCTTCAGAAGCTCGTCGCTACCATACGCAGCCGACACGGCGTGCTAATGGTCACGACCCAGAGTCAGAGTGCCGTGGCTGCTTTTTCAAAAAATATTCCGGTAGTGGAAGTATGTTCCTTTCAACGAGATGAGTCCTTGAGACTTGTTCGCCACCGACGACCAGATGTTTTGGACGGTCCACGGTCGGCAGGACTCATTGATTCACTACTGAGTTCTCTCGAGGATGTCCCACTCGCCATCACTCATACGATAGGAGCTTTTCAAAAGCTCAGTGGACAGCAGGTGAGTGATTTAGCCTATATCATCTTACAGGAGGAGGTCTGCGATAACGAGGATATCAGTACGGAGCTTCGAATCATCGGCCGTACGCTCCCTTGGCCGAGGTCGGCGTTCAGAGCCTGGAACGTGGTTTTCCAGCTGAGTTTGCGCCGCGAACGCCAGACTCTAGATCTGTTGTCAACGATGTCATTTTTGGATGCCCAGCACATCCCTATATCCTTCCTCACCTTCTGCTCACGTCCTATGACCAATATTATCTCGTCCGTGGCCATCCTGTTGCAATATTCAGTGGTGGTAGTGGAAGACGAGATCGGCTTCCTATCTATGCAACCATTGATTCAAGCTTTTGTGCGAGCGTGGCTCAAGCAAAGTGATACTTACCACACGATTGCTCAAAAAACCCTTTGTTCGATGTTATCAGCCATTAGCGCAGATAACTTTGGAGACCTTAACGCATCAAAGCAATTCATCCCTCACGCAAAGACGATACTACAACACAATCTAAAATTCGAGAAAAATACGGATTGCGCTGATCTCATGCATCAAATCGCGTGGTTTGAATGGCAACTAGGTCATTTTGAAGAAGCATACAAATTCGCACAAGGTTCTCTTGATGCCAGAAGAGCTCTACTGGGTGACGAGTCAGAATCGACATTAATCTCATTTAATTTAGTAGCCTTACTGCTGAGATGTCTAGGCCGACATGATGCAGCATATGAGATCAACAGACAAAACTTGTCAGCTTACGATCGAATCCTTGGCTCGGATCATCCGAGTACTCTTATGAGCAGAAACAATCTATCCCTAGTGCTGCGCGCTCAAGGAAAAGAAGAGGAGGCGGAATGCGTCAGTAGAGAAACTCTGCAGCTCTGTGAGCGTGTCCTCGGCGCATCTCACATGTGTACGTCAACGGCAGTAGCCAATATGGCTCTGGTTCTTGCTGATCAAGGGAAGCTTAATGAAGCGGAAGAGATGTCGCGCAGAGCTTTGGCGATACGGGAAAAGGCATTGAATCCTGAGCATCAATCCACACTGACAAGCTATTACTGCTTAGCCCACGTGCTTCACCGTAGAAAACAATACTCTGAAGCATCCTTGCTTTACCAAAAGGCTTACCACGGCTTCCTGCTTACACTTGGCATTTCACATTCGCTCACCTTAGCGTGTGAAGCTGGAATGGAGACGCTGAAAGAAGAGGTCTTGTCAGTCTCGGAACGAGACCATCCGCGAAACAGCCGGCAACATTGACGCCGCGGGAAGTCAAGAGCAGACGTTGGCTGAAAGTCACTCATCCTCAGCCGATTGCCACGGGTTCTCAACGCTGTGCTATTTCCACCTCAGTCTATAATAGCATAGAGCTCTCTAAATCTGATCTGGATACCGGACGTCGAGGACTCTTGTCATGAGAGAACGTGAAACTCCAACCAGTCTAGGTTCGCACTGAGTTGATAGCTCAGCATAAAGATTCTTCTGCCCTCAGTTAGGAAAGATAGGAAATCATCCGGACTGCGAATAGCTCTGGACCGATCAATTGAACATACTACTAGGACGGTATCAAAGTTGCAGAAGAGATATGAATAGACCGAAAGCGTACCACGAAGGAATATCAAGGCGGAGGCGGCTAGGTAGCCAAATTTAGTTACTGCCGTTGCAGGTTGAAAGTACTCCTTCGAAATCTTAAGCTGCATTTATTGTGGCAGCCGCACCAAGCACAGATCTAGGTGAAGAATACTAGGAGTCATTTTTGGTCTGCCCGATAAAGCCAACTGACCTGGAAGGAAGACTCTTGGCCCTCCTGGAACCGGTGCCGTAAATGACCTTCAGCTCGCGGCCCCGTAGTCCAAACTTCACATATGCTTTCCTCTTGACTCTAGACTAAGGAGCAAAGTTATAGAAGTAGTGCTACAGGGCTTGAGAACTTGCTACTATTAGAATTATCAAGGCGATAATGACGGTCACTCCAGTCCCTTGGAGGTCTTTCGCGGAAAGCCTTCTACTATCGCTACTGACCCCTTCGTTAATTACTGTACTCGATAGTACATAGTAAGACGGTCCCCAGGTACCTGTAGAATCATTATATTCCGCCATTAAGTCACAATAAAAGCGGTACGGCGAAGGTGGAGTCGCATGTTTACCGACCAGTTTCATTTCAGCTTTACACAGGTAATTTTACACGAGTTCTCGTAAGCTGCTGTTAAAGGACCAGGCTTTTACTGTAGCCATTGCCGTCAGCGTTGCAAGCTTTGGTAACAGAAACGGAGCTTGGTAAAAGCTGTCGGTGGAATTGAGAGCGCTGCATAGGGGAGCGGTAGTGCCCGATCCGACCGGATTGGGACGGGCCTCGATTCGGGTCCCCCAGTATCCCAAATGGATCCCTAGTCTAAAGTTGGCCAATCACAAGACTAAGGCTCCGAGAGAAATCCGGAAGCAGAAGGTGTCACGAGAGAGAGAGGAAGGATAGGTTCTTATGCTAATATTTACCTATGTCGCATCCTAACCATTTTCAGGCATAACTAGTTAACTTGTGTTCTCATATATCTGGAACTCCGTTCAGTCAAGCCGTAGGGTGATTTAATATCGGTTTCATAATAGTCAGGCAAAAAAGTAATCTCTCTGTTCACTTTCCTGATCGAAGCCACCCAATTGCTTTGACAATTTTCATTGCATTCAAACAGCATACGCGGCCAATCAGGAAGGACCACAGTCGGTGGGTTTTAAGCATTCTCGCTTCGTCTCCGTTGCATCCCTCCCGGCCGAACATTACTGTCGGTTTCTCGGTCCTTGATGCCCTGAAACATCCACAACATGAGCAGATCGTATGAAGCCTTCATCGCTCCCGCTCCCCCCAGCATCGCAATCCACAATCTCTCGCCGGCCAACACGCCCGACACTCCGATGCCGCCTGCCTGGGCTAGCGTCTTGGCAATGTTCACAACGCCCAACAATGCCGTCCGTTCCGCCGGCAGGACCGCCGAGGACAAGAACGCCTGCCGGGGCGCTTGATCCATGCTCTGCGTGCAGGCCCTGAAGCTGAGAAATGCCATGCCCAACCAGGTCCCCGTTGTCGTGGCGGGAGGGAAAGGAACCAGGCTAAGGAAGACGGCGGAGGGGAGATGGGTAAAGATCATCGTTTTCAGCGGACCAAGGCGCCGCGCCAGAGGGAGGGCGGCGAGGTTGGACAACGTGGCGAGGAGATTGGTGACGAGGAACAAGGTGCCCAGCGTCGAGCTCTGGAGGGAATGGACCGTGGTGAAAAAGTAGGTGAGCCAGGAGGGAGAGGCGAGGCCGGAGGCGAACGAGTCGAGGAAGAAAAGGACGAGAATGCGCACGAGGATCAGTCGAGAAGTTGGAGAGATCTCCGGCAGGAGGGAACGGAGGCGACTCAGTAGAGTTGGGGTTGTCGGCGATGGAGACGCTGATGCGTGGGCAGTCGTGTGCTTACTCGAACGTGGTTCAGGCGTGTCTTCATCAGAGCTGCCGGAGAGTAAGCCCTCGTCCTCCAGCTCGATTGGAACTTCCTGGTAAACTGGTTTCGGTCGCTCGAGCTCGACAGCGTTGCTAAGCATTAAAGTGAGGATAAGCTTCGCCAAGCCCAGGAGGGCGTACACCCCAAACACGACTCTATATGGGCCAGCCGCAGTCCACGATTCCCGTCCTTGCAGAATCTGCACCAGGAAACCACAGCTCACAGTCCCCAAGGCAGCGCCCAAGGTACCAAATAGCGTATACCAGGCAAAAATGTCACTTCGCTGGTCCTTCTCTGTGAGTTGGGCGATGATGGACTCTTCCACGGCCTTGAAAGGTCCAATCTCATTGCCACTGCACCCGATCAGTCCCTGGGTACACTAGACGGTGATGATATTCATACCTCGGACTAATCACGCCCACAACACTCGCCAGTAAAAGAAACCAGAAGTTCGAGCAGAGTGCAAACACGGCACCACTCATGATCATCAGCGCGGCTCCAGCAGCCAGAACCCGTCGGCGTCCCACCTGATCGGTGATCAAGGTCAAGAGGAAGCTAATTACGACGTCCCCGAGCAACGTCAAGGTCATGAACAAGCCAATACGTGCATCAGTGAAGCCGACGGTGGAGAGATAGTGCACAAGAATAAGAAATGAGGCGCCGTAGGCGAAGAGCCTCACGCTGCGGGCGAGACATAATAGTTTAGTGTCGCGCGACGAGTGAAGAATTGCGGATAGACCGCTCTCATGGGAAAGCTTGGAAAGGACAGCTTTTGCGGCGGGCATTGCGACCGCAAAGGAAAGGTCCGCAGAGCCTCGAGCGCCAAATGTTCTTTTTCCTGCTTGGATGTTCAACGATTCACAAGCCCGTTTCCATAGAGGGACACAGAGGATAGAAGAAATGGGCAGACGTGCAGGAGCCCCTCATCCTTCGGCCGAAGACAAGGAGTGTCTATTGCCCGAGAGCGAAGATCGACGGTCGGGCTTGGCTCGACCGAAAATAGGCATAAGAAAATGCCTGGCCTCCTGTATCGATGGGTTTCCCTTATCCTAATGCTGATTGAGGGCAGAATGGCCCCATGGATCATGGATTTACCTATGCCATTGTTTTCCTCGTGGCATTTCCATGGTCACACGATGGCTCCCTTGAGGGCCACGCAAGCCAAAGTGTGCCAAGGCACTAGCAGTACTTTAACGCAGAGCTAGTCCTCAGTGCAAACCTTATTCTACCGGCCGTCACGTCACGATCTCCACAAAGAGGCTTGGGCACTAAAGCTTGGGAGGCTTTGGAGGATGGTTGCTTCCGGCTCCACTCGACTTGTGCGGGGGGAGGCAAAGATGATTGCCACTAGCTGAATACGAAGCAACACCTTTTCTTACCACCCCGCACGCGAATAACCTCAATGTATCTCGAGGATAACAGAGCATCATGGAACAATCTTTAATCGACAAAGGCATCGTATCGATCGCTTCCTCACAAGGTATTAGGTGTGCCACCTCGCAACGTTAGACTTGACTGAGAAGATGGCGATGCCAGGGACAGTTGGCAATTCTGATGCTCGTGCGCGTTGCTGAGCCTTTGGCTGCATAATCAATACAAGTTTGACATCTCCCTCCGCTGATCAAGGCCGAACTAATACTCGCCACTTGAAAGTCTTACATGTTTTTTCAGCTCCGACGCTTCGACCCGTCTGCAAGCCCTGCGACCATCTCTGCTCAAGCAGGTCTCATCCTCAGCTCCAAAACCGCTGCGCATGTAAGTACAGGACTGTTCTGGGGGAGGTTTGCAGACTCGGAATATGGAAGCAGAAAGTTGGTACTCGTTGTCGGACTGGTGTCTTCAGGTGTAGCAATGCTGGGATATGGCTTTTCAGAATCGATACAGGCTGCTGTGGCCTGGCAGGTCCTGGACGGTATCTTGAATAGCTCGATATCGATGATCCGATGCTTGACCGCCGAACTCTACCCTGAGAAAAGGTGATCTTTCACTCTTCCAGAGCCAACCATCTTACTAATGTAGTATCCAGGTATCGCGTCCGCGCCCTGACTCTCCTTCCTCTATGTGCCTCCGCCGGTATGTTTGCCGGCCCGCTCCAGGGAGGCTTTCTGTCGTCCCCAGGCGCCGGAAACGACGGGGACGGCCGGGCGAAACAATATCCTTATGGTGCACCAAATATTGTCGTCGCAGCTTATAGTTTCGTCCTGGCAGCATTAGTATCCCTCGGGCTGGAGCACAGTCGCGAAAATATACAGAGCAGCGGACGATCCATCTTTAGTCGCTTCTGCAATGCAAGACAGATGCAGCCTTCACACCATCGGAATCAGAGCAAAGATGCAACTGCGACGTGCGCCGAAAACGCGCCCTTGCTGCATGATCGACTGACACCCCAGCACCAGTCGGCTCTCGACCCCCCGAGTATCTGGAATGATACGTCCCCGGAAACCATTCAAACGCGTCCACGGCGACCCCTGTTTCGGCAGATATGGACCCCGAACGTTATGAGCACGATGCTTGCCCATTTCATAATATCGGGGCATCTGGGCACATTCTCGAGTCTCTGGGCCATCTTCCTCAGCACCCCGCCCGACCCAGACCATGGCGGGCGCTTCTGGTCTGGGTCGGGCGGTCTCGGTATGGATTCACGTGGGGTGGGGGTCATTGTGACCTTGCTTGGGGCACTCAGCGTGCTGTCGCAGATCATCGTGTACCCAGGCTTGCATGACAGATTCGGCACGGTCAGCGTGTGGCGAGCAGCCCTCTATTTCTTCCCGGCGACCTATTTCCTTGCGCCGTTCAGCGCATTGTTGGCGTCGGACCGGGCGACCGTGGCTGACCGGGCCCTGCTGTACATTGCAGTTCTGGGTATGCTACTGCTCTTCAACGCAGGTCGGACCGGAGTCGCCCCAGCCACGTCACTGCTGATCAATGACTGCACGCCTCACCCCAGCGTGCGGGCTACGATCCACACGATGGGGACAATTGTCGGGAACTTGGGCCGGTCGGTGTTTCCCGCTATTATCCTCCCGGTCTACGGCCTTGGTCTTGCAGTTGGAGCGGCCGGTCTCGGGTTTTGGGCTCTGGCTGCTCTGGCAGTGGTGGCATGTCTAGTCAGCGGTCGCGTTGTAGAAGGTGCTAACGGAAAAGACGTATCGCTCCAAGAATGAAAAGAGCGAAAACCGGGGCCAAGGGAAGGCTCTGGGTGCTAATTGTTGGCTGCTCGGTCACGTGCCTGCCAAATCACATGCTAGTTGAATCTTGGCATCTCCTTGTCACCCACTGCCTCATAGCACTTGCCATGTTTTTATTTTACATTGCATCCTTCATAGATCATAGAGAATGATATCTTATCAAGCCTGTCAGTTCATCATTTCTCTCTCTAAGCGCTCCACTTTGAGATCCAATTTTGATCCCCATTACTTCCGCCTTTGTCCCTCACGGTTAATGGAACCAGGATAAGAGCCAACGCGGAAACCGTAAGGCCGATGCCGACCACATCAAGTCAATGAAAGGTGTTGGCCAGTCGCTGGCGGAAAAGAGGCGTGCCGCCTTTGTTGTGGTGATAGTTCCACGCTGCCATGCAACCCAGCCTTGTACAGGCTAGTGAGTAAGGGCAGAGCAGATACGGCGTAGATGATACAACGCCCCAGCGCCAACCGCTCTTGTTCATCACGGTCGAGGCGACATCGCCGCTCACCCAAGTGTTCACAGGAGAGGGAATTGTGGGCGCGTAGCTGAAGAGGAGACGCGAACGCATGGAAGTGATGTCGGCAATCATGACTTCTACGACCAACACAAGTGGCTGTGTAGCCAAGCTGGTAAAGAATGGCGCCGACAGTGAACCAAGTCACCGACGTCGACATGGCTTGGATGGCCGTGCCTATAGGGTACACAACCACCGACATGGTTTTGAGTTCGAAGGGTTCGACCACATCTGCGGCTTTGCCAGCGTGGGATATGCCGCAGCGGCAATCACACGTCGGAGGCAGCGTAAGACTGGTAGGTCATTCTGAGCAGGCCATCCAATCCATAAGACCATCCGGTTACCAGGGTCCCTATAAGCACAAGGACACCGTCGGTGTGATTAATGCGGACAGCCAGTCTGGGGTTCCGGGGGTTTGAGGTGGAAACGCCCCATCGGTCCCCACGTTGTCAGCCTCGGGTTCAGGGATTAATGGTGAGGCCTCGTCGCCATAATATCTCGGACAAATCACTGTCAGGTACGTATCAGACACCACTCGCAAATGGGATCATGAGCCAACAAAGAATAGATGTTTTCTCAAATCATATCAGTCGTCGTTACGTCGGACAGAAGTCACTCGCCCGATCCTTAGTGCAGCCTCTAGGCGCCGTCGGTCGGATCCAGGCCAGCGAATCGTGACCAGTAAAATCCATTGTTGAAACGTAATTACCAAGCGACATCTCCTGGTCGACAATATTTCTTGACCACCACCTTCAAGGTTGGTTCAAACTATCTATTCTCATTTTCCTGGCAGATGATACACTTACTACATTGTCACAAGGCTCAATCCTACATATATGTTCACTGGTGGCAATGTGACAGTGTTGGCTTGCCAGAATGCCCCCCTGGTTCAACCCTTGCACTAGAAGCACTTGAAAGCTTCTGTAACGTGGCACTTATGCAGAAGGAATCCATGCGTGCTCTCTGCATTGTGTACCGAGAACAAATGGTTAACCTTCCCATATTTTCGCTGCTGACACCTCAATCGGACACGAGACTCTCTCCTAACAAAAAATTTCGCTCCTTAGTGGCTAAATGTGATACTGTGCTCTCAGAAAGGCTGTGGAAAGCGAATTCTCGAGGCCACAGATGCTCAAATCCTAGTTCATAAAAATTACGAAATGCTAACTCTGCGTGGTCATTCGTGATTGGTTCAGAATATACATGGAAGGCCGACTCGTGGCGATTAGTGCATTGTAGAACACTTCTACTGATCGAACGACTCTTGGTGGTTAAATGATGCACGAAAACCGGCGGTCGGTGGTCAGCGGTCGTGAGATCGGTCGTGATCGTTAGTGGTAAATATTCTGAAAAGTGTGCTGCGGCTTCTTGGTATCCGCATCGCCTTGTTTCGGCGGCGGCAATATCACAATTTGTTCATTAATCCCACTGACAATACTGTCCTGTACTACGCGACAGCTCTACACGTCGAAGGCGGCGCCCATGGTCGACTACGCGCCGCCTGTAGTGGTGGCGCGTGCCATCGAGGTCACCACATGATTCAAGACTAGATCACTGGTCGAGCTCGAGTCTGTAGCAGCACTAGAGACTATCCATAATCGCCGAGCGAATTAGTTCCACTGATTCTGGGTCGTCCTGCTTACCTTACCCGCAACTCCTCCGCTTTGGAGGGTAAGAGAGCGAGTAGCGAAAGCAGTGGCGCTTAGTGTGTCCCTGCAGACAGCCGGAAAGCTGATCGTTGAGCTAAGCGAGGAACAGTTCGAGCGCATTGAGCCATCCTGTATGGAGTATGTCGTTATGGAAACCTCGACGTGAGGGTTTCCGGACGACAGTTTTGGTCAAATCCACGGACCTAGAGGCGTCTTTACAGTAGCGTCCAGCCGAAACGGAAGGGTTGGGATCGGCGTTCCATCCTTTGGGTACTCACCCACATGGTCACCAAGACACCCAAATCAAATACCTGTGTGAAGGTGCCGCGTGGTGGGATCAGTACGGGCACGATCTACGATCCCCTTTTGCCGAAGGCCAATGGCCAATTGAACCGCGACCCTGAAGTAGAGAATGGAACGAGTCCATACTCGACCTCAGCCCTAGGATAGCTTCTCGAGCAAGGGATGTGTCCGATGGTCTGGCGTGACGGGTCAGTGACCGTCGCAGATCTGACTTTCCTTCCTGCCTTCCCGCTCGGCTTGAACGGTAGGCCATCGAATGCCACCAAATGTAACGGTGTGACACACATCTCGCATCTGCCCGAAGAGAAGATCGCGGTCACTTTGATTGTTGCATTTACCGCTGGAACCTATACTCCCCAGACGAGTCAACAAGAGTTCACGTAGTCTCTGAGAGATCCACTCTCCATAAATGGGGCTTAAATATCTTGGGTTTGCGGATGCCGAGGTGGAAGTGAACGTAACTTCATCTGTAAAGCAAAAATTATACCGCGACCCGAAAAGCCGATCATATAATACGCTCACTCTCGGTGTGATTGAGTCTCATTTTTCATATTGCAAACCAGCATTGAACCAAGGGACAAAGATACTCGTTGTGCTTTGACAAGCCTCCGGAAGCTTTGGCCTCGGCAAATCCAAAGAATTTGGCTGCAGTTGCCAAGAGAGCTTGCAGACCGTCGATGCTGGGAAGAAAGCGGTTGCTGCTTCACGCCCACATCTCGCGGTGGGACTTAAAAGAGGACACGCCCGGGTTGGGGAGATGTCCTCGATAACATTTCACTTTTCAAGCTTTTCAGAAGATAACCCCGCTAGAGACATCCCGTGCCACTTCCCGTACCTTTTTTGACCTTGGAGAAGAATAGAAAACAAACATTCCAACATGGGTGGAGGAAGTCAGCCCATGGGGCTCGGCTACTGGAAGGATGCCATGAAGAATACCCCCAAGGAGGTGCTGAACTACAACCTCGCTTACGCGGTCTTGTGCTTTGGTTTGATGGTAAGTCGCAGTCATATAATTCACAGCAGCTTTACTGAGGCAGATCATGCAGGGAACGGCTCGTGGACTAGATGAAGGCCTGGTCTCAGGCACCATTTCGCAGAAGAGCTTCATCAGCGAATATGGCCTGACCGTGCTCGAGGACAAGTCCAACGCCGCTGCTGTAGCTCAGAAGACTGGCAACATCGCAGCTATGGTCCAGATCGGCAGCGTGGCCGGCGCCTTGCTGGCATTCATTGTCAGTGACCGAATTGGTCGTATTTGGGCCACGCGCCAGCTCACCCTCGTCTGGATCATTGGAACGGTTGTTTATGTAACCGCCAAGGGCAACTATGGCCAAATTTTGGCAGGCCGCTTTGTCATGGGACTCGGTATCGGCCAGACCACAGTCGTGGCTCCAACGTCAGTGGTTTGCACTCTTCCCAGGATCCTCAAAACTGACCTTCCTACAGCTATTTGGCTGAGATTGCTCCTCGCTCGATTCGTGGACTTTGCATCTGTATTTTCTCGGGTTCTGTGTACCTGGGCATTATGCTTGGCTACTTCGCCAATTGAGGGACTTCTTTGCATATTGCCAGTTCCAGCGCGCCAGTGGTTCATTCCGAACATGATGCATATCATATTTGCGGGCGTCATCTTCATCGCGAGCTTCTTTGCCCTGGAATCGCCCCGTTATCTCTGCAGGAAGGGGGACTTTGAAGGCGCTGCACTTGTCATGACGAAGCTGAGGAACCTACCCTCCGATCACGTCTACGTGCAGGCCGAACTGATTGATATCAAGGATCAACTTGAGCGCGAAAGGGAAGCAACCCTGGGATCTGCATGGTTCGGTCCTCTAAAAGAGCTAGTCCTCATTAAGTCGAATCTCTATCGATTCATGCTCGGTTTCGCGGCGCAAGTGTTGGGTCAGTGGTCTGGAGGCGGATTCATCACCATCTACGCCCCTCAATTCTTCACCATCCTCGGAACCACAGGCCAGTCGGAGAAGCTCTTTGCCACCGCCGTCTTTGGCGTGGTCAAGTTTGCTTCGGCCCTCATCTGTGCCTTTTTCCTCGTCGATTTCCTCGGCAGGAAGCGCGCACTGGGAGCCGGCATCACCCTTCAATTGGTCTCGGTTCTCTACGCTGCCATCTTCCTGACCGCGGTACCGCAAATTACGAAGGTCGACACTAAAACTGGCGCCACCGTCCCACTCACGGGTGCGGCTCACCACGCGGCGACAGGCGCCATCGTATTTATCTACTTCTCGGGTGTCGCCTGGGCGCTTGGGTGGAATTCCATTCAAGACTTGATTGGTGCCGAGATTTTCCCTCTGCGCGTCCGTTCCTTGGCCAACTCGTTGATTATGTGCATTCACTTCGTCAACCAGTATGGCAGCTCCAAGGCCGTCCCGCTGATGTTGTTACCCGGATCCCTCGCCCCGAGTGGAACGTTCTGGTTTTTCAGCGCCGTCACCTGGCTTGGGCTGGTATGGGTGTGGTTCTTCTTGCCAGAGACGGCTGGCAAGTCATTGGAGTCAATGGACGAGAAGTTCTCTCTACCTTGGTATCTGATCGGGCGCAAGGGTGCAGAAATGTCCAGGGGCCGTGGTGCGGTCGCTGAAGCTACGGAGAACGGTGGCGATTTGGACAAAATTTCTGCCGTCCAAGCCGAACATGCGGGTGCCCTTTGACTGGAGCTCTGAAGCTCTATGGTCCAATATTGCTAGTGATTTTACAAACATCTTTCAATTAGCCAGAAGGAGTCTGCGATCGAGCTCCCAGATATGGACATCGGATTGAAGGACCTCTTCCATTTGGATATGGTACTATGAGACCTGTCCACATGCCGAATGAAAGCAGATTGCTCGTGGCATTGGGTGGGATACCGGCCGTCAAGATTGATCCACGGAGTGTCTCGTGTGAGCTCTTAACATTGAATTGCAGATTGATAATTATCCGAGCTATTGATCTTTCAATGTGTCTGTGCTGCGAGTTGTCAAAGCTACTTATCTTCAATCGTACTCATGGAATGCTGCAACCAGCCAATCAAAACCACTGTAACGCAGTTCGAAACGGCTTTCAAGAATTCGTGGGCGAGCAGATAGATCATGGACGTGTACTTGCCATCGCACCAGCAACCGCTGGACCAAAAGCCAATCCTGGAAGAACAACTCGGATTCAGGCAAGGGCAGCAGGTCTTGTTGGACCAAAATGCTCGTTTATACGTCAGGCCAGCTGTGGCAGGTCGCGCCAGGCCATCTCTGCAGCGCTTCGTCTACCAAGAAGCATCTCTCGAGGGCCCACGAAGCTAATTACGGACAGCACGACTCGTCGGCACAGTTTGAGGTGGGACAAGCATGGCTTTGTGCTGATTGCCGCCTCCTTGAAGAATCCTACGTGAACCTTCACTCTGGCTAACACTCTGCTCAGCCATCTCTTGTCGACCTCGGGTGCAGATCTAGTGGTCTCAGGCCTACCTTCTACTTTCAGCTAGGACTAAAGATGTTGTACATCCCCTGGAAAAAGACCCGATAGCAGGAGCGCCACTACGTCAAGCTTCGGGTTGAACATCAGTTGCGGCTACAAACCACTCATCCACCACAGTAGAGTATCACGTAAAACCTCACCTAGAGATAGTTCAGACTTTCCTGATCATGTATCAGCCACTTTAGGTTAATTAACATTCTCACGGTGTAGCATCCGTTGCTGACAAGTGTTAAAGTAGGTGTGTCGCCTTGAGTTGAGATTGATGTAAGCAAGTGACCGAAACTCTGATCAGCAACAACGCCGCAACGGTTGGCACTAGACTTCTTTGGGGTTCGGTCACCGCCCCCTCCTAAACCGCACAGCATTGTCAGGTCTCATCTTTCCGGAGATATGGCGAAGAACAAAGGTGGCTGGCCATGGAAACATCAACACGAAAAGCTTCTTCGAGCAAGTCGGGCGGCAAGCACTTGGCGTGGAAGAAAAGACGACTGAAAGAACAACCCTCCACGACCCTGGTAGTGTTCGCGGTCAAGCTGAATGTCCACTCTGAACGGGCGATGTTCTCGAACATTACGATGAAACGCTTTTCCCACCTCTCGAAAATCTACATATTTTCTCCGCATCGGACCCTAGACCTACGTTGTCCTCCTCAGCCACTTCATCCCACTTCGATCTTCCTTCATTGCACCTGTCCCCTCGAGTTCCCAGCCTCTCGGAACGTCATCGATTCCTTCGTGTCGACTCTGGCTCTCGACTTCGAGAGCGCAGACACCTTTACAGCTCTTTACCAGGTCCCGCGAATCTTATGAGAAAATGTCTAAAACGAGCCACAGCGTTGGCGAGAAGTGGTTGTAGCTTTGGAAGAAGAGACACGAGATACAAGGCACTGTTGACCATGGCGGCGTCAATGATATCAGCCAATACATGGACAAGTTATGGCTGTTGCCAATTTTGAATAGATGAGATGGCAGGCGATGGGAAGATGATTGAGTTATTTAGGATCAATGCCAGCGGAGCACATGTTTTTAATACGTCCGTCGATTTTCCAGCAAGTGAGTGCACTCATTGCCCCCGCTTGGCTCAAGGCCAAACAGCCGTGTACAGGCCTGTGTCTTCAGTATCTCTCCCAGCGGACCACCCCACTTGGAGGCGTGACTATACCACTCTTTCCTGCAGACCCCAGCTTTGAAGAGTAGCTTTTCCAGCGACATGAGTCCGACAATGCGGATTTCACACTTGTCCCTGGTTACCAGGATATATATACGATGGAGGGATCAAGAACGACAGATTGACCTTTTGAACCCGTCAGAGAGTCAATTATTTGATAATAGATGCCAACACCTACTAGATTCACTTCCTCGGAGGTGAAGGCCAAGCACCTGATTCGCCCACATGGTCATCGTCCCCATACTCATGACCATCACTATCTCCCGAATCAACATCGTGACATCTACATTCTCCAGAAGAATATCATCTGCAACCTCTTGGAGTTCTTCCTGGCGCCGCTCCTCCTGTCGACGCCGGACCAACCACAATCCCAGTAAGGCGAGGTCATAAGATGCTTTCAGCATCCCGCCCAGGACAAACACGGCTCCAAAGTGTCCCTTCTGCGCCAGGGAGCCCGCGATAATGGGACCACCGCCCTGGGCAATAGTCTTGACCGTATTCACCACGCCCATGACCTTGGTACGTTCCTCAGGCCGGACTACTTGAGCCAAGAACACCGCACGTGGCCCTTGATCCATCGTGGATAGGGCCGCGCACAATGAGCAGAGCACAAGACAATTCAAGCGTCGGTGCTAGTGGGAGGAAGGTGATGATGACGGCTGAGGGAAGGTGCGTTAGAACCATCGTGGGTAAGAGCCCAAGCCGTTTGGAGATGGGCGACGCTAGGAGGGAAGAAATCGCGCTGAAAAGGAATGGGATGGCCATAAGGGAGGAAACGAGGCTGATCGGTGCTTCGAAGCGAGAGTATAGATAGTAGCTTAGTAGGGTACTGTTTGGTAGCAACAAAAAGTGCCTAAATTGGCCTCCGAGTGCTTGACTTCTTGCTTGGGAGCTTGGAGAGGGGAAGGTTACAAGCAGGCGGGAGGGAGGACACTGAACCGAGACGAATCAACAAGAGGAGGGAAAGCTACGAAAGATTCGCGACAAGGAGACTTACAAGGCGATAAGACCACTGGCGAAGGAGTCGACTGCAAACATCAGACAGAGCTTCCAGAGAATGAACCGCGTCGATGGTGAGAGGCTCGGAACAAAAGCTCGCACTACTCGATTCACTTTAATCATGAAAGTTCTCTTGATGCTGGCCGTGCCAGGCGACCTCGTGACGGCTGGAGCTTCATCGTCCTGTAACATCCCGCTGCCATCCCCCGACTTCTTGCCGATCATCGTGTCGTAGATGACGGTCACTGGCTTCTCGTTCATCGTTGGCGCTCTTCGTCTGCGCCGTTTTTAATCGAGCTCGCAGGTCTTACTCAGCCTGATCGACACGACGAGTTTGATCAAACCGATGAGGGTGTATAGAATGAAAATACCTCGGTAAGACCGTTACTCTGTCCTGCCTAGCAGTTTCTGCAAGCCGGCGACAGTCCAGCCCGCGGAACATGCCCCAACTGATACGCCCAACGTGCCGGCGACGATATGCCAGGCGAAAACGTCCAGCATGTCATGGTTCGAGGAAAAGGAGCTCAGCATCCGTTCCTCCACTGCACGGAATGGTCCAATTTCATTTCCAGAGGGACTGATGACGCCAAAGACGCCGCAGCCAGAAGAATCCAGTAGTTGCTCGCCAAGGAAAACACGACGCCGTTGACAATCATTAGCGCCGATCCGAGGACGATTGTGCGCCGTCAACCAAACCAGTCGGCCCAATCAGTCAGGATGAGGCTCAACAAGACATCACCAACCAGAGTCAGAATCAGAGTCATAAACAACGCAACGCGGACATCAGAATGGCCTATGGTGGAGAGTAAGACCGCAAGAATTAAGCCGGTCGAGCCAGAGGCGGACGTTCGCAGGATGCGGGATAGAAACGAAATATGTGTGTCGCGGGAGACCTAGCGCAGCGTGTGAATGCCCAAGAGAGGCGCTTAGCTTCTGTAGGGGCAACATCCTCGAGATGGCCCGACGATGCCCGAATTCGGATGGTTGACCTGAGCGTGAGGAGCTCTCGGTGGGCAGACAGACCAGCTTGGTGGGAAAAACTGTGGCTGATTGTTCATTCCCGTGGTCATACTCCCACTGGACAGTCTTCCCTCCAAGCTTAGTCGGCCGAGGTATACTCAAGATGGCCGAATAACCGCGGCCGAAGTCAGGTTAAAACCGAGCTTTTGAAATTTCCGTCTCGACACCCTTTGAGGCATTCCATGCAGTTTGAAGACTATAGCGAGAAAGCGATTGTTGAGGTTGTCGAAGAAATTAGACTTCTTCAAAGGACGTTTTTGATAAGTACGGATGTACCGATGCATCTCAATAGTCGAGGTCGTTATAAGTTATATAGCAACATTTTCCCGAGCACAGCACGCTGGCTTGTCGGGCGTTACAGTCCTTGCGGTGCAGAATCTGCCACTGAAAAAATGGGTCATCGTGCTCCTCATGGGGTGATTCATGAAACGAGTGAATGTCGGCATCCCTGGCTCGAAGCAGACGAATAAAGTCTCCGCGAGAGAGGGGGAATTTACAAGTGCAAGCTGCTAATGGTGGAGAGATCCCGAGAAGGGTTCATCATCTATTATTTACTAGCATCGTGTACGCGGCGTTGCGTAGGCAGGTCAAGAAAGGGTCCCATGGGTCCAGTGAGAAACGGCTCGGGGGTGCACAATCACAGGGCGAGGGACACCAATCCGGTGGAGGACAAGGCTTGCTTTTGTCACGCTTTGCTTCTCACAAATCACCGCGTAACGATCAGGCTCATTGCACCCGATACAAATCGATTCTCTGAGTACGACGCGCGTCCATTGTGGCGTATGCGAATTGACCGTTGCAGGGACAAGGGGTTTGAAAAACGTTGGGAGACTTGAATGATCACCCTCATTATTGGTGAGAGGTACAGAACGTTATGGTTCTGGTCGAACACTCTCTCGCTCGCGCAGTTCATACGATTACGAATGTGAGATTGGTTTTGAATAAGGGCAGGAGTACCAAGGCAATTAATTATACCATGGTTGGAGCTGTGGTGTGCGCACAGGCGTCAGACAAATAGTTTTCCTGGGCCGTGAGACCAGTCATACCCACTTGGACAAAGATGGCCATGCTCCGAAGCATTATCTCGGCACACTTGTTGTAGCCAATTTACACGACAGTCTTCCCCGTTGAGCCAGAAAGCCACAGGTGCAAACTTGTTAGCCTGGCAGCCCTGACATCTATCTGAAGCTGGGCAATTGGCGTAGACGGTATGACGGTAGCCGATATCTCGAAACCTAGTACGCAGCATCAGTAAGCAGTATCATACAAGCAGGGCTTCCACCCAGTGGTTTCAAACCAATGGATTCTGGAGGTGTTCTCAAAAAGCCCCAGCGCGATGCTGTGGACCGGTGCATCTCCCCATCGTTCATAGAAAAACCCATTCGAGCGATCCAGAGGTTGAAAATAAGACTCGTAGACAGGACTCCGCCAGAATTCGAGGTCGCCAATTTCGAAATTACTCCAGAAATGGCACGTGCTTACCCATTAGCATGGGCGTTGAGTTTTGGTCGCCATGTGCTGTCATTTAGCCAATTCCAAGCCATACGGTGGCTGAGATGTTTGGGGTTTGCGGCGATGAAGTCAAGTGTCCGCGGCCATAGAGACGGCAGGGTAAGGGGATCGTCGTATATGTTGATTGTAAATCCGTAGACTTTGTTGTTATCCGACATATATTGAAACACGTCGTATTCGACGGAGCAAAAAAACCTAGGGCGAGTTTGGCCATCAGCACGACGTACCCAGAGAGCCTGCCAGAGGAACTTCGTCCGAGAAGGACCTACTCTATCCACGGTTCCACGCGCCAGTAATACTGAATGTTGTCAAGCGCGGGATGTTTGTAGAAAAAGCCCGAATACCACCGACACATCTGGTGATAGCTCAAGTCTGACGCATGTTTGACCCCTTGAGAATGCATCTCCTCCATCCTTTGTGCCATTATATCCCGATCGACCGAGTAGGGGACATCCCAATGCTCCGCAGGGATCTGTTCTATGGTCACAAGTAATGAGAATCAGTTGTCATAGGCGGAAGCGATGCTTCCCAGGATTGAAGATACGAAGAGCCACATAAAAAGGCTTAGTCCGATCTGTCGTAGTAGAGACGGCGAAAGCGCTTACCATAAAAGCACGGCGCCTGGGTCTCCAAGGCTGTCCGACGTTTGAACTCGTCAGTGAAGGGATTGTTATTGAAGAAGATCCAGGGGTATTGAAATTTCGAATTGAAGTTTTGCTCGATCTGACGCATGGAGTAAACAATACCGTCCAATTCTTCATTTCGAACCAGAGCGATGAACGTCGAGTCGTTGCGTGACGGCTTACGGTCGCCAACGTCGTCAGGGTGTAAGAGCGCCGTCATTGTAAATGGCTCGTCCATCGCTGCGCAAGAATACGGGATCACGTCAGAAGAAGATTCAGTGGGGAGAAGGCGGTGTCAGGAGGGCGCGTACGTATGTGTGCTGACCGCAGGAGAAGGTCCCCCGAGCTCATCAAACTGTCAACCCCCAAATACAACAAAGACAAAAAACCAACCAATACCAACAGGAGATAGACGAGCTGTCGTCGACGTCGCGGCGGTAACATGTTCCAAGATACTTTGAGGTCGCCAAAGAGAAAGCTTCGTTGTCTGGGACAATAGTATCTACAAATATTTCTTAGTAGCGGGCCAACGAGCATTCGCGTCTGCGCCAACAACACATCAATGCTATCTGAGAATCCAGGTCAACGAACAGAATAAGCATCATTCAGAGAAATAAAGGATGTTATGAAGGATGGCCGGACCTTGTCAGGTGGAAGGAGTCGATGCTTTATCGACTTTGGTTGTATGCGGGCCGCTCCCCGACCAATAGTGGGAAATGTGGCTATATAAAAGCAAGCCTTGTCGCCTCTGATTCAAACACTGGTCTCAGCTGTGTGCAGACGATGACGCGTGGATTTAAGATCACACGGGCAGGCCGCTCGGGCGGAAGGTGCTCGGGTTCGGTCACTTGTGACGTCAGCATGCTCTGAGCGCTGGCCAACCGCACAATATCAGGTATAATGTCGTCTTAATACGGATGACTGAAGTCAGACGCAGCGCATTTTCTCTATTGGTACAGCCTATTTGGACGACTACCTTTCAGTCCTGGCTAAGAGTGTCGGAGAGGCTCGACTAGGTGATCACACCAAATACGGTGGAAAGAAATTAATGCTCAGTCCCACTCAGAGAGACACCACAGGGGATGATGGTTATCTCACTTGGGACTTCAGGTGCGAGAAAACAATGTTGCCGTGATTCGTAAGATCGCGCAGCTACATGTCAGTTTAGCTTACTGGCAATATAAACAGTTACATTCGATGGGGAAAACGGGGTTGCCTGTTCAAGCGACCGCACGAGACAATATAGTGTTCGTCGGCGGCCCTCCACCCCCCAATAGCAGCATTTTCTTCCGCGAATTCTCTGTAGGATGTGCCAAAGGGGAAGATTTACTTGCTTGCTCAGCCTCATGGCCTCGCTTTCCTCGACTTGTTCTTCAATGAACATAAGCTAAGTAGTATCGTCGAAGATCCCGGGGCAAGTTTCACGTTGTAAGTAACAGCCTTCAACGATTTGCGTTTGCAGGCTCATCCGACACGGCGTGTGGTCCGTTCAAGTGGCTGACATCAACTTTTGCAGCATTCAACTTTGACTGTTCGCTTTTTTGCCAAACGACAGAATATCCAAGCGTCGATCAGTTTCACTGAAAAGCGCATGCAGAATTGGTGAGGCGATCCTGAAGGACAGCGTCCACTGATTCCATAGTGAGTCCCAGAGCATAAGAACGGTCTCGAGGGTGGTTCCTGCGATCTCGGCCGTCATAGTGCCAAGAAAGAGTCTGTACATTAGGCAGGGCCGGTCTGGATAGAGGCGGTAAAGGATCGTGGCAAGATGAGGCCAGAATTCGGCGACGACGTCGAATGCACCGGTTCCAGAGACGTGAGGGTTAGCAGACAAACTTAGCCTCAAACAGAGCAAAGGCACATGATTGAAAGCGTACCCCAAACAAAGCGCAGGACAAACTCATAAGTGGCATCCTTTTCGTGCTGGAAATTCAGACTGATCGCCATGGCTGATTGCGTAATAACGATAGCCCGGGTGTGATGTGCGGCACTGATAGGACTTATTTTTCTTCGAAGGAAGAGTTCAAAGATGTACGGAGTACATGGCGCCGAATATCTGTCATCACAGAGTGATGACGTCCCCATTGGTGGCATATGGTGATGGTGTGGGATCATAGGTGGCTTGAGTGTCGCCGAACCGAAAGCTACGGCGAGGAATGGATAGGCCGCGGAACCCAAGAGAATGACCTTGCAACCTGCAGCGACGTGATGATTGATGAAAGTACATTGTTGTATTGGGCTCAGACGATCAAATGACAACGACATCGTTTTGTGCGCATGAGAATCCTTTCGACAACGTAGAGCTTGATCAGAAAAAGAATCACCATGATGATGGTCAGGATCAATGCCGAGAAAGGAGCCATTGCGGAGACGAAGTCATTGACAAGCTGATCGAGATGGGGTCCGTCGAAGTCATCATGCTGATGAGCACGGCGCTCTGGATTCTGTCGCCATGTCATTAAGATAGATTCGTCAATTGCGCATTGGCCGTTCAGGCAGTGCTTGATCGAAGGGAAGCGTGAAGGTCTCGCTGTCTGTTGGCTGAGCACACTCACAGCCGCCGAGACCATGGGACTAACCCAGCGATAGTCCAGATATGGGATGCAGACGCGGTCGGTGTATCGAAGAATTGTGCAGGGTCCACCATGCAAATGTCGTGGAACCACAAACCATCCCTGGTGGATCTACGGCAGTTAGTAAGCCATCCACCCAGTGCCTCCATCCTGCCCCATGTGGTTTAAATTGAACAGAACGGAGATCAAGTACTTTATGTGTGGTCTGTCAATTCCATTAATGCCCTGGGTCTCAGAGTGGCCTCCCTCCTCGTTCCTTGTAAGTTCTCCCAATCTCAAGGTTAAAATTTGACTTCCATTTTCAACTGTCTCAAGATATATTTGGCCATAGGCCTGGTTCTCCGTTGCTGCTACTAGCCCTTCTAATTATTCCACCTGTTCTCACCTGGTCGACTGCAGTGTTTGAACCTGATCCCTAACTTCTACAGACACGCCTTCTAATCTTCCGCTCAATGCAATGCCCGTCGCCCCGCCATTCCGTAATCTGAGGCACCATCAACAGATTCTACCAGGACCATGACATTGTCACTAGCGCAGTTCGCCATTATCCAATCTCAAGGCCCCTCGGATGCATTTCCGGTGGCAACCAATTACATATCTCAGCTACGAGGCAATTTGCGGTTCCTGGGCTGACTTGAATTGGATGGCGAGTACCTTCTCTTCGCTGGGTGGGCCCCCAGGAAGTCAATGTAGAGGATTCGACGTAACAATGGTAGCACGGGTAGTAATGCGACTGTGGCTAGTTGCCACTGTTACGCCGCTTTTAGGTGCAGATGTCACGGATATGAGATTATGCTCGGACTAGAGATGTTGATCATTCTTCATTATATTGTTATTGTTCTCCGCCACACTCATGGCTCCCATCCTGCCCATCTATATACCTGTTCCCAGCGGTGGACTACTGAGAATGTAGTAACAATGATGACCAAGAAATGACTAATCTTTCTCCTCGTCATTCCGCATCTGAAGGTATCTGGTTCCAATCTTCAACAGTTGGTAGTTTGAGTCAACAGATCAATGCTGAGTTGACGTGTGGGAAATAGCTATATGCACCTTGCTGGTACTGTAGCGTTCTGGTAACGAACACGAGATGTATATTTCTGTAAGGTGAAAACAACCGAGACATAGTCCACAAGACCCTACGTCTCAGCATACAAAAGCTGTCGCAGGCAGCCTTGGAAGATGATATAAGTCGAACCCAATTGACGAATGGGAAGGAGCCGCCCGCGGACAACGAGGGGCGTGTTGCTTCTCGAACGCGTCATCACATCCGGGAATTTCTCGTTTTGAGAATGACTTTAAGTCTAGCATCCTCTTCTACAAAAACATCTTTTTGTGAGCATTATCCCATCCATGTTATGCTTGTAAATTCCGGACTGCGTAGTGTCCTTCGAGACTCAGCTAGTCCTTCTTTTCAAGAGAATCCTTTGCATTATTTCCAGCCCGATTCTTTTATGTTCAAGGGGAAAATGGCGACCCACGCTGGTCAAGCCCCTAGTTGGCGCCACTGCACCCCTTTTTCGAGAATGTCGAGAGTGTTCCGTCAAATATTATTATCGGTCGTTGGAACCTTCGCCGCCATGTTGGTGCCCTTGATTTGACATATTGGAGAGCCAATCTAATTGATGTTATAGTGGATTTCTTTGCAGTTTGGAACGTGTCCTGGGGTTCCTGGTTGCAAACCCTCCCGACATGTTCCAACGGACTCTCAACAACGGTGCCCAAAATAAAATCCCGGAGCATTTCGATTTCGCACACTGGCCCACGGATGCCACGGCAGATAAAAGACCAATCCACTGCCATTCTCACAACGACTACTGGAGGAAGATCCCACTGTACTCGGCAATCGACTCTGGTTGCAGCAGCGTTGAAGTCGATTTATGGCTTGTTGATACTGAGGTATATGTAGGGCACAGAAGATTGACGCTGACCTCGGAGCGCACCTTAAGCAATTTGTACCTCGACCCCCTGCTGAGGCTGTTAGAAATGCAGAATCCGATATCTCCTTTTTATTCAGACAAAGAATATCCACTAGAACCGAACGAGAACTACCCTCTCAACGGCGTTTTCGACACCGATCCGACACAGACTCTTATTCTTCTGGTCGACTTCAAGTCCTATGGTCCAGGTATCTGGTGGGAACTACGATCACAATTATCGCCGCTTCGAGACAGAGGCTACCTAACCTATTTCGACGGCACAGATATCGTGGAAAGGCCAGTCACGGTAGTCGGAACTGGGAACGCGCCGTTCGAGTGGCTGACAGCAAATGAAACGTATCGAGATGTGTTCTTCGACGCACCATTAGCTGAGCTGGCGGATTATTCCTTGGTGTGGCCGAATCCTAATCGCGCTAAAGACCCATCACCATCTTGTCAAAAACGACATCCTGGAATTCTGGGCACTACGCCTAAGTCCCGATCAGTCTCAGGAACCACAGCATGTGAGGAAAGGCAAGACGGTAACGGAGAAAATGGCATGGGGAGAGTTTGGCCTGTGACTGACCAAAGCAATCTCCTCTACAACACGTCTAATAGTTATTACGCCTCCGTCAGCTTTACGGAGTCCATTGGGCGCATTTTTGGGTCTAGATTAACCCAAGACCAGCTCCAGCTAATTCGGAGTCAGATTCGAGGAGCTCATCGACGAGGTCTGAAGGTGCGCTATTGGGGTATTCCGCAGTGGCCGATCGGACTTCGGAATCATATATGGCATATTTTGATGCGGGAAGGTGCAGACGTCCTCAGTGTAGACGACTTGTACGGAGCAACACAGACTGATTGGAGAAGGGAACGGAGTCGATCAGGATGATAGGAGCCATTGACAAACAGCCATACTCTCAGCGGACGGCGCTAGACAAATCATTCAACTCACCCTCGCTCCCTTGGGGGTTTAATTTCATGACTTTCAATTTCAACTACATTTCAATTTGAATGCTTGTAGTTGCACTTACGAAGGGTACAGAGCATCGTTCAGGTAAGCTTATTAGGCAAAAGCTTACGGAGTACGTTGACACAAATCGACGGACGCGCGGCCATGTAGAATTTTGGGTTGGTTCTAACACTACACAGGGTTAGGATCGAATATTTTTGATGGTAATGGATCCCGGCTTCGAAAGAAATACTTCTAGTGTGGCCGCATATGTTGGACGACAAAAGAAGACAGATATTTAAACCCATGCCACTTACCCCTGCGAAGATGCCCATACCAATCCTTGACATCTTCAAGACCACTCTGATCGCATTCGATGAATAAGATTCGCCATGAGTTCAAAATCGGAGGAAATTTACTACAGCATCAAAAATGTCGAACCAATGATCATAGCACAAATACAAGAGCGGTGCAGAGAAAAGCGGCCTAGACAATGTAGTTCACTGTTATGAACTCTGCCAACGGCGAGGCAAATCTCGTTCAGTCGCGGTCTTCATTGGAGAGATTGGAAGCCTTATTCGGCAAAGGCAACGTTTTTCGGTCCATGAAGAACTTGAGGAGCATGAAATATTGTACATGAACTAAAGTCTAGCCCTGGGCAGAGAAACAAGAAGTCCGAAAGAGATGGGACTTCAAAATCACCGAACGAAGGCATTGAGAGTGGGAAGAACACAGACGAATGGCATAGTCTCTCGAGGGGCAGATGTAAGGAATTTGACAGAGATATGCACTTTCGCAAACCGAAAGTGGAGGGAAAGAAGATAAAGTCGTTCGATAGAGAATCAAGATCGTTGCTGTGAGTTCTGAAATGGTTGAACTTGTCTGGTTGGTGATCCAGTTTCCGGCTGAGTTCGTTCCGTAGGTCTCTGAGTCGGAAGAATTGTAAGAGGACTCTAGGTCACAATCTGTCTTACGAAAAATGGCCAGACGCGACCAACGAATCTTGATATGCCGGCGGAGATTGTGCCAGCACTTCATGGCGATGAATTGCGGATCCGACAACAAGGCAAAAGACAATCTTCCATTCAAGTTGGGTTGCTACCCATATGCTTCGGGAAGTTATCCCTCGAAACCCAAAGGCGATGAGAGCCCCCCCGCTCACCGATCCGAGTCGTTTCCCAATATTCGTTTTGTCCGTCCTCAGAAGGATTTGTACTTTGAGACTTAAATGAGGGTTTATCTGTCTCCTTTCCAGGTCGTCCGGACGTGCCTACAGATCATCCCTTGGAAAGAGTGAATGCAAATAGATTTCCCTTTCTACATGTTACTGAGAAGTGTCGAGAAATTGCCATTCTGCGAGCAAAGAGCCGTGTTTGATGATTCAGCGCCCACGATTGTTTTTACAATCTTCACGCCTTGCAACCCTACTACTTCTGGCCATGTTGAATGGTTCAAAAAACTTGACGGGCACCCTGTCTACGGATGACAACAATTTGGCTGATCAAACGCGATCAAAAAATATCACTCCATCTCTGAATCCACCAGTCGGTCATGCAACTTGATCCTCTGCTACCAACCCTGATGTCTCCGTATGTGCCGGGGACGTGCATGTCTCAATCTTCACGTTCGGCGCCTTGTCGTTCTCCTCAATTCGGACAACCCCGACTCTAGCCACCCATTGTTTCAACGTCTCCCGCGCAATCTCAAGCTGCTCGAAGTGCTCGCGCTGTGTCGCTTCATCGAGGCTCTGACTCGTGATTAGTGCCATCATGATGAATGTCTCGATGATGCTGGGAGGAATATTGCACAGCAGCTGGCCGGTCACTGACCATTTCAGAGCGGTAGCCGCAACAACAAGCCCGACAATCAAAATGATGCCCAAAATGACGGCGTACTCGTGTGCACAGATGTACGACAGCCGACATGACAACCATCGTGCAATGCTGACCTTAGTATTAGTGGCGGCACGGGATCGCACCGCGGTGAGGCCAATGACCGCAAGATTGTCGACGTCATCTGGCCAAGCCTCTGCCATGGCCAGTTCACGGTGCTGGTTCAGCTGAGACTGGAGGTTGTGAAGGACAAAGCCATCATGCATGCCAATGAGGCCTGCGTAGGTCCCGATAATCAACCACCAACTGGAGCTGAAATGTAAGCTTGGCCCAATGGCAACCCAGACAACTACAATCGTCATCAGCAGAACAATACCCACAAGTGTGCCAACCAGGTCGGCATAATACGAGATTGCTCGGTGAAGGCGGTTGACCTTGCAGGGATAGATAGTAATCTCCGCGTTGGGGTCCGTGTCGCCAGTCATTTGACGGAGTTGGAATTCCAGAGCCTCATCGAGCTGGGAGATGTGCAGAAGATGGGCGTTGGTTCGTGCCCGGTTCAGCTCTCTGATGCAAGCGATCATGGCAAAGCAAATCATCATCAAGGCCGATGTCGCAGAGTTGATGTATAGTTGCCAACGCACACTCCAGTCACAATAGCACCCAAAGCCAAGCCAAATAAAGATGCAGACCCAAAACATTGTCAAGGTTACCACATGGCTCAAAAAGCGGCCAGTAAAAAGGATGGCCCTCGTGATCAATCCGTCACGAGGTATTCTGGTTGACCACATCGAATTGTGTTGGATCGCGATATCTCCAGCTGGAATATGATCGGCCACCTCCTGACTCTTCAATTGTCTCAACATGCGCCTAGTGCCAACGGCTCGGGATTGAAAGCTTGCTGCAAGTCTAAAACTGCTCTCGTACGAGTTGAGTTGCTGCCGCATGAGGAGAGAGTCGAAGACGTAGCAGAAAACGGCCTGGACATCTGATATGACAACTTGCCAGTCCTCTGAACCTCCATAGCGAACACCCATGATTGCCCAGAGCAGGACGATAGCTATCGTCGCCAGAAGTGCAAAGCTCGAACCAGAGGCTGCCACAACAACATCAAGCCATCGATCCAAAAGACGGGGCTTCCCTTCGTCGAGGGGGTGGGCGTGGTTGCGGACGCTTGAAACTGCCTCCGGCTCCAAGCCGAGCTCAAAACTCGACACTTCAACGGCCATGTGCTCAGGAATTTGAGCCGTTGCTCTGACCGTTACTGGCTTCCGGGAGCCAGGGGCCGACAAAGCCTCGAGGATTCGGAAGTATAACATGTGGTCCGTCGCATCTGAAAGTGTGCACGTAGACTTCCCAACAAGATCCGAAGCCCTGGGTTCGTCTTCGCTCGTTCTTTTGAATTGAGTTCTTTTCTCTTACTCCCTTCTTATTCTTTCTCTTTTAGTCCCTCATCTATAGGGTGAGGGCTACTTCCCACTGCCTAAGGTGCACCTGTACTCCGCCCGGGTGGGTATCCTCTACACCCAATCGCGTGTTGATCGTTATCGCATCTGAGTGCACTCGAGGAGCGATGTCCCGTGTAGCCAGGTTCAGCAATAGACTTGATAGCTGCCATTAATTCGAGTTGGTAACCTGAGGAGTAGGTGCGCTGGCAGAGTACAATGCGAGTAAAGTCGAGATATTATTTATAGACGTTTAGACGAACAATTTCCAAGTAATCCTAGTCCTAGATGGCGGTGAGTTGAATGCAAGCGTTGACGCAAGTTCCCTTGTCCCCAGCGATGGAAAAAATCCCTCATCTAGGGCCAAATATCAGTCAGACCTCGACTTTTATATCTCCAACGCTACGAGCGAAAGCGCTGGCTTTCTTTTGGCTTTTGGACTTTTGGTGGCCGCGTCATCACTAGACTTTTTTCGAAGGACTTGTCCTCGGCCTACTTGAACTCGTGACAACGATGCCCCCGCCACTAACCAAAAGTCGCGCAGCCGAACACAATGCAGTTACCCTTTGCAGGCTGGCTTCATCTTTCCATTAATATTTTTGCGGTACCTTCGTTCAACTGCACGATGCGCATTCTTTTTTTTCGTTTTGGTTCGAGTGCCCTCTGAACAACCTCATATTTGGTGATTTCTTTGATAGAGGCTTCTTTGGACCGGATTGGCTTGGGCGATATTGTTTTCTGCGGCTGTTGGTGGACTTATCGCATCGGGCTTCGGTAGAAGTTTTGGGGCCTATCTAAGAGTATATCGCGTCATGAAATTTGGCTTAGCCACATTCGGTGCTCAACATCTCGATAAATTGACTGAGAATCAATGAGGGCTGGAATAGTTCTATCCCAATCATCAAGACACGACCTCAACCAGACTATTCTGTGGGGTTCAAACTTCTCGGCATTCACAGAAGATCAACTTCAGATTCAGCCATTCGTAGGCGACCTCTTCGACAACTCCTTTTTCATGGGCACCTGGTACATGTACTTTCCCTTCTTGTCGAGCGAGATGAAGTGCGCAGCGGCCGCGCTCGACGTGGCAGATCGACAGGATGCTCACAGCATGACGCTCGCGGTTCGAGGAGTTTTGGAATTGTTCCGACTCGTTAAACGGGAGAGAGAGCTTCACCGCCAGATCCTCGCGTTTTCTATCTCGCACGATCACCGATCCGTTCGGATTTATGGCCATTATATTGTGATTGAGGGTACAAAGACCTCGTTCTACCGTCATCCTGTTCATGAGTTCATCTTTACTGCAATGGACGGGAGAGAGAAATGGACCGCATACAGATTTACCAAGAGTGTCTACAATACCTGGATGCCTGCTCACTTCAAAAAGCTTTGCTCAGCAATCGACGCAATACAACCCGATATACATTTTGAAGTCTGCGAGGAATCGGATCTGCAAATTATTCCTCCATCAACACGACTTTCACAGGGTCTGGAAAGCCATGACCTTTCGGGGCCAGGCGCTATAGATGACGACGAACCTAGGATCCTCAATCCGCAGGAAGTGACACCAGAAACTTCTGTTACGCAGACATCAACCCAAGCGGCATTCAAGAAGCCAAAGAAGAGATGAGACTCGGTATTTACCTTTCCAGAGAACTTCTAGAGATTGAAAGGTCGGATCGGCGCAAAGTCATATTGACCCTATTACCAGATTTGAACTCTCAAAAGCATCCAAACTACAATTCGCCTCATCTGAACTTTCGCAAGGTCTGGAAAGCCATCACCTTTCGGAGTCAGGAGTTACAGATGACTACGGACCGAGCTTCCTAGACTCTAAGGAAGTGCCCCCGAATACTTCTGTCAAGTCAACATCCGCCTAGCAGTTCACCAAGCCTCCTCCGAGTCCGCTATTTCCACTGTGCCTTGGGGAATCATCTGCGGATCACGGCACTACCCAGGGGGCCATTCATATAACTATGGATCTACGAGACGCCGATGAAGCACTCTACCGATCACTTTTAATCCTCACTCACTCTCGCCTACAACCTTGGTGATTCACTTTCCCGCTTTCCTTCTGGTATAGTCTGCGGAAAAAGCGTCCGCATGTCTCCGGCTACTGTAGACCATAGATACTCTAGTGATGCAGTCAGGTGACCTCCGGTGTTATTCTTATCTTCCCATCCTTTCTTCCTTCTGCGCCGTTATCTTCTCCGACGCGGGTCGAGGTGAAATGCGGAAGTCCCCAACGCAGGCAACTAATGTCTGAAGGATATCTCCCTTGGATCTGCCACCGTTACAGTACACCATACTCAGTGTGTCTGTCCTCTGAGTCCAGAGGCTACACACTCGGGACCTGCTGCCGCTGCGCTCTGTGAAAAGACTCAAAACGAGAAGCAACGAAAGGCGGCGGTCTTTCCGGGAAAGGGGTTTCACCACTACTCAAGACACGTTCTCGTCGTAATCTGGACTCCTCCAAAACCCCCATATGTCGCATCAGATCGACTCCCAGCTCCACTTCCTACTACGCCGGAGATTCGAGCGTCCAGCACTACATTGCATCAGCGCTCTACCCAGACTGTCAAGGCTTTGGGTGTGCACTACGTTCTCAAATATGGGCCGGGAACCAAGATCTGAGAAGGACACAACCTAATTCTTCTCCGTGCACACTGGCCTTCCCCTCGCATTCCACGGCTGCGGGCAATGTATGGGGAAGACGAGGACGTGTTCCTCATCATGGAGCATTGTGAAGAGGACAACCGGCAAGACATCTGGCCACAACTTCGAGATTCGGACAAAAACACCATAACGAAACAGCTTCGGACAATATTGGATCAACTACGGCAAGAAGACCGCCAAAACCGCCAAAACCATCGTTCTATGGTAGCTTGGACCCTGGCCTCTCCCATACTTTTTATGGATCAGCAAGGATGATCCCAGCCACCGGTGCTAAGTGGCTTCCACAGTTAGATTGGCATAAGATGTCATGGTCTGATGATTCGTGGATTTCTCGACTTTTGTCGACAACCTTTGATTCTGAGGGGAAGGTTTTCGGGCACTACGCACTCGCCCGGTCGATCCGTGCCCTATCTACAACGCACCCACTTCAGCCACAAATATTGGCAGCGTAGCTACATCTACCGTACGGAGTGCTCTATCCCAATTCCTCGACACAAGAAGTATATCTTGCTTAGTTGTGCGAAATGGCTGCCAGCGTCTTTTCTGCTTCGATATGCCTGAGTCGTTGATGTCCGGCTACTGCGACGCAAGCTACGCAGAACGATCTTTCCTTGGCATCGATCTCGCCAGGGAACGAACCTTGTCGGGAAACGATTGTTTGCTTACCAGACCTCTTCTTAATATCGGCAGAACAATCGCCGCCCCTCCTCGCCATGGGTTGGAGGATTTTGCCTGTTGTCACATTTTCGTCTCAATGGTCGTCAACTTTTCGGTGCTTCACAAATGCGGGAATATCTCTGATGGATTGTGTGGCCGGCGCCAGCCTTATCTCTCGCGCAGTGAGAAGTCAACACTATGCTCCTTTTAAACCTGGTCAAGATTCCAGCAATTCGTCCAACTCGATACTGCCGGCCTTTTGGAACTCTTCTCGATGTCTATGGTTACGCACCTTGCCTTGTAGGTACTCAACGTAATCCCAGACTGCGTCGTCACGATAGCCGGGGATGTCCAGAGCGCTCACTGCTATTGGACAAAAGATTGATAATTGGCTCTTTGTTTGTGAGGACTGTGGCAAAGGAGGCTCGGCATGATTAGGTATCACGTTGGTGATGTTGACAGGAGGATATCCTTGTGACGATGCTGCTGTTGCTTTCCTCTTACGATTTCGTCGTTGCTCGTCCTCGAGACGAATCTTTTCCTGGAGAAGTTCAGGGACATCTGACTGTCGAGAGTATTCCCATCCTGACGATACTGAACCAATTCTTTGAGCAAAGGCGTGTTCAACTGGCGGTGGACTTTGCCGATAGTGTCCACCCAGCAGTGTCTGCCAGAATTGCATGAGAACTGCCGACACTCGAAGAGGTTGTAAACATGGGGCCAAGTAACAGGTTGTGAACCGTGGCAAGGAGGCCCGAGATATCTTTGCCAAGTACTACGCCGACGGCGACTCCGACTCCGAGTTGGTCCAGTTCTGCATAGCGGAGATCACGGCGACTCTGGAAATGGAAAAGGTCCAGAAGAAATCCCGCTAGATGGAATGGCTGGCGACCAAAGGGAATCGCCACCGGCTCTTGATCGCCCTCTACATCCTCGCGATGCTCCAGTGGTCCGGAAATGCGCTCATCTCCTATTACTTGGCCATTGTCCTCCACTCCATTGGCATTACAAACCACAAGACCCAGCTCATCCTCAACGTATGCCTGTCTCTGTGGAGCTTTCTCTCTGCCTGCGCCGCTGCCTTGCTGATCGACAAGGCCGGGCGTTGTCGTTTGTACCTCACCGGCATGGTATCCATGGGAGTCTCGTACATCATCTGGACCATCTGCTCCGCCATCAACCAGGAAAAGGACTTCAAACAAAAGGGATACGCCGCCGCCGTCCTTTTGATGATCTTCATATACACGGCGTGCTACCACATGGTGGCACACATTTCACCCACCTACATCATGGAAGTTGTGCCTTATACTCTCCGAGCCAAGGCCTCCATGCTTTACCAGTTGAGCAGCAATCTGGTGGGCATTTACAACGCGTTTGTCAACCCTGTGGCCATGGGGGCTCTGGAGTGGAAGTACTATATCGTCTGGTGCGTCCTCATCGCCGTGCACCTCACCTTCATCTATTTCTTCTGCCCGGAGACCGTGGGCCGAGCTTCAGAAGAAGTGGCTGAGATCTTCGATGGACCAGACGCGCTGTCAGGAGTCAATGCCATTCGCGTGATGAGGCTGGATACTCACCCGGAGAACGCCCTGGAGCTTTCAGATCAGGAAGCCGTCGAAATTGGAAAAGATGTCATCCCTGTCCAACAGATTGAAAAGGCCTGAGGGCGACTCAGAGAAAGATGGCTGAACGAGGTGATGCCGATATCACATTTGGGACCATCTTCAGTCACCAGGTGTCACCAGGTCACCGTATGGTGAAAGACTCCCTAGTAATCGGCTATCCAACAGTAGAGGAGTGAAGCAGAGTGGGCTGGTTCGATTTTTTGTTTTACTCTGACCTCGCCCGATTTGGGACATGTAGGTTACCATCTCAAAGCTGTTAGGGTGATGGTATAGTATAGTAGATATCGTTTACTAGGCTCAGCTTAAACTACCTTAACATCGGGCGCGGACGCAAACACTCTCTTAAGCATCAAGTAAGGTATCTATGCCTGGACCCTTCTACCAGTCTTCGCTTTCAAGAACCAATGGACGGCTCGGTACCGTGACCCTTATTTGCATACTGCAATTCGTCTGCTGCCGAAACGCTGACTGAACATCCCAAACAAGAGCGACCACTCACATCCCAGGCCGTTGCTGGCGCCGTGTGCATGTTGGTGTACTTTCCAAGGTTTGCTTCGAGAACAAATGCGAGCCTTCAGTGTTGATGGACAATCCGCCTAAAACGCCCCGTCTTTGCGGCTGTACAGCGCCCGGCGTACTATAGTCCTCAGAGCCCGTCGCACCCTCCTTATCCAAGGCCGGCCAGAACTCGCACCCTTCCCAATATTCCAGATGCCGCCCCGCCCTCGCATATTCCAGCTCCTCGCGAATCCCGCCGCACTAGTGGCAGGTTCTCGTCCTCAAGCATGCAAGCTCACAACCTCCTCACGATCCGTGATGCATCCGTGACTGGCATCGGCCACCAGCTTGGCGTACTTGGCCAGCACGCCCCTCGTGTACCGCGGCTTGGGCTTGTTGGTGTTCCACTCCTCATGGCGTTTCGCCGGCGTGGCCTCGTCGACGCTCACATCCAAACGGCGTGTCTCGGCATCGATGACGATCTCGTCGCCGTCGCGCACCAAACCGATAGGCCCGCCCTCCATGGCCTCGGGCACGATATTGCCAATCAAAAACCCGTGCGAACCGCCGATGCATCGGCCGTCGGTGATGAGCGCGACGTCCTAGCCTAGCCCGGCCCCATGATGGCGGAGCTGGGCTTCAACATCTCCGGCATGCCTGGCCCGCCTTTGGGACCCTCGAACCGGATCACGACGACCGTCTTCTCGCCCTTTTTGATCTCGCCGCGCTCGAGTGCCTCATAAACAAATCCTCCGCGTCGTAGGCCTTGGCCTTGCCGACGAACCGTAAACATTCCTTGCCCGTGATCTTGCCCACGCAGCCTCTCGGCGCGAGGCTGCCGCGCAGGATCTGGATGTGGCCTGTCTCCTTGATCGGCTGGGAGAATGGCTTGATGATGGTCTGGTCCGACGGGAAGTCTGGTGCGGACTCGACGTTCTTCTTCAGTGTCTGGCCCGTGATCGTCATACCTTACGCTTGACCACGCCTTCTTTGATCAGGAACTTGAGGAGCGTGGGGATGCCGCCGATGTTGTGGAGGCCATTGAAGACATACTTCCCCGATGACTTCAGGTCGGAGAGGAACGGTGTCCTGTCGGTAACTCGCTGGAAATCATCGATGGTGAGTTTGACTCCGACCGCATCGGCGATGGCGATCAAGTGCAGCAAGCGTTGGTCGAGCCGCCTGTGATCATGACCACCACCATGGCGTCCATGAAGGCTTCGCGGGTCATGATGCCGAGAGGTCCGAGGTCGAGTTTGAGCGCGTTCTTGATTGCACCGCCTGCAGCCAAGCACTCCAGTTGTTTGGCTTTGGACACGGCTGGGTTCGACGAGCTGCGGGGGAGTGTCATGCCCAACGTCTCGATAGCTGATGCCATCGTGTTGGCGGTGTACATGCCGCCGCAAGCACCGGAGCCTGGGCACGCGTGGCGGATGATGTCGAAGCGTTGTTCCTCGTTGATCTCGCCCGTGATGAATTGACCATAGGTCTGGAAGGCGGAAACGATGTCGATGTCGGCGTGTTTTGGGTTCGGTTGCATCCCAGTGCTATTGAATCGCCGTAGACCATTATCGAGGGTCTGTTCACGCGGCCCATTGCCATAATAACGCCTGGCATGTTCTTGTCGCAACCCGGTATGGAGATGTTGGCGTTGTACCATTGACCTTGCATCACCATCTCTATCGAGTCTGCGATGATTTCTCTTGACTGTAAACTGTATCTCATGTCCCCATTTTCGTCTGAAGGTCCGTCACGACTGCGGGATGAGGACGAAAATGAGCGACTACGACAGAGTCAGTATATGGCCTCTCAAGCATGCAAGATGCAGCATACATATTACGGCCGAGACAACTTTGCCTCAGACGTAGACTTCTGAAGGATGCCGAAGCTTTCATTGTGCGTGTGTGTCTGATATTGTGAGCTCGACAACAAATGCGGTGAATTACGGTACAGACTCGCTCGAAGCAGATTCAATCTAGGAATCTGTGAGTTACAATTCTCCTCTCTTCCAACGCTCCCAGCCTCGAGGCGATTCTCGGTCACGAAAGCAATTGCGAGAAGATGCTGCAGACGCTGCCGCTTCAGCGCAGGCGATCTTTCTCCAAAAATTCCCGCCAAATATGCAGGAAAGCGAATAATTGGGACCGAGGGATTGTGCAGCCAATCAGGAAGAAAATAATCAGGGATATCTTCGGGGAGCCCCAACGCGGCTCGACATACAAAGAACTCAACGGCAAGATGGCAGGTTTGATGGTAACTCGTAGGCAGAGACGCATATTCCGGCACGCCTGCTTGGAGAAAGGTATCATCCTGCTCAATCAGGCTTCTATAGTTGTCCCAGTCTGTAGCCCATATTGAAACACGAATTGTTTCCTTTCAGCCATGAAAGGAGGATTCCAGTCCCCTGCTGCTGTTGTTACAGTTCCTCTTCGACCCATCGAAGACCACCATCGACATTGATGCCGCCTTTAACCCAAGGCATCTCTCGGACTTCTGCCAGTGGCTTTCGTCGTGTGCTGTGTTTCAAAAGTCCATCCACGCATGCTGAGCCCCTTCGAAGTCACGACCCTTTTCCGCATCCCAGTCGCCGTCTTCATCGCCATACTTGACCCATGCCTACTCACATCGAGCAATTCTGTGGGGCGTTCGTGCTCGAAGGGTGGCTGGATCTCCTCTAGTTCCAGGTTTGGATCGAACGGAAGCCGACCTTCCATCAATGCATACAAAACAACACCCAGCGCCCATGCATCCGTTTGATGCCCATCGTAAGGCTGCCCCATGAGAATTTCAGGTGCCGCATAATCTTCACTTCCACATCTTGTTGTGAGCAATGGACTTTCCGGCGGCTCAGGGATCCGACGTGAGAGACCCATGTCGGTCAATATGACCACAGCTCGATCTAGTGTCTGCCAGTTCGGAACATTCGAGTGAACGCGGACCGGAATGTTAAGCAGGATGTCTGAACGTATCAGTATGCGCACCACATAAGGCTCAAAATATACCCACTCTCCAACTTGATGTCGCGATGGACAATAAATTTCTGGTGCAGATACCGCACCGCCGAAACGAGTTCCGCGAAGATTCTTCGGACAAGTGTCGGCACCAAAACCTCTTGGTACTTCGTTGCAACCTCGAATAGATCTCCGCCTGGACAATAGTTCATTACCAAAAGTGCTCGACCGGCTCTGTCCTTGCCAAATGCCTTGAGATGAACCAAGGATGGGTGTCGTATCGACTTTAAGATCTCCATCTCTCGTTGCAAACCGACCTCGATTCTTTCTGCATTCGCTCCGCCGGCTGGGCCTTGTTCGACAACCTTGACCGCGACCAGTCTGCGATCGGGCCATAAGCCCAGCCATGTTGACGCTGTCTTGTCGGGAATCAACACTGTCCTTGCGATCCTTGTGGATAAAGCGTACAGCCAGGTAGACCTTGCTGAACGTTCCTTGTCCCAACTCACGAATGGCTTCGTAAGATGCTTCTGGCGTGGAAGACCTCGAGCCTCGGACGTTTGAGGGGGATTCGTCCTCATGAGTCGTTTCCATCTTATGCACGACTTCAGCATGCAGCTGGGCTCGCTCAAGAGGCTCCGCTATACTTCCACGAGGACCCACGAACTCTTCACGGTGCATGGTTGAGGCTGACTGGTTGAGGTCGGACGGAGTTCCAGTACTGACGACGACATGTCGAGGTTTTGGCATAGCTAGTGCCTCTGGAACATAGTCACTCGCACTCCTAGCGTGGATTTCTTCGACTAAAGGTCTCCGACCATCCGAGTCATTCGATCTCGGAGGCGAAATGAGGCCGGGTAGCCCCTGCGACGAGGTGAGGTTGGTGATAGATTGCCCAGGTTGTAGCTAGCAACGGGATAGGCTGGAGGATTCATATCCAGCTTGAAGGATCTCAGAGACGACATGGAAGAGCCTCGAGACCTTGTCCTTGAGATTGGCCTCAGCATTTCGAATGTGCCTGTAGTTGGAGATGGAAGCGGTGTGATGTCGACCATAGCCGCGATCTGCGGCGAAGATATAGTCGTGCCAGGTGAAACAGAGCCGGCAGAGGAATGTAAATGTGCTCGGATACTGGGCACTCGGAAGGGAAGACTTGAAGCAGAAGTACTGGATCGTATTCGCGACTCGGACTCTATCGATTGAACAGAATTCACCCGATGGAGGGCATTGACATCGGTTTTGATATGCAGACCGCTCATGAGTAGGGCGGCGTCATGATGTACCGCAACAGAACTTTCCGGAGAGGTTGATAGCTGGGCATTGTCCGAGAATGCCTGCTGGTTTGCTTGGAAGGCTAGAGCATTGTTCTGGTGTATGGTGTTACTCAAAGGATCGTTGGCCGTCGGTTGTATTGGAGGGGTTGGGAAGAAGCGCTCGTCATCCCATTGCTCCAACTCTTTTGGACGACCTCCTGGATAGGAAAACCGATCGAGGTCATCTTGGACCCGTGAGACTCGGATTCGGACTGCGAGAGGTCTAAGGACATTCGAGGATCTGTCATCTTGTCCTTTGTCAGGACGAGGGTAAGGCGAGGGGCGGGACCCAGCGTAAGCCTTGCTTCATAAGCGAGTGCATGGGAGGAAAAAGAGTGTGGTGTTTGAGGAGGTGAGGTTCATAGTTTATATTGATGACCGGTTGCCGAGGGACGCGATGTGGTGAAGTACTCAGACATGACTTTCATGGAAGATCGTTCAAGTGGGAAGATCTATTGTGGTGTTGTTGACTGGTCTTCTGCTGGGGGAAGTCAGCGAGAGCGAGAGAAGGGACACTTTGTACCAATGGCGCATGCGACCGTTGCGCGTGGGGGAAGACTGTTGTACATACCTAACGCTTCGTGAGGCTTAGTTACATGGTGCCCTGGTGAGCCTAATTTTGCCTAGACAGCTAATCATTCAGCCCCCAACTTTACTGCGGTAGTGCCTGCAGACGGTCCTGTTCGCCAAATGCCAATCGTCAGGTTTTGTCCTTACCAACAATGCCCTACCTACCGACACGTCTGCCAGATGCTGGGTACACCATAACACTTTCCAGCATGATGATATCAGCGAATATTGAGGCAATTGCTTCAGCAAGCTCTGTATGATCCTCTTCGTCCACGCAGCATGCATCCACCCAGAAATGTTGTACGTCGGACACCGCGCTTACAGGACCACCTTTCTTCATTGCTTATTGCAACACACTGTCCGTGACAAGGCTGATGGTGTCAAGGAAACACTTTTAAGCCTACATCTTATGGCGATGACACTATGTGAAAACTGTGAGGTGGCAAGCTTGACCCCTGGTCAGTTCGAGATTCTAACCTGGGTCATGGTTGATCAGCACTACCAAGCGGTCTTCTCGGGTCAGAGTATCTGTCTGCTGTCTCTGAAAGACCTTCAGGGATCAACATAGTGCCATTGTGATCAACTTGTCCAGCCATTATCTCCAGCTCTGGTGCGTACAAGTGCAGTGAGAGCAGCAAGCAAAACAAACAACAGTTGCCATCCATCTCGTGACCGGGAACGGAATCACTTGATACCTTGGAGTCATACTATCTCTAGCTTGAAGGCTGATGATATCTTCGTGAATGGCGTTGTGTTTCGACAAAGCGCTGAACCAGTGGAATGGCCAATTGGTTGCAAAAGTACAGCCTCCAGGCACTGTTTCCGCAACAACGTCAAAAAGATGGACTGCCGGCCTGAGACGCACTCAAGGCATAACCCTGATATCGTTCGACGTTTCAGAATTGATGACAACCGGCGATAAGACACCTGAATGTTTTATGCATCACGGTCTTCTGGACGGCAAAAGTCGAGGAAGACGTCGGCGCAAAATCACTACCTTACACTATTCCCAGATGGGCTTAACTAGCCCAACCATCTGTTTGCGGGTTCCGACTGATACAACTCCAGACTCATCAATTATCAGCCGTCAGTCATCGATTCAGTCTCTGACCTCTGCTCCCCATGTGCTTGATTGCTACGTCCGACACCCAGACTACTTATCTTTTGGACGTGCACGCGCCAACTTTGCAATTGTCATGAGCGGCTTGTCGAGTCCGCGGCGAAGTCTTCTTGCTTGCGTCCAATGGTACAGTATTTACCTCTCAAAATGGTGTCAAGTCAGACTGATCTGGCTCAATTGACTTAACTGCCTACTTTCTGAAGTCTTGTCTGACGGAGTACCACAGTCGACAGAGGAAAACGAAATGCAATGGAAATATCCCACTTGCCGGAACTGCCTACGCCTTGGTAAAACATGTGAATGGCCTGCCGTGGATAGCAACTCCGCGGCTTTGAACAGCATCATTCACACCAGTGCGGCACTCCCAGCCTCGTTCAATGCTTCTCCAGCAGCAGCTCCAGACGACCTCAGCGATCAGTAAGCTGCCTTCTTGATAAATGCCTTCTTTTCTTTCCCAGGCTATGGTTTGATATCCCAGAGTGTGATGCACCCTTCCTTAGAGATGAGTCCGGCCAGTCAATTGTCGCGTTTTCTGCTCTACGCCATAGGCACCCTTGCAGCTTTAAACCTTTCTACGGAGCAGTCCGCGAAACATTTCATGTTCGACAGACCCACGGAGCTCTCTGTTCGTTTGGCTGCGGTTGCACAGCGTTACTCACGAGACACTTCAGATTGTCCCTTCGGTACGTCTGCTGATTTATTCCTCGGGTAGCAGTAGTTCTACGCGAACCGCGCGGATCATTTCCATTCGAGACTGCCAACGATAATCTAACGATTTGGATTAGTCGCCACGACTCAAGCAAACCTTTTGCTTGCATACAGTGAACTGCTTTGCTCGAGGATCATCAAGGCTTGGATTTATGCTGGTCTTTCCATTCGAATGGCTCAAGCTTTGCGCCTTGGCAAAGAATATCATGGCCGACAGACTCCTCTAGAGCGGGAGACTAGACGTCGTATTATGTGGACATGTTTTATTGTCGATCGACTGCTCGCACTGGTCTCTTCTAGGCGCTACGCCATACCCCGGGACTCCCTCACAATCCAACTTCCGTGTCCCGAGGATGCATTCTTGTTTGAGGAAGCGATGCCCGGCCCAACCCTGCATGACTTCTCGGCGGAAGTTGGTACTCGCAACCTCTTGGCTCAGACAGTCAAGAGCATCGAAGCCTGGGGTGAAATGGCACACCACTTTGCGACTGGTACACGACTTACATCAGTGACGTCGGCTCTCGATCGGGAAAACGAGTTCTATCAGTCTGAACAACTGACCAAAGGTCTGATTATGGCCCTCCCGAGAAGGTTGAAATGGTCACTGCAAAATTATGCAACACACCGGGCACTAGGAGTTGGCTGCCTCTTCGCCACCCACTTGTTCATCCTCAATCAAGCAGCATGCCTTGCTCATCAAGACTATCTCCCACAAATCGGTCAGGACTCCCTCCTGCGAGTTGCCGAAGAACCAACTGCTCACCAGGCATCGGCCATGCCAAGCACACGTCTTAGCCAAACCGACGAGTACATGATATCGACGTGCCTTTTCCATGCTGAAGAAATCAGAAGCATCGCAATTCACATGTTTGGTGGAGACCAGGTCGACCGTGCGTACATGAGAACACCATTCTGCGGCGTTGCGCTGGTCACAGCTGCCGGTATTTTCCTGTGGCACGCTTACTTTGCAGAAGAGCAGCTGGCAGAGTTTCCTGATAATGGCCTACAAATCCCTTCATCGAAAATGAAAGTACAACAGATTGCCCAAATGATCGACTTGTGGAAGGATGATTGGAAGATCGCGCAGACATGGTGCGAAACGATTGAACTTTTGAACCTCGTGTATGCTGCAGCATACAAGAAACCCGAAATTGAATTTGAACATGTAAATCTCGCCACAAGGGACTCGTCTGCAAGACGTCCACACAGCGAAGAACCCCTCTAGTTTGGAAACGGGGTTCCGGAGCCTGGAGATGCAGACGCTTCGCTGGTCAGAAAGGTCAGGGCTACGCTTCAATCGACTTCAGAGTCTTCCGCGCTACGTCGAGAGCAAACGGAGCATTACATCCAGAAATTGTGGGAGGAGATGCATGCAAACGGGGGTCCAATGTTTTGGGTATGAATCTATCCATGGGGCCACCACTGGACTACGCAGGTATTTCAGATTTGGATGTAGGCACCTTCCCACTCAACGACCCTCTGGACGATTTGTTTCCAGAAATTCGGGATTGAAAACGATGAATACATTAGGCCTAGCAATCGACGTAGGTTTCTAAATGCTTATAACCTTGCTCCAGATTGATCAAAAAAATATGTCCACTGCATGCTTTGCCATGCCCCTGTTTAAGATGAAATGTCAGCCATTTTCCGCTTTCCAGTGAGTGACACGTAGATCTTACCAAGAAGCTTGACAGCCAGCACCGCTAGCGCCGTAGTATGGATGACCAGATGTCCGTCAATGAATTCCGGTTCGAGGCGGGGAGCACCTCTTCGACTTGCTATGCGGTCTGTCAGCTTCAAAACTTCCAGTACTATTTTCAGCATCACGTACGTCGTAAGCCTACGGCGTGGAATATGACTTTGAGGTCTTCGGGTTTACCAAGCTCAGGGACAAGAGCGCAACATCTTCTTTTTATATCCTCTGCAAAGTCTAGAATGACCTCGCCATTCCAATCGTTTTCAACCCGGCAGCCGCCTAGGATAACTCCGCCGCGACGTTGTCGTGGGAAAACGTATATGGTATCGCTATCCACTCGCCTAGGCGAGCGAAAGTACATGCAATTCAAGGGACCCGGCGGTGTCTCAATCAGCATTACTTGTCCCTATCGGAAGAGATTTTAGTCCTGCGTTGATGAACTTTACTCGGTCATAGGAAGACATACACGTGTTGGGTAGAGTTGCTTGTCCACTACCCCTTTGAGGGAATATGATCCCAGTCCCGAGCAGTTGAAGTATACATCTGCAGAATTCTCCTTGAAGAGCTCATCAATGCCAGAGTATGCCGCTCGGCGCATCTCAATGCCTGCTTTACGACACTGCACATGGAGCCTAGCACGTCGTCGGTTCGAGAGATCCATTTTCTCCATTTCGAATGCAGCACAAACCATGCGAGGTACGCCTGAGTGTCACGCATGAAAGTTGGCACGACCATGCCAAAAACACCTCCCACTGGAAGCTGCTCATTGGCAATATTCCTGATGCCGCCAACGAGTCGATCGTACCAAACTTTCGCGTCCCCCTGGCTCAGAACACCGGCCTCTTCAACAGGTCGGTCAAAAAAGGCTCGGATATCCATGCGACGAACACCAGCCTCTGGCACTTCGTCTGCCAGCTTGCCGAAACGTCTCTAAGTCTCTGCATCCCATTCCTCTTTCCGCCCATTGTCTGTAGCTGTCGAAAGCCAATTGGCACCTGCCCAGGGAGAGCAGTACTTGATGCTTCGGTCTCCAGGAAAATACTTGACAAGAATCACGACTCGAGCCGATGCATCACGGCGTTTCAGCTCAAGAGCGGTTGAAAGGCCGATCACACCGGCACCGAAGACCACGCAGGGTCGAGGGACCATGTCTAAGAGACAGCCAGGGTTTAACTCTTTGTGTAACGCGACAGGTGAACCCTTTGAGGAACGAGACTGCCTGCCTTCCGTTTTCGCGGCATAGAAAAAGAATTTCATGTGAACTCAGGAAGCTTTCAGAGCACGTACTAACTCAGCCTCGGAAAGGGACTCTTGTCGGAGCAGAAACATATTGACTGATGGGTCCGGCAACTAAGTGGATATTAGGTTTGTTGATCGGCTGTGCCGCGTCGCTCTCGGACGGTCACATTCACAAAGTGTGTTCCAGATTCGCTTCAGATCGGCTGTGCCGTGTTCTGCAGTGAGGAGGTCATGTGGACGTTGGATCTTGGAAGGGTGGCCACCTCAGGGGGATGGTGCTGTATGTCAAGACAGCGGGGTATAAACCAAGTCCACTCTCCCAACAAGCCATCACCCTACGAACAGTCGCTTCGACAACCTGCATTCAAGTTCTTTTCTTCTTCGCGTTCTAGGCTGAAGGACTGACATTCAAATCCGGTCTTGCTCAGAAGCGCCGGTGCTCCCACATAGTCATAGATCAAAATTCTAAACAAGCCAACATGCTGGGTCCTGAAGAGAAGACTGTCGACCTTGGTCCAGGGACTGGAGAGGTCGTGAGTGTTGATCAGCACTCTTCCCTCATCAAGTCTTACATGCGGAAATGCGATTGGCGCTTGATCCCTGCCTTGTCCTTGACCTACCTTTTCAAGTGAGTGAATCTGTCTACTCCCTCGTCATTGCGCCTCTAACTCCAAGACAGCTCTCTGGACCGCTCTAATCTAGGAAATGCGAAGACCGACGGCCTCGCGAAGGATATTGGACTCACAGGCAATCAGTACAATTTGATACTGTCGCTGTATTATGTGCCGTTTGTGCTTTTCGGCCCGGTTGGAGCCTTTGCCACCAAAAGAGCCACGGCGAAGTACAGCTTATCCATCATGATGATTTGCTTCGGATCGCCTCGCTCTGCACTGGGACTGTGAAGAACTTCTCTGGCCTGCTCGCCTGCCGCTTCTTCGTCGGCATGTTTGAGGCGGGGTTCTTGCCATCGTAAGTTTTCCCAAGTTTGTCACCATGGTGTGGGTTCGTTCCTGATAACATGCAGAGTCGTCGTCTACCTGTCCACCTTCTATACCCGCAATGAACTAGCTTCGCGAATAGGGATATTCTATGCTGCCTCGGTCATTGCATTCGCTTTTGGTGGACTGCTAGCCTATGGATTGTTCCACATCCACAACGCAGGCCACTACAGCTGGTCATTTCTCTTTTTCACCGAAGGATCTCTGACCATTCTATGTGGAATATTCCTCGCTCTGGTCATTCCGAGGACTCTACAAAGCGCGCGGTGGCTTGGACAAGACGAAAATGCAGCCGCCGAGTCCCGTCTGCTGAAACTATGGACCGACAAAATCAACCCGGCATTCTCGTGGAGTGAGGCCTTCTTGAAGCTGAAGACCTTCTACATATATATTAGAAGCTTGATCTCGATCTCCTTTGGAGTCTTGCTTGCCTCAAACGCCAACTTCCTGGCCATCATCACAGTCAGACTCGGATACTCGACGGTGAAGACAAATCTGGTAAGCCAAGCTTCTGTATTCTCCAGACCGACATGGACAAACCTCTTGACCGGTTTTCTCACAGTATACTGTGGCCCCGGACCGGTTTCCTTCCTTTCTCGAAAGTGATGAAGCTTGATACCAGAGAAGAAAGAATCTCGCATTATCCATAAGTTCCCCAAACCGCCACGAAGATTGTGCCCGGCAGAAATGAATCACTCTCCCGACCGTCGATACTTGAACACCGTCAAGCCAAAGTGTCACAGAGAAGAGAATTACACCTCTTTACTTCTTCGAAAATTATTCCGAAGTGAGTTTTTTCTGTACTGACCTCTTAAAGCAAAAAGGGTGCGAAGACCAGAAGCAATATGAGCCAACAATAGGGGATCTACAAAATCTAGGATGTTACGGCCACTGTCAGAAACCATTTGCCCTCAGAGATAAAAACTCCCGACGCAAGAATGTACACCTTGAAAAGATCTGTGCCAGATGCGAATATTGATATTAACGCGATAATAAGGGCAGTGTATAAATCAAAGATCTAACTTTTAACGAAGTGACTTCTTTCGGCCTCTTCCATTCTGTTGCTTCGGTGTTAATACTGCTTTCTTTCCCTCACGACGTTTGCTTCTCCTTTCGGCGACTTTGATTCTGCGATGGCCTTCTGGAACTTTGACGCGAAGCGTAATCTTGGGCGGACCGACTCGCAGTCGTATGCGAGTGATATCGCCGGCGGGGAGAGTAAGTTCTGCGGCGAAAGGGCCGGTTTTGAGAGACCCAGCAGACGCAGCAGACAGTCTCTCTAAGGGTGCGGATGGCATCGGCTCACAAGATGAATTGCGCGCAGTTCCAGCAATGGTCGCTCCACTCCACTGACTCACGCTGTCGTCTGATGGCAGGGCAGGTACGGACAAGGGCGGGAGTGAATGCGAGCATAGATATTGATGGAACAGGGCGTTGACATCGACCTCTCCTGGAATCGACCACGCCATTGGAGATCGTGTAATGGGATGGGAATGAATCACAGTCGAGGTCAACACATTTATCGCCATCGCCGGCGAAAGTTAGAGCATTATCTGCTGTCGGATTGTCTCCTTTGTTTGCTCCGATGGACGGAAGTTCTCTCAATCTGTGATCTGGCCACTGGCCCATTCTAGTGTGAGGCTCTAGGGGAGTTTGCATCATGGCAACGTCCGCAATTCTGCCCACCATAATACGAATACTTTGCTGGGACTACCATCGACAAGAGGTTGACTCCGTTGCATCCGTCACTGCCTAGCTCGGTCAGATCGGTAGCTCAATGGTCCATGGTGCCTCCACGGCATCTGGCGTGCAATACTCCGACTCCGATGGACTGTTTCCGGTCGAACTATGCTTGCGTTCGGAGGAGGGTAAAGAAACCCCGAGGCCCACCGGCGACGCGAGTTTCGTCAACGCCAGATCGGAAAGACTTGGGTCGATCAGTAGGCCTGGGTGTGGGCGGCTGCAGGAGCCGACGGGAGCAGTTGTCTCACTCAACTGCGAGTGGGCCGAGGAGAGCAGAGTGTCGAAGTAGTCTCTCGATGAGACAGCAGGATCAGAGGTCACTGCCATCGCGGCCTTCCCGACAAAGGAGGACTGGTGATTGCCCTCGGGGACGTCAGAAGAGTAGACGGACTTGGCGAAGGCGATGAAGCGGTCTTCGGCTTTCGAACGCGATCGCTTGGCACGACAATGTCGTTTGCTTATGCTGGACCTGGTCCGCTTGTAACAGTGAGTGTCCTGGGCGTGGTATTGGAGATCTACGACGGCATCGAAGGAGAGGCCGCATCGCGGGTCGGGGCACAGCGTCGCCTTTATCTCGTTCGAAGCGAGAGCGAGCTCGTCGTCCTTCTCGAGCCCGTCGAAATGCCCGTCCAGGTGCAGCTGCCAGGGCAGCTTTTTCGTGAACTGACGGAACCGCTCGTCGGGTGGGAGTAGCGAGTTAAACAGGCAGAAAGGGCAGTGACCAGCTGCGGTCAAGGTCTGACGGAAAATCAGGGGATTCCACTGGACTGGTAGCGACTCTATATCGTCCAGATGGCGCCGGCAATGCTCGCGCCAACCCTGCTTGCCGGTGATCCACTCGTCACATTGGAAGCACAGCTCGGCAGAGCCGTGTTTGGCTGCGAGACTGGTCTTATGGCATCGGTAAATGTGATCCCATCGGGCCGCGAGATGGAGGCTGTCGAAGTCAACGTAGTCAGCTAGCCGCCGTTGGCTGGATGGGAATTGAAGACATCCCTGAGGGAGGAGTCACTCGCCTTTCCATCTCGACCGCGCACGCCGATACGGGACAGCGGTCGCTCTCTGGACGCAGACTCGGGCGGTAGGCCACCTTAGGGTTCTCTCGACACAGGGTAATCATATCTTGGAGAGCCACACGCCCCTCAGGGCTCCGGAGAGGAACGTCGAAAAAAAGAGAGGAGGCCAGACGGTCACGAGGTGGATCCAGCCGCCGGACACGGCTGAAGAAGCTGGGGAGCGATGCGACAGGCGATGCCTCGTTTTCGGTGTCCTGGTGGACCTTCCGGGGTTGGATCTCCTGCCACCTGCTGAGTTCTTCCGACACCATCTGGCGTTTCTGCCAATACAGCTCCTCCCGACGGGTCCGTTCAGGCTTGCTGTCGTGCACGAGTGAAAGGTGTCGGATCCGTTCTCCGAGGAGCTCGATCTCCTCGTTGAGCGCGATGAAGTCGGCGCGCCCTTTCAGATCCGCCTGCACCTTAGCCGGCAGCGATTGCAGCATCTGCGGGTGGTGCTGCAGTGAGAGACCGCGGAAGCCCTCCAGGTAGACAGTACGGCGGGGTTTTCCCCAGTAGCTGGATTGCCCGTCGACGGTACTTATTTGAGGCATGTATGAGCCGAAGAAGGTGTCGGAATTTTCGTGACCTGCAAACTTCATTCTCTCCGCGGTCGAGTAGCCGTTGTCTGCGGCCGAGGTTAGCACTTTCCGTACCAGCGTTCTCGTCGAGTAGAATCTACCGTCAGCCTTGACCAGCACCTCCCTTCTAAAATCGTGAACCCGGATATTTTCTTTATACCCGGCTCGATGGCCCAAGCCGACGAGCCCTGTGCTGAAGGAAACTGCAGGTTGAATCCTTCCCGTCGGCCCCTCGGGGGACATGGTCCGGAAAAAAGGTACCTGGTGCAGCTCTTTCCGAATTCGAAGATGGTGTAAGGACCCATCGACCGGGGCCGGGATCGCCTCGATTTCCTCGAAGGTGAGGTAATCTTGGAAGGCGCCATCGGCGAGGGCGATGGCCAGTAAGGGCAGGACCGGATTCGCGTACAGCGGTTGCATATTCTCATACATTCCATGCTGTGGTCTGGGGGAAGCTTAATGTCAGAAGTATACTCGTTTCAAGCGGAGAAGGGGAAGTTTTCGGTCAACCAACCTTTTGTGTGGCTTATTGGTGAAGCCTTTCGCGTCGCGCGTGGCCCGCACGGCGAGCTCCGGCTCTCCTTGCTCATTCTTGAAGACGACGAAGACGACATCCTACATCCGAATTGTTAGCACGGGCCCAATCCAGTTTGGATGGCACGATATTCTTACCTTATACAGTAACCCTCGTCCGGAGCCGCGGCGCATGTTGGATTCGAAGATTTCTCCCACCCTCGACGGCGTGTAAACGAAGAGGATGCAGGCCGCGTGGTTCTGAACCAGGCTCCTCGGATGTGTATACTGGTGCCAATCCTTTTGCCACTCATGTTTGATCAGAACGATAAAATGGGGCACCGTCATAAAATGTGGCTGCCGTCGTTCGGTTGAGAGGTGGTACCTTTTCTTCAACACCGTTTCTATGTACTGATACGAACTCTCAGCTTCGCCGACAGAAGTGAAGTGGGATCGAAGAGACAGGATACGAACATAGTACACTGACTCCGACACCTCGTGGGGGATCTTTCGGTTACCAGGTTGTCGCTTCCAAGCGGCGCCAAAGTCGGTCCACTTTTGCTTCATGTAGCACAGACTCAGGCCAGTCTTGCTCCCCTTCACAATACCCTCCATGAAATGCTTCGCAGACCGTAAATCGTAGGGGGTAACACCAGGGTTTCGCCTTGCATACCTATATCCCAAAGTTCACCTTTATTAGCAGAGCCCAGCAGAGCCCAGCAAGGCCCTTGGGCGGGCGAAGAACTTACTCGTCCCAGAGGATGGTCATTCGATCGTAGTTCAGCTCCGTCCCGGATTCAATAGGTCTGCTAACCGGATCTCCATTCACCTCGGCGTTCGCAATCGGCTCCCAGCCGTTCTCCTCCGCTTCATCGAAGACTTCCGCCGCGGTTTTCTTTCTCTTCGGCATTAATTAAACAGGGAGCGGGACCGGAAACGCCGAGAGGAAAGGCAAAAGAAGACGACTGGGGAGGGAGGGAGGGTTCAAGTACGACGAAATGCCAGTCAGGTGCGTTTAGGTAGTCAGGAGACCGGATAGAAGGAGTGATTCACACGATAAGTAGAGCGAGGGCGGGGGGAAATGTTAAGGATCAAGAGAGGGAGAGGGAAAGAAAGAGAAGACATTGAAAGGAAAAGAGGGAGAGAAGCATTGTCCTACAGAACTGGGGGATTCAGTTGACCACGTCGAGCGATGTAGCAGGGCATCCTCGCAGGGACCCTACCTTTCTTTCATCAGGGCCAAAACGGGCCCTCATAGACGTGATCGGGTCAAGTTACCACGAGGCTGGATGTGAGCGACATTGGCGCCTGTAAGATTGGAGCCCAAAGGGGGGCCATCCCTGCGGCAGGCGAGCGAAGCACGGCAGGAGCGGGCCAGAGCCGTCAGAGAGCATGAAGGAGCATGGGGGAGCAGAAGGGAGTAGCAAGGGAGCACGAGAGAGAGGAAGGGAGGAGAAGAGAGCGGACGAGGGAGCGAATCGACTAAATAGTTATTAGCGCGAGAGCAAAGCGGCGAGGGATGAGTCAGCGAAACGGGCATGGTGGTCGACTGTTCGGGGATTATATATATATATATATATTTATATACTCCGTACACATACCTCAATGAGGTTTGATATGATACAAAAGGAGCCAACCCTCCTTCCTCTCCCCCCCCAAAGTCAATCACTTGTCACTGGTTGCTTAATCAAGTACTTTTGTCAGAAAGTATTGTCAATGTTTTACAAAACATGGGGTCCAGGATCAAATCATACGTGACCACATCTGACGGTATAAAGTGGTATTACGAAAGGGAAGGGTCAGGACCGAACCACATCGTTTTGATTCCTGATGGCTTGGGAGATTGTGAATTGTACGACAAGGTCATGTCATTGATTGTGACAAACAAAAGACTTTTGTGTCACCACTTTTGATATGCCTGGTATGTCGAGATCTGGTCAAGAAGCCCCCAATCGAAACTTGTACAAATGTCACTACACAAAAATTGGCAAAATATATCGTTACGTTGTTGGACGAATTGGACGAACAAGACAAAGACGGCGATACCGGTACCACCACCACCACCACCACTCCAACGACATTTTTCGGTTGTCGTTCCGGTGCTTCTACGGTCTTGGCTTTGTTGTTGGATCATCCTGATCGAGTACGAAATGTCATGCCACATGAATGTCCCACGGAAAATAAAAATCCCCGTCTCGGGAGACCAACGACCCAAGACGATCAAACCATGATCAAAAAACATGAGAATCATGGCCAGAGATATGGCCGGTACCGACCCCGAATCGATCCAAAGATGGGAAGCTCTAGGTGAACATGTCCATTCGAGGTTGGATCGGAATTACGTCCGTTGGGCGAGAGGATACCCCTTTGACCATCCCGACGAGTTCACCAGTTTCGGACCCGACAAAACTCAAGGGCAAACCTGTAGATTGGTCGGTGGGTGGTTCGACCCCCATGGAAAGGTTCGTTCCTTGACAATGTGACAACCGCGACAAAGGCCGGACTCGACATTACATGCTTGCCAGGTTCACATTTCCCGTACGTCTCTCATCCGGAGATATTGGCGAATCATATAGTCGAAACGACCAAGAAATATCTGTAGCAAGACCAAACGAACAAACACACAGGAACTGACGGTCAAGAAGAGACGAAGGGGGAAAGAAAACACATAAACACACACACACACACACACACACACAAAAAGAAAAAGAAAAAGCCTATGTTGTGAGGAATCATCATCTGTAATTAGTCGGGTTCATGAATGAAATGAAACCTTTTGTTTTGTTGCAATATGATTTTTTGAATGCAGTAATGTTGCATACCAACTTGAACCAATTTGACCTCACGCCTGCAGGAGTAGTAGTAGAATGGGTATCGTATCGTAGGACTTTGATGAGACCAGAAAAACTCCCCGAGGTCCCTTCCACACTCATCTCTTCAATACTCCCATTCATCCGAGTAACGCCCTGTTCAATTCCTGCCATTCAGAAATCCCCCTCATCATTAGTTTGTTGATTGTGCAAGGGTATTTGAAAATCACGGTTGGCTTTGAACTATCTTCGACCATAGAAACTGAAACTCCAGGACTGGACCCAAGGCCGAAAGAAACCAGTAATTCGCAATCAAAAGACACACGTTGGTGGTGATGAGCAGATATTCATGCATGCTTGATCGGTTTGCCCTTTCTTTCACGTCTGATCAATGACGGCTTCGACAACTCGGGGGCATGAACATCGCTGGGCGATCGAGGACGACTTCAGGTCGCAAATCGACCCACCACCAATGCCTGTATGATGTGACCTTCTTTCCAACCTTGTTCGGGAAGATTGAGTTTGTCATCGAGAATTTTGCCGAGATATGCGATACGGATTCGAGCTGGTTTGGGTATCTATATCAACAAGTCAGCAACGCGGTCAGACTTTTCCTGAGAAAATAACCACACTAACCTCAGTTTCCTCTCTGATCCTCTCCGCCAACAATCCAACTCGCTGTGTCTTACCGAGAGGGATGACAACGTCCGGTCCGCCACGATCGCTCAATCGACAGCGCACGTTAACAGCGTCCTTATCGACGACCGCCTTGCCTTTCACCTCCTTGGTCTTTTCTGTGTCGATTTGTGACTGAGAAACATCTTCCATCTTCGTATCCTCGGTGGCCTCGAGTTTCGCAGCTAGGGTGTCAGAGTCGGCGGGTCCGGAGACGGTTTGACTGTCCATGTCTGCAATATCCTCAATCACGTCCGTGGGATCAGATATCACGGCTTGCGGTATTTTGTAAAGGGTTCCTTGTGAATCGTACGCTCCTTCTTCGAGACGACCGGTCGGGAGTGTAACTTCTAGTGCGTCGAGGATCCCTTGTGCGTCTGCCAGATCCCCTTCGCGGAGACACTCGATGGCTTGTTTGAGACCTTCCCAAATCTCGGTTCTCCCTGTCACTCTCGTCTCGAAGAACTCGTATCTTTCTCGCTGGAGTCGCGTGCGTGTCCACGTCCTATCTTTACCCGTCCAAGGCTTGGGAGGTTGGAGAGGGAGGTTGTAGTGTTCTGCCAGCGAAAGTGACCGGCCAGGCTGTGATCGATGGTTTTGGACCGAATGTCTAGGCGTGGAGAGGGCAGAGTGAGATGTCTCACTTTGTGGAATGGAGAGGCCCGACGGGGGCGCAAGGGAATTGCTACCATGTTGGTCTTGCGTCGAGCTGTTAATCGCCGTCTGCGAGGTTATGGCCTGAGGGGAAGTGTGTCGGACTGGAGGGGGCGCAATGGCTCGCCCATGTTGAGGGCTTTCAGAGTTGTCAGGTCGCGATGAACAACAACCCTGGTGGTAGCAAAAAAAAGAGGTCAGTCGTGGTCGCGATTGTGAGGGACTCCGACGTCCACAAAGGCCGGGGATTTGTTACTGCGTCGTCGTCGCCGAGGAGGGCTACACTCACCATGGTTTTAGATCATGTTGTATAATGTATGTAGTGGTGGCCTTGCTCCTGTACAAAGAGTTCTTCTTTCGACAAAAATTATCAATATTCATCAAAGCATTGTGTCGCTTGTAACGCTGGGGAAGTGAATTGGTGGTTGGAAGATGCGACCGACTATGGGTAGTCCAACGAACTCTCTGTTCACAGAACGAAGAGGCCGGACCGGCAAAAAGTCCACAACAATCCAAGCCACAACGAGTGTCAAAGGAGATTCGTCAGCAGTGGCAGCATACGGATTATAGAGTCGCAGCACTGGTTGTCGCTTGTCGTTGTCAAGGAAGAAACAAGTAATTACTGTACAGAAGACAACAGGATCAGGAAGTATGATATGGATGGGGTAGATAGACTCTAGGTATGAAGTAGTCGTAATGGGCTTGGATCATCATTATCTTCCTCACCATTACGGAGTATCATCATCATCATCATTATCAATCAAGGGTCGCGATCGAGTAAATCGCCAACCAACCGCCTAACAAGGCTCCCTGGTCTCGGTAAACGCACTGTTTCTCACATGCAAAGGTCACCCATTCATTGATTGCAAATACCCTTCTTTTACTGTGCCGCGGCCGTTCTCCATCTGAGAGATTTTGTAGAAAACTCATACTGGCCATCTACTAGAAGCATGTCTGTCACTGCTGTACCAACCTAAGTCTTCACCTTTGACTGCCTCGTCTCACCTGTAAGATTACGAATCTTGCCCAGGGTTCTCCGTACTTTTCGCTGTCCTCTTCAACGTACTCGCATCGATCTCTCAATCAAGTATCCCGTGGGCGACGAGGTGGGAAGAATCTCAAATTCAGTCCTAAAATATTGCTAATCATCATCATACGAAAAAAATTACAATTGTAGGTCTCTTAGAAACTGGTTAGAAGTGGCTTCCACCCATGTCATGTACAAACACTATACAGTAAAAAAAACAATGTCCACTCGTCGTCGTCGTAATCATCGAAATTCAATCGATGGACACACGCCTTTCCCCCAAACGCCTTGCTTGCCTTCGTGCTTTAATTCGAGTTGTTGATACCTGTTTCTTCCTAGTTAGCGACAACGAACCACAATCCCAAAAGTTGGTCAATACTCACTTCTCGCTCTTCGAGTGGAAATATATACCACTGACCCTCCCCTCGACTTGATTGAAACAAATGTAATAGAAGCCTTCAAAACTGGCCCCTTGGATGCTTTTCAGCTTGTAGTCCGGCACCAGAAAGTGCTCCTTCCATCGCATGAAAATGTAGTCTTGCTGCCACCAATTCTCGTCATTCAATGGGTACACGAAATTGATGTTCCGCTTGGCCTGAAGACTGAGCGGTCTCCAGGCAGGGAACCTCGCCCAGTGAGTGAGATCGGTTTTGTCACTGGCACCCCACGCCGGATCTCGTGTTCTGAAGCTGTACTTCTGCTCAGGCCCGCCGATGATTTCTCCCGTGAAGAATGTCGTCAGGGTCGGATGGTCGGGGGTTAGTCCGCAAATTTGTAAATAACCCGACATGGTCGACTGCTCAATGTCGACAGTCAATATAGTTACTTCGACGTTGTAAATCTGCCGGTCGGATTGTTGTGTTCCCTTGAACTTCGAGTATGGTTGAAAAGTAGACGAGGGATACTGAGGCCGTAATCGCTTCCTCGAGAACTCCCATGCCTTTGAAGTGTCTGACCAGTCAAGTTTCTGGTCGATGGACGAAACTCCTGCTTTATCGTGGGCAAGCCTTTGCCCTTGTTCTTCCAGCGATGGGTTGGGCCGGGGTGATGCTGTCGTGGCATCGCTCGCTGCTGCGGCTGCTCGGGAAGTGGCGTCCGCGTCGTCTGTAGACACTGGCGTCACATTGACACTTCTGCTCAGGTCGATTCCAGGCCCGCCAGTATGACCATTTATCGACGACTCGTCATCCATTTTAATGTCGTGATCCTCGCTTATCGCAGCGGCGCTCCCGTGTTGGGCTTGCGGAGGCATCTTCTCTTCGTATGCTTCCGCGAAAGCGTATATACTGTCCTCTTGCATTAATGACATGCCCGCAGCAGTATTGTCACGTTCGACCGTCCGCGTGATTCCATGACTGCTCGCCGCCCTTTGTCGGATGGTCCTTAGGTCTAAGGCTTGATCTTCATCAGTTTCGGACGGCGGCGTTAGTGGTGCAGGGCATGCGACATTTGCCTGGTCGGCTTCGAGGTGATTACGGGCGCTGGACCTATCCGGTGCATGAGACGGCATTGAATGGGGAGGAGGCGCTGAGATATCATAAGGGCCGCGTGACCAAGTAAGCAAAAAAGAGGACGGGCGGACGGAGTGGTTTGCGACAGTATACGAGGAAGGGAGGTCAAGTAAATTCAAATGGTTGCCATAGTAGGGGAAATGGCACGAATAAGTGAAATGATGTGATGATGAATTGGCGTGGAGAGATACAAGTACTGCTAAGTCGGTGGAAACGGACGGGTTGAGGCCATAGCAAGAATCCTGACATAACCAGCCTCGACCCCCGAAGCCGGCCCGGAATGATCTGGGTCTTTGCGGGGTAACAATAGTCCACCCATCGCAATAGCGAAACAGTCCTATACAAGGAATGAATGGTATGACCGCCATCCGGATCATGTTTGGGAATATTTCAGCCTCATCAGCTTGATGCAACCTCCAAAACCACCTTATGATTCTTTGCATTTGTCAACAGCCTCCATGCTCAGTCACGATGAGGCGAGCATCCGTCCATCCCCCACGTCCATGGGTGGCGCGCTTCGATCAGAAATCGGCTACATATTTGACCTACTTCTGTCGCAGATTCACCAGATACATCTTCTTCAAGAGCCACTTCTTGATGCCGTGAAGAACAACGCCACGAAGGCGAGGGCGCTGACGCGTGGTAGTGTTGCGACGTTTCGAGAGATCGGGTCGACAACATGATCGTATTCGCCTGGATCGTTCTAGATGGGCTTGATCTAACGAGAAGAGTTAGTCCTGGCCTGAAGATATCACATTAAACAGTGCCGACATACCTTGAAGTGCAGCGAAATTAACGAGAATACCAGAGCCTTAAGATCCTGCACTAGGTAATAAAACACTCTCAATCCTTCCGGGTCTGCAGAGTCCGTCACATCGCCCAGTGATCCAATCTTTGCTGTCTAGATAGGGCGATCAATTGTGTATTCCACTCTCGTTGCATTTTGGACATACCTCAAATTGTATATGGTCGCTTCCGACTCGAATTTCCAACTCTTGTCTTCCGTCCTTGTTCTTTTGAGGCCATCGCGAATCATCTTCCTTCATGATCTCGCTGTCTTTGATGATGCGCTTGATCTCAGAAATCAGGAGTGCGCTGACCGACACTATTGCACTTCGTCAGGCTGGATCCGAGCCGAGGGTAAGGGCATCATACTCTCTTTGCGAATAAGGGAATCGTTGCGGTAGTTGGAGTTGTTGGCATATCTTGCCACTGCGCTTCTTCCATCACCAATTACCCGGAAGTCGAACTCTGTGACAAAGGCATTAGTAGACGTCCGAGATGCCATGACCGTACTGGTGATCGATACCTAAGAATTCATGACCAAATCGACCAGAATGGCCAGAACTGCCGCTCGTCAGTATTTTCCCTCTCCCCAAACGAAGTGGACCGCATACTAGTAGCGCACATAAAAGGGCTCGCTTGTGTCTGCCTTGGACATTGTCGCTGCTGTTGGAATATGTAGGAGGTATAATTCGTCTTTAGAAGACTGGGCAAGTGTTTTCTGGCGCGTTGACTTTATCGAAGGGCTTAACATTTGGATTCAGATGCGGAGAATTGCAGCTCTAGCTTGCCAAGGCTGCGGTTGTTTTCAGACGAGGCTGAGACTACCCAAGTCATGATCTCCTTCGCAATCCTCTTCCCCTTGTACGACTGTACTGTATGTTCCAAAATCTTTACAATGCATTTGCGACAAACAAAATAGATTGACTGCCTATGTTTGAAGCTGGTCATAGAAGCCCTCAGAATTGATGAACGCGCATCGCTCAAGCAACTGAGACTCAATTCCGACACTACTACTCTTATTGAACTCGTGTTGCCCAGCATTTGGTCCGCCGATGACTCTCACACTCGCATTTTGTACAGCTTGTCCCTTCACGGATGCTTCGGTCTTGTTGTATGCTTGTCCCCAACCTGCCAAAGAGATGGAAGCATTGCCACTCGGATTGCCCGTTGACGCAAAATGTGCCCAGCTACCTGACATTCTCGTTTGAACCACCTCTTGTGCCGCATTGATACCCAACCCGATATTGGCGTTGTTGAAAACGAAGGGAACATCTGAAACATGTATTACCCCTTCAAATCCTGCGCCAGAAAGTTGCAACAGAGCGCCAAACGTGGTCTCGTTCAGCTCGTACAAGTAACTATGCCCCCCGTATTGAGCGATGTGGTGGGCGGCGTCAATTGCCGGGCACGCAAAATTCACGTCTCGATAGATTTCTGCCGCTTGAAGGTAGTACGGCGAGGCTTGTACTGCAGTCGCAGTTGCCAGGAAGTCTTTGACAGGGTACAGAGACATCAGGGTCTTCTTTGTTGTGGCATTGAGGTGTGGATAAGAGGCAGCTAGATAACCCTGTACCGCCTGGGAAGTGTTCAGTAGAGGACTCGCAAATATACTACCGTCGTTATAATTCCATCCTGCGATGACGGAAACATTTTTGTGAAACAGGCCTTTTCGCAACAGAGCCGAGGGTGCTTGAGGTATGAAATCGCCATCTATTGTGGGAAAGAAGATGTCCTGAGATGTCTGGTTGGCAGTTATATTCTCGTATTGCAGCACAGCTTGCAGTAGCGCTGGCATTGGTAGTTGTCGAAGACAGGTCAACGCCATCGAGCTGTTCGTGCTTGTACACCCTGCGAGACGAGCGACGGTGCTGGTGCTGGTGACCGTGAAATTGCCGGAGACGCCTGGATCTGCCGCTGGTGAACCTGATTGCATTATCCCACGCTGAAAAGGGATTGATCCTGCAAATGTAGGTTAGTACCACCCCAGATGTTGCGGATATTGACTTAACCTTTTCCGCCATAAGCAGTGATTTGCAACCCTACCCCAGTCCCACCATCGCTTTGACCGAACAGCGTGACCTCTTTAGGGTTCCCTCCAAAGACTGCAATGTTCTGTTGGATCCACGTGAGTGCAAGTCGCTGATCCAGCAAACCTGAGTTGAGAGATTTCTCCGCTCGAAGGGCAGGGCTATTCCCGAATCCAAAGACGTTCATTCGATAGTTCATAGCCGCGAATATGACCGGAGTCCCTTTGCTTTTGGCTCCCATAACCAGAGCAGTTGGGTCATATAGTGAGTAATTGGTGGAACCATATTCATCACCACCGCCGTAAATCCACACTAGGACCGGCAGGTTTGCATTCTGTTTCGCCCCCGAAGGTCTTGCAATCCTCAAGTTCAAGCAATCTTCAGATAAGTTATACACGCCTTCATTGACAGTCAGCCCGGCGAAGGATTGCAACGTCTTTTGTGGGCAGGATGGTCCTGCGGCGGTTGCTTGTACAGTGGTTCCATTCGGATAGGCGAATGCTTCAGGGTGTTTGAACCGGCTCATGCCCGAAGTATCTTTGCCATATCTGATGCCTTGAAAGTTGTCCACATTGCGGTCAGTGTAACCTATGTATGTCAGGTTGTGTGCATCATCGTGGACAGTCACTGGAGACTGAGCCACAACAAGGGCGGCAAAGACGAGAATGATATGCCAACTTAGTGACATTGTGTGTTATTCCGCTACGAGTAGACACAATGACATGCACGGATTGAATGAAACAATTGCAGAAGGCTTCATTAAGGCCGATGATGCCTGGGGGCAGGAGGTCTGTCTAGATCCGGGGTGCCTGTTGTCACAGAGAGTTCTGGCTGACTGGCCTGGATTAGAGGGGAAGCATTACGTTGCTGCATCGCATACTAGGGTCGGCTTTGTGAGACTTCACCCCAATTGGTAGCGATTCGTCATTCACGGATAGCGTGAGCATAGTGCCAGCAAACGTCACCACTCGAATGGCCATATGCAGGGCTTACCAGGCATGAATTTCATGGGTACAGCTGGCCGTGAAGAGTCTGTAGAAGGGCACTGCATAGTTGATCTGTTGTCGTAGGCCTGTTTGTGAATGCACCACAGAACAAATTGAAATCCGGGCACTTTTCTTTCGCTCGAAAGTGCTGCAGTACCAACTCGTTCTGGAATATTGATAGCTCATAGCAGAACTATATTGCTAAGGAGACAGTTGGCCGTATTATTTGCTTCATTCATCAGCCTTAGAGAGAAATGCAGTCCAGGGAGAAAATAGAGTCAATTCAGCGCAGAAGGTGAAGCCAGCACAAAGTCGAGCCACGTGACATGTCGCCAAGGCGTGTTGATATTCTGGACACCGAGTCCCCTGGGCATTTGGGAACATGAATTCTGGCATCAGTGTCCTGTCCGCAGATCAAGGCTCCTTACCCTGAGTTCCTAATTGAACACTAAGAATCTTGACCTGTTGGGCAGGTCTCAAATCGGATGATGCGTTGAGCACTCGTCACCTCTCAATCTTGCACACCTTTTACATCTTCCCGACACCTTTCCCCTCGCGCGGCGCGGTCGACATCCTCCCAACTCCTGGCCCAAGCCTCGTCAGGGGACGATTGTTGCAATCATGGCCACTTTTCTAGACAACTCCTACAGTCTGGTCCATCTGGACAACACTGCAGACCAGCCGAGCCAACAAGACCTAAAAACACAACTGGAAAAGGGCACAGATGAGACCAAGCTGGACACAATGCGGAGGATCCTGACCATGATGTTGAACGGGGACCCTATGCCCAACCTACTTATGCACATCATTCGCTTTGTAATGCCCTCAAAAAGCAAACCTCTCAAGAAACTCCTATACTTCTATTACGAAATATGCCCGAAGCACGACGCGAATGGAAAGCTGAAGCAAGAAATGATTCTAGTCTGGTACGTCAGACACATTTGGGATTTCTTGCAGAACTAATTGAGAGCAGCAATGGTATTCGAAACGACCTTCAACATCCGAACGAGTTCGTTCGGGGCAATACTCTACGATTCCTCTCTAAGCTCCGCGAACCTGAACTCATCGAACCTTTACTCTCCGCCGCACAAACTTGCCTCGATCATAGACATGCCTATGTGAGAAAGAATGCAGTCTGGGCGCTAGCTTCTGTCTATCAGCATGCTCAGCATCTCATTCCCGACGCTCCGGAAATGCTACACACCTTCCTAGCGGGCGAGAGTGACACCACGTGCAAGCGAAATGCCTTCGCCGCTCTAATGAGCATAAGCCACGAGAAGGCTCTAGACTACCTGACTGGGGTTTTGGATGGGATACCAAATGCAGAGGAATTATTGCAATTGGTAGAGCTCGAGTTTATAAGGAAGGACGCAGTACAGAATCAAGCGAACAAGGCGCGATACCTGCGGTTGATATTCGACTTGCTGGAAGCGAATACTAGCACGGTCATTTACGAAGCCGCAACCTCTCTTACAGCGCTCACCAGCAACCCTGTCGCGGTCAAAGCAGCAGCCGGGAAGTTGATCGAGTTGAGTATCAAGGAGGCAGACAACAATGTCAAACTTATTGTGCTTGACCGGGTCGAACAGCTTCGAAGACGAAATGAGGGTGTTCTAGATGACTTGGCAATGGAGATCCTTCGTGTCCTCTCTAGTCCTGACCTCGACGTCCGAAGAAAGGCACTGAGCATCGCGCTCGAGATGGTCTCGAGCAAGAATGTTCAGGAGGTGGTTATGCTACTTAAGAAAGAGTTGAGCAAGACCGTAGTGGAACAGTACGAGAAGAACTCCGAGTACCGGCAACTCCTGATACAGTCAATCCATCAATGCGCGATCAAATTTTCGGAAATTGCAGCAAGCGTTGTGGATGTGTTGATGGACTTTATTGCGGATTTCAATAACAGTTCAGCGGTTGATGTTATATCTTTCGTCAAAGAAGTGGTCGAAAAGTTCCCCAACCTCAGATCATCAATTGTGGAGAGGCTGGTTTCCACGCTTGGTGAAGTTCGGGCTGGCAAGGTCTATCGCGGATCTCTATGGGTTATTGGCGAGTACTCACTCCAAGAGAACGACATCAAAGAGGCATGGAAACGAATTCGGGCCAGTTTAGGAGAGATCCCTATCCTAGCTTCCGAGCAGCGACTGCTCGATGAGCAATCCCATGATGACAATGACGAGCCATCCAAAGACCAAGTCAATGGACACGCACCCAAGGCACCTGCAAGCGGATCTCGAAAAGTTCTGGCGGATGGCACATACGCCACTGAATCTGCCCTGACCAGTGATTCTGCTGCTAAAGCCAGACTAGAAGCAGTCAAGGCGGCCCAGAAACCGCCGTTAAGACAGCTAATATTGGACGGCGACTACTATCTTGGTACTGTGCTTTCATCAACACTTACGAAACTGGTCATGCGACACTCTGAAATCTCTTCCGACCAGGCACGCACCAATGCCCTACGCGCCGAGGCTATGTTGATCATGATTTCCATCGTACGCGTTGGACAGTCACAATTCGTCAAGGCTCCTATCGATGAGGATTCGATGGACCGCATTATGTCCTGCGTCAGAGCTCTGGCGGAATTCACAGAACGCAAAGAGCTTGAGACCTCCTTCCTGGACGACACCCGCAAAGCATTCAGAGCTATGGTGCAGGTCGAAGAGAAGAAACGCGCGGCTAAGGAGGCGGTTGAGAAGGCAAAGACCGCGGTCCAGGTTGACGACGTCTTCTCAATACGACAACTTGCTAAGAAGAGTGCAAGTGACGGTACCGACGACATGGAACTTGACCTAGAGAAAGCCACTGGCGGGGATGCTGGATTCGAAGATCTATCATCCAAGCTCAACCGAGTTGTTCAGTTGACGGGCTTTTCAGATCCTGTCTATGCGGAAGCCTATGTCAAGGTACATCAATTTGACATTGTATTGGACGTGCTTCTTGTGAACCAGACGAGAGAAACTCTGCAGAACTTGTCTGTGGAATTTGCGACGTTGGGCGATCTAAAGGTGGTAGAGAGACCAACAACCCATAATCTCGGCCCACAAGATTTCCTGAATGTTCAATCAACCATCAAGGTGTCGAGTACCGACACAGGCGTGATATTCGGTAACATCGTCTATGACTCGCCCTCGGGAACAGACACCCACGTTGTAATTCTGAACGATATACATGCCGACATTATGGATTACATACAACCTGCAACCTGCTCTGAATCTGCATTCAGAACGATGTGGACCGAATTTGAATGGGAAAACAAGGTCAACATCAACAGCAAAGCGACCAACAAGACTCTTAGGGAGTTTTTGGACCAATTAATGAAGAGCACGAATATGACGTGCTTAACTCCTGATGCTGGGCTGAAAGGTGACTGTCAGTTCCTCAGCGCCAATCTCTACGCTCGGAGCGTATTTGGTAAGTGGCAGAGTGCGTCTTACTTGTGGTTACACGTTGACTGACTTGTATACAGGGGAGGATGCATTGGCGAATCTGAGCATTGAAAAGACGGCGGATAACTCGATCATTGGCTTCATTCGAATCCGATCTCGTTCTCAAGGTCTGGCGCTGAGTCTAGGTTCTCTCAAAGGGTTAAAGGCTGGCACATACTAGGAGTTTGTGTTGTAGTCGAGCAAATAGAAATGAGCACCGTTGTAGGAGTATTCAAAAAATACCTCCGGATGATTTGGACGAAAAATGAACAAATAGTAGATCAGACCAAAGCATCATTTTCACATGCAAAGCTGAAAAGAGGTCTGGCCCCTGTAAATCGCAAAGTGGGTGTTGACACCATGTATTATGCCTATTCTACTGTGCTTGCTGTAACCACAAAGTACCTAACAATACTCCGTACAAAGAACCCAGTCTCTTGGGCTTGTCCAGTACTGCATCCGGATACTCCGTATGCACCTAGTTTTATCCACTCATCGAGTAACCTTCAAGTACTCCATACCGACAACAAGGCTCCCTCTGCCCTACCGACTACGTACAATTGTCTCCCAGCCATCTCATTCTGCCAACAAATTCCATCTCGCAAGGTGACCAAGATGTGCAGCCCCAGATTTCATCCTGCATTACTTTGGCAGTAAGTGATGCTTCACTTGAGACCCTCGTTCGTAGTTTTACTCCGTACATGAGCGTTCTATCTTACAATGTTTTTCCTCGCACCCTAATTCCAGAGACTTCCCTTTGTCGACGTCGACCTACGAATCCTGCCAACGACTGCACCCATGGCACCATGGCTGCGTCTAGCAGCCCTCCCTTCTTCCCTCCTTCTCTTTATTGCCAATTCCGCAGTCCCGGTAGCGGCGCAGCATTCGAGATGGCCTTACAACCTACCCCCCGAAGTGAAATACTACCCCGAAGATGAATTCCTTCTCAAGCGGGACATTGATGTCCAACAGAAACTTCAAGAGCAACCAGTGACGGGAGTTCGTAAAATGAGCCATGATCCAGGAGAGAAATTCTATCTTGATTACTGGGGCTTTAACGAGGAAGATGAAGAGATGAGCTACTTGACATACACGAATGCGACGATCTGGGCAACATTACATCGACCAATGCGTGTCCACTCACAACCCGGCAATCAGAGCTTCTTTGCCCGCCTACCAGGCTGGAATCTACTGTCTAAACGAGATTTTCAATGTCCATCCGGAACATCGGCATGTACATCCATCAACCGGCCCAACAGCTGCTGCGCCTCCGGTTCGACATGTGAGATCGTTGAGGACACGGGTCTCGGTGACGTTGGTTGTTGTCCCAGCGGCCAAACTTGCGCAGGAACTCTGTCGAGTTGCGAAGAAGGCTACACCAGTTGTCCCAACGACCCGGGCGGAGGTTGCTGTATTCCTGGATATGCATGCTACGATGTAGGGTGCGTGCAAACGTCTTATGCAACACTCACCCCGTCTTCAGTGCCAACCCCGTCAACGACAACCGTAACATCCTACACAACTATCACGCCGTCGGCAAGTACACACTCTACGTCAACGAGTCGGACCTCGATTTCGACGACATCCCAATCGACCAGCCTCGAGCCTCAAATATCGACCGTGACGAGAACTGTTACCGTGACATCGACGCCGAATGTTCTGACCTGCTCCTCGGGCTATCGCTCCTGTCCCGCAACTCTGGGGGGCGGCTGTTGTCCCACCGATCGATCATGCGGCTCTGCCAATTGTCCTGCAAGCACTTCCTCCCCGACCCCCGCTCCTCCAGTCCGCCCAACTACTTTGACGACCACGGAGGTGACAACCACGGTGACGCCAAACTCAAAATCAACAGCGAGCCTGACAACAACAACCTCGAGCTCGAGCGCTACGGTGACAGGCTGCCCGACAGGCTTCTACGCTTGTTCAGCATACTACCAAGGTGGATGCTGCCAGATTGGTCGGAACTGCGACACCACTTCTTGCCCAGCATCCGCTTCAACGACACTCGTTTCAGGCAGCACACTCACTATCGCCGCTCCGACAGGCAGTGGGATTACAGCACCCGGCACAGTCCTGACTGGTAGCTGTGCGCAAGGCTGGATGACATGCTCTGCTGATTTAGGAGGAGGATGCTGTCCTAGTGGGTACCAGTGCGGCATCACCAGTTGTGCAGCACTGGCAACAGGAGGTGCTGGAGTAGGCAAGATGCCACCGAATGGCGCCGGGAAATGCAACATAAACATGGGCATGGCTTTGGCTATCACGATAATGAGCTTTGGGGCATTGTGGTTGTAATGTGAATATGAGATTCGATGCACTAGTACAGATTCAGACCTCCTTGAATATATGATGCTGGATTGACTCGCGATAATGATATCCCGAATACACATTTTCTTCCGTATACCTTCAAGAATAAACAAACAACAAAAGCTACCACATGAAGGTTCAGATGGAAGACATGAGCACATGGTCCTGAAAAAAGATCGCAGAGATAGACCGACTGGTCACCTCAGAAGGTCACGAAGGATGCTCCTTTGCTGCAAGATCACGCCACGAACTAACTTGCTCCTGCTCTTTGAATATGTATGAGCATCCGGACTGGGGGTTTCCGATATCGCAGGAATAACTCTTGAGTGGAACTTTCGAGGATACCGAGGTAGATGGCATGCAGGAAGGTCATGGTAGGGTTGTATGCAAGCCAAAAACAGGAGGGATCCCATGGGCAGAAACGGCTATATCATCTCCGACAAGGGCACCAGTGGCAAGTGATGGAGAAATGGTGGATTTTCCCACGGTGCGATGGCTAGAACACGGCTATTGATGGCAGCTTGCATGCGCCTCAAGCCGTTTCTGAAGCGAGAAAACGCGAGAGCAAGGATTGTCTTACGTGCGCACAGATGAAGATGCCAGATGTGAGACTATTGACACTAGTCCGTATGCGGCAACTGCCTCGGCATTTCAACACCTCGAAGTCTCTCAGCGTCATGTCGTTGATTAATTATTTAATTCTACAATTATCACATCAGCTGCACTCCATCCATACCTGTCCAGCCTCCCTGTCATCCATATACTCATCCTTTCTTTCTCACCCGGATTGACCACCAGTCTCCTACCCTCTCCCTTTAGTCGCCTCCCCTTTGTATAACCCGAGCTTTCCACCATGCCCTCCAATCCGGAATGGGTGAAGGCCCTGAAGCCTTCCGGTCCACAAGGAAGCGAGCTTCTTCAGCAAGAGAGGGCAAAGTCCAACCTTAATGTCGATCAGCTAGCGGACTTTATGTTCACCAAAGAAATCCTCCAACGAAACGAACGAATTCTCAATATACTCACTGCGGAGCCTGTATTCGACAAGTCTCAGAACTACTTCAGAGGACGAACAGAGAGAATAGAGGCAGCATTGGCGAGAGGAAAGCGTCTGCAACAACTCCAGGTCAAGCACAAGTGGACCAGAGAGGAGTTTCAGGCTGCCAATGAGTTGATCAGTGAGCCTACCCCATACGGACTCCACGCGAGCATGTTTCTCGTCACCCTCCGAGAACAGGGTACACCCGAGCAGCACAAACTCTTCCTTGAAAGAGCAGAGGCATACAAGATCATTGGTTGCTACGCTCAAACCGAGCTTGGCCATGGTTCAAACGTCAGAGGACTGGAAACCACCGCAACATGGAACCCCGAAGACAAGACCTTTACCCTACATTCGCCCACCCTAACGGCTTCCAAATGGTGGATTGGATCATTGGGGAAAGTCGCCAACCATGCCGTCGTTATGGCTCAACTATACATGGGCGGTAAGAACTATGGCCCACATCCATTTGTCGTTCAAATTAGAGATCTCAAGACTCATGAGCCTTTACCAAATGTTCACGTTGGAGATATTGGCCCCAAGTTTGGCTACAATACCATGGACAACGGTTTTCTTCTGTTGAAAAATGTAAAGATTCCTCATATCAACATGTTGGCTCGATTCTCCCGGATTGATCCCAACACCAACAAATATATCCGACCGTCCAATCCATCTCTCGTCTACGGCACCTTGACCTGGGTTCGAAGCAACATCGTCCTCCAGTCTGGGTCTACCCTGGCTCGGGGTGTAACAATTGCCACTAGATACTGTGCAGTCAGACGACAGTTCCAGGACCGAGATGCCCCTGCGAATGAGCCAGGCGAGAACCAGGTCCTTAACTATACTATGGTTCAAGTTCGTCTCCTTCCACTCCTTGCCGCCACTTACGCTCTACACTTCACCGGCAAAGGTATGATCGGTCTTTACGAAGAGAACCAAAAGCGTATGAACGGCAATGTAGGAAAGCTCTCCGATGCCAATCGTGCACCCGGGCCCGAAGAGCTCAACCCTGGTACTGATCTACTTGCGGACCTTCATGCCACTAGCTGTGCTCTCAAAGCTCTCGCGTCCACCACCGCGGCTGAGGGTCTTGAGGTTTGCCGTCGCGCGTGCGGTGGTCACGGATACAGTTCCTTCTCCGGCATCGGCAGCTGGTACGCCGACTATCTTCCAACTGTGACGTGGGAAGGTGACAATTACATGCTCACTCAGCAAGTGTCTCGCTACCTTCTCAAGTCAGCGCGATCCGTGCTCAAAGGCAAGGCCGCCGACAATGACACGACTCGCTTCCTCAAGGAATTCGTCCGTCGACGTGACATTGGTGCGGCATTCGACGTGATTGGCAATGATCAGGACCTGGTCGACTCATTCTCTTGGCGCGTGGCATTCCTGACCTTTGAAGCTCTCCGCCACCGTGACGAGGACAAACAATCCTGGAACTCGCTGTTGGTGGACTTCTGGCGCCTCTCGACGGCCCATGCACAATACATGATCGTCAAGAACTTCCACGAAGCCTTGAACGACACCAAGACGACCAAGCAGTTGGATCCTGAGACGGTCAGCCTCTTGCACAAGCTATTCCGTCTATATGCCTTGCACACTCTGGAGCGTGAAGCAAGCGAATTCTACTCGAGTGCCGCTGTCACCGTGCGCCAGATTACGCTCGCCCGCACCAAGGCTGTGATGAAACTTCTCGAAGAAATTCGACCCCACGCCGTGCGCCTGGTTGACGCCTGGAAGTTCCCAGACTGGCAACTCGACAGCTCACTCGGTCGGTACGACGGCAACGTGTATGAGGACATGTTCCACCGTGCGAGTGAAATCAATCCTTTGAACAGCGTCGTTTTCGACCCATATCCGGACTCGAAGGTACTGTTCAAGAAGGACGAAAGAGCGGACCTGAGAAGTAAATTGTAATTCACGCAATGCCTAAAAAATCTGCAAGTGGCTAAAGGAGTGGTTGATATGATTCTCACGCACTTATCCATGTATGTATCTAACGGAGCATGTGGTCTTTTGGAGCTTCGATGCATGTATCAGGTACATTTGGGATCCAATTTTGTCGAGGGGGGGTTCTTATCTCTCAGGAGGGTCGGTTTTGGGAAAAGGAAAAAGATAGAGGTAGAAATTGTGGATGTTTACATTCAACGTGCTCTCGAGTTCTATTCCAGATCGTTGTTTCCATTCATGTGCTGAGAGCCTTTAAATATTGTGTGTATATATATAGATATGTTACACACACACATATATAACCTGAACCTAGGTTCGTCACACCCATTGAGTCGACTAACTAACTCCCCGCCGCTTTGCTCTCGCTCTCAAGGACCCATTCAGTCCACTCGCGCTCTCTCTCCCTCTCTCTCGTCCACGTTCTTTTTCTCCTCCACTTCTCTCTTCCGCACTCGCTCCCCTCTTATTCTTTTGTTACTGCCACACATATGGCTTCTAGCTGCCGCGGCACGGCACGGCACATGGATGGAATTGGCTCCCAAACGTAGATTGCTTTCGTGGATGAAGGCACTAAGCCAGAAGAAGGAAAAAATATTTGTGGGGGGTGGGGAAGGGGGGTTTTGGTATAGGCCCCACGATAACGTGTGTATTCATTCACCGTTGGCAGTGAATAATGCCCATGCGGTTTGTTCAAATTCTTTGACGGGTCGAGAACCTAATTTTCACTCCTGGTAGCTATGTAAATAGATGAAAAACGGCCTCGTAGTGATGGAGGTTAGCCTCGTCAATGCCTTACATTGGACCCCCTCCGACTATTATCGCCCTATCTGATATCTGCTTCATTCTCATGCTCTTCTTGCCGACCTGAAATATCTGTGAATGAAAGGGGGTCCCCCAAATGCACTTTTACTCCAATACGGCGCCAGATCCCCTGTTATATCTCTGTATCAAGACTGGTTTCCATCTCGGTGAAAAGCGGCCCCCTTTCCGGCGCATTGCAAATTTTATGGTCATCTGGGGCAGTTTTTCTGCGTAGGATAGACTGCTTTCATAAAAGCCAAGACTTACACCGGAGCCTATCGTTGCATTGCTCGCCTCATACACCGCCCCGTACCAAGACATGATATCTAGCTTGCCTCTATCAAATAGCTTCATCCAGCCCCAACACAGGCACAGCCAGCGATCGTTGACGCTGAAAACATCAAGTGACAAACTCTTGGGATGTCGTCGATAGCTGAATGAGGAAGAGATCTGCTGCGTTGAAATCTGACACATGCTAACAGGGACGTTGTGAGGGGGGGCAGTAGGAAGGGGATTTGCGCTGGTGATGATGATCTTGGCACCTTTCCCAAGGATTTCAACAGTTTCCACCAGAAAATGAAAGATTTCGTCGTTTTCATTGCCCTGGCCCTGACGACAGCTTTCGATTCGGTCGATAATGATGGCTATTCGATCAATTCTAGAAATCATGCGGCCCAAGAGATTGCATAATTGGTCCAGTTCGACCGCGGATTGGCAATTGTGAAGGGTGAAAAGATCGGGCTCCTCAAGGACCAACGTCGGCCGTTGTTCGAGAATTTGGCATATGAGGATTTTGATCAGGGTCTTGGGAGAGTACTGTTTGACTCGCGATCTGTCGCACAAAACAAATGTAACAAGTTCATTCTGAACTTGAAAGGCCTGGATCGTGTCCAGTGCGAATTCTGTTACCCAGGAATCACGCCCACGGGTTGGACCAAATATGGCCAAGATGGAGGCGTGCGGGAGAGAGCTCCACGCTTCGAGGTATTCCAAAACGCCGTTGACTTCCCAATGATCTTTTGGAGAGGTACGAAACTGACGACCTTTCCAGTGTTGGATTTCTTCATTCATGGTCACGTAGAGGGGTAGCAGAGTGTGCATCACCGCTCTGTTATGCTGACGGAGCTGGAGCATATGCATTTCTAGGCCCAAAAAATCAGCACAGTGCGAATGCATCTGGCACATACATACTTCTTTGATCGAGCTGCAGTGTATCGATGGACAGTCTCAAACTTGCGATCTGAGACTGCATATTTGAGAGTTCGGCAGCAACGTAGTCTACCTTTTTGGCTTGGTTTTGCAGCAAGTCATATGTGTCGATTTGCAAAACACCGCTGGCGGCTTGCATGAGGAATCTCAAAGTCCCCCAAGCAGACTCAACTTCCTGGAGACCCTTTTTGAAATCGTACTTTGTGTTGGCGGTCAAAGCATCGACGATTTTTGCTTCGGGATGTGAGAATGACTGGTTCATTGGTCGAGGAGAAACTCACATGTTCTGCCAATGGCACAATACTCCGTTACGATGACCACGAGCTCTAAAATAGCAATGTATACTTTGGCGAGCTGCAGTCGGACCTTGTCCGGGGAACTGGAGATGGACACATTGCATAGGTCAAGGCTCTCGGTGACCTGGACAAGCCTCGCAAATATGTCAGATACCGCTTCTAATTTCTCCTGTTTGAGAACGATAGTCTAGCTCCTATCAGCTCTCTCTCTCTTTGCGGCGAGATTTGAAAGATATAATTGACCTTGGAGATGACCATCAGACATCCAAGTAATACCGCGCATTCTGGGTTGAGGGATGTAAGTGGAGAGACCAAATCCCTAATGTTGAATGTAAAGCGCGCAAGGTTCTCGACAGTCTTCGGTAGCCACTTGAATCTGAGCCATTCATTTCGCTGTCTAGACTCTTTTGCTTTGTCCTCGATAAACGACTTGACCGCCTCAGCATTGATGACTTTGAGTTCGGGTCTGTCAGGAATTCTTCTCAACAACGCAGCGTCATTTGGGGGGAGTATTTTGGCAAGTTTTAAATTTGATCGTCGACACTGCCGGAACGCTTCTTCAAACACACTGCGAAGTCAGTCCATACTCGTCCCAAGAGATAGCCTCACATACGAATCATCGGTGCCTGGTTGGTATCGCCGTCCTTGTGAAGTTTGAACATCCTGTGTGGTAGATTCAAGGGCTTCTGACATCGTACGAACAGGCGGTCAAGAGTTTTTGGTCAATAGGAAGTCTGTACGTTCCTCTTTGTCGCGTTGACCAGCCCGAATGTGGTCAGGATGAGGCTGAGCAGCGAAATGGTTGACATCTGCAGCCAAGTGACGTGGCAAGGCGACATGGTTGCCTGATTCGCCCCTTCCGACATGGGCACTCTCAGCCTCATAAAGGGCTTTGCTTGAGTTTGCATAAAAGTCTTTCGTGAGCCTTCAGGGTACAAACTAACGCTATCTTTCTATAGAAGACGCAAATAAAAATGTCGTCCTTAGCTACGGAGAATCACGCTACGCAGAAGCCCACCGGGTGTTTGCATTGCAAGCAAGCAGTTTCAATGAGCAACGGTGTGATTGCCGACAATTGCCCAGAAAGTGTTGAGTTGGCTGGAACGGTCTTCGACGGAGGGCTCAAGCAGCGTATTGGTAGACGAAAAAAGGAGGACGGAGAGGTAAAATGGATCAGCCAGCTGCAGTGGGAGGATGAACAACGCCAAAAGAAGGCTACAAATGGTTTCGACAAGTATGCATTTTGTTTGGACGACTCAGATGACAAGAAGAAAATTGTCATTTCCTCCCCAGCTCTCCTTGCGGCTGTGAAGCGAGTCATCCCAGCTCGTTTGTTCGAGAATATGTCGGACAGCGTTGCAATAACGGAGCCGTTTTTACGAATTTTCCATTTCATTGATGACATGCGCAACGACATGCACATAGGTACTGCTGATCCTCGAGATAAGGCGGATATTGATGCTCTAGAGTCATTCCTGTTCGACTGCCAACCACGACATAAAGTCGACCGGGGCATCCTGAGCTCTACACAACCAGCATCGGTGAATTTCGAAATGATCTGGGCACTTTTCAAAGACGGCGACCTGATCGTGGTCACCGACAAGTTCAAAGAAAACAGATTCTTCAAATTCACGCATTTGGAGGAGAACGTTGACCGAGTGAATGGACGACCTGATGTCTGTGAAAAGCTGGCAATTTGTGGATGGTGCATCGTCTGGGACAGCGAACAGAAATCCTTCGCTCAACAGAGCTACAAGTTCTACATTGAACGTTTTCTAGGATATCGCAAGGTGCGAACATTGCCGATATATCCTCTGCGCTGCGAGGAAGAAAAACGAGCAGACTCAATGAAGGCAGAACTGGAGAAGAGAGGACGTGACTGGGCACATTTGGCTTCCCAAGCCCCTTCCTGCTTCGAATACAATGGAACTGCTATCTATACACACGACAGTCAGAGGGGCCTCTCAGAAACCGGCATGCAGGTGCGTTGACCAATGACTCAGAGGACCTTACAACTGATGAAAGTCTAGCTGAATGGCCGGATAATCATTGACCACGTTAAGGAACTCTCATTGGACGGGCTATTCGACACCAAAGTAGATCATAATAGCAGGGAAATTCTCGAAGAAAAGCTTGATGATACACCGACTGGCAATTCAAAAATGCTAACAAAGGCCGAACACTACTTGCTGTGTCCTCCAACGCTTACGTGCTTTCACATCGATAGGTGGAAACGATATCACATCGATATCAACAAGCTAAAGCCTATTTTGTGGACGAGCAATGCAATTGAGAAGGTAATCCTGGAAGAGACCAAGAAGAAAAGGCTCAGGCGCTTGTTGAAAAACTACGTAAGTGAGGGAATGCGAGGTCGAGACATCATCACGAATAAGGGGCGAGGCTTAACCATCATTCTGTACGGACCATCAGGAGTTGGGAAGACGCTTACTGCCGAATGTCTCGCAGAGCATGTGAAGATGCCGTTGCTTCCTTTGAGCGTGGGTAGCTTGGTCTCCGACGATGATTTGATCGAAGAAAACCTGCGCGAGGCATTTAACAACGCAAGCCGATTGAAGGCAATACTTCTGCTCGATGAGGCCGATGTGGTGCTGGAAGCTCGTTCCTTCGAAGATGTCCGCAGGAACGGGATAGTGTCAAGTAAGTGTATCCTCGATTGAGGACCCCTTTGCTGACTCCATTACAGTTTTCCTGCGACAACTCGAGTACTACAACGGCATCCTGTTCCTGACCACGAATAGAATCACGACCATGGACGTCGCATTCCAGTCGAGGATCCAATTGGCCATTTCATACGAAGAGCTAGGTGCAGACGCACGAGAGAAAATCTGGAGGAGCCTCCTGGATACAGCAATTGTAGACGTGACGGAATCCGAGAAATCCGCCATCGAGAGAGCCATTCCCGCACTGTCGCAGGAAAGGCTGAACGGCCGGCAGATCCGCAACACGCTCACGCAAGCGAACTTGTTGGCCCGCGATGACTTCAGCAGTGAATGTAAGGTCCAACTAAAGCATATCAAAGAAGCAATGAGCGAAACGCTACAGTTCCAAGCCTTTTTTGAAGGGACAGGGAAAGCCCAAGTGAACAAGCCCCGGGTCTGGATGCCGTTCTCACCATCGCAAAGCGGCATCTAGTTGTACAAGGCTCAAGAACACACGACGCGGGCTTGTAATGATCTGTGGTAATTATGGCGCTGAATGAGGTAATATATGAGACAATGAAGACCGGATGAGACTTGTCATTCGCGACACGCACGAAGTCCCGAAGATCTGGCTGTCCGCCCACTGAACACAACTTACAAATTCCCCAGTATCCTTCTTCATCCCTCAAGTAAGCCTTTTCTGCCGTCGTGATGCTCGATGCACTCTCAGAACCCTTCGGTCGCTGCGTCTTATGAATAGGTCCAATCCTGTAACAACGCGCTCTGCGGACACTTCTCTCCATACATCAACAGGCTTTGTTGAGGTCCGTGTAGCAATAAAACTCATCAAAGCCTATTTCGTTCATCTTAACAACAGCCTCCGTACTCTGCTTCTAAAATCCCTAGGTGGTTCTGAAAAAAGTCCATGGTGAGCCGCTTTGGCAACCTAGATTGACCCTCAGGATGCCAAAAGGGGCCTCCTGAAAAGGTCCGAAGTCGACCCTGAACGCCCAACAAATGGCGCGGCTTGTAGATTCTGTAGGTGGACCGCAAGGTTCGTTCATGCGGACGGTAATGGAACGAAGGACGGTTTTGGGATGTTATAAGATTGAAATAGTAAAAGAATTGAAATGGACAAGGGGAGCCCGCATCAATGGGCGGTGGCGTGTGAATGGATTGGCATGCAGGGAGGCTTGACCTGGGCCAGTCCATCCCTTGAGCACGGATTGAGGAGGCCACCCCTTGATGAGCGTGTTTTCCTTTAGGTCAATGTCAAACCGTACAATCCGTCGACGAGATACATTGCATTACCTTGTTTAGACTCCAGAAACACAGAGCAGGCCGAGACCGATGTTGAGATTGAGTTGCGTTGAATCTTGAGAGCACAGCAGTCTCATCGTCATGGTCACCTGGCCGATGGTACCGGGTGGTGGTTCACAGCCGTCGGGGTCGACGTGTTCCGTACTCGTACTACTACAGAACAACCTCATGTACAACAACAAGATTTATGTCGTCGTGGCCATGTTGGTGTCGATGGTCATCCTCCTCCACAAGGTCAGGTTCGGCAAACAACAAAAAGGCAAAAAGAAATACAAAATCTTTCCTGGTCGGGCGGCTCTTGAAATCGCCATTGTCGGTCATCTCCACACTACTCACAGTGGTGGTGGTGGTGGTGGTTTAGGTCGACTTATATGGTGAGTACTTGTTTTCTTACTCGCCTTGGGGAAGAAAAGGGGAGTCCGAAGGAAAATACTCAAAAATCAGACATGACAACGAGAATAAAGGGGCCGCAGTGGCTGACTGACAACCGAGGTTTTTTTTTTCAGTTCAGCCATACAACGACTACTACTGCGAGGGCGACAACGACGTGGTGATGTCGGCGATGGTGCAGGCGCCGGTTCAATCTACGGCCTCACTTCGACACACCAAGTTCTCGTCAATTTCCCTCCCCCGGACATGGACAAAATCATGTCACTTGCTCACCACGCTCTCACCGCCGAACCGGTCCAGTATACTTTGTTCACACGAGTGTTTGGGGCGACCGACTCTCCTGAGCTCAAGACGAAACTTGAGGGCTCTTGGAAATCTCTTCTTGCGCCCGTCGAGAGGATGTTCCTCAACGACACCTCCGTGACGGCGGCACTGGAATAAACCGACCTTCGTCAAAAGGTGAATGAATTCGTGAGTTTCTCCTCGACTCCGTCACGGATGAGACCACGGGAATCGTCTGCCGATATCCAAGTCATTACAACACCAAACTCGAGCAGAAGACTGTCTGGCGAGTTGGGGAGGACCGTGGTCGAGGTCGAGGTCGAAGCAAACCTCTCGAGTCTGTCGAGAGATTTTGGAGCTTGTATAGCCATTCCTATCCTTTACAACCAAAGCTTTTTGGACCGGTATCCCCAGCTCCTAAATGACTTTTGGAAGTTCGATAACAATTTGTTTCCGTTATTGATGATGGGTGTTCCGACTTGGCTGCTTTTCCCGTTCAAAGTCATGAGGGAAGGATTGGCTGCTAGATCTAGGTTTGCTTGAAAAGATAGAAGACTTGTATCGACGTATCGACCGGTTACAGCTTCAACAAGAACAACAAGGACAAGGCAACGTATCTTTCGTGGACTACTACGTTGGGGGTTTGTGTCGTGACTGTCCAGTCTTGAAAGCTTGCGTGTTGGAAACTTTACGCATGACCAACGAGGCGACTTCGATAAGATACGTCAAGAAACCAACCCAGGACATTCGTGTCGTTGTATCGAGGAGAAGAAAGCAAAATATTTTGTAATTGTCCCAGAGCTGAGACTTGTAGAAAATGATTGCGACTGAACATGCAACAAGAGACCAAAACACCCACTGTCATGGTATCAGGAATATATATCAAGATGTACTATGTAGCAGCAACTCATAACAAGGTACCAACGAGGCATCAAAGGGGGTATCACATTTTATGCTTTCTGATTTTCTTTTCTTTTCTTTTTTTCAAAGGACACTTTCTTGCTCATCGAACCCAAACCAATATGAATGATAATATGCAAATGAGTGAGTGGTAGACAAACACACAAAAAAGCAAAAAACACAGCCGTGGGGTATATATATACTGCAAAGTAAATGAATGTGCGTAAACGATGATCCCCAAAAAGAAAACAAAAACACTCCAGGTAAAATGCTTCCAATGTATACCCGGGTATAGTTTTTCTTGTGCTGACCAAAAAAATGAGAAAGATACCATGCGATCCGGGGGTATAAAGCTCAATGTGGAACAACTCTCTCTCTCTCTCTCTGTATCCCACATCAAAAGCTTCCGAATCACTTTTTTGTTTTCCAAACCGAAAAATCACTTTCAAACACTGGCCAGTAGCCAGTCACCCTCATCACCTCACGTCGTCATCACACCTCACCTCAGAGCTGTCCGCGAACATCAGTATCATCAGCGTCATGACCAGGACCAGAGGCCGTGCCAGACGCAGAAGTAGAGACATGCCCGGTTGTTGTAGTACTGACTGGGACATCCTCCCACCCTCGTGGACCCATGCACTCGTACATGCCGACATTCTTGCTCAACACCGTCGCCAGACCCTTGTGCACCTCGACCTGGAAGGGTTGAAAGGGTAGTTTCTCGCCGTCGACACTGAAATATCCGCCGTCACGAGAGGCGTTGCGTCCGTTCCCGGACACGCCCATCCGATCGAGCACCTTGCCCAACTTGTTCTGACGCGCCTCGTTGTCCGACTGATCGACCATGTTTCCGAATTTTGGGACGACTCGAATCGCCGAGACTTTTCGGTACCGCACGCATTCCTTGTCGAAAAAGGTCCCCTTTGGTACGGACAACAGCAAGTCGACCGCCTTTGTCCGTTTGATGTCTCCGTCGATGGTGATCAAATCGAGTAGACCGTCACAGGGTAACGAGGCTGGGAAAAAGGGGGCGTCGGCGGCCATCATGGCCATGTTCCCACAATAGAAATTGCCCATGTTGGGGTAGTATGCCATGGGCGTCCACCCTTCGTTTTCGGGTAAAGGGTCCTCGACCGTCCCGTACTTTAGGGGTGGCAGACCCAGACCGGTCGAGGTGTCGAGGGGTCCATCCAGGTCGTCGTGCGACAAGGCACTTCCTTGACTCCTCCGTCGGGCCCTGTGCTCCGCGTAATGCCGTCGGATGTCTTCTTTGTTTTCGATTTCTGTCTTGACGGCGAGTTCGATGGGATACAAGGTCTTCCCCAGTAACCTCACAAGGAACCCAAATGTGAATCTCGCGTCCCCCATCCATCGAATGTTCTCGGTGCCCAGGTCACTTTCGGCGACGATGCCCAAGGACTGCGACAGGAACGACAGCGTCCTGGTGTTGCCTTGTGTGACGCTCGCCAGGTCCATGGGTGTCCGTATACCTTTTACGATACACAACGCCGCCGCGCTGGGTTCGGCCGTGCCGGTGAGGTTCCACGACATGGCGTTCCCAGTACCGCAGGGTAACTGGACCACGGCGACTTTTCGGAGCGCCTCGGCCGCGTTGGGTTTCCTCGCGAGTCCGTTGACACATTCGTGCGGCAGGCCGTCGCCCGAGGCGCTCGCCACGACGTCGAAAGCGTTGATGTCCAGGTCGGCGCAAATCTCCACCGCGTGACCGGAATGCGTCGTCCGCTCGACGTCGAGTTCGCAGCGCGCGGCCGCGAATATCGGTTCGATGGCCTTTGCGTAGATCTTGGCCGCTTTCCCTGCGCCTCCGAACGGGTTTATCAACAGTTTGATCCTCTTGTTCCGTTGCGCTTTACCATAGGCGCGGTCCAGCAGCCGATCTATCCACCGTAAAGCCTTCTCTTCCACCGCCGTCGTACTTTCGATCGTGTAATTGATGTATGCGACGCTGACGGGGGCATTGGCCGATTTGGAGGAAGGTTTGGCATATCGTATGGTCAATTCGCCCTTGACCAGTTCGGCCCATAGTACATTAAAAAAGGGTATCGAGCGAGTGTTTGTCGTTCCTGTGTTGTGAGGAATGAGTCAGTATTTTATCTTCAAAGGCACTGGAAAAGTGTGCAAAAGTCACTCACTTTTGAATAATCCAAAACAATCAAAGCCCGAGTCGCCACGAAGTCCATCGTCTGCGTAAAAACAAGTCAGTTGGTCCGACACACAAAACCCAGACTTGAGAGAATTACCTAGAACAATCACAGCATCGGTTCCCAGTGTGAGGGTGGCATTTCGGCCTACGCTCAACGTCGACTCGACCATGGCTTCCCGTTCGTCTTGAATGGCGGCATTGTCGGAAAATGGATTCGACTCGCTTCGTCTATCACCGGCCATGATGACGACTGACGGTGTGTAGCATTATTATGTGGCGGGAAAAAAAGGCCAAGAGAGAGAAAGGGTACTGAATAGCGATTTGAGTCCTTGTACGCAGTATTTGCACCCGCACTCGCACTCGAACGAGCTGATGAGTCTAGCCTGGGTCAAACGAAGGAAAAGCGAGGTGAAGAAAATTCGGCAAACGTGTATAAAACTCGGTACAATAACGTCGTTCCGTGGCGAAGATATTATTTACTTATAGTTGCGGTGTTTGTACAAAGAATGGATAAGTGGTCAAAGTTGAAATAAGTACTGTAAGAGAAACGTCGGCATCTCTCCAGTTTTGCTCACGTACTGTACGGAATGACTTACTGTACAGTATTTACCCAGTAAAGGATCCACTCGCTTTGAGACATGGATGGTTGTATCCGTACAAAACACACGACACACATACGGAGTACGACACACACGACACATACACAATGGGATCTAGCGGAGGCCACAATAATAATGTCAGCCTTTCAACTAATAATAAACCGAAGTTCGCTCTCGTAAGTAGGCAATAGGACTTCCGCCGTGTTGCACAGTACACGTACACTTAACATACAAACCTGCAACCACGGATATCGTGACCCTGTTTGGGGGGGGGGAGTGTCAAGGGTGATGCCTGGTGACCAGGTTCTGGGTTGCAGGAAATCCGCAAGGGACACAAGCAGCATTTTCGGCCAATGGATACGGAGCCATGGGGAAATGCCATGCTGCAGGGCCTGGACCGACCCCCGGTGGTTGCCGTTAAAGGGAATCATCCCCCGGAGCTCCCGGCGCCAGGTGTCAGCCGAAGGACAGTACGGAGTACGGAGTACGATCGAAAATACGAGACACGAAGGTCACGCTTCCTCTACCCCAGACAAAACAGCCTTGGTACCTCGTACTCGTACCCCGTAATGAACCATCATCTGGTTCTTCCGTATCCGAAGGAGTATCTACTGTAAGCGTTGGGGACGAAGTTGAACCATCTACTCATCTATAACAGTCAAGTGCAGATCACATTGGAACAAAGATTCCATATTCATTACAAATTCTGTACCAGTCTCGAGAGATACAGTATGGTAGAAATCCTATTACTCCATCCTTACCAAGGTATATATACCTAGTATTGAGGTACCTTCAAGCTCATTATCCAACCTCATAGTATAGAAGAATTCTGGCGACTTGGAATAGAAACGCCGCCACTAGAGTCGCTTCTTGGAGTCTGCACATCCGGTTCATCCACCACCAACTTCCGGATTTCCACGATCCATGGATGCTGCAACAGTTCAGCCGCTGTACTCCGCTTGGCTGGATCGCGTTCGAAGCACTTCTTCAAAAAGTCCACGCCAGTAGAGCTGAGCTGGTCTTCTGTGGGTAGTTGGGGCGGATTGCCTTGAGCAATATTGTACATGATCGCCCATTCATTGTCCAGGGTTGACCAAGGTCGACGACCCGTAGCCATCTCGAGAATGACGCAACCAAGAGACCAGATGTCGGCAGCCCCGGAAAATCGCGAGGTTGCTGGTCCATCTCCTCGAATCACTTCTGGTGACATGTACATGGGTGTTCCCGTCATGGTCTTCTGCGGCTGTCGTGCCGCCGGTCCATTGTTGGCAATGTGAGGCCCTTCGCCCGCCATGCGTTTCTGGGGTTCCGCAGCCATGAGTGTCTGGCCCTGTCGAGCGATGATCTTGGCCGCTCCAAAGTCGACATATTTGATGACTCCATTGTGGTCGAGTAGTACATTTTCAGGCTTGATATCCCGATGCACAATGTGAGCTGAGTGTAAGTACGCCAAACCCTCGAGCATCTGCAAGGCATACACCATAATCACAGTCTCGTCCTCAATGCGGCCATGCTCGAGAAGACCAGCAACCGAACCACCTGAACAGTACTCCATAAAGATATAGACCTTGTCCCGATGCACCTCAATACCGTAGTAAGACACAATGTTGGGATGATCCAGAACAGCCAAGACGCCCATTTCGTCACCAATCTGTTTCACAATGGTAGGAATGAGCTGGGGATCTTGTAGACGAATCTCCTTGACAGCCATCAAAGTACCGGTGTCAAGGTTCAGTGCAGCGTAGACAGAGCCGAACGTGCCACCGCCGACAAATTGTCCTTGTTGCCATCTCATGGTGATGTTGGTGGCCGAAGAGGACAGGAATGTGAGGGATCGATCGGCCTCATTTGATCCTTCCAAAACACGTCCAAGTGACGTTTTCGTGCCGCGTTCTTCGCGAGCTTGGTCAATGGCGTTGAGTTGGGACACTCTTAACTCGGTCATCTCCTGGCGGCAGTCTTCGTCGTTTCTAAGCTTGTTGAAATCAAGCCGTTTGTTCATCCCAGATAATGCCTCCATCCTTGACTTCTCTTGCTGTGCCGCCAATGTAGACCTCGCACCCATGATGTCAAAATGGGAGATGAGGACGGACATACAGCCTGCCACCTTGACTCGAATCCTCCTGTAGTCCTCTTCGCTGATATCCAACACATTTCGACCCCGCGTCATCGCCATGGCAAATTCCAATGCCACCACGGCCCATTTGAATGTTCTTCGGTCAGCAGCATCACAATCATCACAGATGAAGCTGATCCAATCCAAAGCCAACCTAGTCAGCTTCAGATTATTCATCATTCGTCGATTGGCGTCCATGTACGTGAGCGATCGTTTCCCAAACTCGGTTGCGAAGGCGAAGCATGACTGCACCAGCTCAGGGCTTGCGATGCCACCATTCTGGGATCGAATTACCTCCACACTTTCCATGATAGTATTCGATAGCTTAAACGTTGTCTTCTTGATCTTTCCCAACTCCTGGTTGACTCGCGAGAGGTTGGCCCTTTGTTCGATGACAACATCCAGATCATGGCCAACAGCATTTGCAAACTCCATTCTAGCACCTTGCAATCGCAGAGACGAGCCGTCAGCAACAAGTCGGAGCCGGCCAAGTCTTACATCGTTGGGGAGTTCAAGAACGTCGACATCCATTCTCTGGCCTTCCCAGATCATTGGATCTTCCGGATGAATCACCAAAATGTAAGGGTTGGAAGGATCTTCCGGTGCATCATCGGCATGAAAAGACGTGCCCAGGATGGACTGAATCTCCTTAGATCTGCCCCATAGCGATGGAGAGGCTAGGAAATGGACCCCTTTCGGACTATTGGGCCCGACATCTAGAAGAATGTGGTCGGACATGGTCAGCGATTCGCAAAAATTCTGTAGTTGCTCTGCATCCATGGCCAAATTAAACTCGGTGGCATTCTCAAATCGTTGTCGCAGGATTCGTGAAAAGCGGAACAATTTTCTTTGCCGTACACGGACCGAATCCAGGATAGTCTTGTATCGCTTCTCCATATCTTGAGCGCTTTCATCTGGTTTTGAGCGTAATTCACGCTCGAATGAAGCTGTAAGCCGAAGCAAAGACTTCGCAGTCAAAGAACTGAACTGTTCGGCTACTTCAATGTCTCCTCCTTCGAGTTGGCGTCCTATCTCATTGGAGAAGCCCCATTCTTGTTCAAGGATTTCGGCTTCTCGAAAAGTGTTCTTGTTGGCACCGAGTTTCCAATTCAGCATCTTAAAGTAGAACTTCAGAGCATCCACGATTACCGAGTCAAACGACTCATCAATGCATGGGGGCAAGTCCCACCCAGGTTGTGGATGCGAAATTGCGAGATACTGTTGCTTAATCAGACAAGCAAGCCGCATCAATATCTGGAACTGTGAAATCATCTGATCGATAATCATCACAGACTGTTGAGCCGATTCCTTCATCTTCCTGGCGTACGATAACCGCATGCGGATGATCTCCTGGATCAACCTCGACGGGAAATTGATCAGGGTTAAGAGTTCTTCGATATATGGAGGTAGGTGGCGTGCTGCAAAAGCTTCGGCATTCTCGATCAGAGTGCTCTTGGCTTTGTTGATAACTTGGCCGATTCCCTTGAACATGCTCTTATCACCCTGCAGAGAACTCAGACCATCTTCCTTGAGGATTCGATCGATGAAGGATGACTCGTCGGACAGCTCACCATCGTGGCTAGACCGTCGTTTCTGTTTGCTGAAGTCAAGTTCCGGGTTGCCGACCCAGGCCTGAAGGACTGCAAGCTCTGTGTTGATGGACTGGGTTATATTGTGCCAGGAGACAATGGCGTCGCAGCTTTCCTGGAAGGCGTCGGAAGCGGCCCTGGTTTGAGCGGCCTCCAGTTCCCTTCTCGAGGAATAGAGCCATTCACACTTTTCGATATTGGAGACGGCTTCCTCGACCTGCTCCAGAGGAGACTTGCCCACCACCGTTTCACCCTTGATCTCAAAGGCGATGATACTTTCAATGACGGGCGCAAGATCCTTGCGACTCTCTTCGATAAGCTTCTTCTGCATTAGAAGCGGGCGTCCATAGTATTTTGCTCGGGCTCCTATCCAGATCTCTGAACCGATTTCTGTCCTTGTTTTTTGTTCCGTTGTTCCAATCAATCTTTGTTTTTCTTGCTTCACCACATCGCCCTTGAGTACTGACGCCAACATTGAATGCCATTCCAGCCGTTCTCTGTTTTGCGGATTATGTAATTCTTCCTCGGATGGCTGTAAGTTGTCCTCATTGCCCAAGAACATCAACGTTTCCGGGTCGTAGGGATCATCGAAAGGGTGCTCGGTGGATGGGGATTCATCATCGGTCTCATCGTCTGTACTATAGCCAATGCTGGGTGTCCGAGGGTCACTGTCCAACCAGTCTTGAGGCTGTTGCCTCATACGCTGTACATATGCCTTCTCTTGCGCCTTATATTGGGCATTCGGATCTCTTCTAGAGGTTCTCATGGTGCTTGACGAATGCATCCGTTTCGAATTTAGCGACGACAACTGCGGAGGTCGTCTTGGAGGAGCATAGGTATTCGAGGGTGTTCTCAGAGGTCCTGTCGGTCTTACACCACGCAGGTCTGCGGACGCAGTTTGTGCATCGGCGGAAAAGGTTCTGTCCATGGTGGCCGGGTTGAGTCCGCCACTGCCCCCGCGAGGCCGGGGTCCATATGAATTCCAAGACGACAAACTTGAAAAACCGCTCGAGGGAGTATAGGCCGAGATGGAGGAGGTAGGAGTAGTCGTAAAATTTACCGCGTTATCGGCAGCGTCGTAGGTGGAGGGCGGATACCCATAGACTGCGGAGGAGGTGGCGGCACTGGCGAGATCCTCATCCGAGGATCCAGACGAGGAACCTGCGCTACCGCGATGCATCGGGGGCAGCTCTTCATGTTCCATGACGAGAGGCAGTCGGCCTTCTTCGATGCGTTGCCCTTCGCTTTTGGGAGGACGAGGACCAACGCGTGAGGCGAGATTAGCAGGTCGAACTGGCACAGGGATCTGAGTTGGGGCGGTTTGGAGAGGCAGTAATGGCGGCTCTCCCGGGGGAGTTGGAGATTCCAGAATCACCCGCGCAGGCGCTGTTGCTGTTGCAGGCGTTGACACTGCCTGTGGCTGGTAAAGAGGCTGACTCGTTGCCAGTCCATTTCCTTGCAGATGCATGTCGACGATTCTGTTTACATCCCTTTCTCTACGCGAGGACAACCGAAGAGCAAGTCAAAAGGGACAGGTCAGAATAATTCACCAGGAACAAAATAAAGAGAAGATTGATTGACGCGTATATGGCCAACAAAAGATCACCACCCTCAATAGTACGCCGTATGTATGACACCACCAACTCCTTGAACACTTGAAGCGCCACAACCACCAATAAAGGGCACTTCCACTCCCTATTCAATTCCAAGATTACCAGCGGCGGATCTGAGTAGGGATCAAAAGAGCGATTGCAGGGAATTCGATCCGACGGGGGCGGATGATCCTCCCAACTTGGGTTCGTGAAGGCGCTTTTTTCCCAGTTCCACGCAGCCCAAAACTTGGAATGGTGGAGTTGGGAGTCCAGTAGAACTTGACGAATATGGGGGCTTTCTTGATTGAGGAAGTTATGTGTGGATGTTGTATACGAATCTACAGAGTACAATTGCAAAGTTTAGAATTAATTATACACTAGATTCAGCGGACTTGCAGGCATTTTTTTGTCGTTCTCAAGTCCTACAGTATGAGGTACTTTGTGACTTCACATTCCCTGGTTAAGGCCAATCTACGGACATGGTAGATCATCTGTCACCCCCTAAAGTGACGCAAACTCCTACCGCCACAGAAGCAGACATTGTTACGAGTACGAGTAGATCTCATTATTGTTTGGGTCAAGGATGTTTCATCTCCATTCCGGACAAGGGCAGCCTGGAGTTTCGATCCGGAGTTCAATGATATTCGCCTGAGATCGGTGATGCCACTCCACACAAGCCGAAGACCCGCAGAGCCTCGCACTTCCCCCATCCCCCGTAGCATCATGGCCAGTTAAAACGTAAATAAACAGATACAGTCAAGAGCCTTGCCCAGGACACGAAGAAGTGACAGCCTTGTCTCGCTGCACCTGATATGTCCACATGTACGGAATCAGCATACTACACGAGAGGAAGACACATTTTAGACGGCGAATGGAAGGCCCTGTGTCAGAAATGACTGTTGAACGCTATCTTTCTGTCCATTTGCAATAGTGAATGAGTCAGCCACAACATGAAGCCAATCGGCGTTCTCAGCAAACAGTGTGTGAGATATCACCCATGACGTGAATCTAACACAAGAAACAGACGGTATTCCGAATGTTTGCGTGGTGAGTCAGAAAACACACGAGAGACTCGCAACACCTGCTCTTTTCCCAGGCTCAACACGTTATGCGAAAGTTTTACAAGGGCACAAGCGAAATGGCGTTGGGAGGTCGTACTCCGTATGAATATTCAACCTTGAACTTCAAGGTCGAAAATAGATTCGACGTGGCTTGATCGACACTAGTGAAGGCTTGCACAACCCATACCGAAGAAGTGCCTCAACGTGGCTCAACGGGGATACTTTGGCTTGCTCCGTGCGATATGGACAGGTTTGGCACTGTCAAGTCGATTCGCAAATACAAAAATGTTGCCATGACTTGTCGAATTGACTGTTATCGACCGAACGGACGAATCATATCGCCGGAAATCAGTCGCAGGACCCGATATCATCGGGACAGGGCGGACTTTGAAGTGGGTCGATATTGGCTGCGCACGTCTCTTCGAATCTTCTCTCGAAGCAACTATGCAAACCGGCAACCAATCTGGGCAGGTCTGTTCAGCAATACTGAGGTCGCGAGCAGTCTTTGATCGGGTGTTCGGCAGTTTATTATTTGATGATGGTGCGCTTCCATCATCTGCTGAGCGGGAGGAAGACATGGTTCTTGTCCTAAGCGATCACGTCCAGTCCGGGGCGGTTTTAGAGACGAGACCATGAACGAATAGTCTGTTGCAAGACGCGAAGCCAAGACATCGAGGGTGAGATAGAACAGTGAGAATGCGGGATGTCGGCTTGAACAGACGCTCGTCTGTCTGCATGCCAAGGCCTCGACACATACTGTACAGGCTGTGTCGATAAGGGTCACCCTTGCAGTCACAATGTCATCGGCGGATGGGTGTTTGTTGGTACGTACGATATGTGCGAACACAAGTCATGTCAGGCGAAAAGACAGCACTCGGACTATGACCGCAGAGTGCATGGGCAATTTTGTTCTGGAAACATTCCTACCGTACAGTAGCATCATGGACAGGGGATCGATAGGCACGGGTAACGGAGGGACAACCATAAAAGTTAGAACATCCGTAGTCTTGATCCATGCCGCTGCAACATACAGTAACACCTCAGGGGTCGCGAGTAATTAATTGTTGCCACGAGGTTCGCTACAGGACAACATGAACAAGCGAGGATGCGCGAAGATGGTGTCCGTACGGAGGAACCAGGGCGAGTGAATTGAGCAACGGGTATCATGTACATTCTCGTACTCGCATGATTTAGGTCATAACTTTGTTGTAGAGACGCATGAGTACTCCGTAGTGGTGGTAGATAGGTACAAAGATACCCGTTAGCGTGTAGTCAGTAATTGTACAGAGTAAGCAAAAGTCGCGGTATCAAAAGTGACTCCTCAATAGCCTCGTATTTGTGGTTCCTGCTTATCAGTGGAGCTTCCCGAAGGATCCAATTTGAGGCACGATCATTCTCTTGGCAAAGCCCTCGGACACCAATGGGAGATGGAATGCTTATCATGGCTAACCTCACCTTGTTCCGACCTTGCGCAGAGGACAATTCAACCACAGTAACCGTAGTGTCTCCCTGCGCAGATTCCAAGAGCGCCCAGTGGCGCCGAGGCGTTGTCAATCTCAAGAAGAAACTACAAGCCAAGCTGCACCGGGAGAAATGGTGTGAGTGACAACGAAGAAGAGGACAATAGTGACCAGACTCAGATAGAGGTTGGAGGCCTGGGGAGCCTCGTTGCTGACAAGGAGGAGCACACAAGCCTATCTACGTGTACTCCGTGTTCTGCAGGTATCAATTATCAATATACAGTACAGAGTAGCCTGACTCGCCACAAGGGAGATCTAGGAACATCTCCGGATACGCAAGACACTTTCCACCTACAATACACCTCCTCTTGACGGCCGTGCGTGTGTAACCTTCGGTTGAGAGATGCTCTAGCACGATCCATTCGTCCATCTCACTCTCTCTCGCCGCGCCTTGGTGTTGGGAACATCTCACCACTGGCACCCGAACTCCACATCAAGTCTGCATCTCGCCAAATCCCACGCTATCAGTCCACGGACCAGGGTCCCCCTACCGCCCTCCGTCTCGGATATGGAGTGTGCCTAGCTCATTTTTGTAACCGTGGCACACGCCTCCGTCAGAAAGAGCAATCAGTGGTGGGAACGGTGGGCTTCTCAAACACAAGAAACGTGCTTCTGAATGTTATATTCATAGCCTCTGCCCGATGCTCTCCGGCCTATTTCTTTCTCGCTTTCCCCTTCTTCGGTCCCCAGTCCCTTTTCTTTCTTCACACCTTTTCGCAAAGCATCCTTCCCTTCGCGAGTTGTGTCGCGACTTGGATTGATCACAGTTGACCCCTTGACAAACACCCTGGTCAGGCCAACACCAGACCGCCAACATGTCTGACAGTCTCGATTCGCTGCCCTACGTCCCGCTCGAGGTCTACAATGGCACCTCCATGACCGGCGGTGACTCTCTCACCCAGAACCTCAATGTCTACTACAATGCCGGTGACATTGCCTGGATGATCACTTCGACCGCCCTGGTCTTGCTCATGATTCCCGGTGTCGGGTATGGAAATCGCATCCTCCCCTCGTCCGCACATGAAACTAATATATATCTTTAGTTTCTTCTACTCTGGTCTCGCCCGACGCAAGTCTGCCCTCTCGCTTATCTGGCTCTCCATCGCAGCCACGGCCTTGATCTCCTTCCAATGGTTCTTTTGGGGTTATACCCTTGCATTCTCTCACACTGCGGGTAAATTCCTCGGTGACATGGAAAATTTTGGCTTCCGCAACGTCCTTGGTGCACCGTCGGTCGGGTCGAGCAAAATCCCCGATCTGTTGTTCGCTGTGTACCAGGGCATGTTCGCTGCCATCACAGTTGCTTTGGCCATTGGAGCTGCAGCTGAGCGTGGTCGACTGGCGCCCGCCATGGTCTTCTCTTTCGTTTGGTCCACCGTGGTCTATGACCCCATTGCCTGCTGGACATGGAACGGTGCAGGCTGGGTTTTCAAGATGGGCGGTCTCGATTTCGCTGGTGGTACACCCGTGCACATTTCCTCCGGTGCTGCTGCCCTCGCTTATTCCCTGATGCTCGGAAAGCGTCGAGGCCACGGAACCCACGAGCTCAACTATCGCCCCCACAATGTTACCCAAATCGTCATCGGAACTGTGTTCCTGTGGGTCGGGTAAGTTTAATGGTTTCCTGGAATATAAGGGCTTCTCGCTGACAATTTGCAGATGGTTCGGCTTCAACGCTGGTTCAGCGTTATCCGCTAACCTTCGCGCTGTGATGGCTGCCGTTGTCACCAACCTTGCTGCTAGTGTCGGTGGTCTCACCTGGTGTATTCTCGATTATCGCCTGGAACGCAAGTGGTCGACTGTTGGCTTCTGCAGTGGTGTCATTGCCGGTTTGGTCGCCATCACCCCCGGCAGTGGTTTCGTCCCAGCTTGGGCTTCCGTCATCTTCGGTGTGGTCGGAGCCGTCGCATGCAACTATGGCACCAAACTCAAGTTCCTTCTCCACATTGATGATGCCCTCGATATCTTCGCCATCCACGGTATTGGTGGTCTTGTCGGAGATCTCCTCACCGGTCTGTTCGCTGCCGACTACATTGCAGCTCTTGACGGTGCTACCGTGATCGAAGGTGGCTGGATCAACCACCACTACATCCAGCTCGCCTACCAACTGTGTGACGGTGTCACTGGTATGGCGTACTCCTTTGTTCTCAGCTGCGTCATCCTCTTTGTGATCAACCTGATCCCAGGTCTCCAACTCCGTGCTACGGAGCAGGAAGAGATCATGGGTATGGACGAGATCGAAGTCGGTGAATTCGCCTACGACTACGTCGAGGTGGCTCGAGATGTTGTCCATGGTGTCGAGCACGAAGCCGTTCCCGCCCACAGAGACAGCCCCAGCTCGGATGGTGATATCAACGAGGAAAAGCCAGCTCAACCTGTCCCAACAACCACAGCTCCTACGAGCCCATAAAACGCCGCGTTGTTTTGTACAGCATAAGTCATAGAGGCGCAATGTTTGGCGCCAGAAGGGGACTGATCATAATATCCTACCTACACCTGTTGCTGTGTCTGTTTGTTCGTGTTGAAGAAGCTAGATTGCAAAGACGAATTGAAATTTAGATACCCTGAATATTAAGAAGAAAAATATGGTTTGCATCATCTTATTCAAGTGCTCCATCGGGTTCGATGTCCACTTCCTGCACCTCTGCACCCGCCAGGGCTCTGGCGGGGGCAATAGGTTCCATGATGATATGTATCAGGAGTCGATCCGGACAATACCTGACGTACCTTGTACTCCATCTCAAACACTATCAAACACTATAATTCAACCTCTGTCAGCCCTACACCGAGACATCACTTTTCAATACTCCGTCCGGGTGTGTCAGTTCCACACTACCTCAATGTCAAACCTTAGCGCAGATCCTCAGCCTTGTGCAGCCTTATCAGCCAGCGGATCTTGTCGTGCCTCCTCCCATACTACTCGTACTGTACGAAGCCTTTCGTCCTGAGGTTGCGCTGTCCAGGGAAGCGTTGGGACCATTAGGTATCCCATTATCTGTACCAGTCATGTAATGAGTGTCACTCTGCCCCGTTCTTCGTGTGTGTTGATACTCGTGTACGAAGGCCAAAGTTCCCCTGTCACTGCGTTCATCGGCAGCAGCCAGCATCCAAGTCGAACTCTGCACTTTCCAGCCAACTGAGGGCCATGAGATGATCATAACTTGTCTGTATACCCTTGGAGTGAATTCCTAAATATTTCAAATAAGTGTACTCCGTACAGTCGTCCCCATTGTATTAAACCATTAGCCGCCTGGGAAACGATTCAGACGGTCCAATACCCGACACCCGGGCATGTACCGGGCCGCGGCCTCACACACCTCTTTTTACTCCACCCTCCGCTACCACATCCGCAACCCCCCCCAATGATCTGGAGTTGCTCACAGGCTGTGTTCGACGGGGTAGAGCGCATATGATTTTGAAATGCTTGTCAGATCTCGGATAGGGTTCAGCACCTTTCTGGATTCGTGAACTCGTCGGATGGAGCAACCCCGAGGGCCCATGGACTTGAACACCCAGGTATATAAGCCGCAACGGAGGACATAAACGCAGTCCTTCTCCAAATCCTTTCCACCAAATCTACTCCCATAACCGATCAGTTGTTGGGGCCATACGTCGACATTTACCTTGCAGTTTCTATCTCGATAAAAAGCTACTACTTCGCAGCCACTCACACGATGCTCGGCAAAATCACCTTGGAAGATCACTTCAATCTGCCCGATTTCGCAGAAAAAGCGAAGTGGTGGGCAGGTCTCTTCGCCGTCGACGCAGACAAGCACGTCCGCGAGATCAGCGATGTCGGCAAGATCAGACTAGGTTATGCCGACCAGTATGGGGTGGGTTACCACATTCTCAGCTACACGGCGCCGGGAATTCAAGACATTGCCGACCCCAAGCAAGCGATTTCTCTGGCGAGACAGGTCAACGACTACATCTATGAACAGATCAAGGACAAGTCGGACAGATTCGGTTCGTTCGCGACGCTCTCCATGCACGACCCTGCCGAGGCGGCCGCCGAGTTGAGACGATGCGTCGAACAATACGGCTTCAAGGGCGCCCTGGTCAACGACATTCAGATCGGCCCCGATGGAGAGTCCCTCATATTTTACGACAAGCCCGAGTGGGACGTCTTTTGGCAGACCTGCGTCGAGCTCGACGTCCCCTTTTACCTTCACCCGAAACAGCCGACCGGTGTCGTGTACGACAAACTGTGGGCGGACCGGAAGTGGTTGATCGGCCCCCCTCTCAGCTTCGCGCAGGGGGTGAGCCTGCACTTGTTGGGGATGGTCGTCAACGGTGTGTTCGACAGGAACCCAAAACTTCAAGTGGTCATCGGCCACTTGGGTGAGCATATCCCCTTCGACCTCTGGCGCATCAACCATTGGTTCGAGGACGTCAAGAAACCATTGGGACTCAAAGAGACCTGCAAGAAGACCATCCGGGATTACTTCCGTGAAAACATCTGGATCACCACATCCGGACATTTTTCGACGTCAACCCTGAAATATTGTATCGAAGAACTCGGTGGTGCCGACAGGATCATGTTCTCAACCGATTATCCGTTCGAGTGCTACAAGGACGCGTGTACGTGGTTTGATGGGCTGAAACTCGACGAAGGACAGAAGGAAGCGATCGGGCGTGACAACGCATTGCGGTTATTCAAACTGAAGAATGTTGCCTAGGATAAGGTAGTTTGCATCAAATAAAAAAAAAGCATAGAAATGCATAAATTTGAGAAAGTAACGCCTGAGTAAAATGCTCAACAAGGCTGATGCTTAACTTGACGAGGCTGAATAATTCCCTTGGCAAGTTTGTTAGATTTTGCCTCTGTTGCGATCATTGTTGCATCATATGCGTTTTCGAAAGTGTCCTTCTTGTTTTACAACGACCCACGAGGAGCAGCACTCGTGTCAAACATGGCGGCTGATGAACGATCCGATGAGGGATTGCAAACTGGCTTCCCACGTTCACCTTCGTCCTTCGACGCTGACCCACGGGTGTCTTTTTCCCGACTCGACAACAAGTTCATCCTGGAGACCGACGAGGGCAGCGAGTTCGAATGGGACAGTGCTCTAAAAAGATGGATACCTGTGGTAGGCACATAAACACACACAGCCATGAAGTTTTCCAAGGACCCTTTTCTGCGCCGAGGAAACCACTTTTTTTCTCTCTTCTTCTTACCTATACAACATGTGTGCTCTTCGGAGTTGAGGAACTCATTCTAACGTGCTTGGGACGTTCGTTTCTTCCGTTGTAGCTGGATCAGTCGCTTTTGGAACAGCAAGGCGAAATTTACAAGGTTGAAGGTGTCGACGAGAATGCTGACGCTGCGGCGACGCAAAAGAAGAAACGAAAACAGCCGAATGATGGCGAAGTGAGTTCTTTTGCAGCTCCCTCGTGTGCCAGAAAGTATGGAAAACTGACAAAAATGGGCTCGCAGGCAGGTCAGAAATCGAAGAGACCCCGAGTCAATACCGCCGTCTATGTCACTTCGATACCCCTCGACGCGGATCAAGAAGAGATCCAGCACGTGTTCTCAAAATGTGGCGTCATCGCGGAAGAGATAGATTCAGGGAAGCCGCGGATCAAGATGTACGAGGACGACAAGGGACAATTCAAGGGCGATGCACTCGTGGTGTACTTCAGACCCGAGTCGGTAGACCTGGCCATCCAGATGCTGGACGACTCCGACTTCCGCCTGGGTTCCGAAGGGCCCGCGGGGAAGATGAAAGTCCAGGCCGCCGACTTTTCGTACAAGAGTCAGCAAGAGGCGCCGGCAAAGACCAGCAAAAAGGACCAAAAGAAGATCATCAAGAGAACTCAGAAGATGATGGGGTGAGATGTCCTGACACAAAAAGACGGTCACGATTTGTTGCTGACATATCGAGTCCAGGAAACTGACCGACTGGGACGATGACGATCCTCAAGCAATCCCGGACACCAGCTCCAGATGGGACAAGGTTGTGATCTTGAAACACATGTTCACTTTGGAAGAGTTAGAGGTAGAGAGCATCCAAAGCCAGCGCGTCCTTGGGAGATCATCTAACACGTGTGTGGCATGTAGGAGGACCCAGCTGCCATGCTAGAAATCAAAGAAGACATTCGTGAAGAATGCTCCAAACTCGGCGAGGTCACTAACGTGGTGCTTTTCGACAAAGAGCCCGCCGGGATAGCCAGTGTACGATTCTCCAATGCTGAAGCCGCGGCAGCTTGTGTTCGAGTAAGTCGTGACACTTTTTGTGCTTGATTCTCGAGACCTTTTCTAAACCTCTCATAGCTCATGAACGGCCGCTGGTTCGACGAACGGCAACTCGAGGCCTTTGTCTCTACTGGTAACGAGAAGTTTAAAAAGTCGAGCGATAGGGCCGTCGAAGATGACGACGAAGAGGATCAGGAGGGTGGACGACTCGATAAATTTGGCTCGTGGTTGGAACAAGAAGGTTGACGAAGATAATGTTAATGTACAATATTGTATTTTTTGTGGCCTCGGATCTCCTTTTTTATCCATCTCCGATAGCCAGACTACCTATCGTAGGAATATCTTGCCTCAAAGACAACGACCACCCGGGTTTGCTTTTTCTTTTTGGATGCCTGTGGAATCTCAAGATTTGCCGTCCTCTACTAGGCGCCGCCCACCCCCAAAACACCAACATAAAAGGAGACTGTTCTCGGCGCCAGACATCGTGTATGGCTGTCTAGGTGTCGACTCTTTTTTTGGTTGGGGTCCGAATCGTCGTGTTTCTGTTTTACAACCTCTCACCCTTTTCGGCCTTCATCTGTCCGTACTTTTTCAGTCGGATGGCTTGGACCTTGATGAACCCACCGGTCTCGGATGGTTCAAAGTCGCCGATCTCGTCCATGGACGATTCACTGTAATCATCACGTTTCATGGGTCAGTGACGGATCGAATGATCGGAAAGACATCAACGGAGAACAAAAGTACAAATGCCGGTACTCCGTCGCAAGGAAAAAAGGACAGCGGGGACTTGTGCGTCAAACGTACCTTGCATCGTACAACTTTTCGGTCTCACTGCTACGGCCAACGATGATACAGTTGCCCTTGTAGAGCTTCATGCGGACCTGGCCGTTGACGCTCTTTTGTGATTCCTTGATGGAAGCTTCGAGGAATTCACGTTCGGGGGAAAAATACAGGCCATTGTAGACTGCGGAGGAGATTGTTGTTAGCCCAATAGTCCAAAACTACCATGGTGTGATGAGTGACCCAGGGGAAAAAAGGGTCAAAAAAAGAACTTACGGACACGAGACCAACCAATGGTCACGAATTGATCACGGAGAGCACGAACTTCACGATCGAGGGTGAGTCCTTCAAGATCGATGTGAGCGTTACGAAGGATCGTGAGACCTCTGTTTTTTTGTGAAAAAAAAACCTCGTTGTCAGATAATGTAAGGCGGTGGAAAGGGCATTTAAACACTCACGGTGTTTCGTAACAACCTCGAGATTTGAGACCGATGAAACGGTTCTCGACAATGTCGATCCGACCGACGCCGTGTTTGCGGGCCAGGGCGTTCGCGGCGAGGAAGAGCTCCGTAGGTTTGGTCTTCTTGCCGGTGGAAGGGCTGTTCAGGGACACGGGCAGGCCCTTTTCGAACTCGATGACCACGTCCTCGGGCTCGTTGGGGGCCTGGGTGATGGGGTCGGCCGTCAACTTCCAGAGGTCCTGGGGAGGGGCGGTGTCCGGGTCCTCGAGGATGCCGGCCTCGTAGGAGCAGTGGGCCAGGTTCTCGTCCATGGACCACGGCTTGGACTTGGACTGGCTGACGGGGATGCCCTGTTGGGCTGCGTACTCGAGGAGATCGTTGCGGCCCTAGAAGAAGAATATTTAGGGGATCTGATCCATCTCACACAAAGTTATTGACGGTCGGGGTACGTACCTTGAAACGCTCGTAGAACTCGGGAATTCGCCATGGGGCAATGACTTGGATTTTTGGCTGTGTATCTCCTTGTCAGTATCTAGACAAAAAGATGTGTTGGAACTCAAAAGCGTTTGCCGAAGCCGGTTGACTCGCATCCCTCGTCGACACGCATTGGTTTCTCGGTTTTGGTTGCTCACCTGAAGGGCGTAAAAGGCCAGTTCAAATCGAACCTGGTCTGGATATCGTTAGATACTGTGCGGTGGCCTCAGCTGCCCCAAGAGTAAGACTAACCATTTCCTTTTCTTTGAGAGATGTTAGCATTGTAAACAATGACCCTGCCAAAGTCCTCACCGCTGGAAACATAACGGTAGGGATTTCCCGGTGAGGAAACTACTTACCCAGTACAACCGTGGGAGATCCATTGACAACCCTCCTTTTGAGCCACGTCAACCTGTGCGCGGGCAATGACTGGTCGGGCCAGGGAGGTCCCTAGGAGGTAGACGTTCTCGTAACTGGCGTTGCACTGGATGGCCGGGAAGCAAAGCTCCTTGACGAACTCGTCAATGACATCGACGCAGTAGAACGCCTTGGCTCCGATCTTCAGGGCCTTTTCCCGAGCGGCGTCAAAGTCCTCTTCTTGTCCGATGTTGGCCAGGAAGCAGACCACCTCGAAACCCTTCTCGATGAGCCAGGCCAAGATGCAAGAGGTATCGAGACCGCCGCTGTAGGCGAGACAGACACGTTGTTTCTCAGGCATGATTGTGATCGAAATACGCTGCGCTGTTCTTTGGTGATAGAAAAGATGGGTTGAAAATCTATTTTGTAGCAGAGAGGTGTTTTTAAAGTGTTGGGAGAGAATAATATATGTCAATCGGTGACGGTAGACAGACGGTGACTCCTCGCAATCGGAGCTTTGAGAAGGGAAAAAAATATTGATGTGGGGCAAAAACGACACGATAAGGGCGTGACTTGGTTCTTATCAGCGACAAAGTACAACTCCGTACTCGTACTGTGCGCAGTATTTACATTTACCTTGAGTATAGGCAATATCCTGTATGCAGGTACAATGTTATGGTGTAATATTGTGGTTCACTACTCGACGACCTCCTGACTTGTATTCAACGATTGAATCCGCCGTATCTAAGCCTGGACGTTCATCAGAACGAGTCGCTCGTCTCTTCGCCCACCCAGATGCTAGCAGCGTCGCTACTGTCATAATTGTACTTGTACTTGACGCACGGCCCGAAAACAATAATGTAAGTATCGTAACAGCACAGACGAAGAGCCGATAGAAAGTGGAAGGCTGCTTGTTGATGCATGCTGACCAGCCATTCCTCGATCACAAGCACTATGGTTAATCAGCATCAGAACATCAGGTCAATACGGCAGATATCAATTCTTTAGCGAAAGGGTGTTAATCAATGACAAAGCATGCCAATAAAGATATATTGTGGTATCATATAAATCGACGTGATCCAACCTGAGACGCCCGCGCGATCGCTAGAATGCACCTCCAGCGTTAACAATGCTAATATTCAAGTGAGAAAACTCCGGAAGCAACGCCACTGATATTTATTGTTGTTGAAGAGCTTCATCCTCGCTCGAGTTTGTCAAACTCAGATAGGCTGTCCAAGCAATTCCAATCGTACTCACGAAAGGAATTTGAAATTGCAAAGGCATCAGCCGGAAGTTGATGAGCTGCACCACAGGCCAGAGAATCCAGTTTGCTCTCAAAGTCGGAAGATAGACATCACGAAATTTCCTGGCTATGTCCTTCTTTCCTCCACCTTCAGCCACCGTCATAAATGTGAAGAAGCAGGACAGACCGAAGGGAGCAAAGATGAGTTGATCCATGGCCATCCGCTTCAGCGCAGGCACCGTCCCACTCTTCGGTGTTATAGGAAACCATTTTGTAAGTCGTCCAAACCACAGGAATTGCAGAGGCGACATGATGAAGCCATAAGACATGAATCTTGTCAACCGCTCAAAGTCAAAAGGTTGCGGACCGGTATGGCGAGGTGATAGTTCTGGCGATAATCTTGCAGGCTTTTCATTGAGGTCTTCTAATTCAACGCCAGAGGAAATGAAGGTTCTCGGATCGCTCGTAGGTAGGAGGGCCTGTCTCGTTCGAAATGCTGTTATTGCCTGGGCAGTTGTGTCTGCGATGCCACCAAGGATCTGTGATCTTTATTAGCGAATGTCAATAGCATCAGCTGATCTTCTTCAACGTACGGCATTCGTTATCATCGTAGTTAGAACCGGCTTCTGAGCATAGTAGGAGTTGAATTTGGCGATCATTCGGGCGGCCATGGCTAATTCAATAAGGAGGATTATTGTATGGAGCAAAGGCTGCGAGAAGAAACGATTAGTATCTGTACCCAAAGAACAAAATTGACGAGCCGGAGTTTGCGAGGAAGGAGCGTCTCACAATCCTTCCATAAATGTATTGACTATTCAGCCATGCCAGTGACTTTTTTCTCGATATTTCAAGCATGTTGAAGAGGAGGAAAAGAATCAGAAAGGATGGAAGTTGAGAGAAAGGGCTATGAGGTCAATGATAGTCAGGGCGTGGATGTCGGTGACGCCAGGTTCCAGTTCGGCTTGCGGAAGGCGGTTGGATCGCTTGATCAGGTAGTACAGACTGTGAAGGCGCCCTGAGAGTCGTGGGATATGTCTGTTCCCTTCATCGATTCCGAGAAGACCTTGGTCGAAGATGATTGAGGTTGATCAAGAGTACGGAGTATGCAAGGAGGAAGAGGTGGTAGGCGACTACGAATAGGCTGGTACACCCAGAAACAAAGAGGCTGCGCCTCGCAGATCGGCTGCGCATTGTTTTAGCAACGAATCCGATGCTCCCGCCACTTAAAACAATAGTCCGACGAGGTCGGTAATCTAGGCCAGACGATCGTTTACCAGTAAATATCTTGAGATAGCTAACTAGATGTTGTAGTGAGCCTATCCAAACTGCTAACTAGTACTTGTGATGATTAGATGCATTCTCCTGATGTCTACTGACTACTATCTCGGTGTCAATCGTCCGCTGTAGTAACGCCATCTTGATCAGACCTTGGGCCATTGTGAGCAACATCATGCGATTCGAAGTATTCTATCATCACAGTAAACATAACCAATTGGCTTTTCTGGTCATGCCACACTTGCATGCCATTGAAATTCGTGAAGATGCTCATATAAAAAGAATGTAACATTCCCGGGATTGAATGTGCTGATGGATAGATCTTTTCATGCTTCCTAGGTACCGTCCAGCTACTTCGGAATACGGAAGAACTGCCTGTGTAACACAGCAGAATACAAGCCCCGAACCTGACTGATTCTGTTGAATTCGGCCAGAGCAAGCCAAAAGCAAAAAGGCCCTTTGCAAGAAACGAGCTGCCTATAACACAGCAGTAAATACGTCAGTCTGAGAAGCAGCTGTCAACCCCCCACCAAAGCACCACCAAGATCGCCCGCATTGTTGTGCCCCTCCGGCGGTTTACGGAGTATTTTATTTTCTTCTGTGTTCCAAACAAGAGCTCAATTGAGATTCTTTCCAGTCGTCATAACCTCTTAGTATCTACACTGCCTTGGAAATTACACGAGAAAGATGTCTTTGTCAAACAAGCTGTCCATCACGGACTGTGACCTCCAGGGCAAGCGAGTCTTGATCCGAGTATGGCCCAATGTTGAGGAAATCTACAGTCCGCATCTAACATGATTCCAGGTCGACTTCAATGTCCCTCTCGACGCGGACAAGAAGGTTACAAACAACCAGAGAATAGTCGGAGCTCTCCCTACCATCAAATATGCTATCGAGCATGGCGCTAAAGCTGTCGTCCTCATGTCCCACCTCGGTCGTCCTGATGGCAAAAAGAACCCAAAGTACAGCCTCAAACCCGTCGTACCAGAACTTGAAAAGCTGCTAGGAAAGAGTGTCATCTTCACCGATGATTGCGTCGGACCAGAGGTGGAAGAGACGGTCAACAAAGCCAGCGGCGGCCAGGTCATTCTGCTCGAAAACCTCCGGTTCCATGCCGAAGAGGAGGGCAGCAGCAAGGACGCAGAGGGCAAGAAGGTCAAAGCTGACAAGGCCGACGTCGAGAAGTTCCGCAAGGGCTTGACCGCTCTTGGGGACATCTACGTCAACGACGCCTTCGGTACAGCTCATCGTGCCCACAGTTCTATGGTCGGTGTCAACCTACCTCAAAAGGCTGCTGGCTTCCTGATGAAGAAGGAGCTCGACTACTTCGCCCAAGCCCTCGAGAACCCCAAGCGCCCATTCCTTGCAATTCTCGGTGGTGCCAAGGTCTCGGACAAGATTCAGCTGATCGACAACCTGCTGGACAAGGTCAATAGCTTGATCGTCTGTGGCGGCATGGCATTCACTTTCAAGAAAACCCTCGAAGGTGTCAAGATTGGAAACAGCTTGTTCGACCAGGCCGGTAGCGAAAAATGTGCCGAGCTCATGGAAAAGGCAAAGAAGAACAACGTCAAGATGATCTTGCCTGTGGACTACATCACTGCTGATAAATTTGACAAGGACGCCCAAACCGGTACCGCCACCGATTCAGATGGCGTTCCCGACGGCTGGATGGGTCTTGACTGCGGCGAGGAGAGCATTAAGCTATACAAACAAGCCATCGATGACGCTCAGACAATCCTCTGGAACGGCCCACCTGGTGTGTTCGAGTTTGAGAAGTTTGCCAATGGCACCAAGAAGACCATGGACGCCGCAGTGGCAGCTGCTCAGAGTGGGAAGATTGTCATCATCGGCGGAGGTGACACGGCCACCGTCGCAGCCAAATATGGTGTCGAAGACAAATTGAGCCACGTTTCTACCGGTGGTGGTGCCAGTCTGGAGCTTCTGGAAGGCAAAGCTCTCCCTGGTGTAGTCGCTTTGTCGAGCAAGTAGATTGCGCTCAGTACATGATTACATGTGTGTACCTGGGTGAACTCCATGGAAAAGGCGTCTCACAAAACGAACCACACCTACGTTGAAAGCGAAATGACATAGCGTTGTGTGTATGATATTTTTTCTTCACTTCTCGACATGTGTCGATATCACATAGATGGACGTGAAACCATTGCCTTCTAGCTCTTGTAAAACCCAGAACGCCATGCAATGAAATGCTCTTGCCGCCTCGCAGTTTTTATGACTTTGTCGCCTCGACCTTTTTCAGTTCTTCCCTGACAAAATGTTAGTCCAGTCCCTGAACGCTGCAAGGGGAGAGATACTTTAGTTGTTTGCTGAAATCTTCATTCTCGTCATCGTCATCCCAGCTCTCCTCCCACAGATGTGTCTGTCCCCCGGGTACTTCTGTGTCCTCTTGTGACCAATCTGCGCTCACGGTTAGTTTTCACCGTGTTGGTTTGTATATAGATGGAAGGCCCTCGCCTTCAACAGGAAAGTCCTCGAATTCATCGTCCTCCTCTAGCATCGCTGGCGGTTGGCTCGTGGCAGTTTTGGATGTTTGTGCCGGGTCTGCTTCGTTCTTCTGCGTGGGCTGCAGCTTTCCCATGCCTGCGCCGCTCCCGGGGCCCGAGGACGACATACTCAGGAGTTGAAAGGGTTGTTGAACGGTAATGAAGGGTCAATTTGTCGACTAGAAGTGATACACACGGTCAACACAATGCAGTTATGAGGCTTTGATGGTCTGTAAGTGGCGGGCGACGGTATCGATCCTGGAATATCGGACCAACTCAGATTGACCTGTGAGAGGTCCGGAAGACGGCGAAACAAAAGCTCCGAGACAGGCACGCAACATCCAGGCGTCCTCCGTCCCGCCATCGACCGAAAAGTCGCTAGAAGATCCAGTTGTCATCATGTATGTCTCGATGACGAACAGGTGTCTGAAGTTCTTTGTCGTTTAGATTTCTGTCTTGCGAGGAGGCTATTTCAGCTTTGTCGAGGGGAAGATACTGTACTGCCTATTCCTCAGCTATGCCTTCTTCTTCTTCTTCCCTTTCCGCTCCTTCGTTCGATTAGAACCTACCGATTGCGTATTCTTTTTGCTGTGCCTCGATTTGTGAACATTACGCACGTACTTTGCGTTTTGAAACCAAAGACTTTATTCTCCTGGAAGAATTTCAACGCCCCAGCAGCAGAAATTGGAAAATTTAGACTATTTAGATCATCTTAGGAGGACGAGATGCATCGCGTGGGAAGGTGGCTCGATCGCAGCCGGTCTGCAGCCACTGCATCTACCCGAAGCCTGGATTCTCTCGAAGAGTCACAGAACCTGGAAACCGCGCTCCGAGCTGTAGAGCTCGTGTTGAATGATGATATAGCCGGGGCGGAGAAGGGCCTTGCAGAAGGAACCTCGTCATTTCACAGACTCGCACAAGGCACACTTGCTTTCATGAAGGCTACTTTGGGGTTTGAGCAGGAAGTTATGAAGGAAGCATCCGAGACTCTTGCAGAAGCCGAGTCGAGTGCTTCCACAAGTTATCACAAGGCACAGCGTGATACTCGGGTATTCAACTCCAACATATATGAAAGGGGTTCAGAGTTCGCACTTTGCCAGGCAGAGGCACAGATCATGTCTGCTGTGGTTGCTGTTTTGAACGAGAGTCTGACAGAATCCATACGAGGATTTTACAAATTGAGAAAGGCGTATATGACACTTGACAGCCTTGTGCAAATGGAAGTGGCATACATGAAAGCACGTGGAGTAAAAAGTCTGGCAAATTCGAGAACACAGTCGGTGGAGAGTTTACCCTCGGCAGCTTCAGCGAAGTCCAGTCAGTCCAACTTGGTCGGGAAAGATGCAACGCTGGGCAAAAAGCCTGCGGACCAGCTTGCTTCTAGTCAACCAGCCAATCCTTCTGGTCTGCGAAATGCTGAGATCGTCGACCCAGCGTCAGACGAAGACCCGGAAGAAGAAGAATTTCACGAAGTGGATGTGATACATGAGCAGAATCCCGTGACGGAGGGCTATACTGGTCATCTGGAGGTGACTGAGGCATCGGAGGACATGGCAGAGCTCGACCGTAACATAGATCGACTGAACCTGAGCCATCATGTCGACGAGTTGCACGCTGAGGGAGTCATGAAGCCTCCACCTCCGACAACACTTGGGATGCTCACAGAAGATGCTGACTCTGATACTTTCTCCAACTCGCTCGACGTGTTCATTCATTCTGGCACAAATCTGATGTCGGGCATACTGTCTCTTCTTATCTCAATCATCCCACCGGCATTCAGCAAGCTTCTATACATCATTGGCTTCCGTGGTGATCGGGAGCGAGGAATCCACATGTTGTGGCAAGCTAGCAAATTTTCAAACATCAACGGTGGTATGGCCAGCTTGGTTCTTTTTGGATGGTATAACGGACTGGTTGGCTTTTGCGACATTGTCTCCGATTCGGACCCTGCAGACCCAGAGGATGTTGAAGGCTACCCGGGTCAGCGATTGGAGGTTTTGCTGGCGGAAATGCGCAAAAGATACCCTCAGAGTAACTTATGGCTCGTTGAAGAAGCCAGAATGGCAGCTTCACACAGACAGCTTGATAAAGCTCTCGATATCCTTTCAAGTTCGGGGAAGAGTCAGCTCAAGCAGATTGAAGCTTTGCACATGTTCGAAAAGAGCCTGAGCTCCATGAATGCTCACCGATACGAGCTCTGTGCATCATCCTTCCTTGCTTGTGTCGATCTCAATGCTTGGTCACGGGGACTCTATTATTACATTGCTGGTGCCGCACATCTGAGTATGTATCGATACGACAAGACTTTGACAAACGAGGAGGCGCAGAAACATGCAAAACTTGCGGAGGAGTATTTCAGAACTGCCCCGACCAAAGTTGGTAAAAAGAAAATGATGGGAAGGCAGCTTCCATTTGATGCCTTTGTGGTCCGCAAAATGGCAAAGTGGGAGGAACGGGCGACGAGGTTCAATTGCAGCTTTATTGATGCTATAGGAGTAAGTCCTCTCGATGAGATGATCTTCTTATGGGCAGGATATAAGAAGATGGACGAGGCGAGGCTGCAAAAGTCGCTCGACAATCTCTCATGGTCAGAATCCTCGCCACGGTGGGAGCGTGAAGATGTTGACGAACAAGCAATCCTCGCCATTCTCCGATCTGTCATCCTGCGGAACCTTCGTCGACACGATGAGTCCAAGGAAATCCTGCAGCAGCACGTTTTGAATCATAGCACATTCGACTTCAAAGGTCAGAACAAGGACGACTGGGTTGCTCCGACGGCACATCACGAGATGGCTGTCAATCTCTGGATGCAGCGGACCGGTTACCGGCCTACACATGGGAGCGAGCCTACAGTCAGTCGCGACGAGCCGACGACGTCGGTGGATCTGACCCGTGATGCCGTGTTGGTCCAGCAGTGCAAGACACATTTGGAGAAGGCCAAGAACTGGGAGAAATACGAACTCGAGGCACGCTTAGGGTTGAAGATCACGGCTGCTCTTAACGCAGTCAAGCATTGGGAAGAGAAGCATGGGGATGCAAGTAAGTAAGAAGAGGTTACGAAGTCAAGTCTTGTAGGTCGAATGATGATGGATCGTGGAGCCGAAGCAAGTGTACAGGTCATGTTTTAGTCTTGAATCGGAGCGCCAGAAAGTGAGTGCCTTCGAGCGGCGTTTCATAGTAGGCGGGAATTTCCTCGAAACCAAATGCTCGGTACATACTGAGTGCCGCGAGCATACTGGGCAAAGTATCCAGCCTGATCTCAGAATAATCCAGTCGACGTGCCGCGGCGATGATCCCCGACGCCAGCGCCTTGCCAACCCCGGTGCCTCGCCCCGACGGCGTGACATATAACCGCTTCATCTCACATATTCGAGCATCATTGGCAACCGCGGATGGCAAGGGCCGCAAACCCACACAGCCAATTGGCAGACCCTGGTTGTTTCGAGCGAGTAACAGTTCGCCCGTCGGCGGAGAGTACTTTCCAGGCATTCCGGCCATCTCGGCATCAAAGTTCTGGAAGGCCAGGTCGATCCCAAGGCTGTCGGCATATGCATAGAACAATGTGATGGCGTCCTTGACCTCAGCCGGCGTCCGCACAGGCGTGATGGTGAATGCTTGTTCAACCATGGCGGGCAAGGCAGGCAGGGCCACGCCGCCAATTGGCGAATATGCTGGTGATTTCAGTCGACAGCGGTTGGTTGGTTGGTAGTGAACGAGAATGAATGGCTACCTCGACGGTGGACTGACCGACTTCGTGTTGAGAAGGCTCTGGGGAGGAAGTGTTGGTGTTGGGTGTGACAAACAGAAATCGGCCGAAATCGGGGACGGCGCTTTTGGACGGTGTCGTGTGCTTTTTTCAGTTTCAGTTCTTCCGTGGACGAAGTACCTAGCTGGTACTGTAGTAAATGCTTAGCAATGGTTTTTTGTTTGATCTTGTAATTGCTTCTACCGAGTAAGAATCTGAGTACATTAATATCGGCATGGGAGTTTTGGACCGATTAGCTATGAGTAGTAGTGTGTGAGTCAACAAAGTCCAAGTCGACCAGGGTAGTATTGTACAGTACTCCGTAGAAGGTATACGGGTTGTCCGGAGAATCATGTCAAACTCCCGGAGCCTTGCGAGACTCCCCCAGGTAGCACTTCTCCCCATCAACCATCCCAGCAATTGTGGACGTAATGGGTTATCGAAAGGTGCTCGGTGCTACGCAGGTCGTTGTCGGTCTCGAACTCGCACGGGGTGACATTAGGGTGGAAAGAAGGACTGCCAGTACGAGAATACTCCGTTCCCGTAACAAGAATCTTTTTCACCACCTCCCTCGGTTACAATTTAGAAGATCTGTGCATCAAGCAAATCCCAGGTGAGTGTCAGCTGGTCGACGTACAGTATGGATTAGAAGTTTGTTCTGTGATATCGCTGGAATCTCGATGAAAAGTTTTCCGTGGGCATTGCTTTTGCTTCTTCGCTGTATTCCGTACATACATACAGTATATTCAGCCTGGCGTGGTGAGGCTTGGGGTGGGCATCCGACTCATGATGCTTGCAGGGATCAATTTTAAGGTGGATTGGTGGATCACAGCGACATCGGATGTTGAATTAATCGAATTCCACAGTTCGTAACAGGGCGCGCCGCGTGGAGGAGGGTCTGCTATTTACCTATGTACGGAGTACAATACAGTAGTCTTATGGGCCACGGGTACGGAGTATGTACGGGCGGAGTCCAAGGGACGGCTAAGGAGCACGGCTACAATATTGTAGGTACTCTGAGTACCCCGAGCAGCCTGGAGCACCCCTGAAGCAACCTAGTTTGGTGTCGGGGTGAGTTTAAATGTTCCGTAATAATTACTTGCAAGTTGGTGTCACAGACTCATCGATAACCATTTGCATGGCATTATTCAATCGACTCCATTTCCCAGGCATTTCTTTTGTACTAAATCACGGCTTCTTATCGAGCCAATTGTGAGTCTCGTTTGGCACTTTTGATTGCCATAGATTTTGTTGATACTTCCATGTCAACATAACGAGGGCGGCGCCCGAAATGCCCTCCCCCCTCCTCGGAATCTGGACACACACACACTGTACATGGTGTCTGCGTTACAGCTTTCGCCATCAATACGAAGAAGTCGCCGGGTGGAATCGCCATGCGGAAAATGGCAAAAGAAGCAACTCATGAGCGCATGATCGTCCGGCCAGCCATCAACGGATTTTCTTTTGTTTCTTCTTCTGTTCCTGTAGACTGATAAATTCCCTTCGAGAACCTCCATTCAACTGACCTTACTGTCCACAACTGTTTCCTTCCTCACAGCATCTGTCTTCTCTTCTCTTCCTCTTTCTCTCTGTCACTCACACACACACACACATACACCACCCAATCCACTCACCTACAGTACCCTAAAGTCTCCCTCATAGACCTTCGCCGATACAATGTCTAACCTTCCCTCCGAACCCGAGTTCGAGCAAGCCTACAAGGAACTTGTCTCGACGCTCGAGAACTCGTCCCTTTTCCAGAAAAACCCAGAGTACAGAAAAGCCCTCGCAGTCTGCTCCATCCCAGAAAGAATCATCCAATTCAGAGTGGTATGGGAGGACGACAAGGGCCAGGTTCAGGTCAACCGCGGTTACCGAGTCCAGTTCAACTCGGCACTTGGCCCTTACAAGGGCGGTCTCCGATTCCACCCCACGGTCAACCTGTCGGTCCTGAAATTCCTGGGGTTCGAGCAGATCTTCAAGAATGCCCTGACCGGCTTGAACATGGGTGGTGGAAAAGGTGGTGCGGACTTTGACCCCAAGGGCAAGTCGGACAATGAAATCAGAAAATTCTGCTGTGCATTCATGAGCGAGCTCGGGAAACACATTGGCGCAGATACTGATGTCCCAGGTAAGGGCCGGCTTCACTGCCAACAGAACTGGGGAGTTCCCAATTTGACTGACACGCCTACGCAGCTGGTGACATCGGTGTGTCTGGCCGTGAGATCGGTTGGTTGTTCGGACAGTACAAAAAACAAACGAAACTGTGGGAAGGTGTATTGACCGGCAAAGGAGGTGAGTGCTGTTTGCGCAGGAGGTGCGATTCACCGTGGTGCATTTCAAACTGACAAAATCACAGGTAGCTGGGGAGGTTCTCTCATTCGACCAGAAGCAACTGGCTACGGTCTGGTATATGTGAGTGATAATCCGACTTCCTGTGTAACCCGAGAGGAGCTTTTCCAATTGACCATATTTGTCCGCAGTACGTTGAGCACATGATCAATTATGCCAGTGGCGGCAAGGAATCTTTCGCGGGCAAACGAGTTGCCGTGTCCGGCTCCGGCAACGTGGCCCAGTATGCCGCCCTGAAGGTGATTGAGCTCGGAGGCACCGTCCTCTCACTCAGTGACAGCAAGGGTTCCATCATCGCCACGACCGAGTCCGGCATCGACGCCGAGATGATCGAGGCCGTCGCCAAGATCAAGGTCGACCGCAAGCAGCTGGCCGACGTCGCCCACACGTCCGAGTTCAGCGGCAAGGTCAGGTACATCGACGGCGCGAGGCCGTGGCTGCAGGTCGGCCGGGTCGACGTCGCCCTCCCCTCCGCCACCCAGAACGAGGTCTCCCAGGAGGAGGCCGAGGGCCTGATCAAGGCCGGCTGCAAGTTCATCGCCGAGGGGAGCAACATGGGCTGCACCCAAGAGGCCATCGATGTCTTCGAGGCCCACCGCAAATCCAACAAGGGGAGTGACGCCGTCTGGTACGCCCCCGGCAAGGCCGCCAACGCCGGCGGCGTGGCGGTCTCGGGCCTAGAGATGGCACAAAACTCGGCCCGCATCTCGTGGACCGCCGAGGAGGTCGACTCCAAACTCAAGGACATCATGCGGAATTGCTTCCAGAACGGCCTCGAGACCGCAAAGACCTACCTCACCCCGGCCGAGGGCGAGTTCCCCAGTCTGGTGGCCGGTAGCAACATTGCAGGCTTCAGCAAGGTGGCCGCCGCCATGAAGGATCAGGGTGATTGGTGGTGATTTTTTTCAATGATCGACTGATTGTATACCCCTCTAAATTATTGCGTTTGTTTTTGGTTCTAGTAGATTATATGGAAGATGGGCGCGGAGTTTAGACAGGCTAAAATATGAACATTTGTAAATGTTTTTGATCGGGAGGCTTTTCTTAGCCCCAACCATAGGTCTCTATCATAAGACCGACTTTATGGCGACAACTCCAGGCAAGTCCTTGATGTCGACCAATACACCCGGAGCGGCGGTGCCCTGTTCGGCCTCTCGGATCAGATCCACGACCCTCATGGCGTCGACTTTCAACGACCCTGCGTTGAAAGCCACCATTTGTATCTCGCTTTCGTGACACTGTCCCGGACCGAGGGGGCCGATCCTCAGCTCGGCCGTCAGAGCCATGAGGTCGGTCTCCGGTGGAACCACGTTGGAATGATGCATGGCATATACAACGTTTTCGTCCACAACTGCCTGGGCAATGTCTACGCCGTCTTCGTTCTTGCAATGCCGTCTCTCGCTCGGATGGAAGGACGCCGTGGATGACTTTGGGGCATGCCGTTTCGCCATCGACTGTGCCTGGGTCGTCTGCCTTTGCATTCGAGGCAACGGTATGATGGTAATTTTTGCGACCCTCGGAGAGTTGTTGACAACCATGACCTTCCAGCTAAAAGGCACACCCACCTCGACCACACTCTCAATAGCAGTAAACGATATAGACAACCCGCTTCTTGCCACAACGGCCGAATTTGGTGTGAAACTCAACGCATTGTCGATTGGTGGCGCAGTCGAACTGTCAGTGCCATTTATGGCGGGCAAACTTGTCGGTCGATTGGGTCTCTGGATAGGTTGTGAAGGAGGACCGAACGACGGGTTCAGGGCTTGACTGAAATCCACATGCGTCGTCCAGTCCATGCTGATCGATGGGTGGCACTCTTCACTAGAATGCACAGACAGTCGAACTTTGATGGACAAAACATCGATGTTGGGATTCACAGATACGACAGGTGAATCGCTCGTGCTCAGATCCTGTTGGAGTTTATGGATTAGCGTGACACAGTCTCCAGAATGGCACTGTATCGGCAGAAAGTCTGGCATGATTGGTTCCACGCGGCCATTTTTGAGTGCAAGCTCAACGGCCTCCACCGTGGCATTGATCTGTACAAATGGAATGATCTCGATGTCCAAGAGAGCGATATTGGTGGGCAAGGGTGAGGATGCATTGATCCTGTTGTATCGAATGCGTGCAATCGCCGCCGGGACCGCCTTGTGACGCCGGGATGGGACGTGTTGGATATGGAACCGTGATTTGTGTGTCGCGGTGAGTGGAAGTACTCTCTCGAGCCGTGAAGCAGCCAAGTAAGGAGGATTCTGTTGGAAGCCCGGGATGAACCGCATTGGCTCCAGCAGGTTGGCTTCAAGGGGTTGGAAGGGGGTGAGGTCGTCGTCCCTCCGATGCTCGTCCTGCTGCTGAGCACTAATTGTGGCAGAAGGGATAAGCACGATGGCAGGCTGAGGGACGCGAAACCTAGGCCTGTTCAACGAAACATGAATTTCCCATACAAGAGTCAATGTGCGACCATTGTCGCCTGATTGACTGGCCAAAACTAAAGGTTCATTTTCCTGAATGCCTTCGTAGGAAGAGATAAGGTCCCTTGCCGGGGTCGAGGGATTGGCTGGCAGTTCATTGCCAACGGAATCATCGAGAGCCCAGGCGTCTATTTTGTATGAGAGACGTGCCAGGAGAGCTTTCAGCACATCCTCGTCGCAATGAGGCACTTGGAGGATGGCAAGTGTCCTTAGCTTTTCATCTAATCTGTCATGAGTAAGATTACATCCAAGGATGGGGATTTCGATGTTGCTCACCAAAGAACAAGGTGTCTCTTTCTTTAAGGCTGACGAGGCGATCAGTGTCATTCGGTGTCTCTGAGTAGATCTCCAGCAACTCAGTAAGATCTGTGGTGGTGTCTTGCGGCACGACAACATCCAACAAAGACGCCTTCAAAGCCTCTGTTTCCATGGCCTGTGGACACCATGGGCGACTCTAGATAGGTAAACTAGCACATTGTGCCAGGCAGAGAAACCATTTTCGACGTGAATATCAGGGCATTGCCATCTCACTGCTTGATTAGGAGAAGTAATCCCACAGATAGTAGTACTTGGTCCCTGATGTATCTGTCCTCTGGGTATTTATCGCTTTCCGCCAAGCGACCGTGTCTTATGTAATCAAATTTCGATTTTCATTCCTGAGGCTTGAACTACCTGCAATCAGCTTTCGTTTTACTTGACTGTCTCTCGATAAATCGCGACATCTCGTCCTCATGCTCGCGTCTAGAGGATAAAATTGAGCACAAGGATCTCCGACTATGAACAACTTTCCGCCGACACCTGCGCAGTGGCAGGAGGCGCGTGCTCCAGATGGCCGCACCTACTACTACAACGCAGTCACGAAGGAAACAACATGGACGAAGCCGGCAGAGATCATGACGCCTCTAGAGAAGGCGCTCGCGTCCCAACCATGGAAGGAATACTCCACCCCCGAAGGCCGGAAGTATTACTACAATCCCGAGTCAAAGCAAACAGTTTGGGAGATGCCTGCAGAATATCGTGAGGCTCTCAGTTCTGTTCAACTTCCTCCTAAACCTGCGCAGCCCGCTCCAGCCTTTGTCGCAGGCGGCAGTACCGCCCTCACATCCTACTCAACCCCTCGCGATGCCGGTACACCGTTTGATTCGAGGGCGCGCAACGATGGTATCCAACTGCCGGTCACGAAAGAGGTGGTGCCAGATTACTCCAGCTTCGAGGAGGCAGAAGCAGCCTTTATGAAACTCCTGCGCCGTTCCAACGTGCAGCCTGAATGGACTTGGGAACAGACGATGAAAGCGACCATCAAGGACCCGCAGTACCGAGCGTTGAAGGACCCAAAGGACAGAAAGGCAGCCTTTGAGAAGTTTGCAGTCGAGGTTCGGCAACAAGAACGAGAAAAGGCCAAGGAGAGACTGGCTAAGCTACGCACAGATTTCAGCAACATGTTGAAAACGCATCCGGAAATCAAACATTACAGTCGGTGGAAGACGATACGGCCGATTATCGTAGGAGAAACCGTCTTTCGATCTACCGACGACGAAGAGGAGCGCAAGCAGTTGTTCGAGGAGTACATCGTAGAGCTCAAGAAACAGCATCTCGAGCAACAGGCTGCGAACCGAAAATCTGCCCTGGACGACCTCGTCGCCATACTCAAAGCTCTTGACCTTGAGCCGTACACCAGATGGTCTCAGGCACAGGAGATACTTGAACAGAACGAAAGAATCAAAAGCGATGAGAGGTATAAACTTCTGAGTAAGTCAGATGTCTTGACGGCCTTTGAGAACCATATCAAATCACTGGAAAGAAGTTTCAATGATGCGCGTCAACAGCAGAAATCCAGCAAAGCTCGGCGTGAGCGACAGAACCGGGATCGATTCATTGAACTACTTCAGAGCTTGCGAAGCCAAGGCAAGATCAAGGCCGGCACAAAATGGATGAACATACTACCATCAATTGAGGAAGACCCCAGGTATGTTGCAATGCTGGGTCAGGCTGGGTCAACGCCGTTGGACTTGTTTTGGGATGTCCTCGAAGAAGAGGAACGAGCTCTTCGTGGGCGAAGGAATGATGTCTATGATGTTCTCGAGGTAAGCTACTCGTTCGTCCACTCTGGCGTCGATATACTAATGACATGTAGGACCAACGCTATGAAGTTACACCAAAGACTTCCTTCGACGAGTTTCTTGATATCATGCATACTGATCGAAGAACAGCGAGTATCGACCGGGATGCTCTTGAGCTCATATTCCAGCGCTTACATGAGAAGGTCACCAAGCGGAGCGAAGACGAAAAACACGCTGCTGGTCGTCATCAACGTCACGCGGTCGATGCTCTCCGCTCGCGAATCAAACATCTCGACCCTCCCGTTCGCATTGCTGATACCTGGGAGACAGTCAAGCTTCGGGTTGAAAAGACTGCTGAGTATCAGGCGGTCGAGAGCGATGACTTGCGGAAGTCTGCGTACGAGAAGGTTATCAAGCGCCTGAAGGAAAAGGAGGAGGATGTGGATAGGGACCGTGAACGCAGACATTCAAGACGTGAAGAAGATCGTGACCGCCGTAACGGCCATCGCGGCGAAGCCAGACACGGACGAGCATCGAGATCACCCGAGCCTGACGCCTACGAAGCCGACCGCCGCAAAGCCATGGCTGCCAGGGAGAAACAATACCGCAAGACCAGCTCTCTAGGTCTGAGTCCACCTCCCTCGTCTTACCGTGATCGTGAGAGACGCGAGAGGGATGAAAGACACGGCCGTCTCGACCGTGATCGCAGTCCACCTTCTCGACACATGAGCACGTACGATCGCGAACGCCGTGATCGTGAGGAAGAAAGAGAGCGCCTGTATCGATCGCGAGCGGATCCTCGCAGTAGTCGAGATGAATTGAACTATGGCGAGGAGTCCAAAAGTGTGGCTGGAAGTGAACGAAGACGACGCCGAGGCGACGGTAGCGATGCCGAAAGCGTTGAGAGTGGCCGTCGAAGTGCAAAGCGGTCTCGCCGTGAGACTGTTACGTCTCGGGAGAAAGCTAAGAGCAAGACACCCGAGCCTGTAAAGTCAGAGCAAGATGCTGAGCCAATTGGCGTGCACTCTGGCAGCGAGGAGGGAGAGATAGAAGAAGACTAGATTTGTTGTGGACGGGTTTGATTTCACTCAAGGTTAGTCGACCGTGGCATCATCCTTCTCCGCGGTGGCCATAATCTCAAGCTTGAGCTGAAGGTAGATCAGTGGAAAGACCGAATCCTCTCCTATTCGACCGCGTTGCGGTTGAGTCGTGAGGATAGATATTTTGCTTGGAGACGAACGGCGAGGTCTTTCAAAACTTGGCTTCTTCGGTATGTAGCGTCCACTTACCGATTCTAATTTCTCAATTGCAGCAATCTTTCAACTTGTCGTGTTGTATCATCGACACCGTTATCGTTGACAGGTGCGTGTTTTGCATTCCCGGCCGCTTTTGCCGCCTTTTTGTTATTTTCCTGGCCTTTTTTTCGATTCATCCCTTCAATAATGCATACGCTATATCGCCTGATGGCGGTATGGTGCCTTCTCATGGTGATGTTTCATACCTACCAAAGGTTTGATGCTTGATTCGACGCAGACAATGCACAAGATCTTGTCGAAGATGCCGAACTTTTCGGTCATCGAGGTTTCCAAAATGCTGTAATAGCGCAGCCTATGTTGCAAGGGCACTGCTTGAACGGTTTTTGAGTTGTTGCATGCGGTAGTTGTCGCTCCTGGCTGCGTTGTCGCTTCTGGATCTCTATTCAGATGATGATTCTCTATGCTAGATGAGATCACACCCTCTTGGAGAAAAGTGAAGGTCATTGCTGTTATGAGAAAGACGGTCTTAAAACTCACTTCATGTTTCGTCTTCATATATATGCTGAATATGATGCCTTTTCACATTCCAGAATTGCTGAATGCAGTATGTTCGATCTTGCTCGCGTCTCAAAAGAAATAATACCAGATCCTCAAAACACCGGATCGTCGCTCATTACCTCTATATCTTCGCCTCCAATGCCAGGCTGCTGGATACTCAACCTCGACAACTTTGGACGCTTTCCACGCATTGAATTGTGCGCCCGGCTGCCATTGTCATCGTGTTGTCTCCTAGAGTAATGGGTTGCTCCTACAACCTTGCAGAAGGAGTAGATTTCTGGTCTTTCAGACGGCTCATTTGCGGGTCGTAGAGCGGTTCGGGGCTCACGGTAGCCTTTATCCGCTTACCAAAGTACTCGATCTCAACAGTTGCGCCTTCCGTGACCGTGCTGGGTAGCCAAGCATAGGCGATGGGTTTGCGGACTGTATAGCCGAAGGCTGCGCTTGTCACGTAGCCGCTTGCTCTGCCGTTGAGGAAGACTGGTTCTTTGCCCATCACCACTGAGCGGCCGTCGTCTATCGTGAGACAGCGCAATCGTCGAGAAGGTGTCTTCGAAAGGCTTTGAATGGAGGCATAGCCGATGTACCCTTTCTTGTGCGGATCAACAGCGAAGCCAAGACCAGCTTCGTATGGGTTGTGCTCGGTGGTCATATCGGTGCCAAAGAACCGGAACCCCTTTTCCATGCGCAAGGCGTTGAATGCGGTACGGCCGGCTGCAATCAGCCCGTGAGGCTGACCGACCTTCCAGAGAAGGTCCCAAAGTGCCAGTCCATATTCAGCGCTGGTCCAGAGCTCCCAGCCCAGTTCACCAACGAAAGACAATCGGATTGCGGTGACTGGGATTCCCCCGACGTTGACTTTCTTGCACCGGGAGTAGCGAAGATCTTTGAAGTCGCCTGCGGCGACTCTGCTGATCACGTCGAGGGCGCGTGGACCCCAAAGTCCTACGCCGCACGTAGCGCCAGTAATGTCTCGCACCTGTGTCCACTGAGATGGCTCCTTCTGAGACTGCCTCTTGGCCTCTCTGCTGAGATAGGCCAGGTCTACGGGAGTGTTGCAGGCAATCTGGAATAACTCTTCCTCGACCCTGGCCACGGTGATTTCGCTTCGAACTCCTCCGTGCTCGGTAAGAAGCAAGGAGTAACTCGCGGAGCCAGGGTCCTTGGAGGCATCGGTCGTGGTCACCCGCTGCAACAAGTTGACTGCTCCAGGTCCAGAGACTTCGAGTCGACGCAGTGGCGTCATGTCATACAAGGCCGCGGCCGTTCTGGTCTTCCAAGCTTCAACTGCCGCGATGGGCGAATAGTGTTGAGAGGACCACGCATCGCGGTCAACAGGCTGCCATTCCCGTGGCAGACTCTTCAGCAAAGCTGCGTTCGTGGCGTACCAGAATGGGCGTTCCCACGCACTCGACTCGAGAAAGTACGCCCCTAGTTCAGACTGGCGCGGGTAGAATGGACTGACTCGTAGATTCCGCGGAGACAATTTGGGTGCGAGTGGATGTATGATGTCGTATACCTCAACAAAGTTCTGCTGTGATGTTTCCTGGACGTATGCATGGGTGAGTTGCACGTCGTCGAATCTCGAGAGTTCACACTCTGTCAGGTCGATTTGAGACTTGCCCGTCGTCAACACCTCGGCGACCGCCCTCGCCACACCTGCAGAGTGTGTCACCCAAACTGCTTCGGCGACCCAGAAACCGTCCAAGGTGGGCGACTCTCCAACGAGCGAGCCGCCGTCCGGCGTGAAGGAGAAGATTCCATTGAATCCGTCTTCAATCTCAGTCTGCTGCAGTGCAGGTAAGATCTCTTGGGAGTGTTTCCACGCCGGTTCAAAATCCTTTGGTGTAAACTCCAGTCTCGACGGCATGTGCTTCTCGTCGACATGCTTGGGCGTGGATCCCAATGACGCTGCAACAACAGGCATCGGTCGATGTCCGTAGTATCCGATACCGTACTGTTCGCCGTGTTCGCGGTAGTACAGGTCTTGGTCTTGATATCGTAAAATTGGCAAAACAGCTCCATTTGGTTGAGGCACACGACCTGCCCGGGCTGGGACTTTGGTCGTCTTCACATACTGGTGAGCGAGTGGTACCAAAGGTATCGTCAACCCGACCATGGCTCCCACTTCGACGCCCCAGAATCCGGCACACGAGACCACTATATCAGCCGGGATCGTTCCATTTTTTGTCGTCACGCCCGTGACGTGGCCGTCGGCTTGTTGTATGCCTGTGACTTCGGTGAGATCTCGATATCGAACGCCTGCCTTTTGTGTCCGTTCGATGAGGAGCTGAGTAGCCCGGGCGGCTAGAGCTAGCCCGTCACTGGGGATGTGCAGACCACCCAGCACCTTGCCGCGATTCAGATGAGGATATAATCTGAGGCACTCAGCGGTGTCGATCAGTCGAGCATCGATACCCCACGAGTAAGCATAGCCTTGCTTCCGCTTGAGTTCCTCCATACGTTCGCCCGTGGTGGCAATCTCAAGACCTCCCACTTGGTTGAAGCAGTCGAGAGACAGCAGCTTGTCGACTGTGTAGCGAGCGAACAGGGCCATAGTCTTTGACGGGTTGGTCTGGAAGACCAGGCCTGGTGCATGCGACGTCGAGCCACCAGGCATGTTCAAGGGGCCTTGCTCGACGACGGTGATGTCGGTCCATCCTCGCGAGACCAGCTCGTCGGCGAGGTTGGCCCCGACAATGCCAGCGCCAATGATTACGACGCGTTTATTGAGGGCTGCCATCTTCTACTTTTCTCTTTTCTTCAAGAAGAAGAAGAAGGTTGGTCAATCCAAAAGGTGAAGGACCACTCAATGTTGTAGATTCATGTCAATGTCATAGGCAGACGAATGCAAGAACCTATAAAAAGGGAACAACACAGCAAGACCTCTCTCGGATTCCGCCAACAACCATTGATAGTGGTACAGTACGGATCTAGAAGCCTTTCCTGTTACTAGTGTCTTTCCATCTCTACCCGGCACAATACAACACTATCAGCATCGAGAAGCCAGTCAAAAGACCCCGCAACTGCAACGGCAATGGCGAATTGTGGCTGCTGTTAAGAAAATGGATTAGCGTACCCAGAATCGACATGGGTTCCATCTGGTTATGAAGGGCGTGAGATAAGGAACGAGTAGTGTGGAGGGGGGGGGGGAGGTGACTACTGACTTATCAGACCCTTGGACCTTCAATTCAACACAGTATGACCCCTGCTGGGCATCGACAATCATCTCGTCTTCCGCCGACTTACCACACAGTCCTCGTACATCCCTGCTCAGACTAAGAGTAAATCTGCCGGCAGTTTCTGCGATGGGGTCCACAATCGAGTCTCTGTGGATTGGAAGGGCTGGAATGAAAATGAATATGCTAAACCCAACGTCATGATCAAAGTGGCGCTATGATTTTATGATTATGGAAAACAATCCCCTTTTTGGAACTTTGACGTTTCGTTCTGGTTCCTCCTCAGTTCAAACATGTGCACATGTTTTTGTTCCCAAAGGTGCTTATCGCGCGTTCTGCGACACCTTTCGAGCGGCCCGACTTCCGGACGCGGTCTTACTACTACATAACTCGTATCGTGTGTGGTACACCCATGAGGAACTTCGTTCCGTGCAAGCATCTGCAGCCGATCATTGAGAGCACGGCGGCGGACAACCAGACCACATGGTGCTCCCAGTTGCTCAGATCAGCCGATGCCATGAAACCGTTGACTAAGACGATGAAACTCTGATGATGTTGTCGCCTTCACACACAGCAACAAGCCCACGGCACTCGTAACGCATCCCCGACCTGCCATCTCCCTTTTCCCTCGGACAGGGGATGATGTGGAGGGGCAACATTGGATACGAAGTCCGGGCTTGCTGCCACGCCATCACATTCCACACAACCTTACACCGCGTCGACAAACAATGAGCAAATTTGAGTTTTGTCCTTCACAGCCGACGTTATCTTCGTCGTTGCAAATGATGCTGGATGTTTCCCGTTGGCCAGTTAGCTTATCGTTGATCATGAGGTCGAACAGACAACAATGTTCTAGGTTCTAGGCCTCACCTTCACGCCCTGCCTTTGCGGATTGATTGGTGACACGTCTTATCAATGCAACATGGGACAAGCCGGGCCGTGCGAAGCTGAGTTGAAAAGGACATGGGTCTGAATCATCGTGGGTTCTAATCAGTGATCACTGGGTCAAGCCTCTCTGAAAGCTAATCTAGGCCCTCAGAACAGTTGATGTGAGACCTCTCTCAACCTGCCATTCGTCGGCCAGGATATCCCTGGGATTGTGGATGGCATCTCCGTGCTAGGTTAAGTTCTGGGTGATGTGAACTTTGGCCAGTTCTGGTCAAGGCTACTGCATCGTACCCGGAACGAAACCCAGAACGGACTCCGCCATCACAAAGGGGTGGCGGCATTATTGCTGGCCTGTCGAGCTTGTTGTCCTTGCTTCGACAAGACCCTTATCTTGCTTCCTATGGAATTGATTGCCCCATGGGGCTTGACGGGTGGTCATCAAGCTGATAAGAGCCAAGGGGTTGAGGCAATGTGGTATGATATATCAATGAAGGCTTACCATCATTTTACAACAGAGACATCATAGCTGTTTGTATCAGCCTCCTTGTTACCAACGTTGATTACTCACTACAACTGAGCCTTCTTGTTAATCTCATTCAACAATACCACACCTAACACCTGATATGGCTCCAGCCTTGTTGAACTACCTGGGCTTGGGTGGCGGCAGTGCCACCACCCCTGAAGACGAAAAGAGCTCCGTCCGGGCCCTACCCGCACCATGGTACACATCAGAAGAGATGTATGAGCTCGAGAGACGTGCCATCTTTTCGAGAAGGTGGTTGTTGACCACACATCAAAACCGGCTCAAACAAGCTGGTGACTGGCTGCGTTATGAGAGTGCTGGTTTCAACATCATCATCGCCAAAGACCGCAATGGAAACATCAACGCCTTCCACAATGTCTGCAGACACCGTGCATACCCCGTCGTCGACGGGGAACAGGGCACCTCCAAGATCTTCGCCTGCAGATACCACGGATGGTCTTACGGACTGGACGGCAAGCTCGCCAAAGCCCCCGGGTACCAAGACATCCCGGGCTTTGACAAGACCCAGAACGGTCTCTTCCCAATCCACGTCCACGTTGACATCAACGGCTTCATCTGGATCAACCTCGACGGCAAGCAAAAGCCCGAGGTACCGTGGGAGGAAGACCTCGGTGGTGCCGACTCCCAGGAAAGGCTTCGACAATTCCAGTGGGACCAGTACGAATTCGATCACGTCTGGGAGATCGACGCCGCCTACAACTGGAAGATAGCAGCTGACAACTACAACGAGTGCTATCATTGCAAGACCACCCATCCTGACATCCCCACCGTCGCAGACCTCGCGTCCTACAGTGTCAACGTCCAACGTGCGTGGATACAGCACAATGGTGCCACCACGGCCGAGCAGAAAGAAAAAGGCTTGACTGTCTGCGCCACTTACTTTTGGCCCAACGCCTCGTTTAATGTTTCGTAAGTTTACAGGCCAGCACAACCGCGGAAAATCATCAACTAACACATGATTGACAGACCCCATTTCTTCTTCACTCAGCGTTTCATCCCCCGCGGACCCAAGAGGACTCTGGTCCGCTACGAGGTCTTCCGCAACAAGAACTCGTCGGATGAAGATTTCCAGCTCATCAGCGACATCTACAAGCGCATCATGTCGGAAGACAAGGCCTTGTGTGACGCCGCGCAGAGAAACCTCAACACGGGCGTGTTCATCAACGGCGAGATGCACCCCGTCATGGAGAAAGGTCCTCTCTACTTCCAGAAGCTCGTCCGCGAAGCGGTGACGGAACACCACAAACGCGAACAAGCTGCGAAGGCGGAGATCTGGCCTGCCCGACAGACCCTCCCCACCAGTGCCCTGGTGACCAAGAAGGACATCGACTTTTGTTCGGGTCTTGCCTGTTCCACCAACCAGGAAGGCCTGGTCTGGTGAAGGAGACTCTCTCTCTCTCACTCACACACACATAAGAGGAGGAAAACATAGGTTTGTCCCTTGCGAGGTTGACGAGCCACATTTACGAACAACGGTCCTGATTCGGAACTTTCTTTCTTTTTAATGCATAGCATAGGATTGGGGATTTTTATATTAACGACATTTGCAGACTTTTTACTTTTTACTACAAATTATACAACGATCAAAGAGAGAGAGACAGAGATTTGGTCTACCGTCAAAACAAATTTCCTATTACGCCACCCGGATGAGATGCGTGATTGTATGCAGACTCTTCTTACCGTCTCGTACCTACCAAAGCGACAAAGGAAAGCCAACTCTGCCCTGAGCAAGGCCTCCTTACCATACCTCCCAGAGGTGGGGTCCCAATAAAAACCACTGCGACAATCTCCTGAAGCGACACATTGCCTTTCTCTCGCCATACGTAAAGAAAGCGACAATGTAAATGCCAGTGCCACACAAGCATTGGAATAGACCTCGATGGATGCATCAATCCAAGCAGCAAGCAACACACATCATCGAGGGGAACTGCAGATCCATTTCCTAGCCACCACATGCTGTACGACAACGATACTTGACCCATCCCATCGACAGTAATCACGCCCTCGCTCCTCACGGTTGCAGCTGAAAGAAACGAGTATTTTCCTAGTCATACTCGCGCTGTAGAGTCCGGAAGCAGACCCTTGTACGAGCACAATCAAGCCAAAAGCAAAAGCAAAACCAGCGCGAATCGGACTGGGAATGTGAACGCGACAAGCCAGTTGTGGTCCTTTGTAACCCCTCCTCGACCTACCACGCGAGCTACACATACTGCCAGAGCAATACTTCATCAGGGCGTGGGTTTTGCGTAATGCTAGAAACCGGTCCTTATCTCCAAGCGAAAAAGATCACGGCATCGTCAGAAAACTCTCGAGCAGAATTCAATGGAAAGGGGCCGATGCTCGTCAACTACAGAGGGAAGATAAACTCGACGCAGACCATGATGGAAGTGGAATATGGGTCATGTCATTGTCGACGTAATCATGATCAACTTACACAGGAGTGTGGGCAAAGTCTCACGGTGGTGATAGCGATAAGCTCGTGTCATGGTAAGCAGGGCGATCACCGACAGACACCGGACAGGCTTTCTACGAGTGATTAAGTCAGTCAATCACTGCCCAAATCAAGCGGTCAACAGGTCACCAACCCCCGGACTGTTGTCAACGCTATCCAAGAAGATAATGACTACACACGCACACGCTGCCAGACGTCAGGGTGATTGTGTGCTTGATCCATATGAGGTGAGGTAGGTTACGACTACGATCTGTTGTCGGGCTGTGAGTAAGAAACCGGCCGGCACCCCATCATCCACCCTTTTTGCGAGTAAGTGCAACTGTGCAGGTAGGTTTTGCCCGCCACGAAGATCTTCGCAACCGCAACCGAAGGAAAGAAACGAAAAGAAAAGAAAAGAGAAGTTGGATGCAGAACCCCAACGTTCTGGACAACAAAGATTTGATGACAACTATGTGGAACAGTAAGTCTGTTCAGTAAATCTGTAGATAAGAAGCCGCCGCCTTGTGACAATGGGGAGGCGGTGACGATCAGCAGCCAGCCACCCAAGCGTCAAGGAGTCAAAAAAGGGGAGTATCCTCGTCAAAAATGTCTTGTCTTGATAACACGTAGTACCTGCTGCGTAATGAGAATGAAAGGGAGATCCATGGAAGCGATTGGGCGGAACTCTACGGATTTGTCTCCTCGTACGAGCAAAGATCAAAAAAAAGAATAGAGCTTGTGGTAGAGCAGGATGCATTGTCTGAAAATGGGTATAATGACCGTCTATCTCTCTTCGCCTTTTTGACATTCCCCGCAATTACCTTCTTTACTTACTCCCTTTGCCTGATTCAAAGCTCTGGCCACCACCACATCCCAAGACTCCGTAATTCAAGCGAAAAACTGTAGATAACGAATCGAGTAACGGATATTGTACCGGAGTAGTCAATGTGTGTGTGTGGTTGTCATATCGGTTACATTACTCCGTAGTTGCACAGTAGTTTGTACGTGCTTGTTGCTGTTGTTGATGGGTGGGTGGGTGGTATGAGAGCGGCATTGATTCGGGGCTGGATAGACTACAGTAGGAGGTACATGCCTTAGGAGTACAAGTAGAACTCGTAATGTGTTCCAGGCCTTTCTTTGGATGCTGCCATTCACTCCGCCGCCCGCCCTGCCACATCCGACCGGCCTCAATACTCCGTACCCACACCATTTGATCTGTGGCCAAAAAAGATACCCTCACTCCAGTACTGTAGCAGCTTATTTCCGAGAATGGCATACTTTCACTGAGAGATCTGATCGTATCCATAGTATCCATACTATCCATCCATACTATAAACCATACAAATAAGAAAAAACACACGTCTCGAGTTGGATTGTATTGGATTTGTTCAGCTTTCAGACGTTACTTTTGTTTACAATTAATTACCTTTTACCAGCAAACCGATTTTTTTTTCAGCAGGACCCAGGACATCGTCAACATGCCCGACGGCAAAAACTCATATCTCATCGTCGGTGCCGGCGTGTTTGGTGTCTCGACGGCATACCACCTGATCAAAAAGTACCCGGATGCGTCGATAACCATCGTCGACCGGGACGCCTACGACGCCGAGTCTCGGGTCGCCGCCTCTTGGGACTGGAACAAGGTCGTCCGTGCCGACTACGACGACATCGTCTACTGTCGACTGGCTCTGGAGGCTCAGGACGTTTTCCAGTCGGACCCCCTGTGGAAGCCGTACTTCCACCAGACGGGCATCTACTGGATGTGTCGGTCCGACTACGCCCAGGAGGTCCTGGACAACTACAAGAAGTTGGGCCGGAGGGCGGACCTGGCCGCCGTCCCCGTCGACGAGGCCCGGAGGCTGTACGGCGGGCTCTTCGAGGACGCCGACTACACCGGCGTCAAGGAGGTGTTGGTCAACAAGACCAGCGGGTGGGCCGCCGCGGGTGACTGCCTGATCGCCGTCACGAAGGAGGCCCTCCGCCTGGGGGTCAAGTACGTGACAGGCGAGGTCGAGACGGTCTTGGTGGACGCACGACAAGGCGGCAAATGTACGGGCGTGAAGACGACCGCCGGAGACGTGCTCACCGCCTCTCACGTCCTCCTCTGCACGGGCGCCTACACCCCCAAGTTGCTCGAGCTGAGCGCCGACAGCACCCGCAACGACAAACTGTCGGCGGGGACGAGGATCGTGGCCGGTGGCATCACGACGGGCATGACGACCCTCGACGACGAGTCCTACGGGCGGTTCAAGTCCATGCCCGTCGGCGTGCAAGGGTACACGGCCGAACAGGGGCCCTTCATAGGCAGCCTGCCACCCACCAAGGACAAGGAGCTCAAGTGGTGGGGCCAGACGATATTCACAAACAAACGGGAAGTCTTGCCCGGTCGACTGCTGTCCGCGCCACCGGCCGAGCCCGACTACGCCCAGTGGAAGGTGTCGGGGCGCCTGAAGGAGGACATCAACCATGCCAACCACGTCTTTTACGGGAAGAAGGGGGCCACGTGGAAGATGGAGAAACATCGAATTTGTTGGTAAGTCGAACAGTCCTGTCCCGGACGATTCGAGAGAATTGAAAAAAAAAGGAAAAAACTGACAGGAAACCTATTATTCCAGGGACGCCTTCACCACCAGCGCCGACTTCATCATCTCCCCCCACGCCGCGGCCGAGGGACTGTACGTCGCCACGTGCGGCAACTTCCACGGTTTCAAATTCTTCCCCGTGCTCGGCAAGTACATCGTCCAGATGCTCGAGGGGACCTTGTCCCCCGAACTCACGGAGAAATGGGCCTGGGACCGAGAGAGGCCCGACTCGTCTCGCAACCCGGACTACCCTAGGTGGGAGATGAAGGATCTGATTGGCACATCAAAGCTGTAGTTTTTTTTTCTCTTGTTTTGTTTTTGGCAGCGTTTTCGATATATACTTTGTACATGACTGCTTCCATCCGTCACGGCGAGACAAAATAGCACGGTAAATCCATCAGGTATCGTTTGGAACGTCAACGAGCAGGTTCTTACAAGGGTAAGGAACCGGGCACTCAGGTGTAGGGAAGTACGACGAGAGAATATACTCAACTCGGCATGGGGGTCCTAAGTGTTGTAATCCTGGGAGTTTCGGATTCCGCATTCCGTACTCCGGACGTCCATGACCTCAAGGTTGGTACAGTGTTACATATTTGACTGTACCGGGCAGAGCACGGAGTAGATCCTTGATAGTCATAAAGAATGGGAGGGGGAGAATAAGGTACCAAGTGATCGGTGATGAGCATAACCCGATACAAAATGAGGTAGTAAAAATATGCGGGGAAATATCGTTCCGCTTGCATCGCGGAGGGCGGAAAGATGCCCGTTCGGCCTTCTGATTTTCGTAAACATATAAAATTTACCCATAGCCAAAACCAAACCACCTCAACCACGACGAGGCGAACGAGGAAATCCAGGATCTGGGATCGATTGACCTCATGAGGTTTCAACATGGCCAACCGACTGAGCATAGCAAAGGGCGTACACGAGGATGGTTGAACCTTCCGACACCCTCGCCCCTCCCTTCCTCCGGCTGGTCATTGACGGGCAGACTCGCCGTGGTATTCCATTCCACGAGCTCGAGCATGTCATCCCCATGCTTCCCAGCTTTGACAAGAAGAAGAGACGAAGCAAGCAAGTGCTCTGGCTCCATCCAGACCGGATACATATATCTGTCAACCAAACTCTTCTCCCTCGTCCTTGTGTTGTGACTTGTTGTCTTGTTCTCTTCTTTGTTCTCTCTTGTGTCAGCTTCATAAACCGTCCATCCCCGTATCAAGTGTTGAATCGACGTTTTCGTCTAACCTTTCCAGCAATTTCAATTCCAATCCCAATATCCAGGACATCAACAGACGATAAGACGGGGGAAGAATGGATCAAGGTGTAATAACACAACCCTGGGTGACCACTCCGTTGATCGAGAGTAGGGCTCTTTCGGAAGCGGCAGAGTGGTATGTCGTTCGACTTTGGGCAATGCCCATTTCCAATACACACTACACCCCGGCGCACATCAGTCTCATTTGTCTCTTCCTTATTCCTCCTCCTTCCCCCTCCTCCTCCTTCGTCCTCATCCTGTCTTGGCTACTTGCCCACTCTCTCATGACTTTTCCCTTGTTCTAAATCGTAGAAGCAGAGTCTTTCTCAAACTCGACAACCTTCAACCTTCCGGGTCCTTTAAATCGAGAGGCATTGGAAATTACATACTCCGGCGTGCCGCTGAACGCCAGGGACAACCTGTACACTTTTACGCTGCCTCGGGGGGGAACGCGGGAATCGCATGCGTCCACGCGGCCAAGTCGATAGGTCTACCGGCGACCGTGGTGATCCCGAAAACGGCGAAGCCCGCCATGGTGAGGAAACTGCGGGACATGGGGGCCACCGAGGTGATCCAACACGGAGCCAGCATCGCCGAAGCCCAGCGTCACATCGAGACGGTCCTGTTGCCGTCGGACCCCACGGGTGTGTTCGTGCCGCCCTTCGACCACCCGGACGTGTGGGAAGGCAACTCGACCGTCATGAGCGAGATCGCCTTGCAGTTGGGGGGTCACAGACCGGACGTCGTCGTGTGCAGCGTCGGCGGCGGTGGTTTGCTCAACGGCATCGTGCAGGTTCTGGACCAGAACCGCTGGCAGGACGACGTGCAGGTCCTGGCCATGGAGACCGAGGGGGCCGATTCCCTCAACCGGTCACTCAGGGCCGGGCGGCTGGTGACGCTGCCTCGCATCACTTCCCAAGCCACGAGTTTGGGGGTCGTCAGGGTTTCGGAAAAAGCGTTCGAGTACGCGTCGAGGCGACCCAACGTCACCAGCCTGGTGCTCCCCGACACGGAAGCCGCCAGGGGTTGCTGTCTGCTGGCCGAACACGAAAGGATGATGGTCGAACTCACCGTTGGGGTCAACGTCCCTTTATGTTACGATGGCCTTCTACAAAAAGTCCTCGGACGCAAAAAGACCCTGGACAGATCCAGCAAAGTGGTCATCGTCGTCTGTGGCGGCAATGACATTTCCGTCGAGATGCTGATGAACTGGTATAACGACAACACCTTGCTGAACGATAAAAACACAGAGTCAATCATTTCTACTGCTGTCGGTGCTGCAGCACCACCACCAACATCGTCGACAAAGGTCGCCGCGTGACAAGTCCACTTGACGGACTGAACGTGGTGTTTATCAGTCTGGTTGAGATTGGCATTGCTTGGACAATGTGGTCGTTTTCAACTCACATCTTTGATTGCTTGATTGGTTGCTTGCGTGCTCCGTGTCTCTACCTATGATGGCTGTTTGAACAAGGTCCGCAAAACTCCCTCGCTAAATAATTTGGACATCTTTTTTTTGATATACAGCCCCATCCATTCCATTTCATTTGACAATACCTGTGTTCGTCCCTCTTAGCTCGGAATAACCAGTAAACTACTTCCCTGCCTTGGTCGATAATGGGCAACGCGTCTCAAAACTCCATGGCATCTCCAAAATGCGACGAGAGATTGAGTCGTGAATGATCGGCAAGAACTTCCTCGTCTTCATCGCTCTCGCCGTCGACTTCAAAATCAAAGTCCCCGCGCTCGATTCTACTGCATCGATCGAGAATCTGTTGATATTCCTTCCGCAGATCCTCCAACGTGACAATGATGCGTCGTCTCTTCTTGTTCGTCTCTTTGCCCTCCAGGGTCTTCTCCGCATCAAGTCGTCCTCTGCTCTCCGGCTCCGCATCGGCAAGGATATACGCTTCTTCCGGGGCTACGCAGGCCATCATGTTGATAAGTGACAATAGGACATGCCTCAACGTTGTCGCTTGAGGATCGTTCCGCATTCTGCCAGACCGGCGTACCATTTTGAGTCGATCATAGAGAACGGAGACAGCACCACGGTAGTTTTTCTGAGCCACGCGCATCGCATACAGAATCCCAAGGTAGTCAAATGCACCATCAGTAGTAAACCAGCCAGTCCCGGCCGAAGTCTGCTTCTTCGCCAGATACGCCAAGTGCTGGTCGACATGACGGGCCAGGCTGGGATGCATGTTCCATGGCAGTGACTGTATCATTTCAACCGCACTTCGACCATCATAGATGGAGCATCGTGGGTTTAAGACGGCGTTGACAAGTAAGGTGACCGACGATCTCTGCAATGCGGGATCTGTCAATTGTGCCAGCGCGTCATACGCATGGTGAATCCGGAATGACTTTAGTTCTGCGTTGAATAATCGAGATAGGACTTCAGTCTTGAAGTTGGCCACGGGCTCCTTCTGGTCAGGCTGTAGAGCCTGCAGAGCTAGATGCGCAAATTTTGAAGATTCATCATAAACCTGCGCAGTCTCGAACAACTGAGAAACGTGCTGTAGGTAGAGGGGAAGCCCATTATTGAAGCATTCTGCCTCGATAATTGACAGTAGTCCAGCAGACAAGGCCACAAGGTTCCCAACTGCTTTGCCACAAGCAAGTCCGTATGATGCCTTTTTGAAACATATTGCGGCCATCGGATGCTCGCCTCTAGCTAAGGCCAGTCTCCCCTTGACATAAGTCGACCACGGCGTAGAGGGTTGAAACCTCATAAAATCCGTGGCTATGTCAATTTCACCCTGTTTGAGGAGGTCGCACAAGAGGTAAACTACGCCATCATCGTTTTCGATGGTGTCTTTGCCGGATGCCCAGTCATCAATCTCAATCAATTGATCAGTGACCAAAAAGACCTGGGGCTTGTCGACGGCTGGCTGTGGCCGAACTGCTTTGCCCAGAGTATCCTCAAAGATGCTCACCGATCTTTGGTTTTCTTGGGGCGATGTAGATGGTTGACGGGCTGAATTAGGTAATCCATCGGTGCCCAGAACCTCCAGGGGAACGTATCGAAAACGGGATGCGAGCCAAAGATTTCGATCACACAGTCTGAGTAAGGGGGCAAGGTGGTGGTACAGCTCCGAAGCATCGAATGAGGTCATTTTGACATCTTCCTGATTCAGCTCCCCTTCGACAAAAATGGCCAAGGCGAGGAGATCCATCAGCAATTGACGCTGAGACGAGATGTAATCGCGGATACCGGCTGAAAACAAGCTGCTTCCAAAGATCGTATTCCTCAATGCCGTCTTTGCTCTCTTAGTCTTCTTGGCCAAGAGTTCTAGCACACCCAGGAACATTTCATTGTTCAACGACGACATCCCCCCGATCGCTTGAAGATCAGCTTCGAGTCGATCAAACACTTCATTGGAAATAGCCTCGCTGAAACCTACGCCGTCATAGATCTCGAATATCCTAGTGGGTGTAATACATTCTTCCCCCACAGACATATCCTCTTCGATAGCGGCTGTCAGATCGCATTCAAGATCGGCCGCAAAGGACTCCCGGAATTTTTTGGAAGCGTCCATCAAGATTGCAAGGTTCTGGAACGGCTCGCCATCTTCTGCACTGACCTTACGATGAGTCCAGGCCTGGGCAGCCACTTCTTCCAAGTTGGGAATGTCTTCGATTGTATTCTGCTGTAACAGTTCGATGATACTGCATTCCCTGATAGCACAGCATTTTCCTGCCATTGTAACCCATACCATGTCGCAGATCGTATCGTACGCCAATGCCATGGGGGCATTCCGGCTCTCGTTGATGTTTTCTGCAATACGGTAGAAGTTCCGCCATTGAGAATCTGTGTCAGTAACGAAGCGATCGTAGTCGATGTCGGAATCTCCGTATTTGCGAAGGGACGCCGTTGCTGCTAGGATGCTGCACATTCGATGCCTTAATGTGCCCGATCTCTGAGCGGCCGTCAGTTTGACAGACGTAGCCTCCTCAAATACAGACAAGGCAGTTTCGAGCACCGTATCTGTATAGCGTCCGGGATAGAAAAAGTACTCCAACCATTTCGAAGCAGGGTCATCTGAATCACCTCGGACCAAATCAGGCGGCACATTCTTTGATGAGGAGCTCGCAGCACATTTGACCCAGTTGGCTTTCCACGAACTAGTGAGATTCCCAAAGTCGAAAGTGCAGCGATATAGTTGGTGATAGTTGTGATTTCGCCATAGAACCCACAGTCGGGCTGGCTGGAAGTCGGAGATGGGGTCCAGTTTGAAGCCAACCATCGACCAAATGGTATTTCCCGAGGGATCTGGGTCAGGAGCACTCAGGCGCTGATTCGGACATCGATCTTCCACGACGAGGCTTTCCGTTGCACCACCCTTGAGATCCCAAAACTTGAATTGCCCACCATCTTGTGGAGTGTAAGTCAATAGAACGGGATTTCTCTGAAGCGGTAGCTTGAAGATCTGTATGAATGCGTCCTCTGCGGGATTGAGGTGAGTGCGATCGTTCGGGTCCCGGGCGGCATCGAGGAGATCTTTCGTTGCAACGATCCTTCCGTCCAGTAGATTCCAAACTCTCAGGCTGTGATTTAAGCAGACCGTGAATAGGAACTTGCTGTCCGGCGATGTCACCATAGCCTGGACTGTTCTCGCATCCAGCGATACCGCACCGTGTTCAATAGTTTGAAGACCGCGGCGGCTGACGATGCCTCGTATCGACGCACCCCAAGTCTTGTCATCGTAAATGTCATGTTTCCAGTGTCCGTCTACCGAGCGTCGACTGGATCGCTGTATTTTGCCGCTTGTGAAAGACAAGAAGAATTCAAGAGGGCTGCTAGCCCAGACATGGTGGACAGTGTTGATGTCTAGGGACGAACTGTCGACGGGTTTGCACCAGTCGCCGAGGTTGTCATTACGAAGGACTTCCGCATCGCGAAAGGCACTGGTCGGGAGGTGGACGTGGAACAATTCGTTCTTGCTTGTGCATACGAAGGCGTGGAGGTCGTCGCCGCTGTCAAGATCTGCGAAGGCAACGCCTCGAGGAATGATCTCATCCTGCAGGTCAAATCTGAGAGTGTAATATGCTTCTTTCAAATCACTCTCGCTGCGAGCTAAATCGGCGCATTGTATCTCCAAGGTTCTCCCGCTGTTTACAACCTTCCAGTGGAATGTTCTCGGGTATGACTTTGATTGTCGAAAGTAAATCGAACTTTGGGATGAGAGGATATGAGTGGAGAAGGATTTCTCGTCCTTGGTCGAGGTATTGACGTGGGAAGAGCGGTTCACCGAGAACTTGGACTTGTTGTAGGAGCCATTCTTTCTCGGGATTTGGAGATTGACGATTGAAGCTTGTGTCGCCGGTGTCACCTCGAAAGCGGTCTCGGTGTAGAGATTGAGCATGTTTGCAACTGCCGTGTAAATGGCATTTGTTCGGATTGTCGTTCAGGATGGAGAATGTAAACGAGGGAGATCCATGTGAAAGGAACGACGGAAGTCTGCTATGTTGGTTTTCATTATGCGCACCGCAATGCAAGATGCTGCCAACGCGTGAAATGCGCGACTCAGTAAGAATGCCAAGAGAAGGTAAATTCTTTAGGACGAGAGTGAAGCCGCCCTAAGTTTACCCCCGGTTGCGCGGGAGTTGAGAGACTGGACTAAAGCAGCATCGTTAGCTCAGTGCTATAAGGCTAGTACCATTCAGCTAATCAGGCTCTTCTCCTACCACTATCTATCTTAGGAACGGCCATTCAGCAGCACCTCACCATTTTTGGGATATCCTCAGTAGATGGGCAGAGCTCAGCGATATGAGTTCCAGATTTTAAGAACTATTCCTTGACATAGAGTTGTCACAAGACTCGAAGTATAGGGGGTGTGCTATCCACATGCGAGGAGCCATGCTCTCGTTAGAGGGAAGTTTGAAAACGTATCCAGGTGTCAACAATTTTGTGTTCTGTTTGCCGGCATTACTTAAGCACAGTAGATTGAGAGCACATGTCATAGAACGGAGTTCAAGCGCGCCGTATCCCTGGACGAAGCTTTGGTTTTGAGGCTCAAGTTACAGAGCCCGGGGTTTTCTTGGGCTCCTCCTTCTACCGCTCGGACTGCCTTGCTACCTTATCCAAGCCTCATTACACCTTCTTGCTCTTCAACGTATTCTCAATCTCTTCCCAACTTCCCTCCACTACCCCACTCTCATCAACCACCATTCATCTCAAATTGCTGGGCCATATAGCCACTCGTTCGCCGTTGGCGAATACCACCTGCTTATGGAGGTCGCACTTCGTTCTGCTTACCAAGCGCCAGTTGATGGGAGGAGTCATGTGCCCGTTAAAGATGTTCAGGCTGCTACAGACCCCGGAGCAGATTTGGCGCCCTGAACCTGTGAGCGCCCTGTCTTGCAGCGCCGGTTGAAATGCAGGACATTTAGCGGGAAAATTCTCCCAGCGTAGCAAGGCGTTCGTCTGGTGACATGTTCGAGTTGCTGCCCAAAGAATACGAGCCTGTTGCCCGAAAAATACGAGGATGTTGCCCGACTGACCCGATTATTCCATCAGGTAGCATTTTGCATATATTGACCCCTGGACCCTGCTTCTTCTATTCTCTTATCGACCCGCTCTCTATATCCCAGTATGGCTGCTCCTGATAGACACTACCGGTCGGTTCATTTCGCAATAATCCACTGGAATGAAGCACGCACGGGTTCACAAGGCGACGAAGAGTTGCTTAGCTTACGACATGCATTGATGGAATTCAACTTCCAGCCTTACAACATCACGATCCAAAGACCAAACCCCCAAGGTTCGCTTCAAGACGGATTGAAAAACTTTTACAAGACACTGGCTAGGAAGCAGCGCCCACGCCTTGCCATTTTGATTTACAGCGGCCATGCTGGCGGGACCCCGGGCGCGAGTGGCGGGCTGACTTGGTTCTCAGACACCGGGTGAGTCTCAAATCCTGGTTTCTGATGTGGTTGATCATACAGCAACTGACCTGATCAGCGTTCCGATTGACTGGACACATGTTCAGGATAATCTTGTGCAAGAGCAGCAAGTCGATACACTTCTCGTGCTCGACTGTTGTGACGCGGCTGCAGCATTCCCTCCACTTGAGACGAATACAGGCACCAGCTACGAGCTCGACATCTTCGCAGCCGTCGGCCCAGATGACACGACCTACTACGGCCAATATACCTTCACAAAGGTCCTGACGAAAACCTTGCGCGACCTACAAGGCAACGGGTTCACTCTGACACAGCTCTGGCTTCGTCTCCAAGCCGAAGGTGGTACCCGGCTCCAGAATCGAGAATACTACCGGAAGGAGCAGGTCTTGGGCCACCGATACCAAGGCCGGAGCAACCACCAGGCGAATCGCAAGGCAACGCAGATCGAAACTGAAAATGGATACTCACACGAGCCATACCAGCGATGTCTTGTCCCCAGTGGAGAAGGTCCAAGGCTCCCTGAAACGCAGAAGATCTTACGAAGGCTCTGAAATCGTAAGATGAGGCTGGGAAACCAGCGTTGAGAAACTAACCTGTGGAAACCCTCTTCGTGTCGAGTGGTACCGAGGAGTGCTTCCAAATGTATGTAACTTACCCTAATGAGACCCAACACCATAAGTACCTAGTATATTAGTCACTTGATTTCACTTATGATTCTATAAAACTGCCATTTAAACGCCTGGATAGTTCATTATACACGGAAAGCTTTTAGCGATACACCAGATAATCATGAAATTGAATCAAATACAACGTAGTGGCGGTGGAAGCTGACCACTGAACTGGTGGCCTGGCATGCTTCGGCAATCCTACCTCACACATCTCTCCGGAATCACTGGCTGTCGTCACAGCGTGGTACGCCGCCATGATACCAGGGTTAGACACATTTCAGATCGACTCACTCTACATCTCATGCCACATACTCGACTGTAGACATATTCTCTGGATTATATCGATCTCTGGAACTCTTTCGAATTCCAGATTACTCTGCAGTATCTTTCTCGCAACAAATAGAGGTCTTCAAATATGCAAATCGAATATTGCCGTCAGCGACAAGGTCGTACGTGTATTTCTTTGCAAGAAAGCTAAGACAACCCAAGAAAGTGGGTGACTTTAGAAAAGTTTCCTATCCGAGCTTGCTACCGCGGTCGAGCTGAATGAAGGGTGATGATCATATGCAAGAAACCCGGTGCCCTCATAACAGCCTATATACTCTGCCTCAATGGTGTCTGCCTTCAAGATCCCAAGCTCTACCCACAGTAGAAGATCACCGGCCGCCATGATTCCTCCTGGACCGTAGGCGTCCATGAAATCCTTCCTCAATTTCACATGAACCTTGTCCCTCCTCCCAATACGCTCCATATAGCTCAGATCCAGGAAATAGAGTATTTCTATCTTTCGATTGATGTCCAGAGCCGGATAGATATCAGGGTCGTCGGCCATTCCTGGCGACTCAATGTTCATGAACCCGCTTTCTGGAACGTGGCAAAGCCTGGAACTAAGCAGACCCTTTTCCGGACCTGCTCTGATGATGTTCGTCACCCAGCGCTTGGTGGCCCAGTGGAACTTCTTTGACCAGACCTTGCCTTCATGTTCTTTCAATGGGGTGTGATCTTGGCCCTCGATCACGTAACAGATGTTGTCCGGGAATTGAGACATCTGGACGCGACCCCGGCGGATGGTGCCATCAGGTTGTCTAGGTTCTGGTACTGACTGTAAGGCCGAGACCAGTCGATTCTGCGCCGTTGCTTCTTCTATCCGGTCACGATACGCACCCCAATAGCCCGACTTCTCTGTGAGGGGTGAGAGTGGTCCAAGGTTCGAAGCACCGGACGGAACATTCTGGGTGACTTCGTTGAGAAACCGCGTGGATCTGAAGTGCAGCACTTCCCGCCAGAAGCCCGCATCGTCAGTCAAGGATGCCCAGAAACGAGTCACGGTTCCCGAGTTCCACCACTGTTTATAGTCCCCTTGGGATGACCAGTAGCTGATCCACACCCGGGAAAGGCCAACGCCGCGCTCGCTGTCGTCGTGTACAACTTCGTCAACATACTTGGCTGCAGCCTTAATGGAGTCACCAAACGACTTGACTAAGCTGCTCTTTGTCTCAGAAGGCAAAACCTCATGGTACTGGGTGCCAAAAATCCCGACCACGAAATGTTCGGGCACTTGCGCGGTCAACAAAGGCATATTCACCGTAGAATTCGCCCGAAAAAAGCAATGGGCAGCGATGTCCTGAGGCGGAGAGGATGGCGGGAGGCCCATTCCCACATGGGAAAACTCCGATCATACAAATAGTCAGCTCCTTCGTGCAAGGAGGACTCATTATGGATGGTACTTCAGGTCCGAGCGGACCGCTGCTGTACTGTGGCGGAAGGCTCCCGAGGACTATAGTCGAAGATCCCCAACCTCCGAGGCCTCATTTCAGCCCCGGATATTTAACATCCGGATGGGTGGTATCAGTTGATAGGTTGACATTTCTGATTCGAAGCCGTGTCGTCGAGTTACTGTCTTCCACGAAAACGTGCGTCAAGGCTGTTCCAAATATCTGCCAAGCGTGAAGTCCTGGAGACAATTAATCATTGTCGAGGAGATAACTCGCTTTCACCGGGAAAGACCGCCTTGTAGAATTTTCAAGACCAATGTGGTCTGGCACAGAGGTAGGACGGCCTTCCAACAGGCTTGGAACTCTCGAGCGAGAGGCTGATCGGGCAAGATGCAATACTACACTTGCGGGTAGCGAAACTAGGAGGAGACTCGAACCGGGAGCCCCAAACATAAAGTCAGTAGCATCTACTCTGTGGTAACACCCTTTCGCGCCCCTACTTAATACTTGTGTGATTGTACTAGGACAAAATTAATGTCGACCTATCGAAGCGCCCAGGATAGCGGAATTGCAAAGCAAAAAGCATACAGACACGATTCCCAGCTTCCGCAGCCTGAAGTGGCTCAGCACCACCAAGGGTGTGGCATCCGGCCGTCACTATCCTGCCCAGATCTAATAGGCCCTGGGTAGCTCTCCAACCTCACCCGCCGCATGCTGATATCTACCATTGCCTTTGGAGAGAGATTCGTGTTCATGCCCAGACCAGACACTATTCGGACTGCTCCAGGTTCGGGAGGATATACCCCCTGCGCCACGCCTGAGTCCATAGCATTTTGAGGCTGACAGGGAGGTTCTGGTACAGTTCTGGGAATATGTAATGGTCGTTGTGATCCACTACCTTCGACACCTCCATGCGACATCTGAACACTCTTATCGAACTTGTCTCATACACCACGGGATGGGAATCGAACGACGAGGATTAACGCGGCGGCGCCGAGTCTCGACTCGTTTGACTGGGATGTTTGTTTTGACCTTCATCTTCTCGTGCGTGTGGTCTCCTCTGGTCCTCACATTAGATGTACAAATATCACTCAAAGTGACCGGTGTGGTCAGAGAATGGAACGAGAACTACAAGATTCTCCTAGACAGACAAAGTCCAATCTATTCGAAACGATGCGAGGCATGAGATTTCTAGATGAGTCGAAAGATCGAAGGATCGACTTCACTCCTCAGGTCCTCAGTCAAACTACGTCATGGCCTCGGTCACATTTGAAGCATTACTGCCTCGACAGACTTGTATGCAGAGCATAACATGGTTGCTTTGTGGAAGTCCTGGACCACCTTCACCCCGTGAGAGAGGGGGCAAGAGGACGACGCCTTTGAAGTGTGGGTTGGCACGACAGCAAGGTTTAGTAGACACGGGCGGAGGCTGGATAACTGTTATCCGGTCCCCACTTCGTCGATTCTTGCGCTGCCATTGGGTGATCGTCGATCTTTCGCTTGTGCTCAAGACTCGTATGCTCGTTCCCTCTGGCTGAGTCCTTATCTATGGCTGGAGGGGTAGAGAGACCTGGCTCCCGGCATATGAAGCAGAATATTTCTCCTGCTCGATCACCACGAATATCAATTCAAGAGCTCCCCCAGTCCCGGTGTTCAATTCAATTGTACCCGGGAATGGACGACAGTAATGATGGCGAGCAAGTATTCAGGCCGATCCGGCGCATTAGTCAGGCTTGCAACTCATGCAGGTGGGTAATGCTCCGCAAATTCAGATTTCGTTTCCTTCCCTCCGCGGGTTTCTGGGGTGCGAGCCGTTCTGGTTGCAAGGTGGGGGACTCGAGACTGACTGTATTACTTCAGGAGAAGAAAGGCACGTTGTTCGGGCCACCGCCCTCGATGTACAACTTGTCGCCGTCTGTGTTTAGGTACGGTGCGCATGAAGAGGCCGATGGCCGGCCAAAGGGCTCGCTAAACTACTGTCAGACTGTGAATACAGTGGTAAGGATCCTGCTCGGGCGGATCGAAGCGAGATCTTATCGACCGAGAGGCTACTAGCATATGAAATGGTACGAGATGCGTCCGTCTCGCCAATGTGCAGATGAGCTGACATGCTGCGATGTCGGTCAGGATGACCTTTCCAAGACCTTTGTGAGCCTCAAGGAGGACATCTCGCAACTCCAGGTGCAGATCCAGGGGTAGGCCAAGATGTCTTGCACCTCGTGCGTCCAGCTTGCTGACAGCTCTCGCGGCCATTGGCAGCATTGTTGAATGCCAACAGCAAATGCTTGCGCTACTCTTTTCGCAGAATCGAGAACGGACGATCTACGCGTCTTCGTCGGACGGCTCGCTGGGCTCAGAGCGTCAGTGCTTCTCGGGAGAGAAAGCCGGCTCAGAATGGGAGCAGCCAAGCGGTGAGAGCCTCCTTCAGTTCATCCAATTCCCATTGATCGACCAACTCGTCGACATCTATTTCGAGCATTGCCACAACAGACCTTATTCATTCTTCCATGAGGGCAATTTCCGTCGCAGCCTGGCCAGACAAGCAGTGCCTGCTTATCTATTGTTGGCCATGGTCGCCACGACACTTCGATTCTCCGAGGGGCTTGGGTGGACGGAACAGCGAGGCTTCGATGCTAAAGCTGCGACCAGCTCATGGAAACTTATTGGCGCCAGCTATCTCGACAAAGGCAACAACAACATCCATGTAGTGCAAGCTCTGGCTCTCCTTTCGATTTTTGATTTCACCGGTATGTATTTGCCCAATGATGCTGCGTCGTCCAACACCAAGTTTGTTCTAACCACCGCATCGCCCTGCCAGCTGAGAAAGCCCGCCATGGCTCCGCATGGATTAAGATAGGTATCGCGATTCGTCTTGCCCAAGACATGAAGCTCATGCTCCAACCACCCACTCAACTACCCCCCGAAAGCCAAGAAGAGCGCCGTCGAGTGTTTTGGTCCCTGTACATCTTGGACCGACTTGCATCATGCGGTCGCGGACACCCGGCCACCATTTTGGAGTCCACTTGTCAATTGTCCCTCCCGTGCGACGAGCAGTCCTGGAGAAACAGGATGCCCGCCAAATCGGCAGCAACCCTGAAGCAATTCTCGGCATCTCGCTCGCTCCCGCCGGTTGAGAACTCTCCCTTTGCCCTCGTCGTTCTGTGTGCGAGTGTACTTGGTCGGGCAGCACAACTTATGTTGCAAGGTGTTGACGACAATGATATAGTCCCGCCTTGGGATAATAGGTCCAACCTGGCAGCTATACAATCGAATTTGATATGCCTGGAGCCGTCCGTTGTGCTGCAGAGACCCCTACAACAGCTGATCCGTGAGGAGTTCTCCGTCCATGGGCGTATTGACCAAACAGCACTCGGGCCCCTCGTATTTTCGAACACGCTCTTTCACCTTTGCTACTGTATCCTGTGAGTTTGGATCTACTGCCGTTGGAAACCCCCGGGAGTTCTGAAATGTGCTGACGGGTTTTTGGATAGGTACCAACCGTTTTTGCTGAAAAACAAGCTCAAGAATTTCCAAGGCCAAATACCCAGCAGTTTCCTCTCACGCAGCTTTGAGACGGCGTACGAGCATGCAAAGCAGCTCGTGCTTCAGATCGACGCGGCACAGGCAGTGGGGTGCAATGCCTTCATCGCCTTTTACAGCTATGCCGCCGTCGTTGCCGGGAGTATCCTAGCACTATGCCCATACGACGCTTCCGAAAATCTCCGGGCCGAAGCGAATAATGTTCAACAGACGAATGTCGCCTTCCTGGTGAGGCTCGGTCATTGGTGGAACCATACACCCACAGCAGTAAGTTGATAGCCAAATCTGAAGGGGTCTGTTTCAGAGTTTCCATGTACTTACCGTGTCTGTCACTATCTCAAGTTGGCCCTACTCCAGAAGCTGATCTCCGAGTCGCATAAATTCTCGGCCTCGACGAGGAGCACCTTGGAGCATATCACATTCTCCACAGACGATGAGGAACTTATGTGGACGCTGCTCGACTACAACGCCTGGTCCAGCATGGATCCGGACGGTGTACGTGTCTTTGGTGAGAATCAAGCGAACGATTCTTGGCCCGACATGAATGATTTCTGCGACACTTTTCCTCATTTGGACTGGGAAATCTTGCAAGGTACAGGGACGCCGCTACTATCACAAACGTTCGGAGCGGATCAGTTCAGTGCAAACTCAAGTACAGGGCAGGTGAACCTGGGAACGCGGACGCGGAGTGAAACCAACGGGACGGTGCAAGAAGACGGTTGAGCGAAGTGGGATTTGGTTGTACCACATGTACAGACTGTTTGTATTTGGTAGAACTATTCAAATGGCTGTTTACCCGGACTTTACCTTGTCGTCACCACGTTTGACAAATCAAGTTCTTGTTTGGACCACTGTGTCTACTGCCCTTCACTCCCCAAACGAACCACGAAGCTAATCACAGTCGGCATCGCACATGGACATGGCACGCACAGACAAGAGTTGTTTGATTGGGAACTCGAAAGGGAGTATGCTTGATATTGCCACATTTAAGACTGTTACAACAGACTTTCCCTTGACTACATTGGACCACAGCCTCAACCTCAAAGCACAGTTTCTGCACCCATATACAGCTTTCCGATCTCCAGCTCTCTCCCTCAAATCTCCACCGTGCAGTAAGATCTTCTTCCAAGGGTCGCCCTGTGACAGACACCCGCAAGCGTCACTCTAGAAAGTGAACTTGAGTGCCGGGATGTTTGACACCGTGCTTGGTGACCCTAAGGCTGAGGAGGTCTGGTCGAGAGTAATGGCCGACGGTGTCCAAGTTGTGCTTGGCCAACGCTCGGACAGATAGGTCGACGTCAGCGTACAGGATACCCTCCTCTCCGGGGTCCAGCGGCTTTACTAACTCCTTGCCGTCGGGGCCAAAGATCATGCTGAATCCGCCGCCGGGGGCGCGAGCGTACGGATAGTTGTCGACGAGACATTTTTTCTTGTTCTTTTCGGTCAAGATTTGGGTCGCCGTCATAACGAAGCAGCCGCCTTCCATGGCCATGACTTGCGAGAAGCGGTTCGACGCATCGGGAGTAATGTGCCACTGCCACGGGCTTCCGTCCGACGGCATATCCCATATCAGCGGCCAACTAGCCACATGAATATCGGTGTTCTGCCAATAGGTGTAGTACCGAAGGAGGAGCTGTGAGTGCTCCCAGCAATTGAGGCCAGAAACCTTTCCAAATGGGGTCTGTGCCGTCGTCGTCAGGCTCTCACTCTGCCCATCACCGTAGTATGCACGTTCGACGTGTGTAGGCTTAATCTTGCGGCGATGGTGGATGATAGTTCCGGTTGGATCAATAAAGGACTAAAGGGCAGTCATTAGTCCACATGACCAAAGCATAGCTAGATTTTGGAGGGAGTTAAAACGGGCGCTCGGGTTCTCGTAGGAGCCATCGGTCTTCGAGACACAAGGGAAGTGAAATGGACAATGTGGCCGCGGAAAGGAGAGAACCACCGGGGGGCCAGCGTAGCAACAATTTGGGGATTCTGCAAATCTGGCTATGATGGCAGGGCTGAGAAGTGAAGATTAACAAGGAGTGGGATTTGGAAGAGGGTGGAGGAGAGTGGATGGTGACTCGGTCGACTAGCAGTGCCCAAGGGAGGACTTCACTTACCTGGGCGATATAAAGACTACCGTTGTCGCGCTCACTATAACCCAGAACAATGAAGATGCCTGCCTCGCGGACAGCATCTCGAATACGATCCATTTCAGGTGACTCCTTGACGAGCGAGTTTCGGTAATACTCGTCCATGAAGGCTGCGCAGTCGTTGACCGACTGTGACCAAATGGCCCTACTAGGATTTTAGTAAAACTACAGCTCCGAGCTTGTCGTTGCTGTGCACTTACCAGGGATATCCAGGAATGAAGACTTCAGGGAATCCCAAAACATTGGCTCCGTTCTTGCCCGCTTCCTTGATCAAACTAATGGCTTTTTCCACGCCACCTTGGAGGTCATTCCAGACAGGCTCGGCCTGGATAGCCGCGATCTTGACTGTCTTGTTGTAAGGGGCCGACATTCTTCCACTCGGTCGATGCTGTTGTTCGTCTGAGGCGAAACTTCCTGAAGCCGATCGTGTTGGTAGCGATATCACGGACAGGTCTGAGTTACAAGATTCCGATGCTTGGTCGGTCATTATCTTTCTCGATTTGCCTCGTTGCCATTTTGCTCCTTCAACCCTGGGGTTTATAAACACACATTATCCCCTCAGTCTCGTCCGTCCGTCCTTATTCTTGACATTTCGTCTTATCAGGTTATCAATTATCCGGAAACTGCATCAATCGGTCCGCCCGGGCCGCAGGAACGAAGTCGAAATGATCAACCGGATATCAAATATCCGACCTGGTCAGCTTCCTGTCTCTCGCGACAAGTCTGTTCCTCAGGGTTTCAATTTATCTGTCTGTGGGACGGCTGATTTACCCCACCTCCGCTCCAGTAAGGGAAGATTTGGATCAATGAATGCTCGGTGGATTTCTCTCCTTTTCCATATTCGCAGACCCGCGACGAGAAGTCCAAACGTTGACCCCGTCATCCACAGTGTCGGAGCCAGCGGCGTGCGAACAATGCATTAATCTTGCCTGGTCCAAGACGCCGCAAGCAATGGCTCCCGGAACGTTCGATCCACCTGTGCGTAGGAGGGTGACACTTGCATGCAATGGCTGTCGAACCAAAAGAACCCGGGTAAGAATCTGTCAAGCCCAAGGCCGAGCCCTCATGAGCTTCAACCCCTCGCCGTGCCTTTGGGTTTTGAATGGCTCAGGCTAATTTTGTCTGTCCATCAGTGCGATGGGCGTCGGCCCAACTGCAGTGCCTGCATTTACCGTGGCGATGAGTGCGAATACAGCCGGGCGGAGAGCAAGCGAAAGTACTTCACATCTACCTAGAACCTACTTTGGCCTTAGGCCTCGAGCTGACAGATTGCACAGACGACCGAGTAATGCCTACATCATGGGACTAGAAGGACGCATTGCAAGCCTCGAAGAGATGCTGGCCCTCGCGACGAACGGCCGCGACTATCCCAGTGCCTCCGGACATGACAGTGTAGATCGTGATGGGAGCATCGCTCGCGATGAGTGTCCGGTTGCCAGTATGGATGAGAACGTAGAGGTGGATGATCTCGCGGACGCCCTTGGCTGCTTCACCTTAGGAGACGCTGGTGAGCTGCGCTTCTTTGGCGCCTCCAGTAACTTCAGCATCATCCAGAACCACTCTTTGAGAGTGGCATCTTCAGTTGATGCTCGGAGTCGAGGGGTTGCTGCAGCTCGTGCCATGCCCGACTTCTTCGAACCGTCTGATGAGCTTCGGGATCACTTGTTGGAGCTCTATTGGAGGTGGCAGAACTCCTGGCAGTATATCGTGGCGCGGGAGTCTTTCGTGATGGATCTCTACGTCCATAAGAGCGGCCGGTTCTGCACACCTCTGCTGCTGACTGCAATGCTGGGGTTCGCTTCGCGCTATTCGTCCCGACCGGAACTGAGAACGAACCCAGCGGATGCAAACACCGCGGGCGAGACGCTCGTGGCTCAGGCGCGAACCATGCTTCATCACGAATACGAAGCTCCGACAACGTCGACCGTCCAGGCGGCAGGCCTCCTGGGGCTCTATTGGGCCTCGCTGGACAGAGAAGGATTGGGGTTCATGTACATCGGCATGGCTTCGAGGATGGCGATGAACCTGGGACTGCATTCTGACTGTTCCGCCTACATTTCCCGAGGCATCATCTCAGAGGAGGACGTCGAAGCTCGCAAGATAGCATTCTGGGGAATCTATGTCTTGGACAAGTATGTCAGCCGCCCTCCCCACCGGTCCCATCGTTATACAGAGTTGAGGGCCCTCCAGGATATGACGCTGACGTCCATCATAAGGCTTTACTGTTTAGGGATGGGGAGACCAGCGGGTATTCAAGAATTCAACATCACCACAGCCAGGCCCAAGGCCCAGGATCGCGCCCTGGTGGGCCTGACCCAAGAGCAGCTCAGGATTTCTCAACCGTGGCCTACTTCGCACATAACTGAGAACGCCATGCAGATGTGCGAGATATTCATTATCACCTCCGAAGTCGTCGACCAGCTGTAAGTTGGACAGGTGCTATTTCCATATTTCTTCACCTCTGTCGTTTGCTCACGAGGAGTAGGTATGCCCAGAGGCCGACGTGGGACGAGCGCGAAAAGGTTGACCGAATCACCAGAACGCACCTGCAGTTGGTGAGATGGTTCGACCAGCTCCCTAAGAGTCTCAAGATCTCCGAGTCGAGTCTTCAGCCTTCGCCTCCGTACGTGTACCAGCTTCAGTAAGTCGTCGAAACATAAATTCAGAACCCCCTCACCCTAAACACAGCAAAAGCGTTCTGACGTAGAGCCTCTACTGCTGCGTAAAGCCTCCAGTACCACGTCTCGATCATCCTTCTGCACCGCCCGTTCTTCAGAGTCCTCTATCGCGGTCAGAGCAGCGGAGAATATGATCCCGAGGGAGGGGATATCCACTCCAGATCCTGTCAAACCTCGGCAGCCAAAATCTCAAGCATTCTGCGCATATACAGGGACAACTTCACCAATGTCAGTACCATGGCCCGTTGTTGCATTGTGTACCCCGTCGTCGCCGAACACCCCCAAACCCCCTCCCCTAGGATCTGGCTGGCGCTGACACCCCTTGCCTGTAGCGATGCATGCCAATATCTGCCGTCCATCCGGCCTTCACCGCGGCCATTATCCACCTTCTCGACATCAAGACGGCCGACCTTGTGGGGAGAAGGAAGGCCATGCGGCGCTTCGAGATCTGCCTCCGAAGCTTGTATGAAATGAACTCCAACTGGGACTGGGCCAATCGTGCCATTCGAGCGACTCAATCTCTGGCCACACAGTGGCAAGTGGATATATGGGCGTCCTCGGTCCTGTCCAACGACTTGAGTCCGGAGAATCTACGGCAATTTCGCATCCACGAAGAGTCTTGTCACCAGGAAGGACCCAGGCTCAACTCATTTCATCCTGGTTCTGATGCCGAACGGGGGTGTATTGCTGACCCCTTTGACGAATTCTTCAACGCGTGGACTTATGATCAAGCATTCCTTGACGGAACTTTTGATTTCTTTCCTGAAAGTTAGTTTCTCTGATGTGGTTTTGTCAGTAATGAGGACGATCCGATAGAGAGTACCGATGTTGTTGGTGCTCACATCTATCTTCTCCTCCTGTCACTTATTCTACCTGGAGGCATCTATATTTCTGGGTCGGCCAGATCTTGTCCTTTCTTCTTCCCTTCCTAGTCAGTGTCAAATCGTATATATGACAATGTCTATAACCACACACGTTATACGCCCGCTCATAGACGCCTCCTGCTACAGCAAACAGTCTCGATTCCCTTAACTTCTTTCGGCGCCAAGTTCCTTCAAGGGGCCGCATTGTCCCCCTTCCTTCTTCGCCACACCTCACAGTCCCTGCGAGATGCTCAAACCTCGTTGCTACTGAATTTTCTCTCCAGTTCCACGGAATCCGAAGACGCTAGCACTTTCTAGCCTTGGCAAATGTCCCTTGACCCATGATACGGTCATCGAGAACCCGTTTCTCTTCTTCGGTAAGGTGGGTCAAGCGGCCTGCCACCTGACCGTTGAATAAAGCGTTGATCTCTTCGAGCTACTGTCCTTTGGTCCCGGGCTAGTGTCAGTCTATCTAATCTTCTCCAATTACAATGGCTTGATCTTGGCGTAAACCTGCGCAGGAGCATATGAAACTGTCCGCGGGGCAAGAAAACCAGATCAAACGACGTTGATAAATGGAAAAATAGTGAAAAGAAGATAATACTTCCAGTGAGTTGCGAGCGGGTCGTCTTACAAGTGGCACCATCTGCGTGAGCGTGCCGAGAGCTCAGAACAGTTCAATTATTGCTTGATATGCCAAGATAAAAGAATATCTATCAGAGCCGAAGAGATGTACTCTCGTCTTGATTGTTAGGTGTAACAGTAGCTAATAGACCAATTTTTTCAGGCTCCGAGTTCCATTGATCATTAGACACATTGATTCACTCAGGCACTAGTAGATTTCCTCTCCCTGGGGAATCAAAGGTCGAAGCATGAATGGTCGTTCAGCTTTGCGCTCATGAAAGTAGAGGCAAAATACCTATATTTGTGGCAACGCCTCTATTCTCCGTGCTATCTTGAAAGCAATATTTCACCACTCAACGGACGATCCCACCTCTTGACAACTCTAGGCGCCACTCTTCTACGGCGGTAAACTCATCGCAGCCCCCAATTTTCAGCAAGCCACGATCGTTTGAACGGGAGAAAAGGTCGTTTGAGTAGACAAGGTGACTTTATGCTCTACTCTTCTCGATCAATCCTTCCACCTCGTTCAACCTCGTCAACTTCTTGAGAGTCCCCTCGAGCAACCTAGATGGCAATAAGGTAGCCATGCGGGACATCAAAGCACTCTCCCCTTTCCAAATCACTGCGGGAGGGATATCCCTGGTCAATAGTCCCGAAACCTGTTCCGCCCATTGCCCCGCGGGTATACCTATTTCGACGAGGCCTTGTTGACTCATGGCCTTTTCCACCACCTCCCTTGCCGGTTGGTATATCGAGTGTTGGGGCAAAGTATCGGCCTTCGAATTGACATTGTTGTTGGAAATGATGTTTGTCCTAACTCCTGCTGTCTTGAGATCTACGACACGTATCCCAAAGGCCGCCAACTCCAAACGCATCGTCTCGGAAAGCATGGCTAGCGCGGCTTTGGAAGCATTGTAAACCCCTTGGAACGGTAGGGCTGTCACCGATCCTACCGAGGTGTGGTTGACTATCAGAGCCTCGCCTATGGGATGACCACCTATAGACGAACCAGTGGTGGATTTAAGTAGAAGAGGTAAAAATGCTTGCGTCACGGCAATGTGACCCCAAACATTCTGATCGAATAAAGCTCTCGCCTGGTCAAGTGCAACGTCTGCGATCGGCATCGTGTAGCTACCCGCGGCGTTGTTGACAAGCATTTCGAGGCCTTTTCCTTCTGGCAGTGAAGATGAAACTGAAGAGACGGCGGACGCGATGGATGACTCAGAGGTTATATCCAATGTGATTGTTCTGATACCCTGTGCAGTCAGTGTCGATAGCTTGGATGGATTTCGTGCTGTCGCGTAGACATGGTGCCCTCCCTTGTGGAAGGCCATGGCCAAAGCGGCACCCATGCCTCCCTCTGAACAACCAGTTATCAAAATGGTAAGTTTCTTCTTGGACGACATGTTCATTCTTCGTCTTCAGCGGTTTGAGGATGTTGCATAGGTGGGTAGAGTGACAAGAGTCGGCCAAGAGACAGTACCAACTAGGGCGCAAGGATGAGAGAAGGGGTAGATTTGGAATAGAAATGGTGCAATGGAATAGAACAGGTGCCCAACTATCCAATCTCTTGACCTGCAGCAATACTCGTTCTCAGATAGGTGGAAGTATTACAAAATAACAGTGAAGAAGCGTGAGACGAATTCTGTAGCCAACCTTTCTCGAGCACCTGGTAGAAAACATTTTCAAGGTAGCACTTTCTACTTGGGACATAATGATGAGCGGAAACCATGCGGACTTTGAAGCTGCGGACTTTTTGTGAATTAATTTCACGCTTGCGGAGTTGCGGACTTCGTTGGTCTTATCGACCCAAAGAGAGATGTGGATCTTGAGCAGCCTTTTCGAGACCGATGTGCTCAGTTCACGTACAAGGATTGGATACGTTGTGACATGATTAATAAAGTGAGAAGAATTGAAATAGATTGTATGTAGTAGATGAACGCGACCTGGTATACGCGGATGACATCAAGACTCAAAAATAGCCGTCATTTGAACCAGAAAAATATCCCAGTCGCAGTTTCGTGATCCGCTTCAAACGACATATTTACTCCGGTAGAACATTTTACGTCCCTGGTACATCAGGTAGCGACGTCCTTGCCTCTTGCGGCACTGGTAGTTCTACCATGGGTTGAAAGTCTGTCATCATGTCTCGAAAGCGACGTAATACTTCTTCTCCCGAGCCTGGGGATCTTCCTTTGCCGAAACGCCAGGCCTCGAAAGACGTCCACAATGTTTGGGAGGACTCGGACGAAGAAGACGAGGATCTCGAGGAAACCCCTTATGTCGGAGAATACTCTGGACAGGCTGGGGCATTCCCTGGCCTTGGTTGCGACGACGAAGAACTCTTCTATGGCCCAGCCGCGGATGGAATTGATTACCTCCGCATGGTTCGGTATGTTGTCCATATTGCACTACGTCTTCTATCTCTCTGAGACTTCGAACGCTGGTTACTGCCTTCTGCCTTTGCTTGGACGTGCGCTGATTATGCTATACCAGATCCGAAGCCAAAGGCGTTCCTCACATCCTGACGGCACCGACAAACCAATTGGAAGATCCACATGCAATACCAGAAGAAGGCGGTTATTACTACGATGGAGCATATACTGGGGTGGCAAAGGCTTCTGTCGCTAGCCAACCGACGTATCCTCTGGCCCAGCAGTACTATTACGACTCGCTGCTCACGCAATTTCGTTTGGTGCAAGCCACAATGCGGTGCACTCCTCCATTGTCCAGCATCGAAGAGCTGGCTTCTTCACAGTTCATTTCCTTTCCAGCGTCGACGCGGAAGGCGCGCGCACAATGGGAGGCTCACATGCGAGCTTGCAATCCTCACCCTGTTCAGGTTGCCTGTTTTGATCCGGAGACGGTTTTGGAGTTGGTGAGGTTTCTTCGAATGAAGCTAAACCATTTTCTTTTCAGCAAGGACGAATCATTGACTGGTCGCATTGGCGCCTGGGCTTGGGCAATATTAGGAAAATGTAGAGATCGAGGAGAGTTGTCTAGTGATGACATTGGAGAACTTCGAGCGCTGGCACAGAGAGCACTGCAAATACTCCAGAAAACAACGGATGGAGTGATTGAGGACTCATGTCCGTCCGAAACTGGAGAATCTCACGAGGGAGAACTTCAAGGGGCCGAAGGAATGGGAAGCTCAGAGATGGATAGTTTGACCAAGATGACCTTGGACATGATCATTACTGTCGTGGGCGAAGTCTATGGCCAGCGAGACCTTTTGGATCTCCGGACGAACTGGAACGAGGCTTCTGGGATGGTGTGAAGACTCGACTAGCTTTTGAGGACAGTAAACAATATGTCTTTTTGTATCGAGGCCAATGTCACACAAGCCCGGCAACGTACAGGTAATTTACCACTCAACCACTCTAGACACTGCTTTGGTACGGACGACGAACACCAGGCCAAAGTACAGTAACGAGCATCCTTGATGATAGATGAGAGAAGGTCGCCTAGTGGAAGATTACGTTGCTCTCGACTATCCTTGATCACGTCCTCGACCACAATCAAGCGAAGTATCACTATCGCTTCATCCTGCCAATTGCCAACTGCAGCACAAGTGAATCTCGACTGCACTGTAACACAGCTGCGCCATTCTGGTTTTGCGACATGTTTGCCCCATCCACAGTCCATCTGGCCTTCCATCTCCTTCTCCCTACGATCCTCATTCTTCACGCCATGGCGGGATTTGACCCAGATATCTCCAATGGCACCTGCTACTACATCAGTGGAAGTGAGGCGCCATCCAGCTTTCTCCCGTGCGGCAATGCTGCCATCAGTCACAAATCATGTTGCGAGAGCAGTGATATGTGCCTTTCATCGCACGCTTGCTACAACAGTCAATGTGAGGCGACCCTCGAACATGTCACCGCCAAGTTGAGTGCTGACACTCAAAGATGGAGTTACTTATCTAGCCGGTTGCACTGACCCTGACTACGAAGATGAAACTTGTCCCGGAAAGGGTGACTTCTCAAGTGTGTTTCTTTCGGTCTGAATCGCTTCGGTATCTAATTGTCACAGATCAAACATGGGCAGGTCTCGTTTACTGCAATGGCACCTCAGATCAATGGGTAGCATGCGAAGATAGCGGAAGCACCGTCACTACACCTTCGCCTTGTGCCTGTCCCTCGGCCATGGAGTCGAGGACGGTTGCTTTCACCGATGCGTCCGTTCTCAACAACATCATGGCTCTACCGGCGTCTCTGGAAATGAGTGTAACTTGGAAAGATGTGGCGGCATACGCGTCTGAACATGCACTCACCTCGATCACATCTTCCTCCGCAGGCTCAACAAACCTACTGCCTCCAGCGTCTGCCAGCGCGTCGAATACTGGTCAATCCTCGTCTGCTATTTCTTCGTCGACGGCAACAAGCACAAACAGCTCAGGTGTGGTTCTCTTCCCGACAAATACCCCAAAAGTGACAAAGACTGGTCTTGACAAAGGTGCAAAGATTGGAATAGCTTTCGGATCAGCAGCCGGCGCCATTTTCCTACTGTTCCTTCTCAGATGGGTGGTAGTCAGATCTAAGAAGCGAAGACAAGAAAAAAAGGAGGGAGAACCATCCACACCCCCTGTGACTGACTCTGAGCGCCCACAGTCAGGTTCACCCACCGACCTGGACATGCGAAGCCCAGCCTGGTCTGGCCACAAGTCCGAGCTGGCGGCTGACGAAATGACCACCAGCACGACGTCGCCAGCGCCACTGTATTGGACACGACCCCAAAGTGCCGAAGTTCAGGGAAGTCCGGCTCCATCATCATTCACAGCAAAACCGACGGGTGATGGTGGGTTTACGGTGCCTGGTCGCAAAGGAACATACTACGAGATGGATGGTTGAGACCGCTCCCTCACTGTTTGGCTTTCTTATCGAAGGTTCAATTCTGCCAACAGAGGGGAGTGCCTTGTCATATTTGGGTAGGCAAGAGTCTCATTCGAAATGAAGATGGCGATTTTAGTACTCCGTTGAGATCATGTCTACAGCCTCAGCCTCGTGCATCATCCGTTCCCACTCATCCGCCCTCGGCTATGTACGAGAATCCCCGCATCCCGAACTCCATCGTGCCCTCTCTCCCTTTGTGATCCGATGGCTTGAAAAAGCAGAACCAAGTCGAAGCGTCCGACCATAGTTCTTTCTTTTTCCTTTTCAATGCGTATCCCTTGCTATTGTTCTTTTTACATTCGTATTCTCCCCGTCCGCAGTGGTCGATCTGTTATAGCTACGTCCCACACCCACCGTATCTCTACACGCCCTGGACTCTTTGCGAGCAGATCTACCACCAATAGTCTCAACGGCAATATGTCTACTTCAACGTACACGGGCGCCACTCCGGCGGACATGAAGGTCGACCCGAGGATCGTTGCCTTTTTTGAAAGGTTTTACGCCGTCTCCGACGACCCTACGGCCCACGAGGACTACGCGCAATCGTTTTTGCCCGACGCCGATTTCGCCATGGGAGCGAAAAAGACCAAAGGGTACGAAGGGATTTTGACTCTACGACAAGGTCTTTGGTCCGGGCCCATCAAGTCACGCAAACATAAACTGAGCAAAATCTTCCCATTTGGTGCTGGATCCAACGAACTCATGCTCTACGGGACTGTCGATTACGGACTCAAGAACGGCAAAGCCGTGACTTGTGAGTGGGCCGCCAGGGCCGTCATGGCAGAAGGCCAACAAGGACAGTTGAAATTCAAACTGTACCAGGTCTATGTGGTACGTTTGTTACTTGCTGTTATGCTCTTACCCATAGGGAAAACAAACTCACCTCCTCACCACTTCCTCCTTGATGTCTCACCTCTTCCCTCTATGACCATCTTGCAATGATGTTTCCACATGAGATGGAGAGGAATAGAGAGAATTGTCAAGGTACATGCTAATACAAGAACACCAACTATAGGATTCGACACCTGTTGCGAATGCGATCAAGGATTAGTTTCATATATACCACCAAACGAAAAATTCACACTGTGAACATCAGGTCTCATTGCCTTTTCCCCTTTGTCTATGTCATGGCATACCTAAGCTGTTTTTACCCTATCGCAACAAGCCTTTCATCTACTAGCAGATATCGTATCTTGTCGTCTCGAAATCTAACCTGCGCTCGCCATGGAATGGATGCTGCCTCTACGGTCTCAATCGTTGAGGATCACGAGGGAACGGTGTTGCTTGTCGAACATTGTCCAAACCCAGGAAGAACATGACGATACGGTTCAAGCCCAAACCACCACCGGCGTGTGGTCGACACCCCTGTCTGAAGGCATTCACGTAATCCGAAAACCCGTCAGAAGCAGGATCGACGCCCTTGTTTCGCATCGAAGCCTCCAGTTCGGCGGCATCGTTTATCCGTTGAGCTCCCGACATGATCTCCTCGCCTCGCATGAAAAAGTCGTACGAGTTGGACAATTTCGGGTCTGTCGGGTGTGGCTTGGTGTAGAATGGTCGCACGGACATGGGGAATTCGTCGAGGACGTAGAAATCGGTGTCGTACTTCTCGCGAATGATCTGACCAAGTCTCTTCTCTTGGGCCGTAGTCAAATCAGTGACGTAGTTGTCTTGCTCCGTGGTGTCGACGCCGGCGTCCTTGAGCAGTTTGATACCGTCAAAGTATTTCAGTCGCAACGCCCTTCCGTCCTTGAGGTGGAAGTCACCGGCCTTGGGGAAGTATTTCTGAACAACTGCAATCTCGTCCTTGTATCGTGACTTCAGCTCCGTGACAATGAAGACGATGAGCTTCTCTGCGAAGTCGAGGACTTCATGGTAGTGATGATCAAAGACCTTTTCGAAATCAAGACCGGTGAACTATACAAGGAGTCAGCAGAAGGAGAGGAAAGAGTGCGGGCTATGATGTTACCTCTGTCATATGTCGATGCGTGTTGCTGTTCTCTGCACGGAAGACAGGTCCAATCTCAAAAACGTTCTCGCAGTCTCCAGCGATGAGCATCTGCTTGTGTAGTTGAGGACTCTGTGCTAGGAAACCGCTTTTGCCAAAGTAGTTGTTGACTTCAAACACGCCGCTTCCACCTTCCGTAGCTGCACCAAGCAGTTTGGGAGTATTGAATTTCCTCGATCCGCTCTTCCGCATGTACTCTTCAAAAAGACCCTCGACCGCGCTGGAGATGGTGAAGATGGCCTGGTTGCATTCCGTCTGCAGGTCAATCACTCGGTTGTCGAGTCGGGTCTTGAGTGTGACGACAGGGGCACCTTCAGCATCGACTTGTCCTTCTTGTTCCACAGCTGGCGGCGGTCGTTCGGCGTCCTTGACTTGCATAGGCAACACTTCGGCGGCGGAAGAGATGAGGTAGATCTTTCTGACATGGAGTTCGAGGTCGCTGATTGTAGCTGATGCGACAGGAGGATCAGGCTTCTTGACGAGACCGGTCACCCGTACGAAAGAGTTCACATTGATACTGGTTGACCATTTGACCATCTGCCTCGAGACTGCGTCTCCGGTTGCTGCCACGACGGCCTGGATGGTCTTGCCTTGCTGTCTCAGCATGAGGAAGGCCAGCTTCGCAGACTGACTTCTGCTGTTGTGGACTCTGCAAATAACGGTGACCTCCTGGTCAACATCCTCAGGGCCCAGTTTCTTCAGGTGTGTGATTTGGACAGCATCATCTGGCAGAGCGCCATAGTTGTCTTTGGCGGTGTCCTCGGCCGCCTGGGCCTGTTGCGCAGCCCTCTTTTCCTCATCCGCCTTTTTGGCCGCAGCCTTCTTTGCGGCCTTTTCGGCCTCTTTCTGTGCCTTCTTCAGTGCATTCTTGGAGGGTGCGCCGTCCGCCGACACATTAGGGTTGTCCTTCGCATGCGTTGGTAGGGAGGCTTCCGACATGGTGCAGAAATTTCTATTTCGGGGCGAATCTTAGAGGTGTGTGATGGTCTGAGAAACTTTTGTTGTTCAAAAACGAGGGTCAAGTTGGGGTTGAGTGCAGTTGAGTCACCGCATGAGAATCATGAGACGGGCGCGCAGAAATCAAAGTGGGCTGCGAAAAAGTCCCAAGGCGGGGTGATCTTTTGCAGCCGCAGCCTTGCAGCCTCGTAGCCTCGTAGACTCAGACCCTATCGCCGTCTGGCACTAGCCTACAGTAAACATTGAGAATGACTCTGCCGACGACATGAGTGCTGGGCTATAGCGACAGGGATCGAAACAGAATGTATTGTTTACTCATATCCTAATCCCATGTCGGATTGTCCATCTCGGCTAGGATCAATCGTCGGGACGCATCTTCTTGGACCCAGCTCTCGATTCTCCTCACTGTATCTTCCACCACGGTGACATAAGTCGGTCCCATCGTGAACATCGAAGTATGAGCCTGGATCTCATCAATGCCATCCATCTGTACCTTGATCCAGGTTGGATCGGGTTCGCCATCAGAATTCCTGGAAGGAATTACACAAAATCTTCTTTCCTTCTGTTTTCCGGGAGGGTTCGCGTCGGCATCTGAGGCTATTTGGTTGTCCGCTATCGACAAGGTCTGCTTGTCCGTGTCGCATGCTGTTTGTCGATCAGTATCTCCGATTGAAATTTGTCCGCTTGAGGACGGTATTGACGCTAGTGGCTTCATAGATGACGATTCTTCGACACTCAATGCCCCAAGATCAGGAATATCTTTTGTAACAACCTCACCATCACGGTGTTCCTCAAGGGAGATTCGTGGGCTAGGGCTAGCTGGTAAAGTAAGGTTCTGGGATGAACTTCTCCTCGATGAAGTACCAGAACTAGCAGCCTGCGACTCTTCACCAGGAGGCTCCAGCATGTTCGGGGCTGCCGCCCGTGACTCCGGCCTCGACTTGACCCGTCCTGTGCTCGAGGTGTAATAGTTGACGAATCTTACCCGTCTCCTGCCACGTGGATTTGCGAGCTCATTGACATCTTCCAATGCCCTAATCGACTTATACCGCTTTCTGAGTCCCGCATAGTCCGCAAGACAGCCCCCGAACTCGAGATGAGAAGAAACATATTTGCCGGCAGCCTTCGTGACCTCCCCAGCATGCTTGTTCCAGAAGTACCAAGCACGTTGAAGCTTGCCCTTCCGCTTAGCTAGTCGGACATCATTCATATACAACGGATTGTACGTTGGGTCAAGACTGATAGGTTCTGATAACGGCGAAATTTCCCCTGTTGCACTTTCGTCGGTAGGAGGCGCTCGGAATAAACTGGCAATCCCTGTACCCACTACTCCTGGATGCATACCGAGGTACGGCACATCGAAAGCAAGCAGTCCCAGGATACGGTGCTTGGATTGTTCATTGCTGCTTGTGGCATCACCGGGCAGTAGAACGACCTCGGCCGCTAGAATACCGCCCAGACTGTGACCGACGAGAATGACATCCGTAGTGTCGAACTCGTGAGGTCTGATCCTCGAGGGACGTCAGTCTGGCTACTGCGAACTCTGGGGTATTATACGTACCACTTGCTGAAATCGTTTGTCGCAAACGATATATTCCGTCTGGACTTGTACCGAGGGTAGATCTTGGTGTAGACAACATGCGTGTCTCTAAGTCTCTCAGTCAATTGGCTATGGATGTGGGCCGGGAAGCTTTGGAAGCTGGTCTCGTCGCCTAGGAAGCCATGGATGTAGATGATGAGCAACGTCCGCCGACCCTCACCAGCAGGTTCAGCAGGCCTAAGTGATTGAGTTGATGTGGCTCTCGGGTCATGGAAGCCTCCACTGTACGGCGAATTTCTCAACAAGGAGCTGTCGGGGGATAAAAAGTGAGAAGCTGCTTGAGAAGGATCTCTATCTTCCTTCCAGGATTCAGGTGAAGATTGTGCGCTGGTAGATGACACGGCAGATGGCGATCGCGGAGGTAATGGGGGCTTCAATACCATGGCGGCAGTCTGTAGTCACAGAGAACTGCATTTCCCGGTGGTCGATAGAGAGACGTATCGTCAAGAATGAATTGAAACTTTTCTTTTGTTCATTTTATCGTGCTCGTATGGGTTATATGCATCACCCCCGATTCTTCAAAGGCATACCAGTGGCTGAAAGTGAACATGGGTACAAACAAGAAATACGTTGAATGAAGATCAAGGCATCCAGGCACAGCCAATCGATTATATTTATTCGAGATCAACAAAACGACGTCACTGTTGCGCATGCGACTCTTTTCCAACAAACCCATCTGGAACGATTCATTCCTTCAACACAGCCAATACTTTGTATCTTCGCTTAAACCACATCCCGGCAGCCGTCTGAGACACTTTCGACCATGCATACTTTGAGCCTCTGATCTTCCCGTCCACAGAATTGCAGCAGCCATGGCACCACAAGTCGAGATCTCGATACCCAACACCACCATCTCAGGCACCTCGAAGCCTTACACTACCTACAACGTCACGCTCCGGCTGCCTCTAAGATCATTCACCGTCCAGAAACGCTATTCTGATTTCCTGTCCCTCCACACCGGCTTGACCGACCAAGTCGGCTCTCCGCCACCGGTCTCACCGCCTGCGAAGTCGTGGTTCTCGAAAACGGTCTCGAATCCTCAACTTACAGAAGAGCGACGGCAAGCACTGGAAACATACCTCAAGACCATCAACGAGATTGACGACTCGAGATGGCGCACGACAAGTGTCTGGAGAACCTTTCTCAACCTGCCCAGCACCCTCGCAAGCCAAACCTCGAGTAAGGCGTCCACATTACATTCAGCAATCACGGGGCCCGGAGGAGGCGGAGCACCCATAACGGATCCCGTATTATGGCTGGATTGTCACAGAGACCTCAAGGCCCAATTACAAGACGCACGGCTCAATCTCACCCACCGTGACCAGGCGTCGACGCCACAGAAGCAGCACGAAGCCAGCACGGCGGCCAAGAGCAGTCTGGTCAAGGCCGGCGCGATGATCAAGGCCTTGGAGGAAGGATTGGCCAACATACAAAAGTCGTCAGCAGAAGGATGGGGAGGAGGGCAGAAACTGGGCGAGGGCGAGATCAGAAGAAGAAAAGACCTGATCGCCACGGCACAAAAGGACAAGGATGGTCTCGAGAATCTCCTCAACGCCATGGTCACCAAGTCGAAACTGGACCATACCGTCGCGTCGGTCCAGGATACGCAGAGCCTTATGGGGGCGAAGCCTAAGTCTGGGGGACGAGTGCTCGGGAAGGAGACGGCGGAGACGAGAGAGCTTGACAATCAGGGTGTGCTGCAGCTGCAGAAGCAGAAAATGGCCGAGCAGGATCTGGACGTTGAAGAGCTTCGCAAGATTGTCCAACGACAAAAGGAATTGGGCATCGCCATCAACCAGGAGCTCGAGGTGCAGAACGAGATGCTCGGAATGGTCGACGAGGACGTTGAACGGGTACAAGGCAAGATCAACATTGCTAAGCGCAGGATCGGAAAGATTTCTTAGAACCTGGACATAAATTTGTTCATATCATTCACTTGTACGGAGTACAACATGGCGGGTATCATAGCGTTCGCAGGTTTTGTCAAATGCATTACAGTCAGTTCTCCATAGTATGAGCACACACCAGAAGTTAATGTCATGTTCCGGGCTTTGGGTCGAGGAAAGCATGCGCCGCTTCCGCCGTTATCTTGGACGGTTTGCACTCGTCACTACTGATCAGTCCGAGCTTGTTCTTGCGGGCCTGGAACCACATCAACGCTCGATCTCCGCCCAGCTGTTTGGAGAGGATCTTCTCCTTCAATTCTTGGACCATGTTGTTGTACAAATCAGGCATTTCGAGCTCTTGCATCCACTGGCGAACGGTGCCGAGACCTTCAACCACTTTCCCATAGTTCTTTTCGCCATAGCTGGTGCGGACCCAGTCTGTCAGGATCGTACCCATCTGCTGCACAATGGTGGCGATATATTTCTCATCAGCTGCAGTCTCTATCATTTGGATGAACTCGGGGATTGCATTGTCTGGGGAGACGTGGTCTCGTTTCTCCTTGCGCAAAAGCTCGCTCACATCCAATCCAGAAATCGGCTTCTCAGTATCACGATATCGTCTTCGGCCTTTGGCTCTTTGTTGCACCTTTTTGACGTCGGCCGCTTCGATCAACTTTTCCAGCGCCTTTTGACTGCGGTCCCGAAGCTCTTCTGGTTGTTCACGATAAGTTTTGAACATCTCGGGCTCATCTGGGAATTTCTCAGGGCCATGGATGGCTCGGAATTTGATCGCCCCTTCTACCCTATGCAGAACAGGCGAGAATGTGTCTTCCATTGCCATCATTTCTTCATCATCGTTCATGAGGGTCATGTTGTCGACAAAGTCACTCATGCTTGTCATCAACTTTTGGTTTGGCAGGTTGCGGTGCTCAGTCAGTTCTTTTCCCGACACAGTGAGCACTTTGTCCAGCGGCGGGAATCGATATGAGCGAACATCTTCTGCAAACGGAAGGACGTTTTCGACCAAGCATTCAAGATCAGCCTCCACCAATGGTGACAGAATTGTTAAAATGGGATCCTGCATGTCCTTTTTTACAAGTCTGCCGACCGCCACAGAACCCAATTCAAAGAGGGCATGGACTAGTGACGAAAGAGCAAGCGCTGCCTTGTCGTTACCTCTCTGTGCCACAACTACATTGGAGTTGTCCAGCAGCATATATCGTTCCACATGTTCCATCGGGATAAAGCCCAAGATATCGTAACCCATCGAGGTTTCAAGTTTTGTAATGTTCTGTTCTGACTCCATGATTGCCACCGCAGTGCGTCCGTATTCGTATCCTTTGGCCAGCTCCTCCCGACTGAGTTCTTTTGTCTCTCCGTTCTCGAGTTTAGCGGAGTACTTGTATATGCTGTGCACGGACTGCAAGCCTTGATCATCATCGGCAGTGTTCTCTCGAATCACAAATGAGCTTGCTGTTGGAGGCCGTCTGGTCTGAACCTTGAAGTACCGCTCGACGTCGATCGACAAAGCCGTATCATATTGCTCTGGGTCACCCAGCCTCAATTGTCCTCTATAGGTCGGTGTCGCTCGTATAGGCTTCATATCTGGCCGTGAGAGCTGATCAATGGCTTCTTGCATTGTCCCAAACATCCCACCTGAAAGGTCAACCAGCTTCTTCAGTGTCCGCTCGTTCTCTGCCTTGGTCGCAGATTTATCTTCCTCCTTGGTGCCGTAATCAGGGTCGTCAAAATCAATGCCCAACAACACCAATTCGATGTCATGATTCTTAAACTGCTCTGCTGTACTCTCGACATCATCAGCGTCGATATGGCCAGTAGCATTTGTGATGACAACAATCCTTTTCTTGTACTTCAGATGTTTACAATGCTTCATCATCATATCGACCGCAATAATGATGCCGGAGAGGACGTCCCGATCGTCTGTCTTGCTGGGCGTGAGGACTTTTGGCAGGCTCCGTAGTTCGGGCATAAGGATCTGTGATATGGGCTGTAGGACACTGATGTGTTTGTACGAGTCGTCCTGGCTTGCCATGTCATTGCTCGTGCCATCGGTCCCAAGACCAACAACACCGATCATGAGGGTCTTTCGCCCAGTGAAGACGACATTCGTGATCTTATCCCAGACATATTGGAGAGCCCACTCGAGGTCGGTTTGGCTTCGACCAGAGTGCTTTTTGCTCATAGACCTTGACACGTCTATGAGGTAGACTGTCGCTTCTTTCTCAGACATGACTGTGTCGATATGCTGGGTTTAGTTGTTTCGATGAGCGGCTTGAGGAGTTAGCGTAACTCCTTCGCAACAGCATACCCAAGAGAGTTATGACATCAAATCCTATGCTGAAGTATTCTTACGTACAGTGTCAATGGGTCGGGCTGTTGTCGTCCGTACTTGCATGTTGCCTCGACTATGCCATCATCGCAGGCAATTGAAGAGGTACTGTAGGCAGCATCCGCACTACGGACTTTCTGTCTGTCGCGGAATGACGCGTGATCACGTGTAGCTAAAGTGCTTTGGCCGCGGTTCGGAATATGTCGTCACTGTTGATCGTGCTAAAATGTGCGTCTCATCAACTGCGGGTTCGAGGATTGACTATATAACTTCACTTGGGTTTTGAGGTACAATTACGGGGATTCAGAGACGGACTCTCATCTGGAAATGGCGGGCTCACTCATTTACTCCGCTGCTCCTTATCATATAATCAGGTAAGTGCAGACTTGTCTCGTCCTTTCAACCCTCGACTAACACTGCCTCAGTTATGGCATTTTGCTGGGGACAACAACTTTTCAGAGCTTTGTGGGAGGGATAGTCGCTTTCAGAAATCTGCCTCGACCTCAATTCTCACAGTTGCAGCAAGCTATTTTTCCTATATACTTTTCGATGCAGGCCGCGCTCCCTATTCTCCTGGCTCTAACCCTACCAGCCGAGAGAACTGCGATCAGTACGATACCCTCGAGTATATCAGGTGTCATCGACCCTGTCAATCGCTTTCGAGTCCTTGTACCCCTCCTGACAATGTTTGCTACTGCGGCCGCCAACCTGGCGTATATTGGACCCGCAACCACGAAATGTATGAGGGAGAGAAAGCACCAAGAGACAAGAGATGGGAAGAAAAGCTACGACGCACCTCCGCATAGCAAAGAGATGCAGGCACTGAACCAACAATTTTCGACACTGCATGGCGCATCTTCATTGGTCAATTTGGTGTCCTGGATGGCAAGTTTGTGGTATGGCTTTTACCTTGCAGATAGAATATCCTGATCACCACGCACAAAGTTGGGCGATGCTGGCCACGAACAGTGCGACTATCGAGTTTTGGATACCGATTCTGTTCAGTTGCATCCCATGGCGCGACGAGTACTCTCTGCAGGCGAGTAGGACCCACCTCTCCCGAGTGTCAATGTAAGCGATAGGGAGGATACATGCGTATCACGAGCCACTGCATTAGCGAACCATTGCGAGTCAACTTTGCATCCTGGGCTTCATCCCCAAACAACAAAGTCAGCATGCAGGGGTTGTCTGGAGAGTTAGTATACCGTAATCAGCATGGCTCCAGCTATTTATTCTTATCTATTGCGTGTGGCGGCAATTGACGTCGCTTTTTGAACACTTCGGACTAGCTATAGATCAGTAATCAGCTATCGACGTCGGTTCATCCCATATGTTTCGCAAGGGTCCGCACATGACAATTACTCGGACGATTCCAGGGAATGTACGGAGTACTCCCGTACGGAGAACCTCCATTCCTTGTCTTCTCTGGGAGGTTGTGACAAACTACGAAACATGTGGCTGCTACAGTACAATCCTTCCACCCTGCTGCAACATGTCGATTCTCATACAGTTGTCCTGATATTTATTCTGCATGGATAAATATTGATGGCTGAAGCGACTCTTGCGGCTCTTGAAACACGCGGATCTTTTCTTAGTGCTTACCAGCGCTCTGAAGTTCAGCAGCTGGACCCCAAACTAAAAGTCTTGGTAGACCAGATCACCAGCCTTGCCGCCGACGTTGTCCAACGTCCGCTCTGCCACAAAGCACCCATATTCAGCTTTCAATACAGCGATAGGCTATCCCTTGTCCATTTTCGAATCTGTTCGCAGGTCTTTGGGACCACCAAGGCTCTAAAAAATACCGTTGTGTCTCCATTGGCCTATGAGCAGCAGATGTTGACTTTCCCAGTGCATTTGCTGGCATGTATCCGTACGGAGTCGAAGGCATAGTATTTAGGCCTGGTCAGCATGGAACAACTACTGTCTCGCACCTTTCGCACAGATCAAGGTACTGCCGGACAGTGTCCGTATAGCGGTGGTTTTTTAACACACACCCTGACGTTGACCTTTCTTATATTCCAGCCTTTCTGGACCAGGCTCTCACGCCTCCAGTGGGCAGAAGTTTGAGCTGGACTTATCTCTTCTGTCTCCATGGACTACTTTGGTGCAGGGCGCCGGCAGTCTGGTCACTCATTCTATGCAAAATTGTTCAATGGCTCACCGAATTCTGGTGAGCTGGGCTCGGAGCATTCACTGACACCCATCAATCCGGCTGCCAAACGCAATCATACTGTCTCCAGCTTCACAAGTGCCCATGACCAGAATTTTGAGTATACGAAGCTTGAATTCGCAAATGAGTTGCCATCATCAAAGTCGATACCGAGTTTCCAAGAAACACCGGAAAAGCCCAAGCAGGCGATTCGAAAAGGGTTCTGGGCCAATTCTTCGACACTTCTTCCACACCTTGCCACCAGCATAGTCACCGCTGCGGTTGTGGGCTTGAATTTCCGCAATGTCTACTGGATGGATTTACTGGCTCCGAATGTACAGATCCTTCCTGGGATCACTCAAGACGGCGCTTTGAATGCACTTCAGTTGGCGGCTAAGCTACACGAACTGCTTCTCGTTGCTTCTCTGGGGACGATCGTCTTGCATGTCGCGCATGCTCATTTGACTGGGAATCACGGGCTTCCATTGGGACTTTTGACGAATGCTTTCTCCATCGGCTCGGGAGACTTCTTGCGTAGGAAGGCTTTCTGGACATCTGCCTGGACCTCCAATGCACACTACTGGCGCTTCTGGCTGCTATCTCTTCTTGCCACAATTCTGGCGACGCTTTCAGGACCTTCGTCTGCTATTGCGATCATTCCTTCATTGGATTGGTTCCCTGTTCACAGGCCATTCAAGAATCAGGTCCTGCCTTACTACGTCTTTAATGAAAGCACCGCTTTGTGGCCCGAAACTGTTACGGCTTCGAGTGTCAACAGTGCAGACTCAGGTGTTGACTGCCTGGAAGCTGCTTTGACTACGACGGTCGAGGAAATTTGCCCTGCTGGCGATTTCCGTGACTTGTATAGTTGGGCGGGCAATCTTCTCTTTGTCAATTCTTCTACTGGTTCAAATGCTTCTATCCCTGACGCACGAGGTGATACCCGTCGAGTCCTATCAACTCGGTCTTGCCCGAGCGGGTTCGATGGAAGAGCATCCGGCATGTCGCTCAATACATTTATCACGAGCGCACTTACACAGTGGTGGCAATTTGCCCAAGATAATTATGATGGCTTGGGACTTGAAGTTGCACGGCCACGGCTCACCTTGAAAAATCAAATATATGCACCTAGAGTCGAAGTCATTTGCAATGGATTCCAATATTTCAATACCACAGAACTTGAGGACCGGAAGCCTGTCAAATTCCCGAGCTTGACACCAAACAGCACATTTTCGAACAACGAATTCCAGCTTCCCTACAATGGAACATACAATGCAACGGATGTTCAGTGGGTCAAAATGCCCGAGGGCTCTGAGAGCCCGACTCTGGGGGCGGCAGTTCGCATTCCGTGGATCTATCTGACTAATGCCAGCACGACAGAGACGAGGCAAGCCACTGAAATCCAAGCCTGCAGTATCTATGTATGCACTCCTTTCTCAGAGACTCTCCAGCCCGCAGATTCCTCTCATCTTCGCTTCCCACGAAAAGCTCGTAGAATGTGCTAACTTCTTTCAGGCTCAGTGGATACCAGTGTACGTTTGGTATGAACCAAGGACCACTGACCAGGTCTCCTACTTCACCCAAGGCCAATTGCCAAGTACCTGTCTTGACATACCGCGTGCTCCCAGCGTCGACAGCCCCATCCGCAATATGACCATCGATCAACAGTATGCCGATGCTATTAACCAGCCGATACCCTTCACCCAGGGAAATGTACCTGCAATACAGGCCATGCTTAACCAGTTGGTCTTCGAACAAGGCGTCGTTGCACCCACAAACCAGACCGGCTATGCCTTCAAGTCCCCACTTGTAGTCAACGCCAACGGCAGCAACTACATTCAAACTACGGACGATGAGGTCAGAAAGAGTAGAGCAACGGTAATATCCACCATGCTCGCTGGAGTCATTACAGATGGCCTCGCACGTATAGCCGGGAACGGTATCTATCCTTACTCGGCTGCAATGTTCCTGACGAATAAAACGGATTCCTCGGGCGGACTGGTCGGACGGTTCGTTGTCTCATCGGCAAAAGGTGGACAAGACGAGTCTTTGAATGCCACCTCGGCAGATCTCAACGATTGGCTCCGTATTGACCCCGAGTTTTCTCGGTATGGTTACGGGTACCGGTACCAGGGCTCAGGGACGGCACAGTTTGGAATTGTGATACTCTTGATCCACGTTGCCCTTGCTGCCATGCACACCGCGTTCATCCTGTACAAAGTACTTGTCGCGAGGGAAGGCTTGGTCGGCTCCTGGACAACTGTCGCAGAACTTCTCACTTTGGCGTTGAACTCAAGTCCATCGTCGAGGCTTCAGAATACGTGCGCAGGAGTAAGCGCAGCGAAGACATGGCGGGAAGAAATCTCTGTGAGGGAGATAAGTAATGGGCACCTTGGGCTGGTGGTTGGCCCAGAGGAAAAGTCTCGTTACAAATTACCACAAGCTGGTCTTACTTATGGGCATTTGATCGACTGACAACATCCTTTCCGCCATGTTGGGCTTGTGACACTGAAGCTGAGTGATGTGGTGACGGTTTCTGGATGATATTCTCGGGTTAGTGGCTGATCACTGCAATACTAAAGATGCCCTGAGAATTTGATGTCCGGCTCAAGATCACGGTGTCTCAGTTCCACTCCCATTGATGCTACTACGATAGCACACATACCTCGAGATGCATAGGCCTAAGGCAAGGACTAAACGTACGTGGGCCAGGGGATCGAGCTTGGAAGAAGTTGAAAACTGCTGCGGCAACGCATTCTCGTATGATTGGCGACCATCAGCTTTGCGCCAAGCGCGAGATACATCCTGAGCTGATGATACTGTGGCTATTTCTGGCTCCTCCATCAAGAACCCGTCCTTTTTGTCAATCAATGTCCCTGAGTTCCCGAGTCCCTGATCTGCAGGTCATCCATGATTCCCAACCGGGTCTAGTCTCAATATGGGGGCCTGTAGCAGGCTAAGCGCAAGTTTCCATAATCACATCGACAACGGTTGCAAATCACAACTGCTGCTATCCGTGATGAGACGTTCGGTTGGACAGACTTGGAAGTCTAGCTGGAGATTCTCCATCGACGGTACCTGAAGGAGCGGTCTGCGAAAGTACCGCCACCCTCTCCCTCCCCACTGGTACCTCAGTACCTGGGTTTGCTCAATTCGTGGCTTCATTCTCTAGTAGACACCGGTGCTGGGCTGTGCTCTGCGTGCCCACGTCGCTAGCCAGCTGCCATAGAATCCAGATTCCAAAACTTTGGGGGCTGATATGGATGGCTCCCGTTTTCTGCAGATAAATATGGGACGTCGACGTCCTGATCTGTCCGAACCCTCAAGAGCATCTCCTTTTTCTGTCATAGCAAAGTTTTTCCGATCTCTGAGCACCTTCACCCTCCTTCACCACCAAAGAATCCTCCGTCCGGATCCAAGAGCGGTACAACAATGTCGACATTCTTCAACCTCTTCAAGCGCCGCAAGGTGCCCCTCGCCTGCACGCTGTCCCTCGAGCACGGCCACGTGCACACGCAGGCGTGCTTCGTCGAGATCATGCCGCTGTCGGTGGTCGAGCTGTTCCAGTCCCAGGGCTGCAAGTCGTGCCCGCCCGCGCTGCCCCTGATCCACGACGCGACCAACAACCCCAACCTGCTGCTCCTCACCTACGACGTGACCTACTGGAACCCCTCGAGCGGGTGGGAGGACACCTTCGGGTCGTCGCGGTGGGACGCGCGCCAGCGGTCGTACGTGACGCGGTGGGGCCGCAACGGCATCTTCACGCCGCAGGTCGTGGTCGACGGCGTGGCCGACGGCATCGGGGCCACCAGGGACGAGGTCGGCCAGATCATCTCCCAGGCCATGGAGAAACGCAACGCCGCGGGTTGGGCCCTGGGGGTCGACCGGGTCGGGCACGGCGAGATCAAGCTGGCCTCGGAACTCTCCGAGGCGGACACGACCTACGACGTCCTGGTCGTCGCCTACGACCCCGAGACTCAAACGGTCAAGGTCGGCAAGGGACCCAACAAGGGGAAGAAGGTGCCCCACCGCAACGTCGTCAAGGAGGTCTCCAAGATCGGGGAGTGGAAGGGTGGCATCGAGAACATCCCCCTCCCCGATCCCGGGAGGGACGGCTTCGAGAGGGTCGTCTTGGTCCAGGGGGGCATGGGCGGACCCATCGTCGCCGCCATGAAGTTGTAGATAGATTCTGGCCGTACCAACTGACGATTACCGCAGTATAGATGAATGGCTGGGAATGAAGAGACTGCTCGGAAAAGTGTGAATGAGGCATGGTGGGAACATATAGGAATAATGAAACGTCGTCGACTGGACTCTTGCAACGTATTGAAACAGCTTTCTTATTTCCAATGCTACGATGCCACCACGAGACGGATGAGATCGACAAGGTACACATGGAAAAGAAATCTGACTATTTGTGAAAATCAAGCGTGATGATATTGGCTACAGCCATGTATTGCAATTGAGGCATGTCTCGTTACAGGTGATAATAATATCCATAATCATAAAAAGAATGTCCTTCTCCCAGGCAGACCGTTCATGATATCCGTCCTCCGGCCGATGTTCGTCACAACCACGTTCCCCGCTCATTGCTAAGCTGACTCCGAACGCCATTAATCAGCATCTTTTTACCGATCTATCAATTCTTTCAAAAGTCAATGATACTGTTGATGACCTGCTTGATACCAGTCATGACCATCATGACCATCATGTCCAGCAGCCCCCTAGCCCACAGCGACCCTAGCTAGTGCTTGGTGGAGCCCGCTGCACCACGCCGAACTGGGTGTTTCCGACGTCAAAGACACTTTGTCAATAGTTAGCATGTGGTGTGTTCAAGAAGACAATGTCTCAACTTACGCATAGACATTTTGCAAGAAAGTATCTCCAAGGATATCAAAGGTCAGGTCACCACGAGATTGAATTCCACCGTACGCCATGTTGCCCTCGAGCCCACCTGCGAACGCGAGGTGTTGCTTCTCGATCGTGATCGGAGTGTTTCCAACCATGAAGGTGACGGTAGGGAGGTCAGACTCGGCGGTGTCGGCCGGGAACACCCAACCTTGCTGGCTGGGGTCCTGCTTGGCACCGGGGATTGCCGAGTAGACGGCCTGACACACTTCGTCGGAGGTGAGGAGAAGAGTGGTACCGGTGTCGGCGATGGCCTTGTTGCCCGAAAGCTGGATGGTTCTGCCATTGACCTTTGCGGAGGTCGAGTCGAACATCCAAAAGCCTTGAGAATTGTCGACCGGGGTGTAGGCAACCTGAGAACCAGATGGGACAACGGACTGATCGATCTCGCCAAAGGTATCTGCTTCCGTTAGATCCGTCGACGACGATTAGTGGGGCAGCGAGACTCACAGAACGATTCTTCATTGGCATCTTTGATGGATCCGAGGTAGCACGTGAAGAGTTCCGCGTTTTGAGGGATGTCGTCCTGAGCAATCATGTTTTCCACCGGGGTCTTGACAGGAGTTGGTTGCACCGTGTTGATGGAACCGAAGGCCAGACCGAGAAGGCCATCTGACGAGGCATCTTGGGTGAATTGCGAGGACAACTTGTTGGCAAGTTCAATTGCTTGAGCCTTGACGGTGATGCTACCAATTTGGACATTGTCGGTGCCGACAGTACCTGAAGCCGACGACTGATCTCCGTACTGAATCTGCCAGGTTGACTGTGACTGGTTCTTGAATGTCGAAGACTTGGACGGGTCGAAGATGGTATGGCCTTTGCCTGCGGAGCGAGTGCTGGCCGGCAATTCAGTAGACCAGCACCAAAGGTCCGAGGATCCCGAGTCGAAGTCCTACGAATGTGTTAGATACCTATTGTTCAAATGTCAACGCTGGATCGACTTACCAAGTTCAAGGTCTGAGCTGGTGTGCCGATGTTGACTGGGCAGGTGTAGAGAGAGTCATTCTGTTGATCAGTAGCCGGACTGTGGCGATGTTCAGCAACGACACTAGATTCCCGGTCTGAGAACGTACACTTCACCCTGAGTTCCATCTGCGTTTTGTTTGAAAAGGGCCTTTCTGCCACGGATCGCAGAATAGGGACCGCGGAGGCTGGGAACGAAATTGTACTTGTTAAGCAGATAGACGTAGGACTTGAGACCGTTTCTCTTGTAGTGAGGGTTGCGTTGGATGGGAACTCGAGCGATAGAAGCCATGTTGGGTGAAGTGCGAATTGTTGTGAGGGTTCGATCTGAACAGGCTTGAAGTGAGTAGAGATGGAATGAGTAGGTAGAGTTGCAATGGATGAAAGGACTTGGATAGAGAGGAGAGTGGGAGGGAAGTTGAGGTTAAGTAGTTGGTTTTTGTGCAGCGAGTTTCAGCACAAGTCAAGGAAGGTGCATGGTGCATGCAACGCAAACGTCGCTGCTGAAGCAGGAAACCGTCCATGTGTTTCTCGCTTCTCTTCCTCTCTCTCTCTTTTCGAAGGCGGCGACCTGGTCACAGCCCACTTTCCTTGATGGTGTGCACTACGAGTGACCACTGATGCTTCAGTCATGCGGCTGCACGCAGCGGTTCATTGCCTACAACGACGTAGTGGGCTCGGCGGTCTGGTGTCACTTAAAATGGGTCATGCTGGAGGGAGGTGTAGCAGTGGTCCATAGAGAGTTAGACATGCAAGGTACATGGGCTGTGAATCAGTGCCTCTGTCATGGGTGATTCGTTGAGTCTGCTGATGGACACGGGTTGCTGTTGGTCGATGAGGCGAGTGACTACGGTTAGCGACGTTAGAGAAGAGGCTGAGCTTCGTCATGGGTTCGTCATTGCTTGAAACGATCAAGCTTCTTGATCTGCGCGGTGCCGTCGACTGTGTGAGGCGAACGACCATCACATGGGACGATCGGAGACGAAATCACCTTGTACTAACGAGTAGTCGCAGGTCAAGCCTGGGTATAAAACATACGAATCACTCTGTACGGATGAACTCGCACCGTCTGGGCCGTGCCTCGCTTCTCCATCGTGTGGAACAAGTCGTATGTAGGCAAAAGATAACAGGAGATAATGTACTGCCGATTTCAAACAAACAGGTTTGACATAAAACACGACTGTGTCATTGCGTCATGTTGGGCCTTCGATCTACACGCGCTGGGGAACATGTACTTGTAACTGGTACGGAGTATGAGTACTTGCAGTAGTCTTTATTATTGGATACTCGTTTTAATTTGCTAGCTATTTACGAGTACTCAGTACTTGTACTCCCACTCCTATTACTCGTATCATTGTCAAAAATGTCAAAGCAAGGAGACCCTGGTCCGGCTGAGACGATCGGTGTATGAAAATCCTCGGCTCACCTGCTCCCGAAAGCCAAGGGATTGAAAGAATGTACAGGTACCAGTCTCTAATCAGGTAAGTATAGCGAGACCTAGGATGAATTACATGAGCAGCTTTGGAAGATAAACCGTCCCCGTCACAGAATGGCTCACCGCGAGCTATAGGCATGTGAGTCTCGATTTTCACGCCGTGTGATAGGTATTTGCTTGGCTTGGACACTGTCATTCAATTTTGCTCGCACCTCGTTCTGCTTCCGGGTCAAAGATGCTGTCCTGTGGTCGACCTGTCCTCCCCAAAATGTGGTGTGATGCTCACACTATTGACGGGTTCGAGATCTTACCACAAACTCTAGACTGAGCGGCGCCGAGATGATCCCCGAAGTCCCCGACTGAGTATGGACGTTGTGTATAGAAGAGATGGCTGCCGTCGTGGGTACCCATTTTCCAGGTTGTAACAAATATGATGTCTTCCAAGTCTGGTCTCAAATTCATAATCGTTGGCGGTGTCGCCGGCGGCATGTCTGCTGCGACACGCGCCCGCCGCCTTTCTGAATCTGCCTCTATAACCGTCTTCGAAAAAGGACCTTACGTGAGCTATGCAAATTGCGGGATTCCCTACTCACTGGGCGAAGTCATTCAGAAAGAAGAGTCATTGATCTTGAACACCCCCAAATCCTTCAAAGACCGCTACAATTTGGATGTGCACATCGATTCTGAAGTCGTCAAGATCGACCCGCAACAGAAGACGGTCGATGTCCGAGTCCAAGGGGAGAAAACAATTGAGCGATATGCTTGGGACAAACTCGTCCTCTCCCTGGGAGCTGAGCCATTCCTGCCGCCGCTCAAGGGCATCGATCTACCCCATGTCTTCACACTCCAGACGATCCCGGATCTGCGACGGATTCGGTGCGCTCTACAAGACAGCACTTGTGTCAAGCACGTTGCGGTCATTGGAGGTGGGTTTATCGGCCTCGAGGCGGCCGAGAACATTAAAGGTCTTGGGTTCGAGGTTTCGATCCTCGAAGCGGCCCCTCAAGTCTTCACGCTGGTAGATCACGACATTGCGGAACGCATTCATACTGAGCTCCGAGCCAACGGTGTCAGTGTCCATCTACGGGTCAACATTAAGGAAATTCAGCCGGGACATGTTATGTTGGGCAGCGGCGAGACCGTACCCGCGGATGTGGTCATTGCGGCCGTAGGAGTGCGACCCCGAACCTCGCTAGCACGAGATGCGGGCTTGAAAATTGGCAGCTCAGGTGCTGTAAGTGTCGACCACTTTATGCGGACGTCGCACCCCGACATCTACGCCGTGGGGGACATGGTAGAAACCGAAAACAGAGTTCTCGATCGGGCGCTTCCCCTTGCTCTCGCAGGGCCTGCTGCTCGACAGGGACGGATTGCTGTCGACCATGCATTAGGGATCCTCAAAGAGGGCTACCGTGGCAACGTCGGGACTTCGATATGTAAAGTCTTCGGCCTAGCGGTCGCCAGCGTTGGAACATCGGCCCGCGTACTGCAGCAAATGGGCAAGAAACCCTTATGGGTGACCGTCTATCCTCCATCGCATGCCGGATACTACCCAGGGGCCCAGCCTCTGTCGCTCAGGGTGATTTTTGAACCCGAAAGCGGACGGTTGCTCGGAGCACAGGTCGTGGGTAAAGAGGGAGTTGATAAACAGATCGACGTCCTAGCGATGGCAATGCAAGCCGGCATGTCGATCTCTGATCTCGAGCATCTAGAATTGGCGTACGCACCACCTTACGGCTCTGCAAAGTCCCCGGTGAACATGGCTGGCTTTGTCGGCACGAACGTCCTACGCGGAATAGTGCGCATCATGCATCCCGAAGAATTGGTCTCTTCCGGTTTTCCGCTGGAATCTATTCAGCTCCTGGACGTTCGCTCACCTGAGGAATTCGGCCGTGGCCATATCCCTGGTGCCGTCAACATATCAGTGAACACACTGCGGGAGAGGATGGATGAGCTGGATAAGAACAAGTACACAGTCGTCTACTGCGGCGTGGGCTACCGTGGATATCTGGCTTACAGGATGTTGGAGCAGAACGGATTTGAACAAGTCGTGAACCTCGATGGTGGCACCAGCTTATTCTTCAGCGGCGGTTTCGACCTCAATTCCAGAAAAACCCTCCAGTGACAAATCCAGATACCAAACGCTCGCTACGGGATTTGGCAAACCATGTCAATTTTGGACGAAAATAGCCAATATGCTGAGAAGGACGTTATGTAAATGTACCATAATTGCAGGAAAAGAGAAAAGAGATCGGAGTAAATTTATGCTACTACTCAGGTCGGGACGAGGTAATCGGTAGGGATAGTTAAGAGAATGTTGTTGGTTCGCCAGACATGCGCTTGTAAGGAATTGCGTGTGAAACCCATCCTGTTCTGCATACGAATGTTCGTATCAGATATGCGGTAATTTGTCACTTGTCATCTCCTCCTCTTCTTCCTTCTCTTTCTTGTGCTATGAAATGGTGTCCACACAGGATGTGCCTGGTCCTCAATCGCGGAGACAGAGGGGAAAAGCGTCCACATAATTAAACGGAAAGATCTGAGCTGGTGGTGGTCATAATTTCTTTGCATTATTCTGGTGTAATTGTAGTCATGATGGATATGGACATGTATCTGTATCTTATAAGAGGATGGGTAGTGGAGGAGTGTGCTTCGTAGAGGCGCAGGAGACGCGATGGTCTGCCAAGCCCACGCATACCGAGGTTCAAACAGTTGCTAATGTACGGTGGACTGAGGGAGCATCCTGGCACCTGCGCGATTGAAATAGCAAACATCCAACAAATGATACATGTGAATATCTGATGACAATGATGATCCTGCGCTAATTGACACTGTCACGAGTCCTTCTTGAGCATATCAACAACCAACTTTCCGGGTGTGCCAGCATGATAATCTTCGACCAGCTCATTCAAGGCAGAGAAAGGATATGTCTTGATCTTCGCCTTCACTCCGTGTTCAACACAAAACTCCAACATCTCCTTCAGTGCTTTGTTGGAGCCTATCAGCGTCCCAGTCACAGTGATACGCCGGAAGACGAGGTCTGCTGCCGAAACATGGAACCCTTCGGGCGGAAACGAGACAACGACGGCTAGTCCTCCGTTGCGGAGTAGATTGACCCCGTAGTCAAATGACTTCTGACTCTCAGGTAGGATCAAAACGGCGTCTAGACCCATTTCTGACATGTGTTCTCTGTGGTCCTCCTTGCCCATCGATTGCCGAACATCCTCCGGACTTTGCTTGAGCGCATCAACAATCGTACAGCCCGTCTCCAATCCTCTCGCGAGATCCAAGGCCTTTGGCGAGACGTCCACACCCGTCGTCTTCAAACCCATTTTGACGGCAAACTGTAGGCCCAGGTGTCCGAGCCCGCCGCCACACCCGATGATGCCCACTCTCTGTCCAGATTTGAGATTGCATTTTCTCAGCGCGGCGTAGACGGTCAGTCCAGCACACATCAATGGTGCAACCTGCACGGAAGCCATCTGGTCTGGAATCAACGACACTTGCTTCGAGTCCACAACTGCGTACTCGCGGAAACCACCAGGCCCGTGAACTCCGAGGCCGCCATGAGTGTATGGGCAGTACACCGAGAAACCAGGTTCGTCCGGGTCGGAACCAGAGGGATTTTGACATTCAAGACACCGTTCACAGACGTGATACCCGCGTCCGGAAACTGCAACACGGTCACCAACCTTGAGACCATGACTTGAATCTTTGCCTGGCGGGAGCGACACCACCTGCCCAGCAAACTCGTGGCATCCGATGTGTGGAAGGGACGGAGGATGCATGGTCCCTGCAGCTACCACGGCATCCGTATGACAATATGAGCCTGCCTCGACGCGAATAAGAACGTCATCTGGGTGCTCGATGGCGGGAAGTGGCACTTCGCGCAGACGATACGGCTTTCCAAACTCCTCGAGTATGTACGCCTTCATGGACTGTGGTAATTCTGGTGACGCCATGGTGATTGCTTGGTCCGTCTCACGTTGTTTGGTGTACGAGATCTTTAGCTCCCAACAGGTTTATGTAAGTTACCCGAAGAGACACTACGACGAAAGACGTTGCTTCGTAAGTCTAACGCCCCCTACTGAAAGTACGGACGATGTTCAACTTTTGGAGAACCCCTGCAGAATGGCTAGTCGAATTGCGGGCGGTGTTCATCCACTTTCTCCCCCACAACTCCTGCACATTGTAATGTGGCGAGAACACGAACTCTGACCCCACCACATCTGTGAAGCAGAAAGCCGACTCACTCAGAAGCAATGCAATTTGAATGCAGGGCAAGGATGTTGCATCAGCTTCCTGCACGACTTGTTAGGATCATGTAGGTTTAACAGCCTTCCGATGCCAAAGCTCACTGCAAAGGACTTCTCCCCACACATGCATGACTTTTGAGGCCGTGGGGATGTTTGCTCTGGGTTCAATACACTTGCAACTTGATGTACAGGCTTGGTTCCTGTAATCTCTCAACTCACGGTTTGGCACTTTCATAGACTGAATAAGTATTTACATTCATCTCACAGCTACTGATGTGACAGAGCTTTAACAGACATTACTAATATCGGTCGCATCATGGGGTCACTAGGCAATGCGGAAAGAATTGATGTTGTTATCGTCGGTGCCGGCATTGGTGGTGCATCTTGTGCAATTGCCTGTGCAAGGCAAGGTATGAAGGTTACACTTTTCGACCAAGCGCCAGAGTTACTACCGATTGGAGATTCGGTCGGCTTCGGTTCAAACTCATCCAAACTCTTCAAGCGCTGGGGTTTGTACGAAGACATGTGGCAGGTTTCGAGTCGAGCGAACGATACCATTATGCGCAACTGGGATGGCAAAGTCATTGCGCTGGATCAAACTTTGGCTACGGCCGAGGCGAGATACGGCTACCGCGGTCTTCTTGGGCATCGAGGTCATTATCACAGGATATTGATAGACCATGCACTCAAGAACGGGGTTGAACTACGGCTTGGTCAGAAAATTGAGCGCTATGACGCAGAGAAACCGAGTATTTTCCTACCTAGTGGAGAAGAGATCGTGGCGGATGTTGTGATTGCTGCAGATGGCGTGAAAAGCCCGGGTCGCACTGCAGTGCTAGGCTTTGAGGATGCGCCTATTCACAGTGGATATGCCGTGTGGCGTGCATATGGGGACTCTTCCATCTTTGAAGGTGATCCATTGGTAGAAGAGTTTCTCCAGAAAGGTGAGTTCAGAGTATGAAAAGCTGATGTTTAGGCTAATATTCTTTGCAGACTGTGTGAACCTCTGGATCGGACCCGACTTGCACGGATTTGTGACCACTGTACGCAACGGAAAAGAGATCAATGCCGTACTGACACACAAGGACGTTGCAGACATTGCCGAGGGCTGGCAGTTTCCTGGCCATCGAGACGAGATCTTGAGAACGATCAAGGACTGGGACCCGGCATTTGTACGAGTATGGGAAAAAATTGAGAACATAATCGACTGGAAACTTGTCTACCGACCATGCTTGGACAAGTGGGTAACTGATAGTGGCCTGGTGGCGGTCATGGGAGATGCTGCTCATCCTTTCCTTCCGACCTCGACACAAGGCGCCAGCCAAGCCGTTGAAGATGGTGCAACCATCGCGCTGTGTTTGGCAAAAGCTGGCAAACATCAGATCCCGCTAGCGTTACGAACTTACTTTGCCCTACGTTACGAGCATGTCAGAGCCGCACAGCAGGTCGGTATTACACAAAGAGACAAATGGCACAACCTGCACGATAAGACTACTAAGAAGATGATGAAGACCTTGGACACTTCTAAAGGTGTGTTGGATAGCTATTCGCTGTGGGACCACGATGCGGAAAAAGTAGTTGAAGATGAATGGGACAATGTATCAGAGCAAGTCAGGCTTCAGTTTGGCTTGCCATGAACAATGAAAAGAGATTCTCGCATTTCTAGAAAAATACCAAACTATGACCACCTACATACTCATCTTTGTTCTAAGCACTCTAATCATCACAATACTCTGGCATAGCGCGTGACGACGGTGCCTCGACTCAGAATCTTTGCATGATCCATGAACGTTTACCCCACATTCCCACAGCTCTCCATGACACTTTTGGCGAGGCTGAGACTCTCCACTCTCCACATTGGCGGGTGCTCGATCAGGGGTGAGCGAGTGCCGAACCCCACAGGGGAGGCCTGGCCCGACCTTGGGGAAACCTCTTATGAACTCGAGTTCAAAAACGAAATCCATTGGTACCAAACGAGAAGGATAGATGTCGGCATAGAAACAAGGCTGTCAAGGAAATTTCACGTACGACCGTCCCAAAAAAGCAAAGAAAAAGATGTCTAAGTTGCCCAGCGAGTTGTTGTGCGAAGTCATCTGCCCGCGGGCGAAGACTGGGGAGAAGGACAACATCATTTCGACTTTTAAGAAGGTCTTTGAGATTTCCACCGAGTCCGCAGCCGCAGAGGGATCCGAGCCACCCTTCGGACTTAGAGTCTTTGACAACGTGGAAGGGCAACCGGAAGAGGCAGGGTTGTTTTTGTTCTGGCGATCGATTGCCCACCACGATGGACTCTCGCAGACTCCCGGCTTCGCTCCGGCGGCTCAAATGGTCGGCGACAAGATCACGCCGAACCTGGAAACACCACTCCAGCCGTACTACCTCTGGACCCGACAGGTCGATGTCGCACTTCTCGAGGCACCTTGCTGTGAAGGTGAGTGAAACAATGCATTTGAGAAAGCATTGGCTGACAGAGGTGCGTTTAGTTATCGAGATCAAAGTTCAAGACTCTTCTGTCAATGCCGTTCAGTTTGAAGAAGCCATGAACAAGGTGTTTGACAGTTTGAAACTTCCACGAGGGTTCCTGGGAGTATTTTACGGTCCTCAACATGAGAACCCCGGCACATTCATCTTGGTGACCAAATGGGAAGGCTCCAAAGGTGTCGTCAACAACGATTCGTGGCTACGAGAGAGTGAGGAAAGTTTACAGAGCATGTTTGGAGGAAAGGCACGTATCCAAAGTAGAAGGCAGATGTACTCTTAGACTTGGACACATGGTATTCAGAGTTATTATTGTTAAGATGATGACCTGTATCAAGCCAATTCGCATTCCAGCATTACAGTAAAAGTTCTGAATCTATAGAATCGTGATACCTTGAGCCCTGACTGATTCAACAAGTCTTGATACTCGGCGTAGGATCTCTCTTTCCCACCGAACAGTGAAAAAGTACTCCAAGTCATCGCGTTGGCCATGTCTGCCAGAGCGGATTGTTTTCTGGGGATGTAATCTGACGGTGCAGATGTCGAAAAAGAAGAAGTCGCGGGCATAATCACCGGACTGGCCACAAAGACCTCGTTGATGATCATTCTGGAACCTGGAGTCTCGTGCATCGCTGCAGCTAGATGTGTCAAGATTTTGACGACATCTTCGTCAGTGTACTCGTGTCTAGTCTCTTTGTCAGTTTACGCGTGAGTGGAAAAAAAGGTACCAACAAAAATACTAACAAAACACCTCTGAGATACCAAACGTCGCCTCTGCTTGCGTTGGGTTGGAAATAGTCCTGTTGGACGAATTGGATGCTTCCGTCATTCACATTTTGCTGCAACTCGTCGGGAATGTTCTAGGTTGAATGAAGTTAAGCGAAAAAGCTCTCGGCAGACTATAAAGATCCGTAGTACATACCTCCTTGACGGTTTTGAGAACGTGGTCAAAGTCCTGAAAGGTCCATTTGAGTCGAGGATACTTCTTCATCACATCGATACCACTGTCTCCTGCGCCACAGCCGACGTCGATGACCGTGGCATCGCCCAGGTCACCCCACGGGTAGTCGGTGAGCAAAGCACAGCGCGTCAGTTGCTTGAAGCTTTGTTAGGTTTTGTCTTGTACTGCGGTCTCGGGAGTGAGGGAGGTGCACTGACATTCAACCAACCTACCACGCCGTCGTTTGCCAGAGTGACCATTTCTGCATTGTCTGGATTCATCATGTACTCGAAAAAAGTCGTTCCGTCTTTGGAGACCTCTTTGACGAATGGTGCCGTCTTTTCCGAGAAAGAGTCCCGAGTCTCTCGCAGTCTGAGATCATTCGAGATACCCAAAGCGGCGCGCATTCCTAGATCTGTACTGTGTGAAAGTGTCAGTACAAAATGATACAGTCTCTGCCCGTTGTGGGTCCTGAATACATGAACGACATGAACGAGCTGGCTCCTTTGGACCCGGAGAGAGCGATGCTGTGCCTTGAATGTTTGAATACATCTTTGGAGAGTTCTTGGAAAATGTATTCTGCAGTAAGCATCCTAAGAACTTTGCCTGGGGTTTGTCGTTAGCCGGCTCGTTGGCAACAGTATAAATATGAGACTTTACCCAGTTTGTGCTCGTTGGTCTGGACCTTGACGGCGAGATCATGGAGAGAGGCTTGTCCACCAAGTTCGGTCAACGCATTCGCCACGTCCAAGGACACCACCGTGTTGAGTGCGGCTACCTTGTACTGCAAAAGCCCCAGCTCCACCAGTCTAAAGTGGCTGGGGACTATCAAGGCTTCCACGGCCTTGAGATCTACTCGGATCTTGTCGATCAGGTCGAATGCTTCCTGTGGTGGAAGCTGACGGACATCGTCAAGCGCAGGGCAAGGTCTCGTATCCCAGAGGTGAGGTGACGTTCCGTCCGGGAACTGAGAGTCTAGCCTCCGTAGATTCTGACTCAGAGTATCTGCGAGGGTGAGAAGTAGAGACATGTCGTTCACTCAATATGACAATGTGAAGAGGTCTGAACAGATCGAATAATGTCCTAAGAGCAGCAAAGACTATCTAGTCACTACTCTCCCTACTTGATATCTTTGTGGCTGCGGGCAGCACGGCATTGGCTTGATGGGGATAGAGCCGTAGCATTCGGTGGGGCCATAGGACCAGGGTTTACCAGGCTCGCTTGCTGAAGCAATACTCCCGGTAGGTGGCCAGGTTGAACCCCAATTAAAGAGACTGGGGTGCGCTCGGGGTAGTTTAGGCATGGAATTCGGCTATCGGTACCTACAATACCTCTCCAGGCACTTGGCTGTACCTAAGGGTTCTGAGAGGAGGGCTTAATCCAAGTGTCTCGGCCCGTGATTTCGTTGGCCTGAGGAGTGAGTGTCAACTCTCCGACCCCTCAAACCTTCACTTTATCAATTTCTTACAACTAAATAACACAACTTGATCCCAACTCATCAGGTTTGACCTCATGTTAGAGTGTCTTTTTGTATTCCGAGCGTGAAGATGTGAAAAAAGGTCAAAATGGCTCCTCGAACTGGGTCGGCGACGTTGACAAGTCCGCGCAAACGAAGCCATGTGTGCTCGCGCTGCAACCGGGCATTTCTACGGGCTGAACATCTTGATCGCCACATACTGTCCCGTAATTATGAATCAGTGGTACTTTTTTTCCCTTTTCAACTAACATTCGCTAGACGACAACAAGAAGCCGTACGTATGCCCATCCTGCGGCTCGAGTTACGGGCGTACAGACGTTCTCCTTCGACACCGAAGAACCTGCCGCAACAATCAACCGGGAAAGGCGAATCCCAGCGCGCCGTCCAATACATTCTCGAACGACAATAGTCATGATGATGGAGAATATACGGAACACAGCCCACAGCCCGATGATTTAACGGCGGTCGCTTTTGCGAGTGACACTGTGCAGAATTCCCGAAACAGCAATGGAACCAGAGATGTTGTCGATTCGACGACTCTAATAAGCGGATCCACTTACAGGACTGATCATCAGCCTCAAAGTCGTTTCGAAAGATCTCAAATTGTCGACCCTCGCATCACAGACGGCTTCGAAGCCAATACCACAGGACCAGACGTTTCAGAGCTCGTACCGACGGATGTACACACGAATAATGTGTCTGAAGCAATCTCATCAAATTTTTCAGTAGCCGCTCCAACACCCGATGGCCTGATGGACTTTTCTGCTTTCCAATTGGACGATGAAAGTTTTCTCGAAGATGTCTTGCTTTGCCAATTCAGTTACAACCCGTCAGGGTTGACAATACCCTCTACACCCACCCTTGCGGCGTTGCCGATGCCGAGCATCACCGACTATGCAGATGCTATCGCTCAACTTGACTCAACTGAATTATCTGAGGGCAATGGTATCAAACTCAGCCCCAACCCGACGTCGATACTTCAAATAACCCAAGACGAACTCGAATTATTCCATGCAAAGCTGACAGTCACGGATGCGGAAGAAGGCCTGGCGAACTTTAAGAAACCCAGTCTTTCCCGAACATTGCGATGTATCATTGCATACTTTCGCCATTTTGACCCTCATGCTCCTTTCATCCATTACGCCTCGTTCAACATCTCTACCGCCCATCGTGAGTAATATCATCCAGCTGCTTCGTGGAGGTGCTGACCACATGATCAGCTGCACTGGTGTTAATAATGCTCGCAATAGGGGCATTGCACCTCTCTGAAACTAAATTTGCCGGATCGGCTTATGAAGCGGCCTGCCTACTACTTGCTCAGGTAAGCTTGACAGATCGAGATGATCACATTCACCGATATCACTGACTGAGAACTTTTTCAGCACGACAAACAGTATCTCAGGGACGACGATATTTCGTTTTGTCTCTGGCAGGCGCAAACTACTCTGCTCTGTGCCCAGTTCGGCGTTACTAGCGGTCGTCGCGATCTCTTCTCGCGGGCACAGAAGCATTTGTTCGCTACCCACATGGTAGGTTTTGACAGTGAGAAGACTATAAGAGATTATGTCGATCAGTCTTTGCTGACGGCAATATTAGATGCTAGGTAGTACGATCGAAGCCAATCGCCAACTGCGCGCTTCAGCGGCGGGTGACTGGATGACATGGGTCTTCCTCGAAACTTGTACTCGGTAACTGATTTGCTTCCAATAGAGCTATACTTTTGGAAACTGACTCACTTTGCCTAGTGTTGTTTGTTGGATGTTTGTGGTATCCGCCACGTGTTTTGCGTTGGACCCAGTCGCAATGACCATTCTACCTCCAATACCAGAGCCTATCGCATGTCCTTGCGATGAGTCCACTTGGCATGCAGTCTCTGAGATTGAATGGAGGGCTGCATGTCGAAGAGACGCCGACGTCAATACGGCTGAGGTTGACTTATGGACTTTGGCCAAGGCAATTCATCATGGCCAGCTTCCTGAGGCTTGCGGCAGAATGAGTGCATTCACTTTGCTGGCACTGGTCAGTGGCCAACTCTGTACTATTTGCACCAGAGAACGCCTGCGCCTCGACATATACGATTCGACTGAGTTCTCATACATCCAACGCAGTGAAAAGGCCTTGATGACCTGGGAACGGCTGTGGCGAAAGCATCCACGTGCCGAGCAAAGCCTGACTAGGCTTGATGATCCACTTCTGAACGATTGCTTATCGCTTCATTGCTCTGCTTACTACCATCTCTACTTTGGTGAGGAGCTTGTCACGCTCAAACGAATTGCAGAGAATCCAGAATGTGGAATTGGTTTACCTGGTTACAAGAACAACAGCCAAGCTTTGAAAGCCATAAAGTATGCTGCAAGTTCATGGCTCGTCCGTGCAAAGATCGGAGTCAAATATTTGAGTAGGAGTAAAGGTCTTGAACTTGGTCCACAGGCGCTCAGTGCTGCCTACGAGAGTGGTAAGCAACAATCATCTTAATCATGACAACAATACTGACAACATCTATAAGCTCTCATACTTGCTTGGTGGTTGCATCTGAATGGTGATACCTTGTTCAACGGTATCTACGAGAACTACGACTCCAACGAGGATCGAGCCGTCGCAGTAGCTGTCAAGCGCATCTTTGGTGACATACTTTACGAGCTGGATGAGCAAGACACGCTCTGTTCTAGGTCTGGACCAGTCCAGTTGGACCCCATCGACTTCTACGCCTGTCTTTGCCGTGACGGCGTTTGGGGATATTCCTCAATGATAGAGTCCCGACTCCGAGGCTTTGGTGCTCACCTCCAAAAATGCAGGAGAGTTGGAGAATAGGCAGATTTGATGCCCCCCAAGAACAACCAGCATATGTCCGACTCAAAGGAGTACCCGATACTCCGTACATTGGCAAGGACTGCTAAAACATCCTCGTCGAGATTGCTGTTGGGTGGAGGATGTGGGGAATCCTTGCGTCCGGGGAAGTCTGTACATCTAAGCACAGAATTCCTGCTTGTGGGGAATGTTAATATTAACCGCTATACCCCACAGACCAGCTGGACTGAGTATAGGAGAGATTCAAGATATTAATAAGCTGATCCTCCATCTGTCCATCTGGCCATCTTGTCCAACCTTCGATCACTGCCTGCGGAAGTATTTCAACAGTCCTTTTGAATTATCTTATCGTTTCCGACAACATGTCGCTTAACACAGAAAAGCCTGACGATACACGATTGGACCATGTCGAAGTTCACGACGAAGTCTCGGTCAGTGATAATGGGAGCTGGACTTTGAAGATCACACGAGACTCCTATTGGGATAACAAAAAAGGGATTGCTCTATGCCTTCTGATCAATATGGCTGTTTTCGAGTACGGATTGGACCAAGGCATGGTGAATGGTTTTCAAGCAATGCCCGGGTTTCTCATGGACTTTGGATATGTTGACCCGAAGCTTCCTGGCGGCCTCGGAATTTCGACCACCGTGCAACAACTCATGGGCAGCCTGGTCTCCCTTGGCATGTTTTTCTCGACCTTGATCTCGGGTTGGATTGCTGACAAGATCGGCCGAAAGGGCGGCCTGTGGGTTGGACTCTTGATCATGATCGTCAGCACCACTGTCCAGATGACCGCCATCAGCTTCGGTGGACTGTACAGCGGTCGTATTTTGTTGGGATTTTCGAATGGATTTCTTCTAGTCTGTTCACAGCTTTACATGCAGGAGACCATGCCCTCGAACCTCCGATCGCTCAGTTACACTTTCTTCCAGTTCTGGATCTCGTTCGGTACCCTCATAGGTGCGATAGTCAACAATGCAACAGCCAAGCTATTGAACAGAGCATCCTACCGTATTCCTCTGGGGATTCTTTACATCATTCCTGTGATCTTGGGAATTGCGCTCTTGTTTCTTCCTGAAACCCCTCGGTATCTGGCTTCTCGGAACAAACCAGTCGAAGCAGGGAAGGCTTTAAGATTTCTGCGGGACTCGTCCTACAACGACATTCAGATCAAAGAAGAGATGGCAGAAATCACTCATACCCTCGAGGTCGATCGCGAGTTGGCTCAGACCATCGGCTATCGTGAGCTCATCCGAGGCTCAAACTTGAAGCGCACGTGTACGTCTGTCGGCCTTGGACTTTTTTCGGCCGCCTCTGGAGTGCCGTTTATCACACAATACGGCGTATACTTTTTCATGTTGTCCGGAGACACGCAGCCATTCCGCGATGTCATCATCCTCGTCTGTTGCGGAATAGCCGGTGTGATGGCCACCCCTCTCTTCACCGGCAAAATTGGCAAACGACCTATCCTTATGTTCGGCGGAATCGTACAGGCTTTGTGTATGTTGGGACTCGCCTTGTCATACAGCGTTCGAGGGATCGATCCAACCAGCGGCAAAGTCATCATTGCGATGTGCTGCATATATCTCTTCTTCGCGTCGGCGACCACGGGACCATTTGCCTGGCAAGTGGCGGGCGAAGTGCCCAACCAACAACTTCGAGGATACACATTCGGCGTTGCGGCTGCCATAACATACCTCTCAGGCTGGTCCATCACGTTCACCATTCCATACTTTATCAATCCGACTGCGCTGAACTGGGGTGCCAAATACGGGTACATCTGGGTCGCGAGCAATGTTTTGATTACGGTCTTTACATTCTTTGTCGTTCCGGAGACAAATCTGAGAACACTGGAAGAGATTGACGAGATGTACATGGCAAAGGTTCCTATTCGTAAGTTCAAAGGTTATGACTGTGTCGCGTCGAAAGATGCTCGTCTGCAAGCGGTGCAAAACTTAAAGGGGGATGAAACAGAAAAGGCCGCACGAGATTAGTTATATTTCAACTACATCGGTACTTGAGCAGAGTGACCCTTCTCTTACTATTTATCTATTCAATCCTCAGACTCAGTCAAAACTGAATGTTGAACCATGTGCACTGTAAGACCACCGGGGGCTAATTACGTAATGCTGCTAGCTCGGCTTACCTTCCTTGATATGTATTGGCTGTTATATTACTCCGTAGTTCATATGACTTCTAACTCCTCCGTATAGGCGACTTCGTATGTCTGTCGCAATCATGTTACTCAAAACCCTGTTATCATGCCATCTCAAATCAATCCATGTCTAGGTTGCGAGCAGGCATCGGCAAGTCTCTTCTCACTGTTTGTTGGTAAAGCTCCTAGTCAAGACTGATATATAACAGGCTGAGTGTATTTTCCTGCCGGCAAGTGATTCCTGCGAAAATTGCAACGCTCGCGGACTCGACTGCTTGTATGTTTCGCACCTGGTCTGTTATGACCATCATAGCATGCTTATAACCTCAGTTCTTCAAATAAAAGGCGACGACGCACGGGATATGGGAGGCATTCTCTGTCTTACACCCAATCGCCACCTTTCAACGCGCCATATCCGCAAGCCGAAGAAGCTGTCACTACTGATGAACAGACACGATTGCGTCCTCATCAGTCGCTCTCCATCTTTGAACGATCATCAACGACTCAGTTCTCCGGTGCAGCGGCCGCTCTCGGCAACACAAAAATTTCCAGTCCCGACAACGAGACGTACATTGGCAGAGCACACTATCTGGACCATGATACACCATTTGATGAGACACAGGCTCGCGATGCCACAGTTTTCCAACAACGGCAACCCTCCAGATCAGAAAATGCTGTTCTTCAGCTCTTCAATGCTTTCGAGATGCCAACACGGGCGGTCTACCGCACTTTGCTCGATACCTTTCTAACCTATTGTCAACCTTGGACACCAGTCCTCACGCGTGGAGAAATGGATTATAGCCATCAGCAAACTCCACCATACATCCTCTGTCAATCGATGTTTCTGGCTGCAAGTCGGGTCTCGACTGCTCCAAGCATATCTTTCTTCGCGACACCCGACCACTTCTACCGGCGAGCCAAGGCGCTTTTCTTCATGAACCACGAGCTTGACGCGTTGACGGTAATAAAGGCTACCATAATGTTGCAGTGGTATACGCCTGTGGGACCCGAGGAGGTTTCTTATGATGCAGGAGAATTCTGGCTCAGAGTAGGTGTAGCCATTGCTCTCCAGATTGGTCTACACCGCGAGCCACCGCGCGGACCTACTGCTTCTGTGAGGAAAAGAGTCTGGTGGACTCTTAGGGTTAGTCCAATCCTTTCCCAAGGTTTCCTTCCGCTGACTCGGACAATAGACGCGAGACGCGTTGATGACGGTCGCCCACGGTCGGCCTCGGGCGATTAATAGAGAGGACACCAACGTGTCTCCTATAGACCCTCGCGATCTTCGCGATGCCGCAGGAAGAGGCGACGGACAGTTATTTGCCGCCTACACGACTATTTGCTGCATTCTTGGTGATATATCAGAGACGTGTTCAAGAAATAGCATGACGCCATCCAAGCATAAAGATTTCGAAAACCTTCTGCATGCTTGGCCTTCCCAAGTTCCCGAACACCTGCGTTTTCCCCTCCGTGAAGTGAGCACGGAGACCTACATGTCCTTGCAATCTCAGCTTAATCTTCGCCAGCTTCACCTTCCATACCTCCTCAGTCTCGCAATTGTCGGCCGTTCCCTCAAAAATGAAAATATCTCGGCCCAACCTATCATTGCCGCCTCTTTCGTGGCAGGAATCTTCAGGGATTTTCTTGCGCGGGATGAGATCAAACATCTTGCCCCAATATTTTCCCGATACTGCATCGCCTCTGGATTCTTCCTGGCTCTGTCACAACCTCTCAACGAAGTTTGGACCGCTTGTCAGTCCGACATGGAGATTTTCCGCAGATCTCTCCAGGAACTTAGTCGGCGATGGAATTCGGCGAAATCGGGGCTGAGAGCTCTAGAACACTTCATTTCTATGCGTGACAAACAACCACGGCGGGCTTCGCAGAAAGTCGTGTGGCTTACCGAACATCAGATGAGATTCTTCGACTGCTTTCCACGAGACTATTGCGTCATTTGGGACAGTCTTTACGAACACTGTAGACTCAATTCCACGGCTACGGATCATTTTGACGGGACTGCAACAACGGACACGAACATTCCATTGTTTGACACATCTGTTGACGATGATGTAACCTCAGATCATTGGGCTTTGAATGACTTGGATTTCGAACAATTCATGTGGACGAACGCTGAAGGTTGGGTTTCTAATATTTAAAACTGCTGCCGAGTTAATATGTAAACGTATGCGCCAACTTCTCAGGTTTGCACATCTCTTCCAATTACAATCTTGCGTGTAGGTGGCCTTCCCGCTGAGACCTCCGCCACACCTGTACTTCTGGCACCCGATCATAACCTGGTGAAGGGATCAGTTCTGGGCCCAGCACCTTCTTCTGCACTTTGCCTGTAACGCCCTTCGGAAGTTCGCCCTCGACGACACGCAGGATCGTAGGAAGCTTGTAGCTCGCCAATGACCGCCGCAGATCTGTCCGGAGCCGCTCCAGTGTCAAACTGGCCGCGCTTGGTGTGACAGCAATGACAGCACCGACACGTTGGCCGAATTCTTCGTCGGTGACGCCAACCACCATTGCCTCCTTTACGTAAGGAAGACTCTGGCATTCTCTTTCTATGTCTACGGCCGATATCTTGTAGCCGCCTGATTTGATGACATCGACCGAGGCACGACCCACGATAGTGTACAAATCGCCGTGGCGTTGGGCGATGTCGCCTGTCTTGAACCACCCGTCCTCGTCGTGTGCATTCTTGGTGGCGTCGGGATCATGGAGATATCTACATTCGTCAGTTGGGCACTCCAAGGTAACGATGACGCTCAAGTACATACTTTGCGAACATATAGGGCGATTTGACAAGCAGTTCGCCCTGATTGCCTTCAGACAGCTTCAGCTCCACCCCGGGAACAGGTAGACCCACGCATCCTTTCGGCAGAAGCTTGTGGTTCGCATCCAAAGGCACTTTTAGACAGCCGGGGAATTCTGTGGCGCCGTACCGGGTCAGGATCGGCGTGCCAGCACGCAACTCTGTCCAGAATTGTTGCACATTGTCCTGCAATGCACTTGACCCACACAACAAGAGTCGCAAGTTGTTCGCCGCCGCAACGTGACGAGCGACCTCAGCCGGGGGCAACTTTGAGACTCGGCGCTCAAAATCCCATTTCAGCCTCATGAAAATGGTTGGAACGGCGGAAAAGACGGTCAGCCCACCCTGCAAGAAACGATCCCAGACCCATTTGGCATCGAAGCCGCCACCTCCGCGGAATTCGATGCATGCTCCGGCGCACAGGAAGGGGAAGAAGGACGTGCCGAGCCCCGTGGTGTGGTGGACGGGTAAAACGTGGAGAAGGACATCGTTGTGATCAATGTCGTAACCCTCGCCAATCGAGGTCGCCGTCGCGTAGGTATACGTCCGGCGGTGCACGACGGCTTTCGGACGGGCCGTGGTGCCTGATGTGAAGATGACGATTCCGGGGGCACGGTCGTCTTGAGGGGGGTCTGACGACATGGCCATGTCCAACGCTCTAAACCTGGGGGACTCGGGCAGATTCGACAGAATGTCAATGGTGGTGACGTTGCCCACTTGTTTGCCGGCGCGTTTGGCGGTGTCTTTCACCGCAGAACTTCCCAGCACGGCGACCTGCTGCGTCTTGTCGATGAAGTAGACGAGCTCTTCGATCGGTGCAGTCGGGACTAGAGTCGTCAGTGAGGGTAACTCGAGAGCAAGCGATGTGGCTCGTCACGTACACATCGGCACTGCCGCAGCCCCTAACGCCAGGACCGTGAGAATTGCCACCGTGAATTCGAAACCACCAGCGCCCAGGACGCCGATGTAGACCTCATCGCCCCGGCAGAGCCTCGCGTGAGCGTCTGACGATAGAGATGCTGCGACGACTTTTCGAAATGCTAGAACGGCATCAAGCAGTTCAGCATAGGTCTTCTCAACGCCACGGTCGCGCAGGGCCACACGGCCACGCCTGGCATGGCGAATCAAGCTGCCAAAGAGCGGGCTGTTGGGAAGGATGTGATCCCCGGAGTGTCGTGGCACATACTGTGAGCGATCCATGTCCGCTGCTTGAGCCATGGGTCTGTTTCTGCGATCCTACTACCAAGAGCAAAGTGTCCGTTCAGAAGTGTTTGGAATCCAGTTGTTGTGATTGTGCAATCAGTTAGATAAGTCCTGGCGCCCCCGACTTTTGTTCAGCAAGTGTCAGCACGCACTGTACGTACCGTGTATGGCCCAGTGCAAATGCATTGAGATCTCACTCGACATCCCGTGCGAAACCTCCGGTGTTTCTTTCGTTCCGCACGCAGGACAGACTGTGGAGGCGAATTGTTTGGAGGTTCGCGGGTTCGGCGTTTCGGAAGTATGGTGGTTCGGCGATATGTGGGGGGAGGGGACCTTTCGCCACTCGTTCACCCCTGCTACAAACCAGATCTCCCCGCATGTAGTCAGTACCTTGAGGTCGATGAGACAACCGAGGGCTTATTACTGTCAAGTCCCTGTCTGCCCCATCACCAGCCAGCGTGCCTGTGAAATCCGAGCGCTCGCCGACTGTAAAATGACTCCGGAGTTGACCAGATCACACAGGAGCATCACGACACGTTAGCCTCCGTCAATCTATACGACCTCAGCAAGTTTCATGCATTGATGAATCATCTATACTATCAGCTAGCGACTTTTTCTTGTTGGCGAAGTTCCGGATTGGGATGCAAATCGATTCTCGTTACCTGGGGGTTGGGCAGGGGCGATTGTTCTCTACATAAGTGGTCGTACTATCCAATTCAGCGCCTCGATCAAGACTGAAAGGGTTGTAGAGGAAAAGAAAGGCGCGATTTACGCACCCGGGGTATAAGCGAAGTAAACTAACGGAATAGCCAGAGGTGTCGCCGGTATCCTACAGAAACAATCCAAGAAAGCCCAGAAACTTCATCAACCCTGACGGTAGGTCTTGACCAGATATCAATCAGATCGGCGCGTGTCCAAATATTGGTCTCCGTTTCATTATACTCAGCCATTGTGAAGGATCCAGTCTTCAAGCTCACGATAGCCAAACTCATAAGTCGGAGCCAAGCCATCTATGAGCCTACCAGTGCGCTCTGGTTGAGAGACGGTCCGAACCTCAGCCATCGTTTCTCTGCTTGCCAGTGAATTGCGGGTCGACTCCGCTCCAACAGATCCCCAGTCGTCAAGGAGCCCTGAAAGGCGGCTCCATAACCGGCAATCCGATGGTGACATAGTCTCAAGGAATTTGTGAGTGTGTGCCTGATCGGATACACTCGGCAGCTGCTCAGGGGGAAACTGCGGCGTTGCTTTGATGCGTTCAAGTGAGTTGTCCAAAGCTTTGACAGCGTCAGCCAAACCATGATCATGTCTTGCAAGTCTCGATAAGACGCCTCGTAAGGTCTGCAGATCTGGTTGAATGGCTTCCCACAGCGCCGGGTAGACCCAGAGTCGCAGGAGCGCCATGCATGCGGAGTATGCGTAGATGGTGAATACAGGTCCCAGATGTTGGATCTCGTCATGTTGCAGAATGTTCTCGAAGATCTCGGCACTCAATGAAGCAGCGATCGAATCAACCCCCGAAATGCGTGAGCTTGACTTGGAGGAATGGTTGAGAGTGGTAAAAGTGTGCTGGCTCCTAGAGAATAGCACCAGCGCGGTCAGATAAGGCAGCTTCAATTGACGAACAGTCAGACTATGATCTGTTGTCTGAGAAGCATCAGGATCAACAATTTCATAATGGCACAGGCGAAAGCGCCAGAGATGAAGGCTGTCCTCGATACTTGATTTATGCGTGTACCGCATAAATCCGCGCCGGTAACACTCCATAAGATCCCCTAAAATCTTGCTTATGTCCACATACAAGCTGAAGGCGGTGGGGTCAGCCGATGTATCAACGAAGTCGAGGTCGGATAACGCTTGGACGTCGGAGTCCATGCGATTGACGGCTCGAGGTCTAGCGTACGACAGAGCCATCAAGGAATCTTGGGCAACGATGGTCCACCACAACCGGCGACGTATGCCACGTTTCGAATCTTGCGGAGGATCTCGGTGTAGCTTGGCTCTGTATGCACTGGCGACAGCCACGTGGAGCCAAAATTCGCTGTTGTCAAAGTTATTGTGTCTGGATCCTCGACAATCGTACGACATCAGCATCAACGCAGCCTTGACTGCGACAAAGGGATCGCTCTCGCTGCCAGACCAAAAGAGGGCTTTGGCTTGCTGGTAAAATTGTCTTGGTGCCGTAGAAGATTGGTCGATACAACTCGCCGCGAACCAGAGTGCTTGTGCGAGAAGCATGGGAACCGGCTGCTGTTCGATTTTCGCAAGATTCGCAAGATCGTCGTGCTCCACGATTGGCAACCATGGATTGCAATATTCAAGGAAACAATTGGTCAATCGCTGCCGTACACTCCTCGGTGGTATACTGAAGCTCTGGCTTGGAATCTGTGATTCAGTGGACACATTGTTGAAGGGATGGTCCAGTTCGTAACTCGAGGTACCCGCTGGAGTGGAAAGAGATGCACCCCAGTTGAATGACGCCTCTGGTCGGGGTTGAGTCCATCGTAGTGACGCCGCAGTCTGCGGTCCCTCGTGCTGATCGACAGGTCCGTTTGCGACCGCGGTGTAAGTGAATGCTGTATTCGTTGTAGATTGGTCGACGGGTATCAGAATACTGGTTGTGAAATTGGTTGGTTGGGGTGCGGATGCACCTGGAGGCGAGTTCGACGTTCTGCGAAGACTTGGAGCTGTTGAAGGAGCAGCATTGCATTTGCGCTTTTTCCGCGAACGCCCTCTGATTCATGTCAACCATCGGCAAGTGTCGGGTACGCAGGCATGCCTACACGCAGTCCACCTTCGCATCCCTACATGCCCTGCAACTTGGACTCTCGTCGTCTATCACGCAACGAATCTGCATGTCCTTGAGCTTAGCTCCGTATTGACTGGGTAAGATGCCCACCTTTCTGTTGTGGCACGCGACACATGCGTGTGCAGCCTTCGACGAGTAGTTGAGAACCATCGCGACGAGATGCTTCAACGGGACTCACGGCGAATGAAGAAAGTCATGGCTCAACGGGAAGTGGTTGTGATTCTCGCCTTATGGAAGGGAATTACTTGTTTCCGGCTGCTACGGTGGCTCACATGCTCTTCCGTACATATGTCGGCCTACATGCCACCAACCAGTAATACTTGGAATTAACAAGATGGACCTTTTGTGTGAAACATCTGAGGGAGCATACTATCAAAGCTTGTGTCTTTTTTGCCCTGTTCGCAGCTTCTCAAATTCCTTTTGGGGAATTCCGGCCACCTGACGCTCAAGGTTCAGAAAGGCTTCCTCCATGTTTTGAGCATCCAGCTCTTTCCGAAAAGGTGCTGCAATCAAGTGCTTAATGCTCAGGATACTAGAGTCGTTTAGATGGGCTCCCAGCCTGTTATCAAGCTCCTTCAAGACAACCTCGAGAAATTGGTCGGTCTTGCCCGCCTCGAAGTTATAGATCTTGTTGACAAACCCGCATGCCAGTAACTCATCAGCTGGTATTCTCCTGCTCATAATCAAAGCTTCTTGCGCTTTTGCTACACCCAACCTGCGTGCGAGCATCAAGGAAGATGCTCCTTCAGAGACCAGGCCAAGGCTCGAGAAAGGTGTGAGCAGGTATGTGTGGGGTAGACAATAGACGAAATCAGAACATGCCACCAACGCCGCCGCGAAACCAACGACTGGCCCGTTAAGGGCGGTCACTAGGATTTTTGGGTGAGAGTAGAATGTTCGGCTGACGAAAAGAGTGTGTTGCAATGATTCGCGAAGACCATGTCTCAGAAGGTCGACCTCCGGTTCTGCCTGACGACTCACAGACACATCGGCACCTCTAAGTGGTATCAGACTGACTCATTACATTAGTAGTGCTTCCGAGACTTACGCAGAGAAAAAGCGTCCGAGGCCGGTCACTATCGTGACAATCACCTCATCATGGGTCTGAATCTCCTTCAAACTTCGGGCCAATAAGTAGAAGCCATCTTTGGTCAAAGCATTCAACTTTCGCGGATTGTTTATAGTGATGATTGCAATTCTCCCTGTATATTCAACCTTTACCAAGTTTGAAGCCATGTTCGACAGACAAAGTCAGGTACGATGGTGCAGAGCTAGACCAAGAATTCGACTTGAATCTAATGCAGTGATATGGACCATTCTCTGTCACATTATCTTTTTCCGAATTGACTCGCCTCAAGTCTCCGGCACTTGTTCCCGCATGATGCTCGTATAACGCCGAATCCCACTCTAAATTCTCATAACGCCGAAATACTAGGTCCTGTGACAGTCTACCAGTACTGAGCGGAATTGAATGCTTCACGGGACTCGTGGACTGGTGTTTCGAGGCTGGCCTCATGGGAGCGGAGTGCACAGAAATGGATATACTGTTACTGTTTGTAGCTGTAATCACCATATTTTCGATCTTTTACTCAATATTTCAAATAGTCTTGTCTTCGAAATCGTACTTTTCCATGCAGCTTGCAATCCTTCCCCTAAGCTCGCATAGAGACAGCTAATGGCAAGCAGCCAGACCTACACATGAGTACTCATCCTGAATTTGCACTATGCCTTTTTCTCAACTCTGCTCCAGGCTCAAGCTTAGAGCTTGTTGGCACCGACTTTCATGGCTGGTTGTTGCGAGAAATCTTCGTCACCTCGGCGAATTCAGTATGAGGCCGGTACTTCTCTTCGACTGCGACAAAGTCTAGTTGACTTTCCCTGGGGAGGTCTTTGGCATGTCTAACCACGCTGAAAATAGACGAATTCTCAAAAACCTGGTCCATTTCCTCCAGTGACCGGCCGTTTGTCTCGGGGAAGAAGAGATAGATCAAGGGGATAAAGGCAGCATTGAGGACCGCATAGATGATCCAATACCGATTTTTCAAGTTTGCAGAACCTGGAGGCGTTACTTGAGCCACGACAAACTGACTAAGCCACTGGGCGGATACTGCAATGGCGGATATGGGAGTTCTCATTCGAAGGCCAGAGATTTCGCCGGCATATAAAAAGGGTAGTCCAAGGAATCCTAGAGGATAGAAGGCCGCAAAGATGAACATGAATGCGACAGTGACCTTCGCGAGCTCGGGCTTGTTGCTGGTTCCAGCCATCACAGCCATGGCGACTGCAAGTCCTGACAACGATAACATGAATAACCTGCGTCTTCCAAATCGATCAATGGTGAACAGAGGAATGAAGGCAAAAACAGTGAACGTGGTGGTGAATCCACAGCTCAGAAACCTCCCGGGAATATCTGTGTACCCGAGATCCGCAAAGGTGGTTGAGGTATAGAAGATCATTGCGGAACACCCACACAGCTGAGTCATGGCTTGGGACATGGCGGCGATGATAGCCCGATGGAAATATCTTTCCTTGGTGTTCTTAAACAACATGCTCAAGCTCCCTTGAGTACTTTCCAAGGTATATTCAATGTGGTTCATTTCGGCGTTCACCTCGTGAGAGTCGACATCTTTGTCCATGACTGCAGCAATAATGTGACGCGCTTCCTCCGTTCGACCCTTCCTCGCAAGCCACCGTGGCGACTCAGGCATGAGGAATAGTACCGGAATGACGAAGAAGGCGAGCCAAACCGGAAATACAATCGTCACCCGCCATTGTGCCGAATTTTGAAAGGCTTCCGCAAACCCAAAGGATATCCACTCGGACATGGCTATACCGGCACTGATGAAGATGCCTTCCACAATGACGAACATGCCGCGGTGTTTGGTAGTGGAACATTCCGTCTGCCATATGGGGATCGAGACGCTGATGATGCCAATGGCTCCGCCGATCACTAATCTTCCCACAATGAACTGGCCAAGTGAATATGCTGAAGACTCCAGCGCAAGTGCCACGACAGACAAGGCCAGACCCAGGAAGATTGATCGTAAACGGCCGATCCTATCCCCGAAGGCAATGCAGGATAGAGCGCCCATAGCGGCGCCCAAGTCGTAGCAAGCAGTCACGATACCTGTATGATCATCAGCAAGAGAGCAGTTCCTCGAAGGCCAGCGCACAAACCAAGTATAGTAGCCTTGTGGCTTTTCTTGCTTCCAGTGGCATGGACCGTATCTATTGTCGGAAACACCTTCACCAAGTTAGCAACGAGGTTAGAGATTCAACGTGTGGAGAGACGCACAGAAACGAAGCTCTCAAGGTGCGTGATCCCACCCGTTGATCCGTTATTGAAGCCGAAAAGTAGGAAGCTGGGGGCTACGACAAGTAGAACCATAGACAACTTCAGATTAAAACCTCTGAGTCCAAAGAATGGACGTAAGTTCGCGCGAGCCCCAATCATCTTGAAAGGCGGAAGCTATACCAGTAACGTGCTCGCTCGGAAGCAACAAAAGGAAAAAACGAAGAAGAATGATATGGAATAGAAAGCGACTCAGATGCCACAGGGGATAGCTGGCCTGAGATATAAATACTCCGCACTCGCAATCGAATCGACTCTCAAGAAGGAGGGGTGATCCCATCTCTTCCCCAGGGCTAGTCTAGAAATCTGGAGTATTGCAAAGTGATATCGAACGTGGAGAATAGTCAACCGCCCTCTAAGCGCCGAAACGCCGTCATTGGATAGTAGGTCGAGGTAGATTTAGTAGTATGATTTAAGTTTAATTGTTAGCCAACAAACGAAAATTATAATTCGACCTGGCCGGCAGTTCGTAGGCAAAGCGGCGACAATAGCTAGCAAAGGATCTTGGGGTCGCAAGCCTAGAAAGAGACAGCGTTCCTGAGTAGAATATAGGAACACACACGAACAGGCAGGCTCAGCGAGTCTCAGTGAGTCTCCCTAGGAGTTCAGAAGGCTTAACCTACTAGCACATAAAACCAGAACTTCGTGAGCTCCTGGACTAAGAGACTTGGCAAAAGGTCGATTTTGGATGTCTTAGCCAAAGTCCGAACATACTCGAAATCTCATTCTCACCCGAGGATGGGACTTGCACGTCCATCAGAAAAAGTGAGCCAGTCGACACGCCGTATCCGGTGCTAAGCCGTAATATGTCGTGAAAAGGAAGGGCATGCGAAACCATCGGACCTGTCGGGATCTAGCTCGGCCAATGCCTGGAACAGCTCAAGTCCTATTAAGCTTCTAGATGTGGTGTTGCCTACTGAAGAGCAAGGGAAACCAGCTCGCAAACCCTGAGTTGCTGAGACCTCTTGCAAGATACATAATGTTGCTGTGACGAGTCGCGTGCTAGACGAGCCTTGACATTGTGATTATTCTTGGAGGACTTGTCCTATTCCGAGGGGCCCTGGGGATGTTAGACTATGAAGGGAAGACAGAAGGATCTGTTTCTGGTAGGGTGAGTGAATTCTTCACCTATAAGTCAGGTCGTGGGGGCCATATTATAAAGGCATACCGACTAGCTCGAGCAATGTATGTCCACAGACTATGCAGCCGCGAGGCCTCATTACTAGTGTGTATGGTAACAAGTGTTGCTCTCAAATTGCACGTATGATTCGCGTATCTTCACGCAGTCCAAGTGTTGTTACTCTTCACGTCGCCTGATGACATACCCTAGGTCGCCACCTTCTTGTAATGCATATGTTGGGAGCTGATGGTCCTCTTTCCGCGACGATGACATGTTTAGCTGCAAACTTATGGCACGTCTAGCTGCCCTCGACCCGTGGACAATGGAACTCACCGCAAAAGAGCTTATCATCTCATTGTTTAACATGGAAACGACGCCGCTGATCGATGTCTCTATCTATTTATCCTCATTGCCTCTGCAATCGACACCTCTAAATCGTCGGGCAAGGTGGGAGCGAACCAGGAATAATATCCAGTTAAACGTCCACCCAATCAGCGACGTCGAGCTCATATCTCTGCGAACGCATAAGCGTTGGCTCGATTCTGGGATCATGTCACGATTCTATTCCTAGAGATAAATGAGTCCATATCGGCAGATTGCATGAGGCATGAGTCGGCTGCGCCTCATCGATGTTGAGGAAGCGGAGGAGTAAAGGAATCATCTAATGAACACGTTGGGATTAGCTGCCAGACTGGAGCGGTTAGCTAATCAGATACAAAATTTGAGAAGAAATAGGTAATTAATCACGCAATTTCGATGGACTACTGTAATACAAGCTCATCTCTTAGCTAAGGTTGTAACAACACCACAGGGTGAGAGAGAAGCCAAGTGGGCTTAGCATCATGCATCTTCCTCAAGCTCCCGAGCCGACATTTCTGATCACAAAGGAGTAAAAATTTGTAGGGCCTACTCCATGATTAGAATAGCTTTCTCTCGCTTCCTCCCTGGTAGCAATCTAATGGACCTACCGCTGACACTCTTGATAGGCACCATGGTTACAATCGATATCTAGCTCGAAGAATGTCAAATAGACATATTGATATTATTGGAGCAGAGAATGTCCAAATCTGCGTCTCATAATTCCGAGCTTGAGACACATAGTCCCTCCGCAAACAGCTCACATGGAGTGTAATAGCGTCTCCTCAAATGGATAGTGTATGCATGTAATCAACAGTAACCCCTCCAAGGGTCATGGTAGTGTTGAACCTTCTCAGTTGTAATAACATCAGATACGATTATCTACCGCGGTTCCCTTGAAGTGGCACGATTCCATCTGAATGAGTGACGGTACGCAGTATTTCGAGAGCCTTTAGCGAGACCGACGGCACCGTAGTGAAAGGCGATAGGGGCACGAGATGCCCTGCGGTCGTCCTTAGTCGACGCCATTTTTTGACGTTGTGACTTACTCGCTCGGATGTCGGATTCTCTTTTCAGCGTTTGCACCCCAGTCATCCCATATTCGTGCAGCATTCTCGCTTCCATGCGCAAGGCCGCTCTGGGACAGCACATCAAGCGTACTGGGTAGCCATATTCCGTAAAGCTAATGCCTCGCGTGTTAGGACTAAGCCGTACAAGGCTTTGATCGCTTGACGAATGCGGAAACTGAGTCCGCGCAGGATTGCTGGCAGGTTCTTAGTTGCTTGGCTAGTAAATGTCACGAGATAATAGAGGGGAGTGATGATCTACGGATAGGCAGTCTACAGTTCAAATTTTGGGATTTCTATTCGACTAGTCAAATGGATCTACGGTCTGTGTCTCTATTGTCAGCAAGAAATACCGTAGGCCTATGGAACCCGAAGCAGTTGATCGCTCCTACGTGTCTTTACTCAGGAAGCGGTGATTGCTCCTGCGTTGAGCTCTACGGAATTGCAATCCAACATTTTATTTTTTACTGCAGTTGCGATTTCCCGAGCCTCCCGAGCATGAACTTACAAGTGTAAGTCATTGGAATGACAGCGTCATGCTTTCTCCTCGTGCACTACTAGCTATGCTGAGACATCGGTGAGTGGTGGTGCCATGCCAACCCGTTCAAAGCTTCGGCCTTCGATATCTATCTTGATTAAACCCTGTAAGGCTCCTGTATTCTAGAGAAGGCGCGTATGAGATTGCATATGATTCCTTGGGAATTGTCCTGGCAGTAGCAACTGGTCGACCAACTCTTTGATTCTGACCGTTCACTCAGTCGCTGTGGACAAGACAGAGTACTCCGCTGCCTCGCAGATCAGGATTCAAGACGCGCAAGTTGATCTTTACGCCATCGAAATTCAGTCTCTGTGTAGCAGTGTGCACCTTATGCCCTGGTATTACGACCATCGAAACGGTCAGGTTAGCGCCGTTGTATTGAGTTGCAGTACTGCCCCTGCGTTTCCGATTTCCTTACTTCGGACGATGAGCGTCCATTCATATCTTCTTGGTGATATGCCCCAGACGTCAGGTAGAGTGCCAATTCAGAGTGACACTTCTTAATTGATGAACAATGGAGCTTCGCAAAACTAAAGAATGAGTATAGGGCTTTGCTTGACTGGTTTGTGTGGTCGGAAGTCGAATGAATCGTTATTTCTGATGGCTAAACGAGACAGATTCCGTACTGTCAAGCGTGAGTCAAGGTTGACAGAGCCATGAATAGGCGTCTTGGTCTTCAAAACAACTAATTTCACCTCTTACCGGGTCGTCTGGCACCCGTCCTCTCTAGCACACGAAGCCAGATGCCTATATAAGATGTCTGGAATCCTGAATGCAAGACTAATTCTTCTTCTTATAATCAGCTCACTTATCTTAATTCATTCTCCGGCTCAGAAGCTATTCTTGGAGCTATGAAACTGTTCAAATCACTGGCCACCTTGGCCTTGTTGACCCTTTTTGTGGGCGACGAGGTCTGGGGGTCTCCCTTCGCAACTATCGAGCCATGTCCCAGTGCTACGTCGATGAGTCTTACCCCTATCACTGTGTCGGCCCAATACCAGCCAGTCACAACTTGCCAAGCTACCATTGGCTGTATCAAAGGCAAATGCTCGACAATTTATGGTTTTACGACGTTCCCATACGTATCTACTGTGGTACCCTGTGCTTGGGATGGAACTACAACGCGCACAACCACGGTTACCGATGTTTCGCAGCAACTCATCGCCTCGACTCATATCGAGACCTTGACTAAAACCAAAACTCTACCAGCAACCCATCAATTGAACTGGATGGACTTGTTCAAGGGTCAACGAGCGGACACGAGCACCACCACACTGTATCAAACCGTCACTAGACAAGCTATGGCACCATTCAACGCCATCGGTCCACTTGCGATTCCTGACTGGAATGGCAGTGGTCTTTGCGAAAAATGTACCGACGATGACGGAGCTCTCTCGCAGCTTCTCCTTGTTACTGAATGTCGATCCGGCACCATGATATCTGGGAAAGAATATGAAAAGTGTGTAGAATGGTATGAGACCTTACTCAGACAGCCTCCCGACAGTGTCACTACGGGGGCTTTGTGCTCAAGCGCAGGTTTCATCCCACACGCCGGGTTCCATACTTGGACGTTCCCACAGAGTGTTCCTCCTACAACGGTAACTACTACGGCAACGGTCACTCTCACCATCAGTGGCCGACCAACCATCTCGATTCAACCGACCATTCGAGTGATTCCCGGCAAGAGTTGGGATGCTGAGGTCACAAAGTCATTCTCCAGACCGACGACATTCAACTTCCAGCTGTATGTGACGAAGGTGCTTGTCTTTGAGGCCCTTCCCGCGACACATACTGCAGGATATCCGCATGCGATCTCAGTTCCAAGCGGTACACATGGCAACGGCGGAAGTGATTGGTGGCCATTACCCACAGAAGGTTCCGGCTGGTTTTCTTCTACCAATGGTCAAGCTTGGGAGGACTGGACTCCGACAGGGCCTTCAACGACTCCTGCAATGACAAGCTCCAGCATGACGAGCTCCAGAGTCACAAGCTCTAGCCTCACAAGCGTACGCACTTCAAGCTCAATAACATGGGTTACCACAACGATTCCGTGGACCGGTACGACGACCAAGACAATCACAATACCTCCAACAGGCACTGACCCGGGAACGGTTATGATAGAGACACCTACATCCATTGTTACCACGAGTTTTTCGAGTACCAGCTCAACGTCGTGGGTCACTACAACAATTCCGTGGACCGGCACAACAACAAAAACGATCACGATTCCGCCCACTGGTACTGTTCCGGGGACAGTAATTGTGGAGACCCCAACTCCTGTTGTTACTACGAGCTTTTCGAGCACGACGTCGGCTTCGTGGATCACTACCACGGTCCCCTGGACTGGTACGACGACAAAGACAATTACTGTTCCACCCACTGGGACGGATCCCGGAACGGTGATCGTAGAAACCCCAACCCCTGTTATTACTACTTCCTCTGCACCAGCGAGTTCAAGCTCTACGACGGTGTCTACGGTCACTTTAACCTCCAAAACAAGCTCGTCTTCGACCACGGCATCATTGACTACTTCGCAGTCGACTATGAGTTCTATTGCCCCCACGACATCGACGACTACAGTATCATCCCCGAGATCTACAACTTCAGTGGTCTCGACTTCGACAGTGTCCACGGCGAGCTCTTCGACTTCTTCGACTTCGCCACCATCGACCACGGTACCTTCTACAAGTCTTGAGGCCTCATCCTCGGCCACCACACAATCTACATCGACAATGCCCACAACCAGCCCTATGATTTCTTCGTCAACAACGCCTTCAGAATCCTCTACCACTAGTACCACACTATGTCCATCATCTGGCTCGAGCACTCTGTCTGCAGACGGATCAACAGGCGCTTCGACGAGAGTCACCGTTCCACAATGTGCTTCGACTATGACTTTTACAGTTATCGGTGGCCACGGCGGCGGTAATGCCGGTGGCCGTGGAGCATTAGTAAAAGGATCAATCGAAGTCAGTGGCGGCGAGACGTTATCTCTAATTGCAGGCGGTGCCGGTGCAGTTGCAGTTGCTGGACAAAGTAACTATGGAAGTGGTGGGACTGCCTCCGAAGGTGGCGGTGGTGGTGGCGGCGCTTCGGCCTTATATCTGAGCAACAACCTGCTCGCAGTTGCTGGGGGTGGTGGAGGACAAGGCAATCCAATCAGCTCCACTGGTCAAGCTCCACCTTCAATCAACTACTCGAACAGCGAGGACACCAGTGATGCTGGCACTCCTGGGGTGACACGCTACATCGAATCACTCGACGGCGGAACTGTTGCAACATCAGAAGGAGGCAGGCCAGGCTCGTTGACTGGTCCTGGCGCAGGCGGCATGACCAGTGGTTATAATACCGGAAAACAGAACGGCAACAGTGGAAATGGGCATGATGGTGGCAACGGGATACCAGATCTATACCCTCCAGCTAAGGGAAGCCCGGCTGGAGGTTCAGGCGGCGGGGGCGGCGGCTACTGGGGTGGAGGAAGCGGAGCCAACCTCTACTACACCTACACGACCACGACTCAGGTCATGCCAGCAGGTGGCGGGGGCGGTTCCAGCTATGTTGATGCCACAGTCTCTGATGGATCAGAGAGCCTGAGCACAGAGACAGAGGGCAGCATTGTTGTGGTCTTTTCTTGAGGTCGCATTGCTACAAGCTGTACTCTTTCGATGTCTCACTCTGAAAGCATACCCCCTCAACATTCGACGACAGTCTTCACGAGTTGAGAATAAGGGCCCAGGGTGAACTACACAGCTACAACTTTCGAACATCCGTACGCATTTTCGACATTCGTCACACAGGATTTATCCCTTTTTATTCGATTCTCAAGGCTCTGCGCCTTATAATTACTTGGGGATGTGGTTATGTAGATTTTTCAACAACTTATTACTACTTTCAATAACTTGTTCTCCTCATTTCCTACGCACATAAATTGAGAGCGAGAGCATTTCGTGAAATACAATGCTGATTCACAACTTTCAACTGTTCGACAGGTGACTTTAGTGGAAATTCGTCAATGACCTTCCTGCTCAAAAAGCCATTGAGAAAGCCAAGGGCGGAAAACTAAGAAATTATCGTGTGTAAAGAATTCTCGCGCAGTGTAGCGTTTGTACCACATAAGATCGTACATATGTATGAGCGGCACGTGTTAACGGCGTGGGCCTCACATGCTGGCGTCCTACTTCCACAACTTCTCAAAATCCTCACCAATGTATTGCAGCAACAAGTCTCTGTCGCTCAGTGAATTATCATTTCGCTTACTCAACCCTGCAGCAGCTATTGCAGATTCAAGGTCCTCCGAGGCGATTGCCACTGTGAGTGAGTTAGTTGGTGGCTAAACCCCAGAAGGTATTCCTCAGACGACTTACGGTGAATGTCAACCGCAGCGCGCTTGCCGCTCCACATGGCATGTGGAACATTGGTGCTCCCGTCCATGTTGGCATCTCCAACAGCATAAGCCCCCTGTATATTAGTTGCCATGGTCGTGATGTTGTTCGTCAATTTGTTGCCAACGGGTGCAATACCCATCGACGTGCCGAGGGTTGAAGCCTGTACAGAAGGCCAGCCGGTGAAGAATGCCCCACGCTCAACGGCCGTGCCGTCGTCGAAATGGACTAGGAACTTGTCATATTCCGTCTTGGTGGTTACGTTGTTCACCACGCCGCCATCTTGAATCCGCTCAATCTCGGTGATGGTCCGATTGTCGACCTGGATGTTGTAGACCTTGACGATACTTTGCCAATCCGGCTGGGCCTTGCTGAGAGTTTGCAGTCCCTCAGAAGTCAACGAACCGTTGGTGAAGGCGATAATATCGGTGTCGAGCGTTTCGACCTCGTGAGCCAGGCCAAAGATGGATTCAATCCTTCCCAAAAGACCCAGTGGCTGGTCGCGGTGCTCGTATCCGTCACACCACGGACACCAATATATGCCGCGAGCCCAGTTCTCGGCAATGCCCGGCGTGGATGGAAGAAGGTCTCTGAGGCCTGTCCCTAGAACAACTTTGCGACTGGTGTATCGATTCCCAGCGGCGTCAGAAATGCTGAAGGCCGAGGAATTCAGCTGCGTAATTTGTGTGACCGTCCCGTTCATCATTGATACCGTCGGATACTCGGAAATCTGCTGGCGTGCTTTCCAGCGGAAATATGCTGGAGTGACACCTGATGGGATCTGCCTTCAGCAACGATCCGGAGCGATTACGTGTGCAGAACTTACCGTCACTGCCAATCACATCGTGAACATGTCTCGTCAGAAGGTTGCGATATTCTCCCGAGTCGATCAACAATGCCTTACGTCGCACTCGAGCGAGTCCACTTAAAGCACTCAGACCCGACGGTCCTCCTCCAACGATAATGACATCGTAATGCTGCGACTGGTCCTGGGGACCCCAGATTGGGGACGATAGGATTCCTATCGGCAAGAGGGTCAACAGGGCCAAGAATAGATGCATTGTCGCGTCTCTGTCGATTCCCGAATTTTCCTGAACCGGTTGTCAGATGAGGTTTCTGTCGCTTTCGGACTCGAGAGACAAGTTTTATAGCTGACTCTCGGTCGCATTTTCCGTTGAACTCTAAAGGTCCAATAACTCGGGTACGGATTGTGATATATGGCGCACAGACATTGCAGTTTGATTCTCCATTAGTGTTATTTTAGACATCCGAGAAACACGTGCGGTTGACTCTGTTTGACTTTATGTTGTAGATGCAATTGAAAGGCCCAGTAGAATAGACATGTCATTGCTGCATAGACTGTGACGCCTGCATGAAGCTGAATTCATCTCTGAGTTCGAAGACTGTCGTTTCACATGAGGATGTGTTCTCGATCAACAAAATGTATCGGTCGTGCGGTGGTGGTCAATGCGTAGTAGCATGGAGTATATTCTTTTTTTAGACATCGGACCCTGTCATTTCATTTTGACTGCAGCCCAAGGCACTGTCTTTTGAAAGTCTGACGAGTCTAGAACAACAACTAGTCATCTGCTAGTCTGTGATATATTTACACTGCCATGTCGTGGCTCTCCTTCACAGTTAACTTCATCAACGCAAACAGCCACACGCTTTGAGAAACTCAGGACTTGGCTACTGGTACTCGCTAGTGCATTCCTCAAAGCAGAGAACAATAGTTTGTAGGCGCAGTGACTCGTGAGAAACCCATCACATCTGCAAGACCGGGTCCAATGCACCAAAGTTGAAAGTACCGAAAGTCGAATCTGCCAACAGTTCGGCTGAATAATCCGACATGGTCTCATCTGCAGCAAAGAAGTTTATATCATGAGCCGGGTGGAAGTCCATAGAGGAATGTACAGAAGATGTCGGTCTTGTGTGCACAGCCTGTGCGGCAACTCTCAGGTCACCATAAGACGGAGGCAGAGGCCGAGATCCATTGTGCTGCTGCTGGAAACTCAGTGATTCTTGAGTTGACGATTTGGCAGTCTGCTTTGATTTGGGTGGCATCATTGACTCAAAATACCTGCGACATTGAGTCAATGTCGGGTTTATATCGCCAAAGGATTGCAGCAGCGCCATTGCTTTTTCAATGGACGAACAAATTCTGCCGTCGTCTTGGTACTTGACCAGATGGCTTCGCGCTCGAAGCGCAAACAATGTGGCGAGAGTTGTGAATATGACTGTTGCGCGCGTCAGCATCTCACCGTCACGTCGTGACAGGAAGCATAAACTTGGGAGACCTTACACTGAAGGAGGAGCCACCATGGCCCGAGGATGTTTTGTTGGTAGTAATCATTCACAAGGCTGATCAGCTCGCATGAGCAGTCAATGCATTGTTGGACACTTGCGGCCAGAACAGATTGCAAGAACTTGTCGTTCAGCTGCGAAGTATCTCTCCTCTTATCGGAACTGACAGCCGATAGCATGTTCATGCGATGGATCATAAGTCTGGTGTGGAGGTAGCGAGTTTGAAGACTCCGTTGCTGTCTACGTAGTTTCGTATCGGTATTATTGTAGTTGAAACGTAGGTGCTCGGGAAGCCGTTCGAGCCACTGTGCCACTTTGCTTTCCTGGTCGAGAGCTAGCGACATTTGGCTATAAATATCGTTTCTGGGACCATTCTAACAGAGGTCAATGTCTATTTTTGGGGGGAACATCCGGGCTGAACTTACAGACTTGGACGACAGTGCCATCTCGGAGATTTGAATTAGCTGCATTAGACAATTGAAGAAGTGCATCTGTGAGGGCTGATGCGGGATGCTCGTGGGCTCGGCTATACACGTCGGCAATATTTGGCTGTCGTCAACTGTCGCTGGCGGAACCGAATGCCCTGCTTCAATACTCAGAGCTGGAGGGCGACAGTGTTTCAGAGATATGAATCTTGGCTTTGGTCAGCGAAATCATTATTGTTCGTGATGGCATGTTACCTGTCAAGAGAGTATATTGACCACCAGAGTCTCTTTCTGAGTTCTTTTTCGATCAGGGAAATATTCCATTCTGAAGGATCCAGATGCAAGTTCAACGCTTGCGCAGTCCTCACCAAGAGACCCGTATTGATCCACATCCGATGAAATTGCATACTGCTGTTTAAATGTAGGGTTACAAGGAGCAGAGCCTGAACAACTTCTAGGGATGCGAGTTCGTAGCACACCAATAGAATCAATTCCGTGGCGCGCTTATGAAACTCTTGGGACAATTGGTAGGTCTGTGAGAGTTCCAGTTGCAAGTAGTCACAGCCATAGGCAAATACCATGTTGACAAGACTGCGGAATGCTATGCTTTCAGATCTGGGATCGTCGTAATATGCGTTTAGTTCTTGACGAAAACTCGGCTCGTGGACCAATGGTAGGATCGGGGCCACGTTTTCAAAGAAAAGGTCCACTAGACGGTTTGCCAGGACTCGCGAAGGCAGAATGAGATTGTCATCGTCCAAGGGAAAATTCCCTGCCCGAATATCCGCATCGGCATCTCTACATGATGCATTCATATCTTGCAGATCTGAGTATTGTACCTGGGTGGTTTCGGACGGAGAGGTCCCCGATGGAGCAACGCCAAAATCAGCGAGAGCCGAATGAATGGAGACTTCTCCTGATTATCACCGTCAGCTTTGAGAATTCTTTTGAGCATCATAGACTTGCCATATTTGAGAACCTTGATGAGATCGTGGTCTTTTTCGAGCGACGAGCCAGTAGGGTCGGATGATATAGGCTGTACTGACTGGGTGCGGGATAGACGTGGTTGTGGCGGTGGGTTCTGGCGATTAAAGTCGTTGACGAGCGCAGCATCGGAGAGCGGGTGAGTTAGAAGCGGTTCGATAGTTTGTCGCGTTCCTGTTGCTTGCTGAGTTTGTTGTAGCTCCTGCTCTAGGCGGCGAATCTTTTCCTCAAGTGACCCAACATATCTAGAACGCAGCGATCAGCATATACAAACGAGAATCAAAGTGGACATGAGCTTACCGTCTGTCAATTGCTGCATGCCTTGCAGGATCATCATATATGCACATCAAGTTTCGTTTGTGGCAAAAGCCGCAGGTCGGTCGGGATGCGTCGCACTTGTTCTTGCGTCTTCTGCACGTAAGACAGGCTTGCCCAGATCGCAAACGATCAGCATTGCTGTCATACATCTGGGAAGATGACAGATCCATCTCGAACAGCAAAGATGATGACGATGATAGTAATGTTTGAGGACTTTGTACGGATTCGTGGGTAGTTGAAATGTCGTCTCATTAGAGAAAAATAAAGGGACTTGGCAAGATCGTGGGGTAATGCGGGTTCACGTTTCTAGATTCATCGAGACCCCGCTTATGCCCGGGTAGGGGACTGGCTGGATGAAGAGAATACCAAGGTGCGATTAGGTAAAATGACTAGGTGTAGGAATTCGTGGTATTCTAAAGGCGACGAAGTGCTTCATCTCTCACCATCAGCAACGTACACTTGGGTTGCCCACAGCCAAGCGAAGACTACAACCTGGCCCGTGGTGCAACTTCTCCTCTAACCCATGGGCTCGCATCCTCGGCCTTGAAGTCATACACCCGATGGTTCTGTCCTGGGGGAGGAATATTCTTCGGCTCATACTCTGTGCCCTGCTCGATGGACGTCGCTGCGGTACTAAATTCATCATATGCATATTTTTGAGGATCATGTCCGAATAACCATTGTGGCAGAGGCATTGATAGAGACTGTGGGTTTTTCTTGACCTGCTCGAAGTCGGTCTTATGCCAGATATCCCTTGTTTCTTTACCAATCTGTTGTGCTAAAGAGGCACGAGCATACCTGGAGCGAGGTCAGTAACAGAAGAGACCGCGGGACTGTTTACTCACCTCAGTCTTTCGCATGTGCGAAGGCCAAGAGGTACTTTGTCTTTACCTGCAAGCTCTAGGCAGATTGCAATTGTGGCGCCATCCTCAATGGCCTGCCCCGCACCCTGCGCAGACGTGGGCAGGAATGGATGTGCAGAGTCGCCGATAAGGATGATCCTAGCATGCTTGGACACCCATGTAGGGAGAGGATCGCGCCAACAGAGTTTGTAGTCGACAAGTTGTGCCTTTGGTGTGGCCATGACAACATCATGAATCCGGTCATTCCAACCCTTGATGTACTCCAGAACATCTTCATGTTTGCCGGGAAAAGACCATTCCTCTTCAACATTATTGTAGATATCTTTGTGTGTGATGTTCCATACAACCCCGCTCATTCCAGAACAAGTTCCCAGGATGCAATGCATGTCTTGTCCAATATATGTCTCCATCTTATCAGATTTTCCTTCAAACATCCACGCCAACTTAGGATTTTTCTTTGCCTCAGCTGCGTCGAACCACGCGCGGTATGTCGCATAACCGGTTGGGTACGGCCGATCGTCAATGCCGACGACAAATGTGCGAGCTTTGGAGTGAACGCCGTCGCAGGCTATGATACAGTCAGCTGTAACCTTTTCTCCATCGACAATGATTCCAGCCTCTTCCTCCGTTTCGAAGAAATCTCTGATGCGTTTGCCAAAGTGGACGGGAACACCAAGGTCTCGGAGATGATTCGACAGAATGATGGCCATTGGGCCCCGTGGTGCAGTATATCCGGAGCCAGCATTGTAGCCGACCATTGGCTGAGGATATAGGATCTCTCCTGTGTCATATCTTCTGATGTTATTCGCCTCCCAGTACGAGAGTAACGGCTCGAGCCTGCGATGGACGCTGCCGTTGCCCCATTTCGCGACAATTTGAGCGGCATTACCACTGATACCAATGATGTCGCCCAGTTGAGAAATTCCCGGCCATTGCTCGTACACAACAACACTGTGGCCTTTGCGATGGCACTCAATGGCAGCAGCAGCTCCCGAATACCCAAGTCCGACGATGATGACTCTGATCCCGCTTGAATTGGGGTATGCAACGCCGTCTTGTCCTACACCTCGCCTTGAGTTGTACGTCTGTGACATGATCCGCTCAGATCAAATTTGGAACGTTGTTTTCAGTTCGAAGAAGGGACGAATGAAATGGCGTTCTAGGCAAAGTACCCCAGATCCAAGTACAATAAAGCGAGGTACATCCGACATGGTCATTAAGCCGGCTGATAGTGACCATATGGGATATCTGAATTGCAAGTGGAGGGTACTATGTCACCAGAAAGCCGATATTCCTCCACGGTGTTGCACTCCGGGAGAATCAACAATGGTCGTGGGACCCACACCGGTAGATCTGGGGTTAGAATCTCGGCGCCCGGGACCCACTCCGAAGGTTGGGGAAATGTGTCGGCTCCAGTCCGAGGATTTTGGAGGAAGCTCACGGGCGACGCCACCCGCTCACAGAAGTTTTGCCGTACGTCCATCGACCAAGCATGGATAGGACTGTCTTCAATGATTCCAGATGATCGAAATTGCTTAGCCTATTCACCTCGCAGTAGCAGCGGCTGGCGTGGAGAAGTCACCTAGGCACGAGAGTTGGCAAATAACCCAAGGCGGTGCACATCAGGGAGGAGTTACCGGTGTGATATCGATGTCCGTTCCTACCAAAATGTCCCTACTAGCAAGTCTGCTCAACGATATTGCTGCTCAAGGAAAGCGTTTGGAGGAGTTCCTTGTGGATGATCCGCCATCTCTATACGAGCCAGATCCTTGGAAGTACGACGAGGAGCTACTTCCTCGAGAACCCTGGGAAGCATGTCAGGCATTGCTGGCTGATTGCGAGCAGCTTATCTCTTTGCTGATGCCAACAAAGCTGAAATTGATGTACGAAAGTATTTCGAACAATGCAGCTGTGGCATTGAATGTGGCATGTGATCTCAAGATTGCAGATAAAATTGCAGAGCATCGGGGTGAGAGGACCTTGGCTGATCTCGCCAAAGATTGTCAAACGGACCAGCATAAACTTGGTAAGTGAGGAACAATCATAAACGTCATCCACCACTGACTGAGCTACGAAGGTTGTACTATGCGTCTTCTAACCCATCGTCACATTTTCGTTGAGGTGAAACCTGATGTTTTCCGCAACAATCGGCACAGCTCGGAGTTGATCAGTGGGAACGGTGCTCGAGAATGCTGTTTGCTTGAGTGAGTATAGTTCCATCCTTCCGATAGACTCGTATGATGGACTGACTTTACCTTTACAGAACAGATGATGCCTACAAAGCTGGCCCAGCCTGGCTTACCGTCATGAAGGATCCAAAGCGAATGCACAGCATTGAAGCCAAGGATGGTGCATTTGCCGAAGTCTTTGGAAAAGGGGTTCTTGAACATATCTTTACTCCACAAGGCGCTACTTGTATGACGAATATGACCGTAGGTGTACCTTGGATGTCGACTATCACGGTTGCAGCAACACGTTCAGACCTTGCATGGGATAGCTACGCGACAATTTGTGATGTCGGGGCTGGTCTTGGTAGCGTAATGCTTGAGGTCAAAAAGACATATCCGTCCGTCAATGTGATCTGCCAAGAGCTGGAGCACATGATTCCTGTCATGCAAAAGGTCATTGCCCTTTCAGTTGAACGTAACTCATTGCTAACGAAATCAGACGTTCGAAGGGTATGAAAATGAGATTTCGAAAGGGGGGATAGCGCTCGAAGTCCACGACTACTTTACCCCACAGGAAACGGTAGCTGATGCATACTGGCTGCGAGGTGTCATGTGAGTAACTTTTTCTATCTTCTTTGAAGTTTAGTAAGCTGAGTTCTCGGTCACAGTCGAGAGTATGAAGATGCTACTGCTGCCCAAGTATTAGCAAACCTGAAGCCAGCCTTGAGAAAGAATCCAAAGGCAAGAGTCTTTGTTAATGAGCTATTCATACCGCGGCTCACGACTACAGCGGTGGCGGCCAGAGACGCCGCATCACAGCATTTATCCAAACAGCAATCAGGCTGGCCTTTGGTCACCCAAATGCAACAACTTGGCGGTCAGCAGTTGTTTAGTGGGAAGGAGAGAACATTCGACGAGATCAAAAAGATTGGAGAATCCGCGGGCTTGCGATTTGTGAAGTATCACAGATTCCGAATGTTTACAGGCGTAGCAGAGTTTGAGCTTCCTACAAGTCCAAAGCTCTGATGAAGGAGAATTCGAGACTATCAATTGACTACCTGTTCCAATAGAATATTGAGGTGCTCATAGCTGGAAGTTACCAAACGGTGATATTACGAATAACCCGAAATATATTTGAATAGATAACATGTCTAATTAGTGGTGGACATATCCAAGACATATCTCGAAGCCGATAAATGTCGATAATAAAGTAAGTTCTTCATCAATCATCAGCTATAAACCACAAAATCACCACCATTTTGACCCATCATATCCTCCATTGTCCAGTGCTTATGGCGATAGCCCTCGGGAACATTCGTTGGCACAAACTCTTTCCCAGTTTTCAGGCAGTCCACCACCCCATCATACACCTCGTAAGCATAGGCCTCTGGATCGGCACCAAACAGCCAGTACGGCTGCCTGAATTCCAGTATACTCGGATTTTTCTTTACTGCATTCCAATCTGTGTTATGCCACAAGTGACGTAGCTCCCAACCCATCCGTTGTGTAAGGTTAACTCGAACAAATCTGAGGCCTGTTAACTTTCGACTTCATTCAATGCGCTATCAGTGCTCACCTGATCTTTTCGTAGGCATGCAAGCCGAGAGAGATGTTCTGCTTGCCCGCTCGATCTAGCACAGCCCCAATGACAGCGCCATCCTCGATAGCCTGTGCAGCGCCTTGTCCTGAGCTAGGCAAATGGGGATGTGCGGCATCTCCTACCAATGCGATCCGTCCGCACTCAGAAATCCAATTGGATGCAGGATCTCTCCAGAGCAGTTTCCAATCAATAAGCTTGTCATCCGGAATTGCGTTGAATATTGCACGCAGTTTCTCGTCCCACCCTTCTACAACTTGTAGTAAGTCCTTTTTCTTGCCGGGGAAATTCCAGGATTCTTCGACGGTATAAGTGTCCTATAGAAAATGTCGCATCAGTATCCAACAAGGCTATCTAAGTTGAAGTGTAGAGTAGCTGAAGATCATGCTTGGTGAGAGAACTACCTTGTGCGTGCAGAAACATGCTAGCCATTGCATCTTGATGTTTGTCATGACAAGTGCGTGCACGTCTGGACCAATCCACACCCAGTAGCGATCTTCTTTTGCATGGATGATGTCGTCCAAAAGTGGTCCCTTGGGCAACGCTTCAACTGGGAACCACGAGCGATACGCTGCAAACCCACTAGACCTGGAGTTTTCTGGGTTTTTGATGATGAGAGACCTGGCTTTACTGTGAACTCCGTCTGCGGCTATCACCGCATCTGCCACAACTCGTTCACTGTCGGCGTAGATGCCTGCCTCATTATCGTCTTCGAAGAACTGAGTAACGCGAACCCCGAAGTGAAAATCCACACCGATTGAGACTGCATAGTCGTAGATGAGCTTATGTGCTCTCCCACGGCTTGGGTAAAGAATTGGAAAGCCATCGTAGTCAAGAGGCAAAGGCTGCTTGTATAACATGCGACCCTGCGAGTCTTGACACTCGAGGAATTTTGGTCGTGCTGAGTCTTTAGCGATTTGTTCTAGCACATTTCCCCATTTCGACAAGATTTTCGTCACATTTGAAGGAAGCTGGATGGTGTCACCTATGGATAAAGTCATTTAGGATTCTCGCAAGAGGTGAAATCACCTGCATCAGGCGCCGAACCTTGTTCACTGAGCGCCTTCGTACTCTCATATACCCGTACACTGGCTCCTTTGCGTCGTAACTCAATAGCAGTAGTGAGTCCACCGTAGCCAGCACCTACCACGACAATAGTAGCGTTTTTGAGATTGCTCATCTTGAGCGTAATGTCAAACGTAGGTGCGATGAGATTGTCAAGATAGGCCAAGTCCAACAGCGTTTGGGGCGTCGGCACTGTTATTTCATCAAGAGAAAGATGTGTTTATTGTCATGGATTTTAATGAGCCATTCGTAGAAGTATAGAATCATGTGGGAGTGTCTGGCAGTTGGAGGAATTGCAGGTGGGGTGTGGAGATTTTGACCCCTAAGTACCGAACAAATGCACGACGTGCTTCCCCAGTGGAACATATAGTGCTGTTGTCTCAACAGGTTCCTTTCGACCTATACCAAATCGTGCGCAACTTTTCGCCTACAGCAACAGCAAATCTCGAAGAGTCACCTTACTGAGGATGGATACAAAGCAATTGCTCGTGGTAGTGGGTGCCACAGGGACGCAAGGAGGTTCTGTTGTGGACGCTTTCAGTGGTGATCCTTCATGGAGAATTAGAGGTCTCACTCGCAATAAGTCATCTTCAAGGTCAAAAAGTCTTTCCCTTCGCGGTGTAGAGATGGTCGAAGCGGACCTGAATGATCCAGAGTCCCTTGATCTTGCCTTCAAAGGGGCGACTGTGATCTATGGAGTCACCGATTTCTGGAGACCTCTGAGCGACCCAGAACTTACAAAAAACGTCAACCCAGGACAATGTCTGAGCAAGTGGGCTTATGAGTACGAGTTGCAGCAAGGCAAGAACATATTTGATGCAGCAGCCAAAGTTAGTGGCTTGGAACGTTTGATCTTCTCGACAATAGCCGATGTTGCCGAGCATAGCGAAGGAAAGTATACGAGAGCATATCATGCTGATAGCAAAGCCCATGCAGAGCAATATGGCAGACGAAAGTATCCTCAACTTTGGAATAAGACGAATACGATCCAGATCGGTGTCTACCTCTCGAACTTTGCAGAGCTCTCAACCGAGATGCCCAAAAAGGTTATTATTCATACTGCTTGTAATATGCACGTTTGTCACAGAAACGCTGACTTCATCCTCTGTCAATAGCAAGCAGATGGAAGCTTCAGTTTCATCAACCAGTTCACTGCCGAGACTGGTCTTCCTTTCATAGCAGCTGACGAAGATACGGGCCCTCTCGTGAAATCATTGTTGGGGGAACCTGCGGGAACCAAATTGATGGGCTATCGAGCCTGGATGACATTTGGAGACTTCGTCAAGACCTGGAGCAGGGTTCTGGATGTCCAAGCACAAGTTGTCACATTGCCCATCGAAGAGATATTAAAGGGCACGCCGGGAGACTTGGAGCCGGACGTCAGAGAGATGCTGGCGCAGGGAATGGCTAACATGACGGAGTTTGGATACAAGTTAAGGGAGGATCCGGAATTGATGCAACCTTCAGCTGTGAGTCAATCTGCTCTTTGTCCAGAGAAATATTCAGCATTGACAGGTCAACCGCCACAGTTAAAGTCTCACCCTCATCTACCATCAGTAGAAAAATGGATCCGAGAGCAAGACTGGTCAAGTGTGCTAAGATCTTGATACTCCCGTGGGAATTGTGTCATATACCTGACGCTGAGCAAAGGCATATGATTGATGTCCCTGCAGCAAGCCGGGCCAAAGCTATTCGCCACCTTGGCATAGTACTCTGTTGAGAAAATAACGAGGCATGACTTTAGATGCACTATAGCCTAGGAATTCCACTCAAAGAGATGAGAGAGTGCAGTGGAGGCTATAGATGTGGCAGCACGCGGCCTAAGCTGCGGGAGGTGGAGGATCGGCGGCCAACGCCCAAAACCAGCCCAGGTCGCTCGGGCTCAAGCCGAACACATCAGAATGCACTAATGTGGGGGACATCATTCTAGTATCTATTTATCGTTGGGACATAGTATCACAACCTGGAAAGACAATGGATCAGGCTTTTCATTTACAGATTGCAGAAATAACCATACTGTGTTCTGACTGTCTTTCACTATCTGCATTCCAAGCCCTAGTTCGTGAATACAAGTCATGGCTAGTCGGGGCAAAGAAGTTTGGCTGGACGAGGTGATATTGGAATGCTCCATTGACAGAAGAGGCTAACATTTGCAGACGAGTCTCACGACCGTCAAAGACTTACACGACAAACTTGAAATGCCTCCAAGTAAAGTACGTATATTCACTTGTTTTGGGGTCATATTACATATCCACCGATACTAATATCACACATTGACATTCAGTTTCACGACTCAGAACTCGCCACTGAAGAGCAAGAGATCCTTGAGCATTACAAAGAATGGATTCGCTTCAACCACACGGATTTTGGAAACAAAGAACGAGCAAAATCATTTTATGACATACCAGAAACGAGATTCTTCGACCTGATGAAACAAATCCCACGGCGAGGGTTTGGCCCGCATTACGATAGCATAGATGTATACTACGATGATTCACACCTTGCCATCAAAGATATGGAGATCACGGCTGTCTCCAAGGATTTTGGTTATGTAACAACGATCCAGCGGTATTGGGGCACCGGCACTGATGGCAAAGAGTTCTCTTTCACTTTCCGGATGACAAGTCTGCTGAGAAAGATTGATGGCCAGTGGAAATGGATTCACGAACATGTGTCGTTCCCCGTAGATCTAGAGAACGGGAAAGGAGACTTGACATGCGGGACTGGCACTGCTGGAAAGCCTGATATGCAATAAAATATGGATCCTATGCGGGGCAACTTCAGTAGTATCTCAAGGAGAAGCTATCATCTTGTTCAGATGCCCAGTACAACTTCTGCGATCGCTACTGATTAGCTCAGCTTAGTCGCTATCCCCGCTGCTATCAACATCCATTAGATCGTCCATCATAAGGTGAAGAATGTGGGAAAATGTTCGTGATTTCCACTTTCCAATAGTTTGCATCAAATCAGCAGCATGCAGTAAGACCCTCCCACAAGAAGAATAACCGTGAGGATGAACAACTCCAGTGATACTGAAAGAACCTCCTTCCTTGATGAATCGCATGGGGCTAGATTCCATCTCAGCAGCACCAGCAGAGAATTGTCGTGTCTCACTTGATTCTTGCATGCCGCAAAATCCGACGCCTTCCCAGTCGACCTCATCAAACAGCTCCAACGGAGTGTTTGCGGAGAGCTGGGGAATCGTAGGAGCTGTCAGCAAATAGAAGCTCATGACTAACGCAGATCTGAAGAGAGCAGCCACAGTATGAACATGGATCACATCTGAAACCCTTCTATGGAAGAGCAATTTGAAGACCTGCGCGGAATGAAGAACGGCTCGTCTGGCTGTGGACGTGCTGGCCCAGGTTGTGATGTGATTCAGTGCAAGTGGTACTGCTGCACTTCCAGATTGGCCCGCAGCCTGTTCAAAGAGTTGCATATTCGCGGTTAGCATCATGCAGGACATATGCCATGAAATCACAGCGTTGATATCTCCCTTCCTCAACGGAGTAGCATTTGTTTCTGGAAGTTTGCCAATGCGAGAAAACAGAGATGAATCACAAGGACTTTGCGTGTACAGCCTCCATGGCTCAAGAGCTGGGAGGGTACCAATATCGTCGCTGGACAAGAGTAGTCGGTGATTAGTCTCGTAGATCTGATGCCGGGTCATTGCCAAATAAGTAGGCAGGATTGCGGAAGTGAGATGATCCAGCGGAAAGTCTGTGGTAATTACGCGGGATACCGTGAGTTGGTGTCCAGTATTTCGTACAAGTTGAGCCCAGACTGAAGCGGTGTTGGCGTGAAACAGCTTATTATCTCCTGGAGGAATCATCCGGAGGGTTTCGGAGCGGATCATAGGAGTTGTTGAGAAGTAGCTCGCAAACCAGTTATCGATTTCCACAAGGCCATGGATCAATCTGTACCTATGATCAGAAGAAGACAAGTAGCGGCGGCTCGTGACCTACCTCTTGACACATTCGATCTTACTCCAAGCGTGCCACCTTTTTTGTTCATCAGCGCTCTCATCTGATGTCTTCTCCAAATCAGAGAGAGTTCGACTCAGGGAGAATAGTCCATGCCATTGTGCCATCTGTTACATGGTCAGAAGCGGACGACTGAATGTGTGTACTGATCAGGACTTACTGATATCAGGCTCACGTAAAGCATCTCTGCTTGTGCCATACGTCGCGAATCCTGCTATACAGGCCATCAGTAGAGTTTCAAATGACATCGGAGGTAACAAATGGCTTACTCCTGTGATCGAGGCGATGGACAATGTCAGAAGCGCAGTGACAAGCGTAGTCAGTTGGTCAGTAACAGACCCTTTGCCAGAAGCACTGGATTGCAACTCAGCAGAAACGATTTGAACAACCGTCTGCGGTAAGTGTCAGCCAGCTGTTTGTTATCGTCTATAAAGCGAGTGTTGAACTCACCGGAAATGTGTTGTGGACAAGTTGCGTCGCACTCGGTGTTCCCAGGATACTGAAGCCGAGGAGACAAAGAACAAAGAGCATGGGGAAAGGTGCATCTTTGGCCGAAAAGGTTGGAATATGAATGACAGGTAACATTGGATGGAATTGATGGAAGTATATCTCCAAAGCGACCTGGCATGTCTCTGTAGATGGAAGGGTGACTTCATTAACATTGTAGCTTGAGGTACCGCTTAATCGAGACCGGCGTTCAAAGTCGTATGATTCCAAAGATTGAGGTGAGAAAGCATCGCCGGTATGAAGGAGACTATTGAGTGTAAGCTGCATCTGTTGGCGGCATTCATCGTCGAATCCCCATCTTGAAACTCTTTGATGTGCAGCGTCGACTCCTAGAGCCTCATTTCTGGGTTTGCAATATATATTTGCGCGTTTAGATGATAGCAAATTGTGCCATAGATCAGGCATAAGACGGCTCGCTCTGCTCGATCGTGACTGCCATAGCTTCTGAATTTTTCCAAATCGCTTCTGTGAAATGAGATCTTCAAATCGAGAGCTTGGCTTAAAGCTCAATAGCATATCGGTTGTCGAGTCTTCTCTTAACGGGGGATCTTCAATGCTCGAGCCAACAGCCCACGTGTCTTGAAATGCGACATTCAAGGGGTCTATTAGGGGAGTTGCAAATAGAGCATTGTCATAAGTGAGCGCCCAGAGATCTGATGATTCCAGAGACAAGCCCATTGGATGACTCCAGTCATCCAATGGGCTTGACAAGTTTCGAGTCTCGATATTTTGAACTGGTTCTGTGTCTTTGTTGTTTTCGGTCGGACAATGCAGCAGGATGAGATCGGCCGTGGGAGGTGGTGAGGCAGCCATGTACTGTGATACTGAGATTGCGGCTCCTGTGGGCACAGCACCATCACTGGGCATTTTTCCCCCGGTTGCCTGGTCAATACCAGTGGATTTTGTGCTGGTGTAGTCCTGTATGTCATCCATGCCTCTGTAACCTAAACATGAGTCCATCAATGTTGTTATGACATTTGGAGTATGGTTTGACTCGTTCAGTTTGTCAGACGTGAACACTGATTGTGCTGTGAAGTCTTCAATGTAGTAATTCGAAGAAATTTCTTTTGTTGGTTGGCCGACAGGCTCATCATGTAGAGAGACGTTTCTTTCAATCGACGTGGTGGTCTGCCGGACCTTGTCTTTGTTTCGTTTTCTTGGCCGCTTCGTAGATATTGCAGTGACATCTTGTGGTCTGTCATGGTTCTTCTCATGTCGACGCTGCACATCACTGTGGGAGATATAGTTAAACAATCGCTCTAACTGGTCGGAGAAACGTGCTTACCTTCGTGAGAACTGCTTCTTACATATAGGGCATTGGTACGGACGCTCTTTTGTATCTGATATCTCTGTTACATCTACCAATGTTGACAATTCGAAATATTAAAAGACTCACGAGATCGTTGGTGCCTTTTTAAATGCTCTGTTTTGGAATATGTTCGATTACATACCTGGCAGGTTAAAGCCCCCATTTCAAAAATTGAATACAGCTGCCGAAAGATATTTGCAGAGAATGATTAGTCTCACTAGGTAAGTGTTATGAAGGAGATGGCAAAGTCGTCCAGAATGCCAGGAACGTAAAGAAGACCGAATGCGACTGGCCTATATGCCGATACGGAGGCCCCCCGTAGGAGAAGTCTAAGTTCAAGCGTTGTAGAAAGAAATGATCCGCAGCCACATTATGCGGGGCTCATGGGGACTGATCTAAATGCTACTACGAAAAGTGTAATGCAGATATGACCGTGAACAGAGGCATTACTTCAGCGGGCTCAACATTTGTTCCATACATTATGAATTTTACCTTGTTCCATGGCATAAACTGAGAGTGAGCCTTTGAATTTCCCAACGGGAGATAAGTCCTTCAAGAGCTTGAGTATTTTGCTATCTTCTCAACTGTGTGACCGTACACTTCCCACCCGGTAGCTACAGAGAAGCCTTCAGAGTCGAAGGAACATTGGTATCCTCAAGAAAGCACTCAATCATGCGATGATACATTGCAGGCTGCTGCATAAAGGTGAGGTGGCCAGCACTCGGCATTTTGAGGTAACTTGAATTGCGAATGAACTTGGCGACCCGGTCGTGCGTCTCCGGCGGAATCCATTCATCGTGATCGCCCGTAACCACCCAGACGATGGGAGCTTCCTTGCTTTCTCCTCTGACCGGAAGATGTTTGAAGGTTTCAGCAGTCCAGATAGGTTCTCGCGTCCACATCTTCATCCATGCACCCAGAAAATCTTCCCACTTCTCTCCTGGATGTGTCTCCTCCCATTCCCTCTGTGTTCGAGTAAAGTACTCTCCAACCATCCAGATTCCCATGACTTTCTCAGCGTCTGCTTTTCGATAATCATCCAAAACAGAATATGCAAACATGCGATCCACTCGACGGTGGTGACCGTAAGCTAGCATAGACCAAGCTAGCATGGTTCCTTCGGACCAAGAGATGATTGCAACTTTATTCACCTTAAGAACATCCAGTACTCCTGCAACATCACCAGCCAGCTTTTCATAAGAGAGTTCTCGATCATCGAATGGAGAGCGGCCATGCCCTGGCAAATCCAGTACGATTACTGAATAGTTCGCTGCTAAGTATTCGACTTGCAGAGCATTCCAATCCGAACTGCTCACTCCTCCGTGCATCAATAGGATTGGTACCCGATTGGCAAGCAACGTCTTTTCAAGTGGAATGCCGAAAACTGCATGCCATAATCGAATACCTCGAGGGTTCGTCACCAAGCCCTGCTGGTTCGCTCTTGAAAGGTCCAACTTTGGCGTAGGTGGAAAGACGTCCCAAGGTACTGTTTCTTGAGACATCTTGTTGACGTTTTGGCTGTTAATAATCAATAGCTTGTGATCTTTGTCTAAGGCGAGTGCTGTTCAAGATCCCAGGGTATCGATACCTGTGTGGGAGTTCTCTTGGTTCATGGATAATCACACGTTGCAGGCTGTCGAGTGCATTGTGGTTCCAAACATTGGGCACCAGAACAGTACTGGTTCACTACTAGGGGCCGAACGTGGGGTGGACGGGTGGGAAGCGTCGGAGTGGAGCCCGGAGTGTTGCCCGGAGTATGGAGTAATGGAGCAGTATGGAGTAGACGATTCCAGCGACGAGAGAGTACACCTCCCCCAGGTTTCTGATCGGCTGTTGAGAATTCCCCGAGAAGAATGCAGCTTTCGGACGAGAGAAAAAATTCGGACATTGTTTTATGCCAGGTGTTATTCCTCGGGGGTTTTGCTTGGGGGATTCCGCAATGGATCTTTGCCGGAC